CCTGAGCATAGACAAATCGACGTCGCATTCTCGTTAGCGTTCCGTGGCTGTGCGAGTATAGAACGAGTGGAGAAGGTGCGTTACTCTTACTGGGTTCCCGTCGATCCCTGGTATGGGGTTCAACCTCAGGAGGGCGACGAGGGCCGGGTCTGATTCTTCGCCGGGTGAGGTTGGTGACGCGTAACCCGGCCGTTCTATAATTGACTCGGCCATCTCCCGCTTCGCTTTTGTACCGGTTGGCGACTATCTTCAAGTCTGGGGTGATGCGGAGGGGGGTAAGAAAGCAGCTGAATGCACTGTGAGGGGTCCGTTGTCGTCCTCCGTTGACGGCGAAAAACGAGGACGTCATCGAGAGCTAGCACGTGAACGGGATTTCCATTTCGGGAAGAGCACGTGCAGATGCACACGGCTCAGCTACAGCTTTGACCAGAGAAGCTCAGACAACAAAGCAAAGGATGAAAGCGACAGATCGAGGCAGCCGCGAATTTCAGGGTGTGTATGTCACGAATTCTTCCGAGGAAGGAGAAACGTGGGCTGAGGTCCGTCCATCGGGAGTGGGTGCAGTAAGCGCCATCATGGTATTTTCTGGACCCTCATGAGAATGTCAGAAGGAGCTGGAGAATTCGCCGAGATTAATCCTTGCCAACTTTTGGGCCAGGGAAAATCGCGCGCGGTCTCGATTTCGCCATGATATTCCGTCGAAAAGATGTGCTACCAAGGTTTCCCCGAAGATGTTGTCAACCGACCCTGATGCTTTGCGCAGATCCCTCCAACGTGAAAGGACGGCCTACGGGCAAGTGCAGCACCACAAGCTGAGCATAGCGTCGAGCGCTTCTCCAACTTCGAACATCTGTATCGGGACGTCGACCAAACATCCATGTGATGATCAGACAAACAGAGCTAGTTTTCCCTCCCCCGGTCACTCATTTGCAAGCCCGAGACACACATAATCCCATCTCTGAGACTTGCACACACTCTTCTCTTTCTTGACTGTCCGAGGCCCCCGTACATTCAAACTCCCGGTAACAGTTTGCCGACGCCCAAAGCCAAGACCGTCGGGTCGCATCTTAGTCACTCGACCTCAATTCGGACGGACGCAGCCCTTCTGTGGAATGATGCTCGCCTTCTCTGGGAGTTTTGGCTCTGGCTTTGGGAGATGAAGCCCCTGAGAGCGCCGATCTCGTGTACGATCCCGTTCGAATAAGCTCTCATGTAGTGGCATCTGTTGAGGAGACGCGAGCAAAGCAACCAACGATACGATACGTTAAGGCGAACATTCCATCTCTCCAAGGAGAAGTTGTCGCGGGATTGGCGTTTGGCTATTCTGGTTCCCCATCCATGTGCGTGTGGTCTCATGCCATGACCTACTTACTGAACTCCTTGGGATTCCACGCTAACCCTTTTGCTAGACGCAACAGCGCGCCTAGTTTAGCCCTGAAGCCTAACACCAACGAGAAGGCTCGAAGCTTACCAGGAAACATCCAGGAGTGGACCGTCTGCTGGGCTGGGATTCTCGCTGCACCAAAACCGGATGCCCCGCGCCGGCAGGCCAGGCGCCGCGCGTAATGGAATGTGCGCGCCGGTTACTGGAATGGGCACTGGAACCTGCCCAGACCGTGTAGGCCGAGGGACGCGTTGGAGCAAGGGATTTCATTGACGAGTGCGTTCTTCTCCCTAATGTTCCCCCAATCTCTTCCTCATGCACCCTCTGGACTTCTCAGCCGGCATCTCCTAGGGCGGTCATGCTGCTTATCTCGCGGGCGCCAAGGCCCGTGGCCGTAGCCCATTTAGCGTGTCTGTTCTCGGGATGACGAAATAGTGTGCTAGGATGCGTGAGATGAAATGAAGATGAATGACTGAAATGCCCTATGTAAGCTAAGGTTAGACACGAGAGAGATCATCATTTCTGTTGCTTAGACTGCGCCCAGACCGTGTCGCAGGAATTCTCCGAGAATTGCATTGAACGTGTTACTAGAGGTACATCGAGTGTAACCGCGTCGAGTTCATTATCTCATTAGATGCGGCTGCTGAGTTGGGAATGAACAGTCGGACTCATCCACTCACATCCAGGTCCATGATGTGCAGTGATTCGAATCACGTCGTATGTAAGCCGGTCGAGAATGGGAATCTGGTCCCGAAAGAAGGTCTCGCCCGACAGTATGGAAAGTTCGCTGTTCTGTCTGTTCGGCGAGATGGACGGGAGCTTCCCACCGAGACGGCGTCACTTCTAGTTCCGGGTGAAGCGGATGCTTGGAGGACGCTCTGCTGCGCCCTAGGAGACTTTACGTCTGCGGATTATCCTCCCGTGCCGCTCGTTGTTTGGCTCGTGCCGCCGTGTTTGCGTGCGTGCTTGGCCGTGTGGATCTGGGGTGTGCCGGCATCGGTGTCGTTCATATACGTCTCTTCTTCGCGTGCTGGTCCCTTTCTGGATCGTAGGAGGGAAGCAAAGGATGTTTGCCACCATCAGCAGAGCAATCCAGGCATCCATAATGCCGATTCGGGAGGACCTGGCTCAGCCACGGAGACCCGCAATGTGCTGGCAATCTACCTTCTCCGTGCATGATACCCATCCCACTTTGCGTTAGCACTGTCTGCAAAAGCGAGCGTCGAGGTCCGCCACAGGATCCACGCGTCACGCGGCTGTGACCGAGTCCTTACTTGACGCAAGACTGTCAGCGCCGTGGGAAGTGAACAAATGATGCATTCAATCGGGTGGAATCGAATCTTGGATCGCCTCCTGCCTGGTGCCCGAAGGAGAAGCAGCTCTCGAAACGAATCCAACTGGACGCATTCCAATTAGAATCGAGATCGGGGAATGCCATCCATTGTGTATGACTGCCATTGGTTGTCCTTTGCATCCCATCTGCAAGCGGAGCGACTTTATGTACTTAAGGCCCCGGGCCTCTTCCAGTAGCGCGAATCCTTCCCTGCTCCCTCCTCCAGCACCGCACCACCCGCCCTACGAAATCGATGGATCTCGAGTTCACCCTTGACACAGACCACCGGTGCGCCGCTCCTCCACTCTCTCGTTCCCGCAGTCGCTCACAGGCCAGCGCGTCCATCCAGCAAACGCAGGAGGAACCGGACCACCCAGAGCTGCCTCAACTGCCACACCTCCAAACGCAAGGTCGGTCTCGCGCGCCATCCCTCGGCGTCACACCGTGCTGACGCGCCCTCCGCAGTGCGACAGGAAGCGCCCGTGTCAGCGGTGCATCCAGCTCGGCCTCGTGGGTATTCTCTGCTTGCTTCCCGGATGACATTGACACCCGCAATGCTATGACAGACCGGGCTGTGCGTGTACGAAATCGACGATCCCGCTCTCAGGCGAGTAGATTCTCGGAAAGAAATGGGATGGTACCTTAACAGGCTGCGCAGGGACGACCCCACCCTGGATGAAAACACGCGTCTGCGCAATCGAATCGCGGAGCTCGAGAGTCTGGTGCGAGAACTACGAGGTGCGCGTCATCCTGTGCTCCGCTCACCAGGCACATGTGTCCTCATCTGGCATCTCCATGTAGGCAAGCCACATCCTCGTTGGGCAGACAGCAACTTCCGTGACGGCGACCCCAACGAAAAGTGGCACTCGCGCGCGACCAAGTGCACGCCCATCCCCAAGCGCCGCCAGTCGCCTGATCTGGCGCATCCGTCCTCGACATCCGATACCACCGCGCGCGGCGCACCGGGGCTGCTGCCGCCCATCAAGACCGAGATGAACAACGACCCGGCGTCGAATCTGTATCGCTTCACTGCGTCGCCCGCGCCGCGGTACTACGATTACGCCGATGAGACGTATAGTGGCGGCGGGGAGGCGTACTCGCCCTCCGCGGGACGACGGGGAAGCGTTGCCGGCGGGTACTGCAACTGCCGAACGAGCCAAGGGATGGCACATGCATATCTGGGCCTATCACAGCAGCTGCAGAGCACGCTCGCAGCCGCGCGGACGTACTCTGCGCATCCACCGGGGACGCCCTGCATTCTGTACCGGCGGATTTCGGACCTGACGAGCTTGTTGCAGTACGTCCTTTTGCCTTAGTCTACTGTCCTTCCTCGCTTCCATTACTCTGCTCTGCCTGAAACGACGATTTGCTTACCATTGGGGTGCAGGGGCTCCGATCCATCCGATTCCGCCGGAGTGGGGTACGACTCTGGGACGCCCACGGACGGGGGCAGCGACGTGCTGTCGCCGTTGTCGGTCTCGGCGCCGACGTCGGCGTCGTCGTTCCACGGCAGCAACGGGTCTCCGCCGTTCCACACGTCGGCGACGAACAACTCCGGAGGCGGAGGGGGATCCCCGAACAGCGCGTTCCACGGCAGCGGAGGCAGCGGATCTCCTGCAGCGTTTCACTCGCCCCATCTGCACCATTCTGTGGGGCCGGCTGGGCCCGCGTCGCCTGCGACCGAATGGAGCACGCCGTACCCGTCGTACTTCACGCCCGACGTCGGCAGCGGGATGCATCTCCCCCTGCCGCCGATGTACAACCATGTCATGACCTAAGTGCAATGCCTGTCCGGTGTGGATGATTGCTCGAATGGAACCTGTGACGAACCATCCATCTATTACGACCTGCTCTTCGCTTGGAACTGGAGTCCCCATCTTTTCTTAGCTGTACTCTCACACTGTTTTTAGGATATGTACACTAGTAGATATCTATGCTCTGCACGGACCACAGCTGCTACTCATCATCATCCCCTCCTTTAATAATCATATTCACCGGATGAAACCACTCCAAGCCAAGCGCAGGATATCATATCACGTGATCCTCATATGCACTCGCTGGTAGTCGCCAAGCGATTAGGGACCCTGGGCCGCGAAACACACCAAGCCCGACACAAGCCCGGATCATGGCCACCCGTTGCCCGCCGGCGTCGGTCAACGTCGAGCACATGCGGTGGCGTCCTCAGGCGCCCACGCCGTCAAAATTAAATAGCGGCATCACTATCCCCGGCAGTCTCTAAGCGACTCGCAGTTCCATTCCTTCCCCACATATTGTTCCGTTAATTAAGAATTCCGGGCGGACGGGGCCGGGCCGCGCGGGCCACCGCGCAGCCCCCTCCCGAATTCTGCCTTAAGTCGATTTATTCGCGAAGTGAATTTTGCTACTTTTAGGGCTGAGTCACACGCGGTGCACTGCACGGGGGGTCGGGAGCAGTGTGTGGTTCGGGGGGGTGCATGTGGAGGGGCGGGGAACTCGCGCCTGTCAGCCGTGCCATGCCGCGCCGTCGAGTGCACGGTGGGTGGTTCTGATGGCGAAGGCGTCGCGTGCTTCCGCGCGCATGGAGCCTCCGCGCGCACCCTCGCGGTGTCGGCAACCATTGGTGCAACGGAGCCATGCAGCCCCGTCCGTCCGTTCCTTTCGCTTCCCAGGCGCGTGTCTATTGCATTACATTACATTGATGATAGAGATGGAGAGAGTGAGAAGGACTGCGACTAGGAATAGCAATATCCCTCGATATCAGCTATTCACAGCCACTAAATTTAACCGTGGCCGGGACGGGGAAGCGCCGTGCCAACGTCCACCCGGAACGCCCGCTGCGAGCCCGGCGGGGCCCGCACAGGCCGCGCCGCCGCGCCCTCGCCCGCGATCCGCCACACATCGCGCTCGACGAACAGCGCGGACCCGTCGCGGCGCACGAGCACGACGGTCGCCGTGCGCGTCCCGTAGAAGACCGGCAGCGGCGGAGCAGGAGCAGGGCCCAGACCGCCGTGTGCTTCGTGCTTCCCACCGACAGGTGCATACGCCTTCTCGCCTGCGCTGACGTCGACAGGGTGCACGCAGATCGTGCGCCGCAGCTCCTGCCGCGCGCGGATCGGCGCGGGCGCGGTCGTGCAGAGGAGGGAGAACAGCTGTTCGGCGAGGGCGGTGTCGGGGTCGGACCCGTCGGACGGCGGCGGTGTCGGGGCCGCGGCGATGCGGGCGAGCAGCTCTTTGCCGGCGAGGACCTTTGGCCAGCTGGCGCCATCATCATCATTATCGTTATCGGCGGTTGCGACGTGGATCCCATTCGACATCCCGCCAATGGCACGCTCGTCGGTCCGCAGTGCACGGCAGCGCACAGGCCCGCCGGCACCGGAATTGCTGACGATCCACGCGCCGTCGAACGCCAACGCCGAACCCGACCCCGACCCCGACCCCAGCCCATCCTCTGAAGCAGGCCCCCACGAGCCCTCGAGCAGCAGGAGGTTGAACCCCGCGAACTGGCCGCCGGGCGGGAACAGCGCGTCGGGAGCCGTGCCCGGGTGCGCGGCGAGGAACGCCGGCGCCAGCGCCCCGCGCGAGGACGCGCGCTTCTGCAGCGGCTCGGTGATGTTGGTGAGAAGCGCGAGGCGCGCGGTGCCTGCGTTGAGCCCGAGCCAGGTCCCGCCCGCCTGCACGTCGATGCCCGATAGGATCTCCGGGGCCGCAGCGTCTGCAGCCGCGCCGAATGCGCGGTGGAAGGTGGCGTCGAGGGCCGGCCGCGCCAGGTACTCGTCGCGGTTGGCACAGAGGATTCTGCAGCACGGTTCGTCAGTCACCCTATAGAAGGCAGAGTAATGTGCGAATGTGAATGGAGAGGAGGTAATTTGCAAAAGCGCCCGTCTTCTGGTGGAATGCACCCCCGTTTCCGTTTCCGTCCCCGTCCACGCTAGTCACTAGTAGCATACACGGAAGCAGCCCAACCGGCAAGTTCCGCCAACCCCAATGAATCAACGGACAGACAGACAGACAGTAGCCGTGCGCACAGGATATCTGTGCTACAGCCCCAGACGAGCTGGGAAACGCGATGAAAGACGAACGTGGAAAGAGGAAAGGAAGCATCAGAACGAGGCAGATGAGCGATGATGATGATGATGCTGGCCCGCCGACACCCAAGCTGAGCTAAGCTTATTCGTCTGGCGGCGGAGGAAATGAAGGTGTCAAAAACTCCCTGCCTCAGTCCAGTGCTCTGTCCCGATCAAATAGAGGATCGGGGGCACGAAACGGGCGCAGTTCCGGTGCCGGTTGAGAGAAAGAAATAAAATAAAATAATCAATCAGGACCCACAGTGCGTACTCTGGGTGCTCCAAAGTCCAGAACGCGACACACATCCTTCCTGTGCGTCGTTTGAAAGGTCCGGATGCGGTAATCTCGATGCTCCCGAAATTCCCGTGGCGTCGTCGTAATACGAGATCAGACGCCGGAGAGAGCGATAAGAAGAAGAAGAAGAAGAGGAAAAACCGCGCGTCCGGTCACACAGCGCCGTACTAGACTGCTGCAGCAGCAAGCGTAGTCAGAGGCCGGGTACGTGAGCTCTGGGCCGAGGGTTGCTCTACTGCTCCCGTGGTCGATCTGCAGGGCCAAGCGAGTCCCGAGTCACTTGCAAACCGGGGATATGCAGAAGCCAGACAGCTAATCACAACGAGTTGTATTTTGATGGACGGCTGAGCGCTTGAGGGAGCGAGGGGCTGGGAGACGGATCGCCAAAAATAGCAATCGCAACTAGTAAGGCCCCGGACGACCATCGTCAACCAAGGACCGAGCCGTCAAACGATCTGCACGCACGAACAGTGGTGCCGCAGGAAGCAGTGTCTTGTAATGTATATCGCCAGCACGATTCAGATTCAGAGACCAAGCGAGGATTCTGGAGGAGGCCCAGATCCACAATGGGGCAGAGGGGGCCGCCGAGATGACAGTTCGTGGAAGAAGAAACTCAATGCCTCGCTGCCGCGATCGGCTGACGGAGTGTGAAAAACCGCGATCGGAATCGGAATCTGAATTCAAAAACCACCATCGGCGGCTGATCGATGTCAGGTCACGTGTATCGAAGACACCCTGGTTTGTGATTCGCCGGACGCGCGCCCGTGGAAGGGTGGGAGAGGTATGTACGCGCCGAGTTGTCTATCTCCTGGATACCGCTGGTGGGAGACCCGGCCGTCTGGCGTTCCCATCAGTGATGTGCGTGTGTGTATCTCTGTGTGTGCGTGAGTCGTAGGGCTTTGCCGAGACGGCTTGCCTCCAGGCCGTCCGGCATTCCAGTGTGCCAGTGGACTCTATCAATGAGACTGCGCTGCTGAACCATCAAGTACCCCTCATGTTGAACACAAAAAACCCTAATCAGGCAGTTGCACCGCCACTGTTCAAGATGTGAGTACGGTGACAAGAAAGCGGATCAGGCCCCTGAGCTGCGCCAAAAATCTAGTTTACTGTAAACCGCGACTAACTAATAATAATCCGAATCACGTCGCAACAGGTTGCGCACGAGATTGCAGGTGCTGTCGTTATCAGGTGCTAACAGCGATCAGGCGACACGCCGAGCGCGCACGTTGTTGTTGCACTGACGTCCCAGTGTGGAGCATCTCTCTTTTTCCTTTTGTCGTTTTGAATACGGCAGACGCCGATCCCTCGCTTCGTGCTGGCAGCCGGCCGCCCGTCAAGTCCGCCGGGGAGCGACTGCCCCCGAGGTCGACCCTTGGGATCGCCACCGCTGGGCGTTTTGGAACGCCGGGAGAAGTGGGATTCGCTGCGCGCGGCCTAAAAGCCAATGTGGCATTGGCTTTGATATGTATATGTATGCATGTATCCACTTGGCAAATCCATCTCCCTGTGAACTCAATTCAATCATGGCTCAACCTTTTTTGCAGGCAAGCAGGCTGCCTGATCGATGAGAGAAATTCCAAGTCGGGCCGTGCCAAAGGAGTAAAAGAAGGGAGGAGGACCCAGCGGACATCTAATGAACACCGGCGTCTGGCGAGTCGCTTCGCCTGCTGCAGGGAGATCTTCTGCGCACGCCCTGCGGGCTTCCCAGCTTGAATCCCGGGGGCGCCCTGACTAGAATCAACTGGCTGCGATGCAGAGTAAGCACGTATCCAGTCCAGTCATCCGCGATCGCACAGTCGCCCGGGGGTCCCCGCGAGATGCATCCGCGCGCGGGATCTGGATCCAGCGGGCACGGCGTGCGCCGTGTGCCCAGCCCAGCCCAACCCAGTGCAGCGAGGAATAGCCTCGCCCCTAGTTCCGGATCCTGCGTCGTGCTTGGGGGCACCGCGCGCAGGCAGGCAGTCTGCCCCGCCCACGGCAGATCGGGGAGCTCCGAGGAGGTGCATGCGCAGTCCTAATCGAGCACGGAGGGTCTTGGCACTGCTGTGGGTCCGCGGAGCGGCACAGTCCAGGGCGCGAGATGCCTGCCTGATTCGCGGAGCGTGGTTCCGAGCCGTTGACGAGGAGGGAGGGGCGGCGTGGCTTGCCCGCTCAGCGCATGGGACTCGACACCGCTTCTTCGCTGCGATGCTAGTGCTGGGTGCTCAGCCATCACACGTGAGGGCGGTGGTTGCCGGTGCTCGCTCGCGTGTTGCGTGTAGTTGGACTTTGGGTCCGGATGACCCAGCAGACAGCAGACAGCGCTAGCCGGAAGCCACCCGGGCCCTTTCTCGTAATAAGCACCCCAGCATCGCTGCGCGCTGACTCACCTCAACTGTCTCAGCGAGCCCCCGATCGAGACCCAGCCGCGTCGTGCAGGTGCACTGACGCCCTGACGTGTCGCGCGACGGGTGCGTCAGCCACAGAACAATTCCATGCGCACCGGGAGCTTAACGCGGGCTCCTTCTCTTACGTGTGCGCTCCGCAGGGCGCACCCGGCGGAAGCCAGGCCCAGGCACGCCCCCGCCGCCGCGTTTATCGCAGCGCTGGTCCAACCGCCGAGGCGAGTGGCCGGCCCGGATGCAGCGTCGTCCGTGTCCGCGCGCTGGCGAGTCATTAATAAAGCCATTACGCAGCGGATGGGAGGTGCTTCCCGCCCTGTGATCTCCTGGCCCCTCGCTCCTTGCGCGCGCGCGCGTAAAGTCTTCGAAGGCGTTACCACATGCAGCGCTACGTAACATCGCGCGACAGGACAGCCAGACACTCTGGATGGATGGATGATGATCCACCCTCCACTGCCATTTCCTGTCAAACCAAACGCTATCTGACTGACTGACTGACTGCCCCCCCCCGCGCACGAACCTGATTTGGATGCGGTGCGCCCCGCGCGCGCCGGGACGCTGTCTCGTCTGTCTGATTCTCTCAGTTTGAGGCTAATGGTCAGCGAACATCACCCACTCACTGGACGGTGACGCAACGCTGAAGCTACTGCTGCTGTCAAATCAAATGGAACCCAGCCAGCCACCCAGCTGGTGTCAGATAGCCTTCCTTCCTGCCATTCACGACACGACACACGGGCGGCGACGGTGCCATGCCGTGCCCTCGGCGCGGAAGATCGGCATGCAATGCCATCCCGTGCTGCGCGCAGTCCGATCAGAGCAGTGGCGGCACGCACCCATAATCATGTCTGAACTCATAGAAATAGGGGTCGCCTGCCCGAGGTGATTATCAGATACCGCACTGTCTTCCGCGCCCGTTAACTGATAAGATGGGATGGATCCGGACGGACGAGCTCGATCGCGTGGATCTCCCCACGCCGTCCGCCAATCGCGCGCTCTGTTTCTGTTTCTGTTTCTGTTTCTGTGAGACGAGATGGGATGGGATGTCCGATGCATGCGCATACGCATGCATGGCCCGGACCATGTGCGCGCGTCCCGCGTCCCGACAAGCCAAGTCTGCACCCCCGGTCGCATGCCCCGCGACCCTTGTGGTCCCCCTACACAGGCGGAAGAGAAGCGCACGCGGCGATCTCGGCGAGGGCCCGGTGGAGCACAATAACCTAATAGACCATCCCATCCCCCATCATATCAGATACCAGGCACCCCCGGGGTTATCAGATAACCTCCGGGTGTGGGGTTCGTTCGTACAGCCGACTCTGAGCGCCGACGGCAGCCTGCAGCTGCAGCACATGAAGGAGAAGGAGAAGACGGGCCCCCGGGGAACGAATCGATCGCATGCTCATCTCAATCCGCCTTCGAGTACCCGGGAGTGCGACTGCCGTGGTGTATACGTGGGACTCATGCTGCTCCCTGTACAATCCTCACATTCAGTCCAGTCACGTGCATGTCCTCTTCGCTTCGGGGAGCAGCAGCAGGTTCCCAGGCTTGAGCAGACTCGTGCTTTCAGATAGATACAGTTTACGAGAACTTCTCAGAATGAATGTTGCCAGTCCGGACTGTTTCTCGCCCGACGCAATGCCATCTGATACTGTGAATGTGAATACGCAGGATCCGTCCGCGCGTGGGCCGTGGCATGTGTAAAGCGGAAGCCTCGAGCCGAGACTCTCGATGCACCACCACCACGACCATCTGACAGCGCGAACCGTCGCAGGACTCATGATTCCGTTTCCATTTCCTATCCTATTGCACCATTCCTGCCATGTATTGTAAGGGTCAGATATATCGAGCCCGCGCGCACCCATTCGTCGTTATAAACAGCATTGAAGCGAGGTAAAAAAAAAAGGGTGGGTCATCTACGATAGCGCCATGAAAAGTGTATGGGGTCGATGGATGGATGGAAGAGCGATCGATACGTATCGTATCGATCAAATGACCCCCCTCCCCGTTTCACGCCTGGGGGATCTCTGCTATACGCATGACTTCCATCAAGAGTGTCTGCTGCTCGAGTGACAATGCCGTCGTTGCCGCCTGGTACGCCGCACCGTTGTGCATCTGGAAGCCTGCATCGAGAAGCACGCGGTCACAGTGAGCTCGCCGCGATCGGGAAAACGCGAAAGCGCAATGGTCACACACCCGTCAGAGCTTCCTTGAATCTCACATATGGATTCACGTTGTCCAGGGCGCTGAAGTACCCCAGCTCCTCCTGGATCATGTCGTCGTCGTCATCGTCGTCGTCGTCGTCCTCGCCGGCCTCGACCTTCGCCGTCTTCTCGCGCAGCCGCGCGCCCTCGTTGGCAAGCAGCTCCAGGTACGCCGAGTCCTCGTCCCAGACATCTTCTGTGTGGATGTCAGGGCCCATCGATGGCAGCAAGAACAGACATCACGCACCGTCGTCCTCGTTCATGTTCAAGATCTTCTCCTCGCCGTACTCATCCTCGTCCTCGTCGTCCGCCTCCTCCAGCTCCTTCCTCGCCTGCACGGCCTTGGGCAGGTCCTTGAAGATCTGCAGAATGGCGCCGACGATGCCGGGCCACCCGTCCTTGACGCTGTCCGGCACGCCAGCGGGATCCATCTCGAGCAGCGCACACAGCGCCACGATCGTCAGCTTCTTGTCGTGCACGCGCGGCAGCTTCGAAGCCTGCTCCTTGATCGCAGCGAACCAGTGATCGAAGAACACGCGCGCAGCACCGGGTTGGATCGACTCCATCAGGTGCAGCGCGGCGACTGGGTTGTACAGCACCGCGTTGATGAGCACTTCCAGATTCGCAAGGCGCAGGGAGGCCGTCTCGCTCTTGTCCAGCTGGTTAAGCGCAGCAGTGATGATCGATTGCAATGCCTTGACAAGCAGTCAGATGCGTTGCTGCAGAAAGTTGGGAGACGACAACGCACACTGTCGACGCTGCCCCGGAGGTTCAAGAGAATCGACTCGGCGAGCTTGCACCCATTCACCCGGTCGTTCTCGCCCAGCTGATCGTTCGTCATCGCAGTCGTGTAGATGTCCAAGAGCATCTGTTGGTATTCAGGACGGGCCTTGATGACGTCGCTGCCGTAGGAGACAAAGTTGTCCAACGAGGGCAACATCTCTGTACGCTCCCGAGTCAAATGCGATGTCAGATACCTCAACAACCATACGCACCCTCAAGGAAATCGACGGCGTCAGCCTTGAACAACTTGTACGTCAGCTCAAACACCTGCCACAAGTTCGGCGAGATGCTGCGGAGCTTGAACGTCAAGCTGTCCACCAGGTCGTACATGTTGTCAAACAGATCTCCACAAAAAAATGAGCGGATCGGTATCCCTCTAGTGGTATGAACACTCACCAAGAATCTTGTTCTCCAGAGTGTACACGATGATCGGGATGATGACCTCCTGCACCTGCGCGAGAATCTCCGCCGACGAATCGACACTGGACACAACTGTTCCGATGGTCTTCGAGATGCCCATCGCAGCATAGGTCTTGTCGTCGTCGGCGCTGGCAAGCAGGGAATCAACGTCGGTGCTGTCGCCGACGGGGACCGCTGTTTCGAGGCTTTCCTTGATCAGTCGGGTGTAAGAATCGCACTAGACGCGGTGAGGTGCGGAAGAACGACACATAGAAGAATGCCACCACACACCAGGCGGGCAGTCAGCTGGGCCGCAACGGGCAACAGCTCAGCCTGGAACGCCTCGACCATGACCTCCATGCTGTGGTTCAAGATGTCCAGGTCCGTCTCGTCTGACAGCTTGAGCAGGTCTTGGACAACCTTGCCGACCTGGGGTGCAACAGCAGTCCGGACTGATCTCGTCAGAAACGAAGCAATCGACAAACGAGCGGCGGCACCCACCAGACTCGTACAGCACGATCATCTCCGTCAGCGCCAAAGCACCCTGCACACGCACGGGCAGCTCGACATCGTCCAGCGCAGCCGCTACAGCACGCGATTGCACGTTCAAGTTCTGTGTGTGTGTGCGCCTTAACAGCGGTATCACAAAGACCGTATCGGAGAACGCACCTCATCAGAAGTCCACTTCAAGCCTTCCTTGACGAAGGTCCCCGTCACCTCACACGCGATGGCCCGCATGTACGGTTCTGGGCTGGAGAACTCTGCCGTGACAAACTGCAGGATGAAGCCCTCCATGTTCGTGCTGACCTCCGGGTGCCGCATGATCCAGGGCCCCAATGCGGCGGTCATGTTGAGCGCACCGAACCGCTGCGGTGCCGGCGCCGACGAGCGCAGAATCGAGTTCACGAAGCCGAGGATCGGCATAAACGCGGACTTGGTCCGGTTCGAGGCGAGCGAGAAGATGAACGAGGTCGCGGCTGAGACTGGTGTCTGGAAACTTTCATATTCGTCTGAAACGCGTCGGTGAGAGGGAGGATGTGCTCAGGAGGGTTGAGACGTACCGACTGCGACGCGAACATAATCAACCGGGTCCGAGTCCCACATTTCTCGGCGATCATCGTTGAACGACAGTTGCGGGAACACGAACGTTTCCACGAGCTTTTGGGCGTGGGGCTTCAAGAGGGTCCAAGTGGACTTCGGTTTGATGCTGTCGCAGCAATCAGATCCAGTTCACAAGTCGTAGAAACATACGCACCATTCGGTCAGATACGTGAAGATGTGGTACTGGCACTTTTTGGACAGCCATGCTTGGCCGCTAACGTAAAGATCAACCTGATGCAGGTAGATCCCAAGGATCTCGGGGGCAAACACAGTGACAAAGTGCTGCGCAAATGCACCGTACTCGGCTTGCATCGCAGAGGGAAGCTGTGACGGATTACCGAAGCTGTGAAGTGCGCTCAGTTCCTGTGAAGAGAACAGGGTCTGCAGTGCGCACCGATGGAAAAGACGGCCCAAGATGGCATACGCCCATTTCTTCGCCTTCCACCACTCACTCTTCTCCCGTTCCTCAACATCTTCCGGCACAGCCTCCTTGGGGATCTGCAGATTGACTACCGCAAACAGCAGTTGCCCCCAGGGCACGAGACTCTCGGCCGCCTGTTGGTGGGCAGTCAAATGCACCACCAATGAGGTCTTGTACGTTTTCAGTATCAAGTGCATCATCGTCGGGATCTCCTGCGCAGCACTCGGTGGGGTCTGCAGCATCTGGTTTGCGATGGAGACTAGGGTAGGGAAGAGGCCTTCCACAAGCATGGGCAGGACGTCGTTCTTCTGACGGAATCTGTTGCCAGAATCGATGTACCCATAAGAAAGCTAGTGGTATCGAGACGCGCGAGGAAACGCACCGGAAAGCCCTAACGGCCTCCAACGAAGCCACACATCCAGCATGTACCTGCCTCACGTCCCCGCTTCCCAGCAGCGCCTTGATCGTGTCCACCAGCCCTGGCCATCGCGCAGGGAAGTCGTGTGCGATCACGCCCTTGAGCGTGCTTGCCAGCTGGAGCGCGATACTTCGCGACGGGGCGGCAGCGAGGAGGGGGAGGAGGTGGCTGCGGAGGGCATCGCGATCGGACGCGGCGATGGTCGGTGCGTCCGGTCGCCGAGGGTTGGCGCCGGATTCGGGCAGGGCGTAAGCGCTTTGCACGCGGTTTTTCATCCATACTGCACACGCTTGGCGGGTCGATCTGGGGATGTGATGAGTGAGCGTAGGGTGCGAGTGGCACAGGGAAGGAGGCCAGGCGCGTCGAGATCTCACGTACATGTCGATATTGTCCGTTGCGATGATTTGCAGGAGGGCTGAAACCATCCCCGTTTCATTGCCGACCTGAAATGAAGAGGTGGCATGAGCATATCGTAGTAAGTCAAGGAAGATGGGGGAGATGAGGCTGGGAATGGACGCCAACGACACGAATAGATGACTAGATGGAGCGCGTATATGCATACCTTGCGGATATCAAGCTCAGCAGCGCGGCGCTCATTAGGATTGCTGCTCAGCGTCGCGGTGTAGAGATTCGAAAGCGTTTGAAGATCCATCGCTCTATAGCGAAGATTCACGATCAGGAACAAGCGGGGTCAAAAGAACAGGATGGCGCAACGCTACGTACCTGTTGCAGAGAGCAGATAGAGTTATTAATGTAGTGTGGTGGGAGGAGGAGAGGAAGAAATCGGTCCCAAATCACTTCACTTTTTCACTTTTTGCCGAGATACACGTGCCGCGCGACGCGTTGGCCCGTCTTTTTGTCAAACCAGCCTCATTCACCGCGACCAACACAACAAAGGACTGCCGAATGTTTCTTGGATACGACTACGACAATAAGCTTTTGGGTCATTTCCGTCCGCCGTGCCTAGCGCACAGGAACGCGTGCAAAGCGGCTTTCTCCGATATCGTCCTCTACATACGCGGGCCGACATTCGTATCGATCGTGCTCAACGTGAATTGGCTTCTGAGGACTGGGAACACCAACCACCAACGGGATCCGTCTGTCTGGGTTGGACGGCGAACTTGAGAGATGATAGGGTCCAGACTCTTGCCCCACCCAACGCGAGATTAAACGCCGGTTGGCGCTGCTAGGGAGGTCATGCCGGTCCGAATTCGCTCAAATCTCTGCGCTTAGCTTGACGATTCGCGGGAGGATGGTGGGCAGGAGGGTTCGATCGGGGGAGAGGTCCGAGACGACTGAGAGCAAAGCGATAGATTGTCGTGTTAGGCACGACCTTTTCATTCCGCAAGCGGCAAGGCGATGGAGAGGGACAAGATACTGTTCTTATACTTCAGGAGTGCAACCCTTTCTTGCCGTATGCAGTCAAGAGTTGTGGAAGCATGGCGGTCCTACATCCTTGCGATGCTGCATCGTTGGTATCAGCACGAATCGAGTTAGCTCGCCCCGCAACCAATTGCTTCGCAAGCTGTGGCACAACTCGGTAAACGGGAGCTTCTGGCTTCAGGCACTTCGACAGTGCCTACTCTTGCAAACGCGTGTGTGAGATCCGACTCTCATCGATGGAGCTATGAGGTTCGAAAGAAAAGGCGGCTCGCTTCTCCAATACGCGCCAATCGATCCGCCGTGAGCAGTTTCGACCGTCTTCTCTGATTCTGGGGACTCAGGAAGAGTAAGGAAGCTCGCTCCGAAACGGTCTAAGGTCTCTGCGCAGTCGTCGGTCCCGCGATGGTACATCTCTGCAGTTCTGAAAGTATTTTGGTCACACCCGAGACGGAGCCGAAGGGCTCAGCACATGCGCACGCAACTCGGCATCTCAGCCTTCCCATTCGCCGATTGCTGGACGTGTGAGGAGGGAGAAGGCCCGAAGCTTGTGCCACGGTCAGTGCGATCGTGTCAGTGACGCAAGCGGCCCGGGCGGCTTCCGGTGGGAAGTTACGTCAGTGTCAGCCGCTCTCACGTACACGTGATTTGTCGTGCAACTCGAGGTCAGAGGTACGCTCGACGTTCGACCGCATTTTTCGAAGCAAAAAGATAGTTTTCCTCAGTTTTCCTTTCAGATATTCCATCTGTAAGATAAAAAATTGAGCGGCTCTCAGATTCGAACACATAGCTTTCCTGGACCCATTAAGCTCACGCGGAGTGAAGCCTCGTTCTCACCAACTTGAGGGGCATTCTCTCCATCGCGCCAGTTGATCTGGCCTCGAATTTCTATATATGAATACGCAACCAAGTAGGGCTGCTCAATTCTAAGGTCGTTCATCCGTTCATCCGTTCATATTGTTCATCAGCTTATATAAACACTAATTGATCCCCATTTTGAGTGATGATCAAAAGGCCAGCAAAAGTCGAATATCGAGAACAGACTCGGTCCACTGTGATTATGAGCTGACTGAAAGCACATCGAAAATCCAAGTCGACAGATACCCAAAGATTCACTGTTCCCGCAGCCTCACGCTTCTTCAGACGTGTATGACTGCTCAAGCTCAAAGCTGCCAAGGAGGAAAATCAGTGACCATCAGGAATTCTATAAGCTGATGAACAGATGAACGGATGAACGGATGAACGACCTAAGAATTGAGCACTCATTCTTAGTGTTTGACTGTTGGCATCATTTGTCGAGTTTGCCCACCAATCAATGAGCGGCAATCATAAAACATGATTTCCCGGTCGTCTCACAGGGAAAATAATTGGATTGAAGCCTCAATCGGTCTTGGAGGTCAAATTTTCAGTCGTGTTCGTGGTTGTCCTGAGGGGCTTCAGAGGAACATCACAGGTGGCATGAGACATACAATTCCCAGATTTTTAGTGGACTGATCAAGAAGAGCCATCGAAAAAATAATATCACCAGACCTTACATCTGAACTATGGCGAGAAATCCAGTTGAAAATAGATGTACTCATCCACGTGGATCCCATTCCGGAGTCCGGCATTGTCTAAAAAGATTCTACGAGTCCCAATGTGGCGATTGTTTCACAATTCGCGCTATTTGGGACAAGTCAGCACGAATCGAAGGATCGGGGCACCACGCGAGACAGCTTGTCTAATGTGAGGGCAGGAATTTTGGTAGGGTGGATCAAATCTTCAGATTTCAGGATCCGGGCACTGATAGCGGTCTCCTGAACTCATCAGACTCGGGCAGTTACCCGTGCAGTCTATCAAGTACCAATAATAGCGACTACCGCCCAATCCTTCACTGCATCCCAGTCGGGACGGGATACTCGGCGACAAGTCTAGGGGGGAGGAGGCATTCTCACTGCCCGAGCAGGAAAATAGACCTAAGCGTTTTTTGGGGCACCGACGCCCGAGCACTTGATTGCATGTTTCAGACCTGAGGCCTGAGGATGCATGCGCCCTGCTGAGGCTCGACCGGGACAAAGATAATGAGAGTGCGAGAATCGGCTCGAGCCTACTGCGCTTCTCTGGGCCCCGGTCAAGAGTCTCAAATAATAAATTCTTGTCAGAGTGCTGACGTCGAGTGCTGAGTGGCCCCTATGACAAGCCTACAATGCTCAAGTTAATTTATTGCCGGGAGGAGAAACACTGGGAGCTCGGGGGTCGGCAGATCAACTCAACTTCTCTAGATACAAAAAAGCATCTCTTGTGCGCTTCAAGCTGAGCCTGTGACTGGAAAGTCAAACTCTAGATGTGAAACGAGGATATGAGACTTGTAGCAAGGCAAGAAGTCTCGCAAAGGCCCTTTGTGACCGGCATGTCATTGTCATCCGGAGGTCGTCCCTGTGTTTTTCGAGAAAGTTGCGACAAGCGCAGGTTGGGAGCTGCAGCACTGCGATGACCAGTCTCGGCGCTGGGGATGGATCTGGAATCGGTATTCCCCCATGTCCGACGGAATTTTCAAAGAAGGTGTGTCATAGAAATAAGCTGTTGTATATCGAGTAGTTAGCCGCAACAGACATCTAAGCCGGCGTCAGAGCTGACTAGTTAAATTCAAATATTGCTCCGGCGCAGCGTCATCCGCAGCGTCACATGGTCCCCAGCTCCCCTGGACTTCCGAAATCAATTGTAGCTCAAAATTTCAATCGACGTAAATTATTGAGAGGTCGTACTTTGGCTCGATCTTGAGTTACCACAAGCCTGGAGGTCCTTTGAATTAGAAATCTAGATAGCTTTTCCGAGGCATCATCGATCGATCCATTGAACCCAGAGCTCGAGGCGTAAGTATTCATAGTCTCTCACATCACACCCGTCACTAAAGATACATCTAATTATATCCCAGGGCTACGTGCTTATTTGTGTCTCTAATTTAATCTTGTAACGAGATCGGGTCTCCTGACTAATACTCGTTTACAATATTGATGATCGGATGATACCGAATCAATGCTTCTTTCGGTTCTGTCCTCAACCATTTGCGCTCGAAATGCCTGATGGGCTGGTCCCCGCGTCAATACCGACCGAGACCCGCACCTAAAGATAGTGCTCGACCTCCCTAGAATTTGTGCGAGATGCGGGCGCGGTGTCTATTGACTACACTGGCTTGACGAATGGGTTGAGCAGGACCGGATGGCAAGACCGTATAAAAGCTGGTAGGCTACGGAGAGAGAGAGCATCCATCCAGAAACCAATATTTCTCTCAGTCCCAACAATGTCTATCCGATCCAGTCTCCTCAGCTTTGTTGTGCTGGCCGCGTTCGTGTCCGCGGCTCCCTCGCAAACGGATACCGCCAAACGCGCCACCTGCACTGTAAACAGCGTCGCCAGCGCGTCTGGGCTTTCTAGCTGCACAGACGTTGTCATCGAGGCGTTCACTGTCCCCGCCGGCGACACGATCACGATCGCGGTCTGTGATCTTTTGCCACCAGTTCCTTGGAGCGTTCTGACGATCTCTATCTACAGGCGGCGAGCGGTGCCACTGTCACGATGACTGGCGACATCACCTTTGCACAGACCACCAGCACGTCACGCTCCTTGAAGCTTGACCTGCTCCTTTACTGACGCGTTTTGCAGCGAGCGGCCCGCTCATCACTTTCGACACAGATAACATCAACTTCAACGGTGGAAACAACAAGATCGATGTGAGTCTCCGTGTTCCTTCCTGTCTCGATATTTCTTACACTTGCTTCCAGGGCAACGGCGCTCTATACTGGGATGGCCAGGGCACCAACGGAGGATCCTTCAAACCCCATCCTTTGGTGAAGTGCGTTTAACTTGGGGATTGACGTTGCCGGAAAATCCACTCATGCCGTCCAGATTCAAAGGCTACGGCACTTTCTCGTCCGTGACGGTTCTGAACACCCCCGCCCAAGCGATCTCGGTCGGTACCACGGACACATCGACCATCCAGCAGGTCACGGTCGACAACTGTGAGGCCGTCCACATGCTCAGCGTGGACACTGACAGAACACTTCCTTCCCAGCTGCCGGCGCTTCCCTCGGCCACAACACCGACGGCTTCGACATCAGCGCCGACTCCGTCACCGTCTCCCAGTGCCAAGTCACGAACCAGGACGACTGCGTCGCGGTCAATTCGGGCGACAGCGTGCTGATCGAGAACACGACGTGCACGGGCGGGCACGGCATCTCGATTGGATCCATCGTGTCCGGCAAATCAGTGACGAACTTCCGCGCGACGGGCAACACGGTCAGCAACAGCAAGTACGGGCTGCGCATCAAGGTCGACGCGGACGCGACGAGCGCCCAGGTCTCGGGGGCGACGTACTCGGGGCGAGTGCACATCCTTTGCCGTCGAACACATGTCCGCTGACCATCATCGACGCACAGGAACACGCTGTCTGGGATCAGCGACTACGGAATCCTCATCTCGCAGAGCTACCCGACCGAGGACGGCTCCACCGTCGGCACCGGCGGTCCCATCTCCGGGGTTGCGTTCACCGGCGCCAAGACCACTCTCGCTGTCGACTCGACTGCCTACTCCGTGGTTGTGAACTGCGGCGCCTGCTCTGGCACCTGGGACTGGTCCGAGCTCGACGTCACTTCCGCTGGGGAGGGTCACAAGCTCTCCCTTGACAAGGCTACGGTCAGCTCCGTCATCGCAGCAGGGTCCTACATACGACTGATATTTCCTCTCAGATCTCGGGAGGCACCTACTAGTGACTTACTGCTAAGAAGAATTAGCAAACATCCTGTCCCCTGCGTTACCTAACAAATAATATACGCTCGAATTCTCTCAGTATCTGTTATCTAGAGTGAGGGGACTTGAGATGAACTCGCATCACCCAGTTTCTCGAGTTCCTTACAAAAGTCAGCGGCCTACTGTACAGCGTAAGTAGTGCTTTCACTCGTGACAAACGAGATCCAAACTCAATCGGTTGCTATTTTGCTGTTGAATATCTCACGAGATATGTCAAGAGCGGCTATTTTACTTCGCAGAATGGTCCGGACGCGTCCGAGCGCCTCCGCATTGCTCCTCAATGACGCAGAACTCACGGTCAATGAGGCGTAAACTCGATTGAGAAGCACCATTAGATCAAAATCCCCCAATATTTTGGAACTCAATCTGTCAAGCTGACAAAAATCACGTCTCTCATGAGCATCGCACAGCACTGTCGGAATGAAACGGAACGACATCAGAAATCAAGCCACGTGCATAATTTGTGCAATGAAATGTCACGTGCGGTTTGAAGAAGTGAGAGGTGAGACCGGTTGAAAACACAGCTCTTGCAAGACACCTTTCTCCGAATGTGCAAGCATGATTTTTCCGACTCACCTATACAAGCGAGGTGCATGCCGCGCGGACCAGTCTGGAGGCGCCACCCCATCGATGAAACCTCGACCCGGACATCAATTCCGCTTCCTTGAGAAACAGTCGGAGACTTTCGGGCTCTGTGTCAGGCTCGGGACGCACCGTAGTGCAGATTGATCCTTTCCTCCCATGGGCACATCAATCAATACGTTTGAACGCAAACCGACAGAGATGCACCCCAAGGTCTTTTCAGTTATACCACAAATCTACGTCTCGGACAACTGGTTGCGATCGCTCGTTTGGAAGCCACCGGTACACAGTGTCCGTCACCCGCATCTGGATCATCGACGGGAATGCTCTAGCTACGTTGCCCGGCGCAGATAATTTTCTAGCGTACAAAGGAAAGAGGAGCTAATGGAAGTGCATGGATAAGATATAAGGTCTGGCATATATACACATTTGAATACAACCGTGAATTCCGAATCCCGGGAACTCGCCCGCACGTCAATCGAATAGATCCACGGCAGTCCCATACCACGGTCTCCTCGACCCCATCTGCTGCAGCCCCTGCTTCGGATGCCACCCGGACTGCTGCTTGATATAGTCAAGCTTCATCTTCAGCCCGAGCCCGTCGACGTACTCCCGCAGCGGCTCCATGATGTCCACCTCCTGCAGCCGGAAGAACACGACGTTCACGCGCCGCAGGGCGCACGGCGCGTTCCGCACGCGCGGGAGGATGAACTGGAGGAGCTCGTCGTCCGAGAAGTCGCATGCGTGCAGGAACTCGATCGATTCCAGGTACGGGAGCGGGATCGGAGGGACGCTATGACTCGACTGCCCACGCCCATCGGCATCATCATCGTCGTCGGCCTCGTCGTCGTCGTCATCGTCGTCGTCATCGCCTTCGTCGGAACTGTCCTCCGGTGATAGAACTGGCGTAGAGAGCAGCCGGAGCACATCTCCGTCCACGGACGACGGCGCGCCGCGGCCCAGCACGCTCTGCCGCATGCACAGCCGCTTCGTCGTCGGCGGGAGGATCTCCAGGAACTCCGTGAGCGAGGATCTGTCGAACAGCATCGTCTCGATCTCGACGTCAGACAGTTTCGTCGATTTGCTGATGAGGCTGGTCGCAAGCGGGAAGCTGAGCACATTCAGTGTGTACCCGAGGAACACAAACGTCGTGAGACCCGGCAACACCAGTCGAGTGAGCGGGTCCGTGTTCCTGCCCGTCATCCCCCGCAGGGAGAGGGTGAGTTTTAGTGACCGGAGGAGCGGAAGGTGGACGGGCGGCGGGGACTCCTCGGTGTCCATTTCGCCGTTCTCGAGCGTCATCTGCAGCGTGCATTCGCGCAGATTGAACATCATCGACAGGATGTAGATAACCATCGAGCTCGACAGCGACCACGCCTGCTCGAGATTCTGCGAGTAGATAGGAGCGAGGTGGAGCGAGGTGAGTTGCGCCCAGGGTATAGGAAGGGTCGTCGGATCGAGACGCGTGGCCAGCGTCAGCTTGCGCAGATTGGGCGCAGAGAACACCGCATGGGACGCCGCCGGCTGCTCCCCCGTCACACAGAACTCGGCGATCTCGAGCGACTCCAGCCTGGGCACATCGCACGCGGATACCGGCAGCGGACTCTGCGTGCAGCCCGACAGCACGAGGTTCTTCCACCGCGTCTTCACACCGAGCACTGTGTCCATAAACACCGAGCAGCCGGCGGACGGCTCCTTCACTGCACTACCAGCACCGCCCCCACCACCACCAACAACACCGCCACCACCCGGAAACTGCGACAGAATCGCGGGCCCGCGCGGCCGGGGCGGACTGCGGTGGAACGAGATCTCGAGCGGCAGCACACCCGACCGCGCGAGCCACATCTCCGTGAGCTGCAGGCACCCGTCGACGAGGCGCTGCGACGCCGTGTCCATCCGCGGCTCGACGATGTGCACGCGCGCCCACAGGCGCGGCGTCGCGAGCGCGACCTCGCGCCACAGGCCGCACACGCGGCCGAGCAGCAGCGGCGCATGGCGCACGCTCATCGTCGGGTGGTGGCTCGTGGGCAGGCACCACAGGAAGATCTCGCGCAGCACGTCCGGTGGGAGGCGCCGGATGGGCGACAGCAGTGCCGTGTGCGCGGCGACGAGGCGCGCGAGCTCGCTGCGCCGGACGGAGAGTGCGGCGATCTCGAGGTCGATTTGCGCTATCTTGGCGGACGGCACGAGGAGGAGGTCCCGGATCTGCGAGGATTCCTGGTCATTCGGAGCGTAGTTGGTGCCCAGCTTGTCCGTGAAGATGGAGGGGAAGGCCATGGCAGTCGAGCCGTCATCGGCGGCGGAAGCCGATATGGGAGGCCGAGAGGGACCACATGATCGGCCGACAGCTGCTCACGTGCGTACACGCAATGCAGGTCTCAGTTCGAGCTGTGGTCGAACGAAATGATGCACAGCGAGGCGGTATTACATTTGGGATCGATACAAATCGAAGAGCACTTCTAACCCCGCATTTGGCCAATCTCTCAAGTAGAATTGGACATCCGCCAGCCCCTGTTTCCCACCACAAAACTTCGAAGCCCTCGCCTAGTACGAGAACCCTGATCAGCGTGAGCAAACGAAGAGAAATTTGCGCCGTGTTCCCACAGGACTCGCAGTACAGCTCAGTGGGGGGATCAAATTGGCACCTTTGCCCCAGAGATATGCTGCGCTGGGGACAAGGACGGCGTGAGGTGCGGTGTGGCAAGGCCGCAATCTCCTAGGACAGCCCAGGCGGTCAGTTGGCTATCCTGCTACCGAATGGATCGATGGTGGGTTGCAAGTTGTTGATGGCGGCGGCCGTGTTGCCGATGATCAACAGACAGTTCACATTCGCCTTTCGCTGCGGTTCTGCTCCTCCCATCCGCCGGTGAGTCCCCACTGTCGAGCGCAAGGCACCACGGCTGCTTTTTAAAGAGAGTCATCCGACCTCCTCCGCCCTCGTGTGAAAGGCCAGAGTGTGACATGCGGCAGACAGCTCGACAATGGGATGAGAGATCGAAATTTGCTCGCGGATTTCTAGCAGGGCCCTCATCAGACCGCCATCACGTCTTCCGCCGCCAATCACCGCTGCTGCACACGCAAAGTGTGCTGCTCTCAGAGGATTTTCAAACGGAGAAGACCTGGCCGCGTGGACGTTCCTTCATCAGAAGTTTCTCCCCTTCATCATCATACTGAGGGACAGTGAACCTAATCGGTCGTCAGGTGTGTCTATTTGTTACCCTCAGAATTACCACTTAGAAATGACATGGGCTCTGCCCGAACAGGTGGGTCAGCCCGAATTGTTGCCCGCGGCTGGTGGCAGTGGGTGCAATCCCAACAGTCGGCAACTCCCGATGTCAGCACGTGGATGTGGACATCGATCACGGGACCTGCTGTTCAACTTTTGACGACCGAGGGTAGGATATTCAGTCTGCTGTACAGCAGGTGCTTCGAGCGCATGCATGATCAAGACATAAATACCACCAAATCCTCTCTGCGCGTTGATTTTCGACGCATGAGACTGTCTCACTCCAGCGGCTCCTATTTTACAACGCATCCGCCACCTATATAAGCGATATCTCCCGCTTCCAAGACACCCCACCTCACCCTGAAACCATGTCGACATCACCCGAATCTCATCTGAACCAGGTTGTGCGCGATGTGCAAGCGCAGCAGCAGCAGCAGCAGTCGAAGGACTTTCCTCGCTGGGCATTCGTCATTCCCATCCTCGGATTTATGCTCGTAGCCAGTCTGTGCGCCATCTGCGCGTTTATGCGGGCGCGCACGTTCAGAAAAAGAACGGCCCCACTCAAGGCAAGTGGCTCAGGCTCACAGCGTCACATGCGCATCGACGAAACGTATTGACGCCCGGACACAGCCCCTGCTGCTCACGCACAACCGCAAAGCCACGAAGCCGTTCGCCGACTCGTCCGCGACGCTGGTCGAGAAGCCCCCCGTCCCGTCCTCCCCCCTCAACGCGTACCTGCTCTCCCCGTACTTCGGGCTCGGCATGGAGGCCATCGCCGCCCCGCCGCCCGCATACACCGCCCCGCACGACAACGCCCCGCCCGGCGCCGAGGACACGCTGCTCAGCACACCCCGCCGAGGCGCACCAGGCGATCCCGATACGCCGGAAGTCGGGTCCGTGGACTCGAGCCCCCTAGCGAGCAATCGGCGACGCGGGTTGCAGGTGTTTGAGAGCAAGCGTCGCAGAGAACGCGATGTCCCGGGTCCCTCGAGGGAGGCCGACGACGACATGCAAGATGTCGTGCTGACTCCAGAGGAGAGCCATGATGGGTCGCAGTGTTGAATCATGACGGTCTCGGTTGACGCAGTTGTGATCAGTGTTTAGTGCCCTTCCCATTTCGATCGATCCAAGCTCTTCATTCCACTATCAGCCCGGTCACATCAGCGAACCACGCCTTTTGTTCCTTGGGCGATGCCCAATCCTCGGTATGTCCTGCGTAGAAAAACATGAGCTAGATCAGAGCGACGTTGGATCAGCGCACCGCCAAAGAACGTCTGAAAATGCGCGCCCTTGATCCGTGACGCGTCGGAGTCTCGCAACATCAACCCAGTCACCTTGATAACCGATCGCCCATTGATCCAGAACTCGAGTTCCCCTAGACATGAATGAGAAACGAGAGGACTGCCACGGTTTAAATGCACGCAACCATCTTCACTCCCGACGGTATTGAGCTTCAACCGGAACGCAACCGTGGCCCACCTGCCCACCGCGACATCGAAGTTGAACGCGCCGCGGCCGAGCGAAAATCCGTAATCGGGGTTGGCTTTCGATGTCGGCGGGACGGCGAGTTGGCGCTCGCGATTGTGATCGGTGAGGGGTAGGTACGTGTAGAGCTCCCCCTGGCCGTTCGCCCTAGATTGACGGCCTCCCGTGAGCGCGGGTATACCGCAGTAGCATATGGGACAAGGCGAACCTCCACATCGGCCGAATATTGAAGCATTTACACCGATTGTCTTTCCTACCCCCAGTGCACGCGTACGACAGCTTCCCATCACCACCAACTGGCCGTGGAGTCTCAGCGCGCAGAACCTGCGAGCCACAGCAGGACGACCGGACACGTACATATCCCAGGCAGCTTCCCGCCCTTGACCCACTCCCACCCGCCCTGCAGCATCATCCTGTACGAAACCACGACGTGCTGCGCCCCGCCCTCCAAGGCGCGCGCGAACGCGCCCGCGCCCGCCACGTAGAACCCGAATCCACCCGGGATCGCGCCAGAAGGATTGATGCTGCCCGCCGGGTACACCGCCTCCCATGCGCGCGCCGGTGCGGTACAGTCCTCCGAGTCGGAGTCGGATCCGGTATGGGAATCCGGCGGCGCGACGAGGCGGTGCGTCGTGCGGGACGTCACGTTGTGGACGCCCAGATCCGCGTCGTCGAGTGTGTGCAGCGGGAGTCTCGGCGAGGCGAGGGCTGGGCATGTCGTGAATGCGGAGTGGTACGCGCGTATCGAGTCGGGGATCAGGTGCATTGCCATGATGGTGAGTGCAGAGTCCGGAGTCGATCACGGGTTGTGGCTGTGATTCGTGTCTAGGCGTAGTGATGCTGACCGCTCGTGACTGCCCCACGTATGTTGGAGCAACTAAGCTGGGAGCTAAGGGAAAGTATTTATGTACCGGTTTGTGCATCTGCAGAGTACTGCTGCGGCTAAGAAAACAGTGGTCGGCATTGGGGAAATCAGTTTTCTGACGATCAATGTAGACTCTACGGCAGTCACCCGAGACCCTCCGAGGGCTATCCTGATACTTTTGAGACCTTTGATCACATTCAGAGGCTCTTCCTGGCTCTGGTTGATCGCAGAGCTAGAGGAGGCATGTGCGTGTGACCAGCCTGTAGGCATGTGATTAGAATTTGATGAGCGTATAAGTTCCATTTTGGCCTTGGCGCGCTCTGAAAACAGGGTCAAGATCCGTATACTGTATGGGCCGGTCGAGCTGTTCATCTGCGAGCCTGGTGTTGAATCTTTCGAAAGCCTCGGACGATGCGAGCGATCCACAGTCCCTCCAAATTTAGAGGTTGGTGGTAGTGCTGTACATATGAAATTGGCAAGAAAAGCTCACCGGATTGTTCATCTCGAGAACGTGCCGCAGCGAAGCTTGGAGGGGTTCTCAACGCACCATATCGTGCTCCTCCGCAAGCACGGTGTGCTCAGGGCGTGGCTGGCGACTATTGAACTAATATTGATCATGGACCGATCACGGGACCGCGTTTGAGCATAGCCCCTCCGGAGTCAGCCGGCCCGGGCATCACTGCCACTTCCCTTGCGGCCTACTAATGCCAGAGCATCGTCGATCACCACGATGTCATTGCCCAACTCACCGTTCTCTGACTTGCTCGGCACGAACTACGTCCCGCAAGATGACGAGCGCGAAAGGATCAACCGCTTTCTCGTGTCTCCCATCGATGAGCTGCGGCGCTTGAATCACGAGATCCGGGAGGTGGAGGAACGACTGCACGCGCTGTGCACACAGCGCGATGAGCTGGAGACGGAGATCGGGAAACATAAGGCACTGGTGTCCCTCGTGCGGCGCCTTCCGGACGAGCTTCTGGGGGAGATCTTCTGCTTCTGTATCGCCGCGTACCCTGCGCTAGTCGACCCGCGCACGCCTCCGATCTGTCTGGGACACGTATCACGCGAGTGGCGGCGAGTGTCGCACTCTACCCCCGAGCTGTGGTCGTCGCTGCACGTGCCGCACCTGGGGCGGGCTGACTTCGGGGTCTTGGAGGACGAGCGCGGACGCTTCGTCGACCTGGCCTTGGAGTGGGTCGCGCGGAGCGGCAGCCACCCGCTGTACATCTCGTCCACGCTGGACGAGCTGAATACGCAGCCCGTGCAGGCCGTCGCGCGCCACGCGTGGTCGCACATCGCGAATCTGTGCCTCATATTCCCCGCCGCCGTGCCCGCGCCCACCGTCGCGTCGTTCCTGCAGCTGGAGCTGCCCGCGCTGCACACGCTGCACGTCGAGTGCCACTCCGACTTCGGGTCCGCGCTGTGGGCGGACGCCGCGGTCCTGCGCGCTCCGCGCCTGCGTGTGCTGCTGCTGCGCATCTCCGCCGACGCCGCGAAGCTCGTCCTGCCCGCGCCCTCGCTCGTCGAGTTCGACCTCAAGTGCCTGCAGACGCGCGAGGGCGGCGCGGACCTCACCGGCGGGCTCTCCGTGCACCACTGCCTCGACATCGTCCGGCGCTGCCCGGCGCTGCGCAAGGCCGTCTTCCGGTGCACGCTGTTCGGCTCGCTCGCCGGCACCGGCGCCGCGGCCGCCCTACCCCCCTCCGGCACGCCGTCCGCGCTGCGCGAGGTGCACTTCTACCTGGGCAACGACCTGCCCGTGTTCTTCGCGAACCTGGGCCTCCCCGCGCTCGCGCACCTGCGGCTGACGCACCCGGCGATGCCCGGCCCGGACCACGCGCTGTTCTTCGCGTCGCTCGAGCCGCACCTCGCGGTGCTCGCGACGGCGGAGCTGTCCACCGCGTTCTTCAGCAACGACACGCTGCTCGCGCTGCTCCGCGCAACGCCGCGCCTGCGCAGGCTCAAGCTGGACGGCCTGCGCAGCACGTCCTCGGCTACGCTCACGAACGACATGGTCCGCGCGGCCTGCAGCGAGGGCTTCGCGAGCGAGCTCGAGGTGCTCGAGTGTGGCGACGGGAGTATCAGCTGCTCGGACAAGGTCCTGGAGCGTTTCGTGCTGCTGCGGCCCACGCTGGTGGAGGTGCGCGTCCGCTTCAGCCGGTACGCGGACCGCGACATCGCGGCAACACCCGCAGTCCGCGCCAGGATCGAGAATGGCCTCGCATTCAGCGCCCGATACAAGGTCACGGGGAAGTGGCATTATCAGCCGGCGAGCGGGACCACGTTGTGGCGATTATGACCGAGATATCGTACATTTCCATACCCTCTCCTAGTTTACAGTACCTCCTAGTACAGATAGCGGAACCCTTTCCTCCTTTCCATCGCTTGCTCGAAAGTAATCCCCTCCAGCACCGCAGCCTCGCGGACACGCACTTCGTCGCCGCCCTGCAGATCCGATTTCTCGATCGCTGCGAGACGCCGGTTCTTGGCGATGAGATTGCGGCGGATCCCAAACGCGAGTGCAGACGCGAAGAGGAGCGAGCAGAGAGAGATGATCATGGACTGGTGGTAGCGCGGTCCCCATTTGGATTTCCACGTATACGAGCCCATGCTGTGAGAATCCGCTGTCAGAGGCTGAATCGCAGGACACAAGCCAGGCCACGCACATGTTCCCCACGTTTCCGACACCGTTGACAATGCCGATCGCCGCCGCGCGTTTGGCGGGTGGTCGCGCGATCGTATTCGAGACCCAGACGGCCGTCATGGCGAATCCTGCACCCCATCAAGGTCAGAAAGGGAAGATCAGACGGAGGAAGCAGTCAAGAGCTCACCAGCGTAGCCGATCGTCATCAAGAACATGGAAAAGTACCGCCCGGCCACAGACATCGTCGAGAGCGAGATGATGAAGCCCACCATCACAGGCCACCACCAGCCAGAAAGATGGAAGTATCGTTCTCCGGTGCGGTCTGATGTTGATGTGTTGAGAGACAGCGCTGTAGAGACTGTTGGAAAGACGTACCGGCATGCCAGGCATTCAGGCAGCAAACACAAGCCGCGAAGATCCAGGGTGGGCTGGAATGTAGATTGAGGGGAGGAAACTTGCTGTGCATCTCGAAACACTTACGCTGCGAGCAGAAGACTGATCGTGGTGCTGAAACCGAACGTTGCTGTGAGGCTGCACTTGTCGTCAGCGTTGCATTAGTTACTCTTAGGGATCAACCATTTACGTCGGGACTGGAACATGCATCAGTCATTCGAAATTGCGAATGACGCACGGCAAGATAAACTTACAAAAGTTGTTAAAGCTGAATCCGAACAGCTGGGCGAGATTCATGATCGCAAATGTCAACACAATGGGGTCGCAGATGGCCATTTTCAAGCCTGCAAGCGGTCTGTGTTTTTTGTCAAAAGCGAGAATCAGCCCAGAGAGGGAGCGGCCACGCACGTATCGCTGGCATTGTCCTGGTCGGCTTCACCCGCATCGTCCGCGAGCCGGGCTTGGGCGAGGCGCCGCTGGTCGCTGGAGATCCATCGCGTGTTGTTGGGCTGTGCGGCATCTCAGTCATCGAGATCGGAGGGCGAGGAGCACACGAACGTAGTCGGGCAGCGACCATCTTAGATGTAGTCAGTTAGGTTGTCACTTCGGGGACGAAATGGGGACAGACATCGCGATGAGCCCAACGGCGATGGAGATAGCGCCCTCGATGAAGAACAGCCTACGATCCAGTCTTGTTACTTGCCGGCAAGATGTTTGTCCGGATGACTCACCAGCGCCATGCTCGGATTCCCCGGACACCCTCCATTTTGCTCAGGATTCCGGCGGCTATAAGCTAGATGGTGCGTGCGAATGATGAGCGAATGCCCGCGTGTGCGCCACTGTAATCGCCTCACCGAGCCGAAAGCATTGGAAGTCAAGTTGGCGCCGTATAGCAGCGCTACTCGGAACGCGAGCTCCTATCGCGAACAAAGTCAGTATCCCCCACGTGTTTCAAGCAGAATGAGCCGCTCTACCTTCTTGGTGTACCACCGGGAGAGAAGATAGACGGCTGGTGGATGGTCAGGCTGTGCACGGCCCTGTAGCTCGCCGGGACTGACCGCCAGGATAGAAAGCAGACTGCGACGGGGTGAGCTCAGAAACTTCCTAAACAGAGGCGAGATACACACCTCTGGAATCCCAAGGCTGACCCTGCATGCGACAATTCCCGCGTAGTTATGTGTGAGCTGAGAAGAGCGTGTCACTAAGGCACGCGGTGAAAGAGATGAACTACTGACTCCGGTGAGCAAACTCGTCAGTCCCCAGAGAACAACACATGACCCGATGTACCAGGAGGGTCTATAAACGTGAGTTGGTTGTCATCAACTTCGACGAGCAAATAAGATACCTCGTGATGTAATTGAGTATCTGAGGCTTGATTAGTATAGGAATTGAGTGCGGAGAGCAACACGGACCATGTTCGATGGGATTTGGAACGGGCAGTAGGACACGTAGACAATCGACAGAACCACGTTGTATTGGATATCTGGAACCAAGGTCAACGGAGGCGTTGCATGAACAGCGGGAGCGTTACCGGAGAGTCCCAGATCCTGCTCCAGGCCCTTCAGCCGAGCAGTGGTGACATTTTGTCTCTGGAGACGCGTTCAGATGGGCAGGAACAACGCAGGATCGGGTGCCCACGTCGATGTAGTTCATCAAGTAGATGACCAGGATAGTCGGGAGCAGCCGTCTGTCGAGCTTGCGCACGATGGCGCGTTCGGCGGCGGCGCGCTCGGGTGTCCCAATCGCCGGAAGCGGGGACTCGGCGCCGACAATATCCCGCTCCGTCGTCTCTATCATCACGACCTCGCCATTTTCCTTCTCGTTCTCCAGCGACATAGTATGTGAGAGAAAGAGGACAAGACGCGGATAAGCCTCGCTACGGCCGCGAGTCTAAGTAGACAACTGGTGTGGCGCGTCCCGAGCATCCCGTGGAGTGCTCATGTGTCCGTACGCACATGACCAGGCAAAGGGTCGTAACGATGTTCAGTTCCATGTCGTGCGCTATTTAAAACTCGCCCGGGGATAAGAGCGAGGGTGTCAGCTGGTGGGGAAACAAGGATAGCCGTCGACAGAGCGTGGGTGGAGGAAGATTGTAACCTGCGCACAGGCATCATGGGGTTGCATCATGGAGTGTATTGAATTCTCTCCGCTGGGGATCCCCCGGGCTTCTTCGATATCTGGCGTGCCGGAATCCAGTGTCACTCGACCAGGACTCGCCTGCGGATTGGCCAGAGAGATCATTTGACTCCGTGGGATGGGCGTGAAGAGGTGTGAATGTCTTCCAGGCTGAGAAGTGAGAACCCATGCCGATGGTTGATCGCGGTGCCGCCGCCGTGATAATAATACCCAGAGCAGATGCGCGGAAGCAGGGGCAGGGTGTATCTATTTCTGGCCATGCATCCAATCACAGAGGATAAGCGGTCATGATCAACGAGCCTATAATCCACTCTGATGGCTGGCACGTTCCGTCACTGTCACTCCCCATTTGGGTGATCGAGCAAACAGTCCACGACGCGAGACCACCCTCCGATTTGCCCAGCCCGCCAAGTGCTCCAAAAATCAAGCGCCCCGCACATCTTTCAATAATGATGAGCCGAAGCGGCCTCGAACGCGAACGGGTTTCTCATGCCTGATTCTAAGACAGATGCGGTGAACGAACGCCGATCCACTGGCAGTGCCCCTCTGTTCAGCGAACTTGAGCTCCTTTCCTTCATCGCCGCTCCGCTGTCTTCACCGTGAATTGTGCCTCGGGGGCGATCGGCTACCCTAAAGACATTGCAAGGAACCCGCCGCCGCCCTGTCCACCATGTCCCATTACAGGACCGTCTCTGTAAAGGAGGAGGACGTGCATGATATGTCCCCCATCCCTTCCCGCAGCGCGAGGCCTGTGAGCCACTGGATGGAGGACGACCTGATAGACATGGTGCGTTTGCACTACTCATTTAGACTTTTCTCTCGCCTTGACTTACCCTCCTCTCCTCACTATCATTGCTATCTAGTATCGGACGAACTCTGCGGAATCCGAGCTGGATTCCGACCCGCCCAACCTCTCCACCGACAAAATCACCGCTGCGCTGTCCACCCCGCCGCGCTCTCCCGTGACACGACAGGCGATGATGCAGCCCCGCCAACGCCGGCGGCGGCGTCGGAAGTGCCTTATCACCCTCGGCGTGCTGAGCGTCGTCGTCCTCGCCGTCGTCATCCCCGTCGTTTTGTCCCTCACGCACAAGACCTCTCATTCCAGCAGCAGCAACTCGACGCACGCTACCCCGCGGGGGCCCACGACCGGTACCACGGGCAGCCTGATCACCATGGACGACGGGACGCAGTTCACGTATACGAATGCGTTCGGGGGCGACTGGGCGGAGGACCCGACGAAGCCGTTCAGTCTCGGCGGCAAGGCGCAGGAGTGGAGCCCGCGCGTCGGCACGGAGGAGTGGGTCTGGGGCAAGCATGTTGCGCGGGGCGTCAATCTCGGGTGCGTCTGTTTTGTGGGTGGGGATCCTGCTGCGTGCTTGGCGCTGACTCCACCTCCCTCCCCCTCTGCAGCGGATGGCTGGTGACGGAGCCGTTCATCACGCCCGCGTTGTACGAGAAGTACGTGAACAACTCGGCGGGGATCGTAGTTGTTGATGAGTGGACGCTGTGTCTGGCGATGGGCACCAACATGGCCCCGGAGCTCATCAACCACTACAAGACGTTCATTGTGAGGGACCAGTCAACGCACCCGGGGGATTGACAGGCTGATAGATCCCCAGACGGAACAAGATTTCGCTAACATTGCCGCCGCGGGGCTGAACTGGGTGCGGATACCGATTGGGTTCTGGGTGCGTGCTGGATTTTCTTTAAAGAGACGTCGCTGACTCGTGTTCGCAGGTCATCGAAGCTATCAACGACGAACCTTTTCTGGTCGGAACGTCGTGGACGTACTTTCTGAAAGCGTGTGTTCTTGCTGTCTTTCTGATGACTCAAACCAAGGTGTCATCAGGATACAATGGGCGCGAAAGTACGGCATCAGGATCTACATGGATTTGCACGCGCTTCCCGGTAGTCAGAATGGCTGGGTTAGTAATCACACGCTGGACTTGCGCGCCCGATTGCTGACGGGCTGCAGAACCACTCAGGGAAAGGTGCGCCCTTTGCTCGATGAATGAATGCAGGTATATTCATCCTTGCTCCAGCCGGTTCTATAAACTTGTGAGTCTCACATAGATGTTCTATGAACCGCTCGTGCTGAGTTTCTTGCAGCATGGTTGGTTGAGAAGTGACACACCCCTCCATAATCTCACGCCTACTAGAACGGTGTCATGGGCATAGCCAACGCCCAGCGAACCTTGACCTACCTCCGCATTCTGACAGAGTTTGCAAGTCAAGAGCAGTACCATGACGTGATTGGCGTGTGGGTCCCCGTGATCTGTCCTCAACGGCGCATACTGACCAAAACCCAGGATCGGCATCGTCAATGAGATTCTGTATAGTACGATCGGCAAGCAGTCAATCCAGAGCTTCTATATGGCAGCGTACCAGGCCATTCGGAAATCGACGTGCGAGCCTTCTTGCTGTAATGGATTCTGTCTGAACTGTTCCTTCGAAGCGGTGTCGGTGCTGGACGAGGCCCCTATATCGCCATCCACGAAGCCTTTCAAGGGGTCAGTTGTCTCTCTGCCTCCATCTCTTCTCTTAATGAATGCTTTCAGCCTGCAATATGGGAGGGCTTTCTCTCTGGTGCCGATCGCCTAGCTCTCGATCAACATCCGGTGCGGTCTCATGGTCTCAGGTCCTCAGATCCCCTAGTTTCTGATGGCACATTCCCAGTATCTCGCATTCACGTACGATTATGTCAGCACCATAGATCAGATGGCAGTCAAGCCTTGGTGCGCGTCAAGGACTTGGTTTGGTCTCCTCTCTTACAGTGGATTAGTTCATGGGCGGTTGCGACAAATCAATCTTCCAAAGCCTTTGGTGTGACACTGGGCGGCGAGTTCTCGTCTGCGATCAACGACTGTGGGTACTGGCTGAATGGGATCGGATCCAAGCCTGGCGCACCGGACTGCAGCACGATTGACAACTGGGCGGCCTACAACGCGACCTTCGTGCAGAGCCTCAAACAGGTGACACTGGCGACGATGGATGCGTTGCAGAACTTTTGGTTTTGGACATGGAAGATCGGGAACTCGACGGTGTTGGGGACGTCGTCGAACCCGTTGTGGCACTATCAGCTAGGATTGGAGAAAGGGTGGATACCAGCAGGTGCGTGGCTTCGTGTTGTATGCTTTCCTCGGTGCTCAGCAGACCAATACAGACCCCCGTGAGGCCATCGGTCATTGCGCATCGGTTCTCGCTTCCTCACAAACGTTCGATGGAACGTATGCGTCCTCTGCTACCGGATTTGGCCCAGCGACGCTTGACCCCGGCCAGACGACATCCTATGTCTTTCCCCCGACCACGCTATCACCCTCGTTTGCTCCGACGATGATTGGCTTGCTTCCGACCTACACGGCCACAGGAAAGCTGACGACGCTTTTTGCGCCGACGTTTACCGCTGCGCCGACGGCTGCGGTGGGGATTGGATGGAACAACAGCGCGGACACGCAGCTGGCTTTTGTGTGAGTGGTGACAGCCTTTCGTTCGTTGCTTATGAGGCTCATTGCGGATAGCGCTGTTGCGGGTTGCACTTATCCAAAGTATGGGGTCTTTGCTCTCCATGTTTTGACTAGTGCTGACGCATCATCTCTAGTCCTTGGAATGCAGTCAATGCTAGTGTGCCAACAGCCACTTGTACCGGATAGAATCGGGATGGGACTTTTATTATATTCGGAACCGGTCCCGGTATTTTTTGTAGATATTATGTTGATGTATGTACTAGAATTGTGCGAGGAGCCACCAGCCACTCGGAGAACCACAAGGTATCTTATCTTATCTCTCATCTAATCTCTGACGAGCGGTTGATGGCCGCGGCCTGCCAAGTGCCCTTGCACTTTGACGGCCACATACTAATTTGAGCCTGCCTGTTCTCGCTCGTGCTTGGAATAGCTCACCCAGAGAACAATGTCCGCAACTCGTGCTACGATCCTCCTCTCCCTCCTCGGCTTGACCTCAGCGTTCTCCCTCCCCCAAGTCCCACTCAAGCCCCATCACCGTCCAGCCGATCTTCCACACTCGATGCCCTCGCATTCGTTCTGGACGCACTCCCCCGGCGCTAATCCACTCGCCGGGGAAGGCAGCACGGGGCTGCTTACCAGCGAGGCGGACGTGTGCATCATCGGATCGGGCATTACGGGTGTGTCGACTGCGTATCATCTCGCGCGGGCTGTGGAGCAGGGGTCCGTCGACAAGGGCCTCCGCGCCGTTGTGCTTGAAGCGCGCGATTTCTGTGAGTCCCCGACGAAGCTCGGTTTGCTGGAGGGATGTCTGTGAGCTGACTCGCACACGCTGGGCTGAAGGCTCGGGTGCAACAGGTGCGCCGTGCGCCCGCCCCGGACGTTCCAGGCTGATCACGCGTTGCGACTGCAGGACGCAACGGGGGCAACCTCACGCCGTACGAGGTCGCACACTTCCGAGATGTGGAGAGCCGGTTCGGCACGGAGGAAGCGCTGCGGCAGTACGCGCTAGAGCACCACACCTCCGCGGCAATGGCGCGGGTGGCGCGCGAGGGCGGATGGGCTGACGCGGTCGACTTCGTCGAGGGCGGGCACGTGGATGTGTACATGACGGAGAAGCATCTGGCGCAGGTCCGCGCCGATAGTGCTGCGGCTGTGAAGGCGGGAAGGAAGGTGAATGTGACCTGGATGGGGAGGGAGGAGATGAATGCCGTGTGTATAGCTGGCTTGTTGTGCTTGGTGCGACCCGACCTGCGACTGACGGAACTCACAACAGACTTATGGCACATACCACTGGGGCGCGCAAACTCCGGGATATAATCTGTGGCCGCTGAAATTCGTCACGCAGCTGTTCAAGGAAGCGAAAGCGATGTCTCCCGACCTCGGTCTTCGGTTACATACACGCACTCCCGTTCTCAGTGTTAGTCAGTCCCGATCTACTTCCCGCCGATGGGAGCTTTCGACGCCGCGAGGGTCCGTCGGCTGCTCCTATGTGGTGTACGCAACGAACGCTTACACGTCCCATCTTCTCCCGCACATGGCTGGCACGGGTCCGCAGGGGATCATGCCCGTCCGGGGCCAGGTGATCGCCACGCGCGCGGCGGTCAGCCTCGAGGATCTGACCAAGGTGTCCTGGATCGGCAACTCGGGGTATTGGTTCCCGCGGCCGGCCACGGACGAGAACCCGTTGGTCATTCTGGGCGGTGCGAGAGAGGACGCAGGCCCACCGTTCGAAGTCGACACGACCGATGATAGCGTTGTGAATCATGTTGTCGGGGAAACGCTGCGGGCGTTCCTTCCTGAAATGTTTCCCTCCAAGTATCAAGTCGGGCGCGAACCAGAAGCAGAATGGGTAAGCGGCCGTTCGTGAATTTCCGCTGGAGGAACGGCTCAAGTGCTTTAGACTGGGATCATGGGCTACACCGCACTGGATATCCCGTTTGTAGGGCCAGTACTGGATCAGCACGGCTCGGGCCAATCCCACTCTGGCCAGTTCATATCGGCGGGGTATGCTGGGCATGGCATGCCCCGGGCATACGGCTGTGCACAGGTCGTGGTCGACATGCTTGTCTCGGAGCTGCAGGGAGAAAAGTTCGAGGTGGAAATGCTGCCAGAATGGTTCCCCAGATCATTCCTGACCGCTAATCGCTTTTAACGAACACCTCGATACTAACACTGAATCAAATGATTTCTGATTATAGATGTACACACTAAGAGAAATTAGGTTTAGTAGCTACAGTATTTGACTTGAAATCCAGTCGATTACACAACGAGAACAGCCCGGTATCTGATTTTGCCGTCCCTCAAGCGAGACATGCCCTCCTCGACGCCCTCCTTAGTCATCGAGAACTTTTCGATAATCGGCTCGATGTGGTTGCGCGCAGCAAAGTCAAGCATGCGGCGGTGGACAGAGCGGCCAGCGACAGTCGAGCCCTGGATGTTGATCCCACCCAGGATGAGGGGAAGACTGGGGATGGACAAGTTGTCCTGGCTGACCGTCAGCGGGTAGATCGTGCCCTTGGGCTTCATCACCGCAATGTACGGTGCCCAGGAGGGAATGTAGCTGGTCGTCACGATCAGGTGGTCCAGCGGCCGCACGTTCTCGAACTTCGACACGTCCTTGGTCGAGTGGAACTCCGACGCGCCCAGCCGCGCGGCCTCCTCCCGCTTCGACTCGGAGCTCGAGAAGACGACGACCTCCGCGCCCATCTTCGCAGCGAACATCACGGCCAGGTGGCCCAGGCCGCCGATCCCGACGACGCCGACGCGCTGCGTGGGCCGGATGCCGTAGCTGTCGAGGACCTCGAACACGGTCGCGCCGCCGCACATCAGCGGAGCCGCGTGCTCAGGGGCCAGGTTTGCTGGAATCTGGAACAGGAAGGGCTCCTCCCAGACGGCATACGTGCCGAACGAGCCCTGGTCGAAGCTGTGCGTGCCGTACATCTCGTGGGCGGTGCAGTACTGGTCCTGCCCTGCAAGCGCGTCAGCTGGGAGTCCAACAGGGCCGGACGACGAGCAAGGCAACACAACACACCCTGCAGACAGTGCTCGCATTTCCCGCACGTCTTGTGAATGTAGCCCCATCCGACTATGTCGCCGACGCGCAGCGAGGACACGTCCGATCCGACCTGCTCAACGACACCCACGCCCTCGTGTCCGAGCGCCATGTCGGCGTGCTTGTAGTGCTCGTCGGTGCCGCAGATGCCGGAGTGCGTGATGCGGACCAGGACTTGGATCCCGGTTGGCACAGGACGAGAGCTCGTTGCTTGGACGATGCCATCGGCTTTCGAGCCCTTGAAGACGGTGAATTCGACGCTCATAGCAGTAGTAGTGATGGCGGAGGAGGCGTTGATGGTGGAAGTGATTCTTGTTGGAATTCTCGGAGACGTCGCTGCATTTTATAGTCGATTCGCAACCCAGGCGACTTGGCAAAGCGCATGTTCTGTGGGCGTTCGTTGCTGAAAGAGCAATTACTAAAATTGTCGGCTGCCAGTCAATCCAACCCATGATGTCATGATCCGCACTAGGCTCGATAAGCCAATTTGTAAGGCCATAGAATTATTCTTACTGATGCAGCCTGCACAGTGGAAAGCCAAGACGGGTGTTACTCAGATGAGAGAGAGAGACGCAAATTGAATAGAGGAAACCTGTATCTGTCAACCGGCAACAGCGTAGAACATGATTAAGGACTGAGAGGCAATATATTGGAAATCCCCATCGCAGGCTTGACGTGGGACCAATTTCCCACGATTTCTGTAGGCGTCTAGTCAGTCCCTAGCTGGCACCGCTGCACTGATATCTTTTCGATTTTGTCCGACAACTGTACCACATCCTCGTGACCGCCATGGGTTCTTAGTTGGTCATACGACCTTGGTTGATGCAACTGCCCAACCACCAAGCTTACCGAGTCTCAAATCACTCAAATGTACGAGTAGCATGTAGGTCAAGTGCGAAATAAGATTGCTTCTACAAAAAGAGACAGAGACTAGAAATAAACTACGGCGATGCCCGACGATGCACGAGCTTCCTCAGCTTCCTCGTCAGCGAAGCAATGCTCAGCGAGCGCCGCGGTGTGGTGGCGCTGCTGTCCACCGGAGGCGGCGTCGCCCGGCGCTTGCTCTTTTTGGGCTTGTGCAGTGGGTTCTGCAGAGCCAGAGCAACTATATCTACGGGCGGAGGCACGACGAACGTGTCTATCGCCTCGACCTCCGTGCGCAACTCTGGAATGCTCGGCCGGCGCGCGGGATTGGGATCGAAGATCCGGTTCGCGAGCGAGTTGAAGGATGGACTTAGGTCGAGCGTCCCCCGCAAGAAGTGCGCGGGGTCGGCGCGGTACGCGGAGTAGGTGTCGTCGGCCTCGACGGGTGCCTTCCAAAGAAGGCTGCTCGTCATGAGGGCGATGAGGATCACACCCAGCGACCAGCAGTCCGTCCCACGAGGGGAGTATGTGTCTCGGGTCTTGTCCATGTTTTCTGCGACACAGGTGAGTCAGGGGTTTCGGAAACGGAAACTTGGAATATCGAACGCACCAGGACTAGCGAACACAGCGGTTCCAACGCCGAACTGTTTCGACTCCTCAGAGCGAGTCGCAACACCAAAGTCGGCGATTCGGATGTTCTTGCCATCAGCGTCACACAGGATGTTCCCGGGTTTCAGGTCCCGGTGGAACACACCCTCAGCGTGGCATGTCTCCACGGCGTCGAGTACGTCCAAGAACACCCGCTTCGCAACGTCGCACTGCTTATCGCAGAGCTTGTGCTCGATGACGAAGCGGTTCAGGTCGGTGTCGCAGAGCTCCATCACGACGAACACGTGCTCGCCCTCGACGAAGGAGCGGTGCAGGGCCACGACCCCGGGCAGGCCAGAGACCTGTGTGTGGTTCTTGAGCTCGTTCAGGAGGTTGTTGTACTCCTGCGATCCGGGCTCGCCGTTCAAGAGACACTTGACGGCGTAGTGAATGGGTGCCCCGGATGACGCAGTCGACTGGGTGTCTAGAGCCTTGTAGACCTTGGCGAATGACCCGTGGCCGAGGAGCTCAAGTAACTTGAGTTTGCCGTTCTCGACGGTAGATCCCGTCAAGTCGGGGAGGCGGGTGTATGGCAGCGGGGCGTGGGATGAGCGGGTGGAAGTCATGATGGATGGGTTTCAAATGGATTGTGGGTGGATGTGGTAGGCAGTAGCTCTCGTTGCATAAGATGTGAAGTTGGGTTGTGGTGGTTGGAAGCAAGAGGGCTGTGGTCTTCGCCCCACTGCTCATCCCGCCTTATATCCCGCCCATGTCTCAGCCCGATCGAACCACGTCATTCCCAACATACCAGTGTCGAGAATGGAGCGCCTGGTTACATCCGGAGTGACGATGCACCGTGTCTCACTACCTATCCCGCCCTGAATCCCGCCCATGTCTCACTTCGTCGATCACCCGACGATGACGTCACTTCTAGTCATTGTTGCACAGTAGGAGCGCCTGAGACAACGGTGCTGCTGCAGTGAGTGGTCTTTGGCGGGAAGGGCTGGTGACGAAATTATGTAGAATATCGGCGCTTGTTTCCCGATCGTTCCAGAGGTCCTGCTTAACGGATGAGTGTGACGGTCCAGAATGACTTATCTTTCAACAAGATTTGAGCTGGACAGGATGATTCCATCCTGCTTGGAATTGCTCCTGCTTCAAATTCCCAGTTGACAGAGTGAACGAACGGCGACAAGTTGTAATGCTGTGCAGATACATCACGTGCTTGTTCAGAGGAGAATAGTCAGCCAGTCTCCTTCTGCCCGTAGTCCACTAAGGCTGAGATGCCATTTTGAGGCTACAGTTTATTCTTCAGATTTTTTTAGATGAAATTTCGCTTCCAATCATGGTAGCGATCAGCTCGGTGAATGGGCAGAGCTTTCTCATAGCCAACATGTTTTGGAAAGACTACAAAAGAGAACTTAGAGAAGCAAACTCACGGAGCCTTTGAAATGACTTGAGCCCACTAATGTCAGCAGGTCGACAATTTTTGGGACACATGTAGGTTCCAGGTGAGTGAGGGTTCGGCCTGACTATACCGCTCGTAGGGTATCTATTATACTTCGCATACACATCGTCGAGCCTCAGTCGGGAAACCCTTGGGCTCACTCGTGTGAGACGAACCTCTGCAGTCAGTAAGCAGCCCGAATGCTCCTTTGACATCTCACTATTCACTCAAACCGGACTTGCCAGTACGAGAGCTGATCACAGCTAACCGAGCCAGGTTTCGGGTCAGATTTGCCGCACGTATCTGGAATCTTCCTTGCGTATTTCTTCAGAATCCGGGATTTCGGCGTCCTGCCTCGAGGCCGATATCATCGAGGTCTGACATGACATTCGGCCGTTGATCCCCTACATGTTCTCTGGCACTGTAGGCAAGCGCAGCGCTCGAAGTCGGTGAGGGATGCTGCAGGTCAAGCATGACCGAACATATTCTGAACTTTTCAGGCCGGAGCAACGCACGGTACGGATTGAAATCTGGCGGGACATCCTCCAAGCATGTCGATTTTGAGACCACTCGTGTTGTGTTTCAATGCTGCTGTCCACGAAGTTGACTTCAAGTTCCCCTGTTGCTCGCCTTGGCGGAATATTCGAGAATTCGAACCACGTCGCCCGCTGACGGCCGTGGGAGTTGTCAACGTTGAACGAGGGATTTGTCAGCTGATCGACCAATCTGTGCCCCCGAACTCCAGTGTGGCGCTCGCGATCTCAGATGCAACGTGCCCGACGCTCTTCCGTTCCCACTCGCACCCACAAAATCAAACAAGGAAAACGCATGTATCGGACTTATCGTCATCAAGACATGTGCACTGTCAGGGTTCACGCGGGCCGTCCGTTATAAGAACATCGTGGGTGGGATGAAAGGCACCTTCCGTGGTTCCTTCGCCCCGTCCCAACACGCTGGTCTCGACTGCTCCAAGGGGCCACACCTATTGTGTTTCTCTCGCTCTGTAGAATCGTAGCCGATCTGCACGACAAGCACCATGTACGCGTGGTTCATCCACCGCTTCCGCCGCAACAGGACGGCAGCGGCGCCAGTCGCACCACCCCACATCGTGCATGCGAACATGCCTCCGTATGCACTGATTCCGATGCCTGTGCCGCCGATACCACACTGGAGCGGAAACGGGCACGCCCACCAAGCGCAGCCACCACCACCGATTCCCGTCCAATGGAGCCGTCCGCCGGAGCCCACTGTCCACGCCCAGCCGAAGCACAGAAGGTCTGGCTGGCACCATCAGCCACGGCACAATGCGCGCGTCAGCGGTGCCGCAGCGCATCGATATCCTGATCACCCCCGCCCACAAACGCTGCCCCCGTCACAGGTTCCATCTGACGTATCGGCCGAGCCCGGCACTCGAGCAGTTGGGCGCTTCCAACACGTGATGTATCCCGTTGGGTCGGTTCCGATCCAGATTGCACGAGGTGGGGAAACATTCGCGCGAGTGGCGCAGCCGCGGAAGAGGGAGAAGGGAATGCGGCGGGTCCTGGATCCGATGCAAGCAACACGCGATGTGGTGGCGGAGCATCACCCGGTCTCTGCGTCTACCCCCATGTCCGGCGTGGAACCACCCAGGAGGGACAAAGGGAAGCAGCGGGCTGTCGTTCCTGCGCCGGATTCGGACTACGCCAGTCGAGATGTTGCCGAGGATCTCGGGCAAACGTCCCGATCTGCGGCCCAGTCTAGCGTGGAGCAGCGGAGGTGGGACAAGGAGAAACAGCGAGCCGTCGATCCGATGCCCAACTCCGCCTGGGAGGGCTACAACGCTGCAGGCATGCCACCGCCGATGGCAGGACGAAGCAGAGAGCGGGAGAGAAGGAGCTCGCGTGAGCAGTCGGTCCCGCTTGTGCAGGATGGCGCACAGATTCCGCCGATACAACGGAGTCTGGGAACATATCCACGAGGGATACTCCGGCCGTCAGGGTCGTCCCATCCCGCCGGTGAGCTCCTCCCCGCGAATGAGCGAAGCGTCGGGCTTAATCTCCATGTCCAGCTCAGACTCGCGCTCGGCCGCCCGAACCTATACATCCCAACGACGCATGGGGTGGGCCGGCTGACAGGGTGGACTACGCGACGAACAAAACACGACGTTCGTGTCCAGTTTTCTCTTGGTCGTCAGACACCAATCTTTGATATAGATCCGGAGGGCTACGAGCGGTTTCAACCACCAAATTGTCCACTGTTTATTGTCGCCTCGGCACGCCGACTTTGCTGATGTGCTGCACAGATGTTGCGCTTGCATGGCCGTTGGACAAGTTCATCGAACACCCCGACAATCCCGAGGACTGGAAGCCCCAGCTCCAGTGGGACATCGGACACGACCCGGGCGACCCAGCTAACGTCTGCACAAATCGGGACCACACCGCCGAATGGTTCCCGATGCAGGAGGACTACCGCAGCATGCCGGTCTCCCCGCTGCTTGTTGTGACGGAGATGACGATCGACTGTCCGCGGGTGGGAAGGATCTACGTGCGCACCGGCGAGCTGTTGCGCGTCATCGACGTGTTCAAGGCGATCTACGACGTGTACCATCCGTGCACCGGGATCCTGGAGCCGCTGATGCACTCGGACCCCTGGATCAACAGCCACAATATGTTCTTTACGTGGTGGTCGCGGTGTGAGAACACGGAGGATCGCGCAAAGGAGGTCGAGCGGGGCCTGCGGGAGGTTGATCTGCTGGAGGATATCCGTATGTTTGTCGGTCTGGAGCAAGTCGGGGATCGCGAGTGGAAGCTGTTGTTGACGAAGGTCTGGGCTTGGTGCGTGTCCTTTTTCTGCTTTGTTGGAAATCAGACTGAAAGATGGCTGTCGGCCACGCAGGCGCCGGAAGCCACCGGGTCAGTATCAAACGACGCTGTAAATGACGCTGTAAATGATTTCATTGGGTGCATCGCGTAGATATATTTTCTGTCTGGGCTGTCCTACAACTTATGTTGTTTTGACTGGCTTTTCGATTAATTATGTATCGATCTCAAATCAGCCCAGAGTTCTACATCCTGGCTACTCGGGGAAAGCGGAGAGTTTGCACGTGATTCTAGAGTAACTTCACGAGGGACATACACGTTACCGATTGGAGAATCCAACAAAATCCTGGATACAATCATACCGCCGTGCGTGCTAAGTAACTAACCCCCGTGACCGCCATGGACTCTTCTCAGATGGGGATAGATACCCAGTTTCCCATCTCCATCGCGGAAAGTCTCCATACAAATCCAGCAAATGTGCGTCCGACAAAGCACACACTGCATGTGATTGCAGCCCCCGTCCTTCTCGATATCAGCATGGCAGTTCGGGCACTGCTTGACCTCGTGCTCGGCTCGCCACTGATTCAGCAGAGCGGTGTTGCCGGTGAGATTGTCTTTGTGTTCGGCGCAGGTGAGGTCATCGTGCCACTCGATTTTGCAGGTGGTGCAGATGCGCGCGAGACACGACGGACATTGGATCGCTGCGTTCTCCTCGTCCGAGTCGATCCCGATCGGGTAGACCATCTGGCAGTCGGCCGACGGACAGTACTGGAATTGTTGCGGATGAGTGTTGATGTGTGTCAGAAACGAGGTCAGAAGAAGCTCGTCTTCGGCGCCTGCATCGAGCAGAGACCGGATCGTTCGGTACGGTATGGCGTGGCTGCATGGGATCGATTTGCCGCCGTCAGAAAAGCTCCCTGCGACGCAAAGCCGAGGAGTAAATTCAGTGCCGCTTGCGGGCTTGATGTAATGTTGGATGCAGGTCCGACAGTAGGCATGTCCGCAATCGAGCTGCACCGCATCCTCTATGTCGCAGAGACACACGGGGCAGCTGAGGTCCAAGATGGGTCCTGCGTCTTTCGCAATGGTCCCATCCAGAGCATTCAGCGCCGTGCGCAATCGGCCGACCTCCATCAAGCATGATCTTGAGAGCGACGACATCGAGAACGAGTCGTTCCTGTTGCGGGTCCACGGCAGTCTGCAGCTGCTTCAGGTCGCCCCTGAGAAGGATCCGAATCAACTCGCGTTTCAGCGGAATCTCGTGTCTCTGCGCTTTCAGTTTTGCGACTTTCTGCTCAATCAACTTGCGTGCGCGAGCCCTTTCTTCCTCAGATCCGAACATCCGAGCAGTGCGGGTCCGCGGGTCACATCGAACGAAGACACCGTGGTGGAGGTACATGTCCTCGATGAACTGGAGTCCGGTCTGTGTCTCGAAGAAAGGGACCCAGAACTTGGATCCGTCTTGGATGAGCAGCTCTCCCTGCACGATCCGGTCCACCTCGCTCTTGACCTTAGCAAGTCGCTTCGAGTCGGTGCTATGCAGGACCAGGACAACCGGATCCGAGTGCTCCGCTTCTCCGAGATAGTACTTGATCATCTCAGGATACACACCCGCCAGCAAATCCACCGGCCCGCGGATTTTGGCGAACAGAGTCGCGGGGATCCGGTTGTATTTGACGGACAGAGTGCGCTCGATGAAGAAGGGCGATTTGCCGAAGAACGCGGGCGGGTTGGGACGCAAACCGGCTTCAGCGGCGGTGGTACCCGCTTCAGTGTGGAACTGGGCAAACGCAGACACCTTCGAGCTCGTCTTCGTCATCGGCAAGACGTCCAGGGTATCGACGGCCCCGAACCGCTCCAGCACATCCATCAGTTCGTAGTGCACGTTTTCTGGGCATCGTGGAGGATCAAATCCAACGCTGTCGGCATCACAGAAGCACTTCAGCGATCGCTCGTCGACGTCCATCGGCAGGTTGCGTAGCATCACGGTGAACGAGCGAGAAGGGACGGAGATCACACTGGAAAACATCCCTCCTCGAATTCGGCGAGCGACAGCCTGAATGGGCCGGTACGTCGCAGAAATCGTATGGCCACAATAAACCTTGCCGTGCAGCTCTTCGCACTTGTTCTTTGCCGTAGCGTCGGACGAGTAGTTCGCAAACGCAGACATCCGTCGTCCATACCACGTCAGCTTGACTTTTCGGCCCCGGAAGAATCCTCTCTCCTCAGCACCGCCCGCCACCGACAACTTTGCCCCCGTTCTCTCCAATGCGCACACCAGGTTAGTCCCACCCTCCACCTCCCCGAATGTGATCCTTTCAAGTTCCCCGACGGCTGCCGCGGCGGCAGCGGGGTTGGTAAAGTCTGCAATCGCAATCGGATGCGCGTCAGCTCCGAACCATTGTATTTGCAGTTGTGCACCGCCGTGATTCGCCAACACCGTTGCGATTTGAGCCGAAATCTCTGCGTCGGTGAGCGAAGGGATCCCGGAGACTCTGATGCGACAGGCATCGAAAGGCGTGACCACCTGAGTGACCGAGCCGCCTGCGCCGAATGTGACGCTGCAATTGTACAACACGCGTTCGGTGGTTTCGTGTGTCAGGTCGGAGCTGATGGCATCCGGATGCTGCAATTGTGTTCAGCCAAGGTGATCAGAGTAATGATTGGACGAATCACAGACCGTGGACCCAGAGGGCGATGTGGTGCGATTGGAAATGGGAGGATGAGGACTGGAGCTGGGATCAGGATCGGGAGTGAGATTGGGCCCCAACAGGGCAGGGCCCACTCTCCAATTCAACACCTCAGCACCTTCATTCTCACGGGCCACAGCAGCAGCAGGAGCAGCATGCAAAAACGTGCATTTCGTCCCTTTCATACAACTCCCCCTTGCGAAGAACTGGCAAGGAGACTTCGACGTCGTGACTTCAGCGGTAGGGGATGGTGCCCACATGGGCACCGCATGCAATCTTAAGCACCGCTCGCCGAAGCGACACGCCCCGCGCAGATGGTGTATGCACACCTCCGGGGGCGCCGCCGTCGAGCTCAGCAGGTCGGCGTGCGATTTGGTGCACAGATCGCCAAAACGACACACCCCGCGTAAGAAATGGGGGCATGGGAGCGCAGCTGGGGCTTCGTTGGTCTGGGATAGGACGCGACTAGCGAGGGGAGTGGAAGAGCGGAGCGTATGGGATTTGCGACATTTGTCGCCGAACGTGCATGCGTTTTTCAGGAAGAACGGACAAGGCGGGGCGGATGCCCCTGCGAGTCCCGGGGGTCGATACGCGCACATGAGAAGGGTAACGGGGGAGGAGGGTGAGAGCGTTTCTGCACACGAGGCAGAGCATCTGAGACAAGAGACTCCGCACAAAGACCGGTACCATCCCACGAACGAGCCTCAAGGCTCGGGTGACAATAGCAGGTTTGGGGCACAAGGAGAAGGGCGCAGAAGTCTCAGAAGTTGGTGCTATTCGCGGCAAGTGGCGAAATGGTGTCGGCGCTTCCTCACTGAAGTGGACAAGACCGAGAGATCAGTGGGCCGCATCGGCTAAAAGTCGTGACAGAGCATGAGAGCGACAATCAGTGGCGGGGTGGGTGGACGATGAGAAACCATCTGGCGGGTGAAGGAATCCGGAATAGGCCAGTACTGGATGAAAGATGGTCCGAGGGACGCCGGGCCGCTGGACATGGAACAGGTGATGACAGACAGGTCACAAAAGAAGAATTGCGAAGAATGACAATTGAAAAAAGCTCTCAGGCGGGGAGTCGAACCCCGGTCGCCCGCGAAGACACAGAAGTGACAAGCGGGAATCTTGACCGTTGGACCACCTAAGAATGTTCTAAGCTGATTTTATGAATATATGATTGGCATTCTAACCACCTCGCCGCTGATGAAATATCTTGCCCTCGTGTACTCAAGTAGAAGGTACTGAATGATGCCTTTGGTCTAGCCCCTACTATCAAGTCTCACTTGATCACGAATCAAGAATCTTCTCACGAAAAAGCGTGCTTTGAGCGGACAATTGGTTTCATTTCTTCGTTCAAAAAAAGACGGCGACCAACATGACAGGTACACGACGACATACGCTAGATCGCGAGATGGCGGGAGAAACATAGATGGATGGATGGTACGACGGTGCTCTACAAATGGATGGGGGTTGAAGTGAGATGGAGTGGAAAGGCAGGGAGCGATACACGAGACACCGAAGGGAGCAGTAGGACACATACAGACACAAAAAGAGGCTTCATAAATTCATCAACGCGCTTACATCGACTCGAAGGAAAAGACGGTGCCCTGCTTCGCCAGCAGAGCCTGCGCCATCAGCGCGCGCTCGCGCCAGATGGTCACCTCCGCCGTGAGCTCATCCACCCGCCGCTCGATGTGCTGCTGGTACTCGAGCTTGCGCTTGCGGCTCTTGCGCGCGGCGACTGTGTTGTGGCGCCGCTTGGCCGCAATCGCGTCTTCGTCGCTGACGCTGGGCTCGACCTCGTCCGTGTCACCGACGAACGCTGTGCTGTGCAGACGCTTGCGGAACGCATCTGGCACGGCCTTGCGGCTCGTCGCGCTCGGGGTGAGGTAGTTGCGCTTCTGGGTCGGGGCATTGTCGTCGATCAATGTCGCAGGCGTGACATTCTTACGCGTCCCAGTCGCTCCGATGACAGGTCGACGATGGAGGACGGGCGGAGGGGGGATGACTGGGCCAGTCATGGAGGGCGGGTCGAATGAGTGCTGGTCGTTGAGCGCTGGGCTAAAAGTCCACAGCTTCGACAGATCCACATCGTTCGACTTATCGACGTCGGAACGAGTCATCGGTGCCGCGTATGACTCGTCGATGCCACCGAACAGGGCATCTCCGTTCAAGAAGTCATCACAGTCGTTGATCAGGGGAGAGTCCTCGACGCCCAAGTATGGGGTGCCCATCTCAGAGATCGGAGTCATCTCAGGGCTGGTGCCATAATCAGAGATCATGGGCGAGAAGGGGGAGGAGAGGAAGGGCGAGGCGGTGAGGAAGCCGGCAAAGAGAGGTGCTGCGTCGGCGGTCAAGATGTCGCCCATGGGTATAACGGGTTCGTCGCCAAAGGACCCGACGGAAAAGTCATCGTCGAGACGGAACTCGGGTGACGCTAGGGCAGATCCCGAGTCAGAAGACAACGACGACGGGGGAGTCAACATGGGGGTCGCAGTACCTTGGATTTCGGCCAGCAGAGCATCTACGTCCGCGAGGACCTGGCTCGGTGCGACCGTAGTCGCGGCGGGTGCGTTTGTGCTTGACATCGTAGGGGCAGAAGCTGTGCGTTTTACAGACGGTGGTGGAGGTAGTGTGCCGGGTAAAAGGTGTCCATATGGACGGGAGTTGCTGTCGCTTATCGGAACATGTTGTGGAGAGGCGCTCAGTGTTGATGAAAACCCAGTGAAGAGAGGTGCTGGTGATGGTGGACGGAAGGAGAACGACTTGTTTAACACTGGTACGACATCTTTATCTTTGGTGGTTGAGATGTTGCTGGAGTGGGCGGGAATGGCGACGACTGTTTCGGGGTAAGACTGATGTGTTGTGCGCGACAGCGCGGACAGTGGCGCCGGGCTACGTCTGGAAACCCGAGTCAGCCTTGAGTTCAACAATAGATCGTCGTCGTCGGATTGGACGTCCGCAGCCGTGGACGACAACATCGGAGACGCGCGCCACGAGGGGAGGCCATTTTGGGACAGAACCCTTATTTGTGTGTGTCCGGCAGACGTCACAAAGGACGCCTCAGCCCACTTGGAGCACGATGGGTCAACAATATCCGTGTCCATGGCGCGATGCAGTAGTGATAACGAGTATTCCACGGCCCGATAACGAAGACGAACGGAAAGCGAACTCACAGATGCCTCAGAGGTGAACTGCTGGGCGGCCAGGGGACGGCTGAAGCAGATGAGTCGAATCTGCGTCAGTCGTGTGGTGGGGGATGCTTTACAAGCAAGATATCTTATTCATGACTCGCCGCGTGCCTTATAAGGCATATTATTACACAGCTTTCTATTTGAAACTCCGCCTCCCGCGCAAATGAAAGGCGCTGTCGACGAGAGCTGTGCCGCAGTGTCCTGGACAACGACAACGATCAACGTCAGGGCTGTCGCGCCCAGCTGCCACGTATGGGCCTCTCCATGTGCATGTCCTGCTGTGGCAAACGGCGCGCTCGCTGGTGCAATCGACTGTGCTCGCGATCAGACTTTCGAGTCAGCTTTGCGGCACCGGACTGCGTTGATTGACCGCTTCCGTGCACATACTTACGTGTCCATGCGGCTTTGGGCGCTGACTTGAGCCCCGTCGTCCTGATTCGTATCACTTCACAGCCTTCTTCCGATCGCACGTTGCGAAATTCAGTCGGTCAAGCAGCGAGCAAGAGAATACGTAAGCGCTTGAGATGAGGGTCGCCGTAGAGATAAAGAGTCCCCAAAAGTAATGCCCAGGAGCACGGGGGAAGATTTCGGGGTTATTGCTCAGGAGCGGACGGATCTTGGAAGTAGATATCTAATAGGGGCGGGCCGGGAGAGCATCAAGAACATCAGGGAGAGCATCAGGAACCTCCGGGAGAGCATCATTTCTTTGACAGATGGGCGCTGGCTTCGGCTGCATGTGCGGCGACCACGGCCTGTGGCCTAAGGCGGCGCGCAGCGCTTCGGAAATGAACCACAAGTCGTGCACGAGCTGAACAACGTAAGGGCGGCCGGGCCGGAGGCAGAGCATCACGGGACAGGGCACCGCGACCACGTGAAGTCTCGTGTTCAACAGCCCACGAACAAAGAGGGGTACAGTTGAGCAGAGAAGGAGGAAAGCTTTCGGCGATTGGGGGAGCGTATACAGACCTATATACGTATACGCTGTGATCAATGACTCATCTCGACCATCCGCTTACTCACCGTGCCACATGCTTCACGACTCGAGAGTGACTCAAGCGCGGTGTGACCGACGCGAACAGTCACGGCGGAGCCGATCGACTTTTGATTGGTGGCCTACTGCCAAAATGTCCATCTGATAGTCCGACACTGCCACTTTCATCCCTTCGCGGAATCTCAGTCCTGGAGCAATCTACCAATATTCAAGACTCGATACCAGCTCCGGCAGGGATCGAAGCTCTGGAATGCAGGCAAAGAAACAAAAGCGTCTGATGCTCGAGCGCATCCCGCGATGGTAGATTGCAGAAGTACAGAAGAAAGCTGCTTCGATAAATGCTCCGCTTGTTTGATCAGAAGGTAGCAGCCGGGAAGCACTAAACGCTTCGACTCAATACGAATTCGAATTGAGCGATCTACTTTGCACTACGCCGAAGAAAACTTAGTACAGCTGATGAGTTCACGACTGTTCAATGACATTACGTGTCTCATGTCCCCCAGTTCGCCGATAGGTGAGAAAATTCGACTGGTCATAAAATCCAAACAAAAGGATGCAGAACGTCTCATGCGACGCTGACGATCTCTCAGCTACGGCTGAACTCAAAAGACGTGGTCCTACCAGTTTGCCTATGCAGTGGCCGAGAATTGTAGGGGTGCGCGTCGAATGTGGTCTGGTCCCACAGCGCTTGACCATGAAATTCGCAGGAGTAGAACTAAGCGGAGGGCTATCGTGGCCCTAGAGACTGCATCCTGAAATTAGTCTCCTTGTAGCGGACTATTTGTAAGGCCTTTCGTCGCTGAGATTCCTGAACCCAATTTAGATCAGGATGCACTTAGCCCTAAGCACGACTACGGCCTCTGAAGAGCTACTTTGGATTGGATGGGGAGCTTCAAGTCGCAGTCCCGATTGGCCGACGCGGTCTGATGCTAATTCGGCGAACAAGGGAGAAGCAGAACAGCAAGAGTCAAGTGCGTCAGTGACAATCACAGTCTGAGAACCTAAAAATCAACCTGCCAACGCTGCTGACGCCACCCGAAACGCGAAACGCACGTGATAGGAACAGCTGTTGGGAATGGCACAGCCTCCTCGCAAGTCTCCTCTCCGAAGTAGAGGCATGAAGCGCATTCTGCGCAGGATTAAGAAACGGATTTCGAAATCAAGACGAGCGAACCCTGCCTCGACGAAGGATGACAGTCCCTCGGCGACCGATGTCGGTCTCAGGCTGAAAGAGAACATCTCAGGCGCTCCGCGCCTTCCGCCGGAACTAGAACGAGAGATATTCGAGATGGTAGTCCGCTGCGATTGGGTAGAAGACTGGAGCCGCAATAGTGTGTGGAGCATGACGCTTCTTCTGCCTCTGGTCTGCCAGCGGGTTCGGCAATGGTAAGTCGCAGCTTGTGTTTTTCGAGCCTTTGTTGACCACAGCGAGGACAGGATTGAGCCACTTATCTACAGGAAGATCTCCATATTGCAGCCACACAACGGAGCACCGACCGAGGCGCTCTTCCTTCGGACCTTGGCCTCCCGACCGCCGTCCTTCTTCGCCGCGCACGTGCGCACACTGTACTTCCACCACGGCATCGAGTCACACGTCATACAGCGCGCGCTGGAGGTCTGCACCAACGCGTCGGACGTCGCGTGCAGCAGCACCTACGCCGCGCTCGCGCACTTGCTCTCCCCGTTCCCGATCACCCGCCTACTTGTGGCCGACGTCGAGGGCCTTACGGCAGACTCTGCGCCGTGGTGCAGAAACATCACGCACCTAGGACTCAGCGCGCGTCTGTCTGCGCATCCGGAGTCCCTTCTCACCACCTTCCCGTCGCTGGCGTACCTCGCCGTCGAGTGGGCCGCGGTCTCCACACCCGACGAGAGCGCTGCTGCTGCCGTGATCCGCGGCCTGATGGCGGCACAGGATTCGCAACTCCGCATGCTTGTGCTCGTGACGGAGACGAAGACGGATTATCGGTGGGCCATACAGAACCTGAAGGAGGCCGGTTTTGATTTGAAGGCCGCGCGGTTCCATCTGCATCTGAGGCCTGTGTTTGATGCGACGTGGGATTGTTGGCCGAGGCGGGATTCGGACTTATTCGCGGAGGCAGAGGCCAGTGCCATACAGGGACTCTGAGTTGAGTAGTACTGGATGAGCTCCAACTTGAAGGATGCACGGTGCCATGGCATCATATGATGCGATCAGTTCGAGCTCAATGGGCCAAGTCTACTCATCCACATCTACTTACAATTTTGAGTCCGTTCTCCTGGCCAAGAAACTAGGCTTTTGTGAAACTCTCACTAAATTGGATTTTCTGTCAAACAAGATTCGGAGCGCCCAGACTTGTGAAGGACAGACTGGATGTGCGCACGACTCGAGCAACCCCGCCTCTAGATTGGCCGAGCGACTAATTGACTACCTCATAGGAACTGCAATTTGACAGATATTCCGCTCAAACCCCGCTACAGTGGCGACGACGCCATCGAACCTGCCAGACGACAAGCATGGATGATGAGGAAGAGAAGCAGCATATTCTGCGCTTGCCCTTCACATCAGTCTCGGACCCACAGCCCCTGCAGGACTTGTAGCTAGCTCCCCATCGAAAACTTCTGGCGTTTTCAGTTCGATTGTCGAAAGGGTGGTTTGTAACGCATCTTGGGTAGCACGCGCGGCCGAGCTGTCGGGAAATGTCTCGGGAAAATGCACGTGTCGGAGGTGACCTCATCAGAACATGCTCCTGCCTCGTGTTGGCTGACCTCGTTTCTGTGAATAGCCTTCACTCCAATGCACGGAACGCGAGTCTACCGCGAGGAGCATGCACACCCTTGGACTCTCACCCAAACAAGCTCGCGAAACTCAGCTTCGCCCGAGCCATTTCACGGCCTGCTTCGATACTCGAGTGGCAGGGTTTAGAAGAAGGATGTCCGGTGCGTAACCGCGGGCCTCGCAACACGCGGCTGCCATGCTGCTGATGTCTCTGCACCACCGTGCTAGCGCTGATTTCCCCCGTGCAGGATCCCAGCATCTCCACCGCCGCTTCGACGCTAGGGAGAGCAGCGGCAGTAGCAATGCGCTGCGGCTCCGAGCCGACACGCCCCTCAGCTCGGCTCCGCTCGAGAGCGACTTCGATGCGGCGGTCACACATACTCAGCGGTGGTCCCGTGCGACCCGAACAGCGACCGTCGATCCGCGCGCCTCGAGGCTGCTCGATCACCTGGACGCTGCGACGCGCGTCACGTCGCCCCCACCCAGCATCAGCATGCCGCCGCTCAGCCCCGCGGCGAGGCGCGGTCCGTCCGTCGAGGGATGGCCGATGGCGCGGCAGCACGTCGCGGAGATCATCCGCGAGCGGACGTTGCGGCGGACGAGGCCCGTGGATAGGATCAAGAGCGGGAGTGTGCAAGAGTTCGCTGTCGTTTACCCTTTCCTCGAGGATGCTGCTGATCGTCGCTGTTCGCAGTTCCCACTTTGCCGATCCGCCGCCGCAGCAACAGCACGGGGGCCAGGAGTACGAGATGGTCGACGTGCAAGTCGTCGAAGAGACCCCGGAGCGAACGGTATCGATCTCCACGTGGCGTGAGCAGGTGATCCACGAGACGGAGATCGACGACGGCATGAGCGTCTGCTATGTCAATGCGGAGGGTGCCTATGTTCGTGTACGGGAGGAAGGAACGAGGCCGATGGTCGACCGGAGCCCGTCCATCCCCTCGAGCAAGGTCCTTCAAGGTGGGAGAAGGACTGAGAGCATATCGGTGAGAAGACCCGGATTTGTTTGATGTGGAGAGCATCCCATTGATCTGGAACCAGGAATTTGGTCGGCAACCATTGCGGCATCAGCCTTCCACTTCGAGCAAGCCCTCTTCCGATCCACGAACGTCCACACCGAAGGGAAGCGGGACTTTAATCCAGCCCCTCGATTCGCCATTATTTCATGCACTGAAACACACCGGCTCGATCATCAGCTCTATTCCTCCAAAATCCGCGGAGGAGCTGGACGACTTTCTCTGCTCGTGCCAGCCTTCTCTGCTGCACATCTCCTCCGTGCTGCATAAGGTCGGAATTCGGACTATGGACCACCTGCGAGCTGTGGGCAGATTATCAGCTGAAACCAGGAATCGGGAGGTCAGAGAGCAGGTGTTACGGCGTGGGGTCACTGTGGTGGAATGGGCGATATTGTTAGATAGATTGCGGGGGGTGTAGTTTCTCCATTTTCAGGGTTATTAACGATGATATATATGTACCTCAATGTACGTTGTCCCATGTATACTGTACACTAATAAATGCAAAGTGTGCTCCTAGAGAAAAATGCGTGAGACAGTGCAAGGTTGAAATAGAAATACAAGTAGAGAAGTAAGTTTTCACTCTGAGCGTAAACGTCTAGTTCCACCGTGTGACCGAGTAGTCCGTTCTCTTCGATGAAAAGTAGAGATTTCCAGTGTTCCCTAGGAGAAATTGCGAATCACACAAATCCAGCGTTCAATCCCCCGTGGAACGAATCTTGGTGGAGCCGCGGGGTTTTGCGTGGAGCCTGGGAATCGTCAGGTGCAGAACGTTTAAGGGACGGGCCGGGCTTCTTCTGCGTCTCAGGTACAGTCGATGTATGCTGCGCTAAAGCCACCGAGAAGAGGATGGACTATTGTGTCTGCTCAAATGCAGCGCCACTGAGCAGAAGAAGACACAATTCACGTTCTTGAGAGTACCAGGTGGAGTATCCGGCCTCAAATTGCTGCAGGTTTTCGACGAAAGCGAGGTGTTTGGCCATCTCCGTCGCGTATGTGGTCGAATCCTGTTCTGGCAGCGAGGTGGAATCGGGGCTGCAGAGGAATGCAAGCGCTTTCACAAGGTTTCGCATCGCCTGGGACCATTCGTAAAGCGAGAGACGCTCGTGCGAAGCGTCACCTCCCTCCTTCTCCTCGAGTTTCTTGTCGTCGACTACCGTGACCTTCTCGCCCTCGCAACGAATCGAACGGACTTGTTTTGTGTCGATGGCCCGTGGTGCGCCGTTTATCTTCTTCAGAAACTTATCAGTGAAGCAATGTAGAGGAATAGGAATCTTCTCGGCCATCGAACACAGGAAGAGATGAGGAATCTCTTGGGAGGCTCGTGTGGTGACCGAAAAAGCGGCGGTACTCCGTTGCAGACATCCCGCCAAAGGAGGAAGCGACTTCTCCTTGTCTTTCGACGCGCGCTCCAAGTCGCGTGCCCCTTTCCCCGCCTCCTCTACGCGCGCCTTCTGGTTTCGCGCCTTCTCGATGTACACCTGGAGGTAGGTGGGAAGCGGACCCGTAATAGCGCATATATTGGGCGATTCGACGAAATCGTCCATTTCGTCGGTTGTATATGCGTAAAATGCCCGAAGATGCGCACCCACGTCTTGACCAAGAACAAGACTGTTCGAACATGCCGCGTGGTAATAACTGAAAGTGGCGTTGCGGCTGGTGACGTTGTGCATCTCCACCTGACAGTTCCACGCGTTCCGTTCGTTTAAGGTATAGGAGACGGAGTGATCGGGGTAGATGTCGAGAGGAGGGGTGAGGTGGGCTTTGAAGTCGAAATCGGCCGCCAGAGGAAGCCAGAGATTGGTGACGGAAAGATACCGGCCTTGTGCCGCGATATAGTTTCCGTAGACGACATTATTCTGAGCCATTTGAGAAAGAAAAGACTTTCGGACGAGCGAGAAAGACGAGGTGCACGGAGACGACGAGAAGAAGTCGGATTTTGCCGTGCACCTCTCTATCTAATCTATCTACCTTATCTTACACTGATGTGATCTCGCAGCCATCTCTCACATCAGCTGACACGTCTTCCTGAAGGGGTGGTGATGAACATCCTGTCAAAGGAGATAAGATGGTGATCAGATCATCCTGATTGCGGGGGATGACCATGGACGGCGGACGCGGCGAGCCAAGGATGCCTCCGCGGGCACTCTGCTGAGCTAGAACCAATGTGCATGACTAGCCAGCCTATCCTCACATCCCCCTACTTACAAATCGTAGCACTTGTGCCTGCGCAGAGCACCATCGACGCGTCATTTCCTCGCGAATACCGGACATCTGCAGTTCCTTGATTACTTCCCGGCTCGCCGAGCTACTTTAGGCCGCTTCGGTCAGCCCAACCCCCCGCCCTCTGGGCCGCACTAGCATCGGCCCAGGTTCCCCTTTCCGCACTCCGCGATGTCCTGTCACTCCGATCGCGTGTTCCCTTCCCCTCTCCCATATCCGCTGCACTAGTCTTCTGCCATTGTACTGCGTTCGCGCCATGCCTGCTCTCTCGCTGTCTCCACGCGCCACTTGGCAGAGCGAACCCGCCGGTGGAATGAACGATACCTGCCGCGCGCTAATAGGCGGTGTGTGCCTCACCGCGGACGCGATCATCCTCGGTATGCTACCACAGCAGCCTGCTTTGTCCTGGCGATTTTTGGAGTTGACTGCGCGCTAGGTGCCGTTGCCGTTCTGCTTCTTGGGGCGGTAGTTTTCCACGTCGTGGTGCGGCATCGCGAGCGTGCTGAAGAGGACTGCGTCGCGCCGGACGAGACGGATCCGCCACCATATTCCGCGAGTGCGCTGTGGCGTGGTGCCGGGAAACACGGTGCGTACATTTAATGAACTGAAACTATGCGTTTCTCACCTCACCTTCGGGTAGACGAGCCGCGCAATTCCGCAGCGCCAGACGGTGTTCACGACGACGGCTCTGACCTCCTGTCGCGATCGAAGTCGATGACCCCGCTCTACCACGGAACCGATGGGGAGATTGTTTTGCTGCCGTTCTCGACGGATGGAACGATACTTGTGCACGGAGAATCTATATATATCTTGCCTCCAGCTTATGCGTGATATCTGTTCATGAGCTCTGGAACTGAAGAACGGTATATAGCACTCCTGCATGAAACCCGATATGTCAAACATTTCACTGTAATTATCGACTAATTCATAATCATGCTCAACTGGGACTGTTGATCATTTCGAATCAGAGCTTGGCTTTCACCTTGGCCTCGTACTTGGCCTGCAGCTCTCGCCGCAGCGTCTTGCCCGTAGCGTTCTTCGGGATCTGCACAGAGTTCGTGTTGAGACAGGGGCGGTGTTCCCTGGGATACAAACTCACCTCTCTAACCACCTCGATCCCACCCCGGAGCCACTTGTACTTGCTCAGCCTCTCGTGGTGCCACTCCTGCAAAGCCTTGATGACAGCGGCCTCGCCCGTCTTTCTCCCGTGCTTGCTGAGCACGATCCACGCCCGGGGCACTTTCTCGTCGGACGTGCGGCCGCCGCTGACACCCGCGACAGTCGCATCGGTGATCAGCCCGCCGGGGTGGGAGAACAGCACGTCCTCGATCTCCTTCGGCGACACTTGCACACCGGAGACCTTGAGCGTGTCCTGTAGCGGGATCAGCTGAAGCTGTTTGTCTTATTTATGCCTCTATTGGTACTTGCCTTGCCACGATCTACGAAGCTATCCGGCCACGCGTCAGCACACAACTAGATTGACTAGGAGTTGACGCCACTCACAAGAAGTACCCCTTCTCGTCAATCCGGAACTGGTCTCCGGTCCGCAGCCACCCGTCGCCCGCAAGCGCCTCCGCATTCGCTTTCGGGTTGTTCCAGTACCCAAGCGTGATGTTCGGCCCGCGGAGCCACAGCTCGCCGGTCTCGTTGGGGCCGGCCTCGCTGCCGTCCTCGCGCACGGTGCGGGCTTCCAGCCCGGACAGCAGGATTCCTGTCACGTTTGGCGGCGGCGCCCCCATGCCGAGCATGCCGGCGTACGGCCGGGTCAGCGCGGCGATCGTCTAGGCACAGCGGTCAGTACATACGCGCGGGGCAGACGGGGTGCACGGAAGGCTCATTACGCATTCGGAGAGCCCGTAGCCCTGTGAGACCTCGGAGCCGTTGGACAGCAGGCTCGTCATCTTGTCCGCCAACTGCTTCGGGAGGTAGGCTGCGCCGGAGATGATGGAGGTCACGGAGCTCAGATCTGTCTTGCGCAGGTCGGGGTGGGTGACGATCTGGTGCACCGCTGATGGGATCAGCGCGAGATGGGTTGCTCGGTATCTTGCGATCGCAAATCAGCAATCGTGGGCACAAGGCAGGGAGAGACGTACTTGGGGATGGCTTGCAAGTACTCCGTTGTGTTCCATCGAGGGAGAATCACGAAGGTAGCTTGAACAAGCGTGCATCTGAAGACATACGAGTGGAGCCCGTACGAATGGAACATCGGAAGAGCACCCAGCGCGACCAGTTCTGAAGGCCGCCTGTTGGGCTGCGCGAGTTTCTACATCAGCAGCCATGGCATCACACGGTTCCCGAGCTCACATTGAACGGGTCTGCCACTTGGGCAAGGATGATGCCCTGGTATATCGAACACAACAAGTTCCCGTGCGAAATCATCACCGCTGACGGCCATTCAGTCCTTGCCACTGAGATCATCCATCTCCCTGCATACCTTTCGGTAGACCGCTGGTCCCACTGGACATGACCAGATAGGCTAGCGTGTCCTTCGTGGCCGGGCGCACGGCCTCCAGAGCGATTTTTCTCAGCCGTACTCCGTCGATGAGCTGGGCGAGACTTTTGTGACCCTTGGTAGCCGACCCGTTGAGGATGTAGATCTTGTCTAATGGGATGTGCACCTCGCGGTTCGCCACCAGGAGCTTCTTCAGCAGATGAGCATCGACGAAGACGCGGGTGGCTTTCGTCAGTTTGAGGCCGTGGACGAGCTCAAACGGGGTCGAGTACGTCGAGATTAGTGCAAAGGGCGTCGCGATTGCCAGCAGAGACAGACACGCGTCAATGAAGTCCTGGTCGTCATGGGCTGAGAGTCCCTATCCATCAACGGAATACGACGTACGAGAGAGTTGTCGCCAAGCAGCGCCACGATCTCGTCTCCCCCTCCGCTCAAGGCCAAGCCCCCATCCTCGACTTTCGCGCCCAAGGCCGTTGCTCCCCACGCGATCCGCTCTCGCAGCTGCTTGAAGGTGCGTTTCCGACCCGTCCGTGCCTCGATCTGGACTGTGTAATCCGGCCAGTCCACCTGGGACGCGCTCGTTCTTGAGCACGCTGCACGGAACGACCAGACACCGCACTCGCCTGATCCGGTCGCCCAAACATGGCGTGATAGTAATTCATCTCGGGCAGCGTTGGGAGCGCGGGGAACGGGGACTTGAGGTACATCTCGTCGTCTTCGGAGGTGGCGGAGTCAAATTGAGGTGAGGCGAAGTTCGTGTAGCGTGCAGTGCGTAGGGTGTGCTCCACCGTCTGTGTTCTGACAAGGCTCACCGGATCCTAGCGTAGCCGGACGCCGACGGGTATGTATGACGGAAACGGAATGTCCTGTGACCAAGCTTGCGTCTGTCAGTTTACACTTGGCCTGAAATCAGACAGGTGGACGTGCCGCGGGTGCGCCGCGTGCTATTCCGACATCGCAGAAGCGCGCAGGTGGAGACATGCGGTCAGGGTCTGTTGGGAAGAGCCTTCTGCATCAGCATGATACCGTAAAGCGATGGAGAAATGTGCTAAGGGAAAGCATTGCGAAAACTCGTGAGAAAGAGTGGATTTGGATGAGAGCCGCGTTCGGTAGGGTCAATAAGATCCTTTATTGATTGGATCTTGTACGCAAATGCGGCTCGGACAGTCTTTGGATTGGCTGGTAGTAAAGTTGAGCAAACTGCTCTCAATGTGGATGGAAGGTAAATGCGAGACGGCCTCGATCAGGAAGTGATGGCCGTCCTTCTATCTGATGAGACTGACAACTTACATAAGATGGTGGACGTGCGATTTGATTGGCCAAAAGGAGACCAGTTAAAATCAACTGGAGCTTATTCGGCCACGGCTACTCCCCGATGGATCAGTTTCCCGGAGGCTGATTTACACTGCCAAATTGGCTGTTTGAGCGATGATTTGCATTATATCGGACTGAGGTCCACTGCAGTGTACATTCGGATTGATTTGAGTTGGAACTTTTTGTAGCGTTTCGAGCCAAGTTCCGTCCAATTTCGTGCTCTCTCAGCTGAGGCACATTTTACGAGACCCAACTGATCGCAGTGGATGAATAACTTGATTGTTAACTCCCCTCTGGCTCTCAGATAGGATGACAACTGCAAAAAGAAAAATTGCAAGCTTTGCCCGCGATTTACAGCGTTGCACCATCTCAGCATAGTAGCCGTGGGCCTATTTTATCCCTCTATTTCAGTGACGTAGCTTCCCGCAGAATATCTCTCTGTTAAAATTGTAGAACTGCCATGGTCAGTTTGCAGAGTTCGTCCACTCCAAAACGCGCTTTTCGATTGGGATTGACGCGCACCGCTTCGCTTTCAACGATCTACTTGTATGGGATGTGACAGGACGTCCCCATCAGATCTGAACCTAAGTACCTAAGATCTAACTTACTTCCTGATCAACGCAATCGTCAACAGCCACCGCCAATGCTAAATATTGACCTACTATCCATGCAGCCCTCAGGATCCTCCCGCATGCCCTTTCGTGAGGTGTCTTTGCAGAAGGATGAATGCAAGACACATAGAGGAAGCGAACGTCGCAGAAAACTCACGTGGATCGCGTAGCAGGCTGCGGCCATTAGGATCATAACAGCGCTTGGCCAGTGCTGCGGCATATGTCTCTTCCCCCCAATCTCCAGGTGTCGCCTGAAGCCTCGCTTTTGTTGAAGTATGGTCTGGGAGGCTGGGTAAGTCCAATGGTGCGGTGCTCCTCCGACATCCGCTGACGACAGAGAAGAACCTCGCAGTCAACGGCGACGTTTTTCTACAAGGGATCCTGCTGGTGCAGTTTTCCCACTACGTGTCAAATGGCTTCCACCGGACGGATCCGCTCCTTCTGCGCTTGTGGCTCGGAACTCTCTTCGCCCTCTCTCTTGGGAAGACCATACACTCGATGTGCGGCTTTTTTTCGCGTCTCAGATATGCATCTGACGCTCGGGGCAGAGTGATCACAGAGGTTCAGATGGAAAACCTGGGCACGGTCCTACTTCCCACAGGACCTACGTCCCAATACCTGACCAAATTTCAATCCACCTTCATTCCCGGCGTCGTGCTCGTATTCTATGTTCAGCTCTTCTTCTGTTGGCGCATCTGGGTACCCTCTCCCTGTGTCCGGTGCGCATTGCCGGCTGACTATCTCTCTTTTTCCAGACGCTTTCGCGACGACTGTGGTTGACACTGACGCTGGGGCTCATATTTACTGTGGCCATGATAAGTGGCTTAATAGCGGTACGCGCGAGAATTTGATTTCTTCGACGGTGGCCGAGGAACTAATCGCAACAGATTCTTCTTGCCTCGGTTGTCAGTTTGATATGGGGTCCGTTCTGTCCATATTTTTCTGAGCGATCGGCCCTGATCATTATAGCGGCCGCGTATCTGGCTATTGTTTTCGTCGGGGATGCCCTGCTTTGCGGACTGACGGTGTATTTCCTGCTCGTAAGCCCGTCCGTCTCGTTTTTCACGCTCAGATCCATCATTGCAACAGGCGTCCGCCAAACAAGTCTCACGTGACACCGCGGGCATTCTCGAGAGATTGTCGACACTCACCATGCACTCTGCCGCGCCCGGCGCTGTCTGCGCGCTGATCAATCTGAGTGTATCGCAGGCCTCGCCCAGTCTTCACTCGCTTGTCGGGCCGATCGATGTCCAGGCAGCCATCGCGCTTGTCACCGGCCAGCTTCTGCCCAAATTCTACGCGTTTTCTGCGCTGTGGATCTTGAATGGCAGGAAACGCATCCGGGAGGACATGCAGAGAACGCGGGACAGAGGTTCTTTCAACCAGCCGACGGCCAATCGCGTACGCAATCTCAGCATCCGGGCTACGGCAACCGATTTACTGGATCTCGAGAGTGCGAACGAATCGAAACATAACAGTTTCATCGAGTTTGCTGTTCCGGGCAAGGCCACTGCAAATTACGCGCTATCGATGAAGGATGAGGAGTCTGAGATAGAGCAGCGGTACCGGTCAAAGAGCGTCTCACTCGAGCAAGCGCTGAACGCAGAGCTCGATGCGCGTGGAGAAAACAAATCGGCGCGAATGTGAGAACACATTCACTTTCGAACACCTCGGTCAAACCAGTTTGTTGCTTCAAATTAGAAGGATTTCGTTGCAAAGAGCGCAACAAGGTTGGTTTACATTTTCCCCTGTGATATAAATATATCATGCAATGCTTACGTCCCTTGCTCATCTGTTCAATGCAACGATAACTGCTACCTTACCTCGTCTGTTTCTTCCAGATCCTTCTCTTCACCACTCAATCTCCACTGCTTCCCCGCAGTCAAAAGGACCGCAGCTAGATGGCATGTGACATCAGACTACCCTCGTCGATTGTCATGTTCTTTTGGATGTCTCGTAGTTTCTACGAAGAAACGCCTATCACGAAATGTAAGTCAACATAGAAAAAATGAGACTGACTTGATCCTCCTCCTTCGGCCACTGTCTGGTAATTCAAGCGCTCAAGCATTGCAGCCAACACCCTCGGAGTGCATCGCCGGTGAGTCGGGTATCGTCGGCCTCACCCGTTTGATCACCGGTCAGGAAGCGATGTCGAACGTTGAACTTTGAAAGGGCTAATTGATGATCGTCAGGTTCATTGCTACAAACATACATTTTGCCAGTCGGTAAATCACCGCAGGCGGTCGCATAGCCGGTCTGCGAGCTACTTTACGCTGGAAGTAGTGCCCGGAGTTCTTTGTGTGCTCGACCTTTTGGCATCCAATCTCCTCCCACTCACTACCGAGAGTGGGTTCTCCGTGGTCCGTGCAGAAGACTTGCCCAGACCGATCACGGACTTGGGCTCAGAAGGTCTGGCTAACCGAGTCGCACATGAAGAGCAGCCTGTGCAACCAACCTAACGACCTCCATGAGCAGCCCCGCTGGCGGACCGCTTCTTACGTCCCTGCCCCAACGGTCGCGCAACCCCCCATTATTGCTGAAATACGGTCTACAAGGATGGGTGAGTGTTACCCCATCTGGCACGGGATCACAGGAGACTGAAACGAAACGCTTCGAGTATCTCGCGGTCAACGGCGACGTCCTGCTGCAAGGCGTCCTGATCGCACAGACCGCCACGTACATCGGACACGGTTATCACCGGACAGACCCCCGTCCCCTGCGGCTGTGGGTGGCCGTTCTCTTGCTCAGCACTCTGGGACAGACGGTCTACGCGCTGTGGGTTTTTTAGCGGTATCTCCGTGCGAGGCCCTGCTCACCCCAGGCGCAGTGTTTGCACACAACTGCAGATTGAAGATTTTCCTGCGTTGTTCCAATCCACCAAATCGTTTGATGATTATCTGGACGACTTCCATGCGTCGGAAATATTGGGGGTGCTGCTGGTGTACTATGTGCAACTCTTCTTTTGTTGGCGCACCTGGGTGCGTGTCACCCCTCCGATTTGCCACGCAGCCCCCGATCCTGACCATCATCATTCAAGACGCTCTCAAGACGACTGTGGATCCCATTCGGTTTGGCGTTCATTCTCACGACAGCCTTTGTTTGCGGAGTAGTTTCCGTGCGTCTGTTTCCTTGGCGCGCACCATCACCTCACTGACAATCTCAGATTCTCGATGGTTGGGGCACCAGAGTCCCTTGGGGTACGTGACCCGCCGTGATGATTGTCGGCCTCTCAATGATCTTCCAGCGGCCGCGTATCTGACGCTGCTCTTCGCCGGGGATGGACTGCTCAGCGGAGCCACCATGTACCTTCTGCTCGTGAGAACGCCCGGGATTGTGGAGCTTCATCGTCTCTGACCCCACCGACAGACGATCGCAAAGGACGTGTCGCGCGACACGGCCAGCATCCTGGAGCGCCTTTCGAGAGTGACAATACAGTCTGCCCTCCCTGGTGCCGTCTGCACGCTCATCAATCTCATCGCGTCCCAGACGTCGCCCAGCTGGAGCGGAGCAGGCGGCCCGCAGGACCCCGCAGCAGCAGCGACCATCGTCTCAAACGAGCTGCTGCCCAAGCTCTACGCGTTCTCGGCCATGTGGATCCTGAACAGCAGGAAGAGCCTGCGGAAGGAGCTCCATCGAGACCTCGAGGGGAGTGGGAACGGCCACCCGCTGAGCATCGATGTCGCCACGTCCGATTCTCTGGATCGCGGCGGCGCAGAAGGGTCGAGAAGCCACAGCACTGTCCATTTTGCAGCAGGGCCCGGGGATGCGAGTCTCACTTACACAGTTCCGATGAAGGATGACGACGAGCACGAGGAGGAGGAGGAGGAGCACACACACCGAAGGTATCGTTCCAAGAGAGTGGATCTGGAGCAAGCGCTGCGCACTAGACTTGAGCTGGAGGGCAGGACGTGACACGCTGACCCGGCACAAGGGGTAAAACGGACATTTGATACCAGTAGTATTCTTAACAATTATTTATTGACATTTGAGCGGACATGCGTTGTTCTAATCCGATTTCTGGATTAGATTCGGGTTGGCTTTGCGAGACTCTAGAAAAATCCTTGATCAGGTTGAGCTGAAACGCGCGGGAATGACACACAATGATGAGCGACAGGAGCGAGCTTGGGAAGATTGGCTTGGATGACGGCGGCCAAGTTCGCCTTGAGATCCGCATCGTAACAGTAGCCGCAGGTTTGCGCATATCCAAGAGCACCAGTCAACGACTGAACCAGTTCCTCCACAGTTTCCAGAATGTCTCCGAGCAGATCAGGTCCGCACAGCGGATTGAGATTCTGGAACTGGCCCAGCAGCCCCGTCACGTCCGACAAGAGGCCGCTGTTTCCACCGCCCAGAATCCCACCGAGTAAACCGCCGCTCCCACCGCCGAGGATGCTGCCGAGTGCCCCACCAAGCAGACCATCAAAAAGATCACCTCCACCCAACAGCCCACTGAGCACACCGCCTCCGTTGCCTCCCAGAGCCCCACTGAGCAAGCCGCCGATGGGCTCGCCGCTCGAAAGGCCCTTAAGAAGGCCCCCATTTCCGCTCAGAATGCTACCGAGACCACCCAAGACTCCGCCGCTGCCCCCGCCGAGCAGCCCACCTGACCTGGTGAGGACCAGTTTGTCGACGATCCCGTTCAGGTTGAACACTGCGCTGGTGATGACGGCCGACGAGCCGGAGGCCGCGACTTGGGCGTTGAGTTCGTTGAGCTTCACGAGCTGGGACACGATGGTTGACGCTTGGGCACTGAGGCCGGTGCTGGTGACCTGCCAGATGGTGAATATACAGGATCCTACGAGCATAGTCGCAGATATATTCACTGTGGTGGTAGAGTTGACCCTTGACGACTGGCTCTATGAAACCGATCAGCGCTACGAGCACTGCGCCTTAAAAACGAGACAAACAGTGGGCGCAGCAAAAGCAGCGCCGATGCAGGAGGCGAGAGTAACAAAGACAGAGAAGTGCATGGTCGATTCAGTCGGATGTGTAGTTGGATGATGTCGACATGATGCTCTCTTCCCTCCTTTTATACCCTGCCCAGGTCGCCGACAGGTGCGGTCTGCAAATTGCGCAAGAAGAGCCTCGGGGACCAGGAACAGCCAAGCCTGCCGTCTCATGCGGAAGTGTTGGACAAAGGTACACGCCGGCGATGAACTGACAATGCGCCACCCGCTGTCGAGTTCGCCGCGCTCCACGACGGTGTCAATTGACGGTTTACTCGATTCCGAGGGAATTCGGTTGCTGGAAACGGACGAGAGAAGGGAGAGTGCCATTTTCTGGATCAGCTCCGCTTTGGTCCAGGCACGTCGACGCGCAGTCGGAGGATGTGGTTCCCCAGGAATAGCATGTAGATCCAGAAGATCAATGGATACGAGCACCGATACCTGTCCAGCACATTCGAACAGGGGTTGAAGCTGGTGCCTAGCAGAAGAGGTGCGAGATTAGCGAGTGAACTCAAAGTAAGTAGTAGCAGTTTCGACGAGGTTGCCTCATGCAAGTGTGATTTCCACGTGATTCTCAAAACCTCCTTTATATTGGTCAGTCTTCAAGCTTCAAGGTCTACATATCTGAGTTCAACGTTCAACAATCAATGGGATCATCGGGAAAAGTTCTCCCTGTTTCTGTGTCAAGCGTAAACAATCCTCGTCTGCGCTCAATGTGTAACACAGCCACGAGGACATTCAGGTCTGACCTGTCGATATTTGCAAAAGGACCATTTTTTTTCGTCGGGATCCAAATCTATGCCAGAACGCCGCCGCTACATAGATGGAAAACATTTCAAACGGATTTCGGTGCTTGCCAGTCTTTGAGCCATTCCTTGACGAAATAGATCATCTCCTCATGGATCTTGCGAACCTCCTCCGGTTCGTCGTCGAGGTTCATCAGCCCCCACTCGTCATAGTGATGCACGCCGTCTTGTCAAGACTGTCAGCGAAATCTGAAGTAGAAGGATAGCGCTGACTTACTGCGGATGATCTTGAACGGCTGCAAGACAGTGTCGGGCCTGTCGAACGCATTGTCACTGTGAGGCGTCATGGGCCTCCAGGGGTCGACTATAAGTTAGTGAGTTACTAGTCGCACACGGAGGTGAATTTGGCAGGACGCACTGTCTCCGTCAATGATAGCTAGTCGGTCTGCAGCGATCCCAAAGTCGCCGAGCTCGTTGACAACTGTGATATTCGGCATGGGCGGAACCATCATGTGTTTGCCGGGTGGGAAAGCCTTGCGAAGAATGAGCATGATTGCTGGGATCAGACTGAACAGAATCGTGAGGCACCTGAGCGCAGGTCTTGGTTGCGTAATCGAGCGTCTGGAGATTGGACACAATACGAGGGTGTTCCGGGTCTGGAGGTGCGGTCTGTTGACTTGAACACTGATTCATTCCTTGCCTGCTGTAACGACTCACGAAAAAGTAACCCCACTGCAGCGAACATCAATGTTTTACTCTTGTGAGATGGGCGAGCTTCCCTACCTCGGTGCAGACCTGGAACAGCCATAGACGCCAGTCTTGGTCGAGATCCGCGGCAAGATATTGCTCCTCGTCGTGCGTCCCAAAGCACTGCAAAATATCAGCGATGCTCGCTATTCATATCCAGCGGCATGCATACATCGTCAAGATCAAGCTCTTCCGGGCATCGAGAGACAACGTTCTCCTTTATATACTTGGCATAATTCAAGATCGTCCAGTCCAACTTCAGTCCACCCGGCACCGACACCATTCGCTCTGCAGAGTTATAGGGCAGAGCGCTGAGCGAGCTGAGTCCTGAACCGAAAGGAGGTGCGTTGAGGGCCTCGCAGAACTCGTCGAAACGGGTGGAGATGAAGTCAGGGTGCCAGCATTTGGACTGCCAGCTGCCCAAGGGAGTCTGAGCGACTGGTAAGTGACTGGCGCTGCAATTTAGCATGTGAAACGCATACAGAGATGACAGATGCAAAATCATCGTCGAAAGTGAGTCCTCCCAGACCAAAGAGCGACTTCAGCGGATTCGACAGCCGACCGGTCGCCAGAATGGCGTCGATGGTCTGGATAGAGTTCTCGAGATGCTCCATGCACACCGGGTCTGCCGCATTGCGAATGATCTCATGGTACTCCCAGTTCAGGTAATCCGCATGGGTGACACCGCTCGAGGAGATGGCGCCGTACACGAGATCAGGATACAGAACCTTCATGTGGGCAGCCCTAGCACCGGCGTAAGAGCCCTGGAAGACGTGTGAGAAGAATCAGGAAGGAAGAGGAAGCGGAAGCGCATACACCGTAGTAGATCCAGGGCGTGTTGGGTGCGGTCAGGTCCTCCTCGATGCCCTCGAATTTGACGTTCGCGAGAAAGTTCGCGCTATCCGCAGCCGATTGCGCGTTATTGAGCCATCTGAACATCAAACCGGTTAATGGATTGCATCGGCACAGCAGAAACGCGACGGACCTGAGGTTATCCGTGGAGAAGTTGGAAACTGGGATGGATTTGCCGTAGTATCGGTGCTCCAGGACGATGCCAACGCCACCCGTCGCGCGAGGTAGAATCTCCATGATGCCTAGTCGGATTCAAATCAGCTGCAAGCAGGGAGGTTGATCTGGGGCGCACCGGTATCGAGGAAGGTAATTCGATTCTGGGCTTGTATCGGATTTCAGCCGTGAGGTGCAGAGGCACGAGAACTCACCACTCCGCTAGTTTCGCCTCCATCCAGCACATACACAGGACCAGGCTTTTTGGGATCGTAGTGTCGGGTGTTGATCCAGTACCGTTGCAGGAACGTCGCGTTGTTGGATTTGTCAAAGTGGTCCAACGGCTGCTCGAACCACTGGGCTTTGAATTCCGCAGAGACCTGTTCCTCGGCACCGTCCGAGAACCCGTATCGCGCGGCTCCCTGGACGGTGAACCGCGACTTGGCAGATTTGGCTGCAGCGGCAGCTTGTTTCTCCAGCCGGTAGAGGTTGATGCCTTGCGGGCCGAGGCGCTGGAGGTGCTCGAAGTTCTCCGCGGCGTGAACTGAGAGCGCGAGAAGCACGGTTCCCAGCAGCATCTTCATCGCGGTGGTGGTGGTACGAGGTAGAGGGAGCCGGACAACGTCACATATGGATCCGCGCGGTTACTCAGTGCCAGCTGCCGCGGCCAACTTCTCATGATGCATTGATGGCATGCTCCGATTTTGATTGACCATCACTGATCCTGCGATTGTGACTTGTTGTCGACCACGCCCACGGACCACCCCGCTTTCGGTGCAGATCTGTTCGCATACTCTACTCGCACTACCGAAGACATGCGATTCAGTGTTCCTCGCTCGTCATCGACCTCTCCGGGGAAACGGTATGCCTCCATTTCACGTTTCCTCCCTCCATTGTGCGGCAATGCCAACTGCCTTGCAGGAGAACACCCCAACGGGCTCAACCAGCCCGCCGCAGCCAATCCTCCTTCGGACTGGTCTCATCTGACTCGGAATCTGACCTCTCGGATCGTGAATCAGATCCAGACTCAGTGGACTCGTTTCTCTATGCCTCCGAGTCCGAGATGCCCCAGCCACCCCTCCCCGTGTACGCGTTGCACACGTCCATTACGGGCCACATCCAACACTCTTCACACAGAAATTCCCGTAATAGAGCAAAAACGACACCGGAACAACAGCAGACAGAAGATACCATCGCTGCAATACGACTTCGCACACGACATCATGACCCTTACGAGGAGTGGGAGAAGCAGACACGCAAGGATGCGTTCGTGCGTGGTCGGATCCCCTCTTTTCTGGCCCTTCATTGACGACCACATCTTTCTCCAGCGTACAGCGCGCAAGGAGCAGACTGCCCTGCTGCAGCAGAATGCGGATGAGCTGGAGAAGAGCAGGATGGAGGAGCTGAGACAACTAGACGCGCTGCACGCGATGCAGATGGCGGAAGTCCAGAAACAGCTCGAATCTCTTAAATTCCAGGCGCAGAAGGAAGATGACCGGCTGCGGCAAGCGTGGAAAGAACGTGACAGGATGTTGTGGGCCCGAATCGATTCCGTCATTGCGGTGGAGGAGAACAAGGTCCGTACGCGGTTAGACGCTGAGCGCAAGGCGAAGGAGGAGCTGGATAGGAAGAAACAGGAGGAGGAAATGCGTAAGCGAGAAGCGGCGGAGAAGCAGCGTAAAGAGGCTGAGGAGAGGAAGAAGCAGGCCGAGGACGAGGAGAAGAAACGCAAGGACGAGGAGCAAGTCCGTGCTCGGGAGGAGACAGAGAGGAGAACACGACTCAGTGCTGAATCGTCAAGCAGGCAGGCCCTGGGCTTGACTGATGCCGAATCTGAATGGAAGCAGGCTCGGGCAGTGTTAACTGTGCGCATTGATCGACTCTCATTCTCGCACTTGCACTGATGCTCGTTCTAGACCCTCAAGTCGGACTTCATGAAACCGATCAAAAGCGACAAGGCGAAGAGCACCGTTTGGGGGGAGTATCGACGGAAGATCACGCCCAAGATCGGGCAATTGACAAACGACCTCCAAGCCATCACGCGAATTGTAAGTTGGATGGAATTGCAATGTCTGAGCTGACGAAAGCGCAGACTGATTTCATTCAACATCAAGTTCTCGCACCCCCACAACCATTACCCCCAATCCTTTACAAAGCGTTATTGTCATCATTATCGAAAGCCATTCTTCTACAGGCCGAAACCGAAGTAACGGCCGAGAAGAAGGCAGCGATCCCTCTCGCGCTGGCATCCTTCAGGCTGTTGGAACAACTGGAGGCATTCCCTGAAGTTTTCTTCGCACGGCTGTCCCACCGATGTGGAATCTGGTTGATTCCATGTCCCCTCCCAGAGAAAGACCACGACGGACGACCATGGGCTGACAAAGTCGAGCGTCAGAAGATGCAAGGTTTCCGACTGAGCTCAAGTGACGATGCCGAGTCTTGGGAAAGCATGCAGGAATACTCTGACCGGATATCCGGGATGATGCGACTGTATTTTCATATCATCCGAGTTGTGCCGCAGAACAAGCCGCTGCACCCGTTATTCCAGCTTCCGCGCTGTTGGCAGTGGCTCTCGAGGTTGTTGAACGAGCGGTCACTGTTGGAGTCGCCAGTGGCTGCGCAGCTGATATACAGTAAGGTTCTTCCGCTACAGACTCTTTGCCTCGACTGACGGACTCCGCAGCGCTTCTGGATGTTATGGGCTCGGACGCACTCCAGGTCTGGGGCCAGCAGTGGGCGAAGATGCTCCAGCTCATCTATCAGGGCATTACTGAAGGGTATGCTCCTGGGAAACTTATTGGCGGAACTTCTCCACTGGGCATAGCTGCTCGTTCTCGTGTGCAGTCTGAGGTAGAGCGGATCGTGGCCGGAATCAAGTAGTCTGGCGTTTGACAGTTTATTCTTCTTGTACTTGCTCTCGTCATCTATTGCATCTATTCGGAATTGTCCAGTTTGAATCAGATTTCGCTCCAAATGTGTGACAAGCGAACCGTGAATAGGATCGATTCGATTAGCTACAGTCAGTAACCCGCGACAAATTCGATCCCCCTAGTCGAAACAAATCCAGTCGCCTGTTCCGCATTCCTATCCACAAACACAAGCTCCAGATTCAGCCCGATGTCGACAAGGTCCTGCAGCGAAGTGAACATGTCGGATCGCGGCAACCGGGTGAATGTAGTTTTCACACGACGCAGAGTGGGACTCCTGCTCCTGATCAATTGGCAAAATGACGAGTCAGACAGCGAGCATTTCGACACCGTCAGGTCTCTGAGCAAGGGGCATAGCTCGGGGTGCCATTCGAGGATGGAGATCGAGGTCCCAATGACGAGATGCGTGGTCTTTGGAAACTGCGTGAGGAGATCCAAAGTGACGTTTTCGTTGATCCTGTAGTCCTGCACCACCAAGGTGAAGGAATCGGGAGGGATGGCAGTCCGCAGGACTTCGTACCAGGAGTCACGGGTGTTGTGCCGAACTTGCAGGTAAGCTAGCCGGGGCGCATTGATGTGTTTAAGAAACTCGGGAAAGTTGATATGGTAGCATAGGTGGAGTAGAACCAGATTCGGCAGACCAACGGCTTCCTTCGAGCCTATGAATGCCTCGTCGACGGTCGCCCTGACACTGCATCGAACGAGATTGGAACATAGGCGGAGCAGACTCAAAATCTGGTTTTGGTTCAGTCCCGAGTCCGCAGAAACATCGTTGCGCTCGCTTCTGAAGCAGGAGATATTCAGCTCTGTCAGTGAAGCCCAGGGCAATGAGAGGGTCGGGGCAGGTTGTGCCATGGTCACATATAGCGACACAGTGTGCAATCGGGAGGCGGCAAACATGTGGAGGTCCCATGCCACTAGCAATCCCGGGCTCCCAGGACAGTGTATCGCAACATCCTCGAGAAGAGGAAACGCACTGGCGCCCAATGCAAGAATCGGGGCAAGTTCTTCGGTGAACGCACAAAGGTGAAGCTGTCGCATACGACGAGTAAACGGGAGCAGCGCGAGGATGGTCTTGGAACCTTCTAACGGGTTGCTGAGCGAGGTCTGGTACGGGACAGTCGTCACAGATATGTCCAACGGAAGCATGCCCGACCTCGTCAGCCATATGTGGACCAGCGGTGCCAGCGCAACGTCGTACGACTGCGTGACATGGGAAATAGGGATGTGCACTGACGTCCAGAGACGAGGGGTCTGGTGCGATACGTCTCGCCAATGCTTGCATACGCGGCCGAGTAGTAGCGGGGCATGAGCGGGGTCGATCAACGCATTGTGTATGGTTGGCAGACACGCAACGAAGACGAGCTGCACTATTTCGATTGGAAGGCGTCGGAACGGGGATATCAGTGCTCTATGAGCGTCGGCGAAGGACTTCAAGGGTTGTATCTCAGTTTGTAGCTGAAGAATCCTCTCCTGCAGTTTCTCGATCTCTGCCATGTTCCTTGACATCACAGCCTCGGGACCGGCCAGAAGACCGTGTATCGCATCGATTTCTCCATCTGAAGGGACATAGTTTGTGCCCAGTCGGGAGAGAAACGGCGAGTTAGTGACTGCCATTGATCAAGGCAGGGTACATGATTCTGAGGCCAGCTCCAGCATGATGATTGATTGCATCGCCAAGCTTCCTTCTCTGAGCATCATCTTCCGGTCTCAGGACTCAGAGCACCCGTGTACATCCCACGAGTCCCCGCCTTCAATCGAACTGGAGAATGAAGACATAGGTTTTTCTCTGGTCGAACCAATAGTCGCACTGTCCTATTGCAAAGCCCAAGGGTCTTGACCCAGTCGGACTTAGCCTACGAGAGAGACCACACCTTTACGCCTCGAGCCTCAAGGCATCATGCTCCACAGGACGTCTTGCCCTCGAAACTGCATATGAAGACCCTCAGTTAGCATTGGTGTGGGGCCTGGTAGATTCGACAGCGGGTGGCGTATTGTCCGTGTCATTTCCTGAGCTGCGTGTGCCCGGGACAACTATTCATACTTCAAGGTTGCTCCCTTGTTAGAAGACCTTTGACAACTCCGGTTTGTAACTGGCGACTGTTGGCCACCTCCCGCGAAGTGTGGCCTGGTCCAACTGACGCGGTGCCTGTCGAAAACCAATGATAGTGGCGAAGATCTTCCTGATTCAGTAATATCCTTGGGCATGCTCCAACTCCTCTTTGGATAATATTTCCGTTGGAGACGGTCAGCTTGGCTCCAGCTTTCCCTGGTCTCTGGATTCGTGCGCAGAGTTTCCCTGCGAGGACAAGCGCTGCCCGCACCTGTCGGTACTTTGGGTAGGGTATATAAGGAGGGACGAGCGTGCCATGTCGAAACCATCCAACTGCGCATCCAACTGAATCGACCATGCACTTCTCAGTCTTTGTCACTCTCGCCTCCTGCATTGGCGCTACTTTCGCTGCGCCCACTGTCCAGAGCCAGTCGACAAGAGTCAACTCTACCACCACAGTGAATATCTACGACTGTGCTCGTAGGATCTTGTATATTCACCCTCTGGCAGGTCACCAGCACCGGCCTCAGTGCCCAGGCGTCAACCATCGTGTCCCAGCTCGTAAAGCTCAACGAACTCAACGCCCAAGTCGCGGCCTCCGGCTCCTCGGCCGTCATCGACGGCGCAGTGGTCAACATGAACGGGATCATCGACAAACTGCTCCCCTTCGGGTCAAGTGGGCTGCTCGGCGGGGGCAGCGGCGGAGTCTTGAGTGGTCTTGGTAGCATTCTGAGCGGAAACGGGGGCCTTCTTAAGGGCCTTTCGAGCGGCGATCCCATCGGCGGCTTGCTCAGTGGTGCTCTGGGAGGCAACGGAGGCGGTCTGCTCGGTGGACTTTTGGGCGGAGGTGGTCTGCTCGGCGGTCTGCTCGGCGGTGGTCTCGGTGGAATCCTTAGCGGCGGCAATGGAGGCTTGCTTGGTGGGATTTTAGGCGGTGGTGGAAACAGCGGCCTCTTGTCGGACGTGACGGGGCTGCTAGGCCAGTTCTCCAATCTCAATTCGCTCTGCAGTACGGAGCTGCTTGGAAATGTTCTCGAAACTGTGCAGGAGCTGGTTCAGTCGTTGAACGGTGCTCTCGGAGATGCGCAGAACTGCGGCGGCCAGTGCTTCAACGCAGATGTCAAGGCGGACCTCGCAGGGATCCTCCAAGCGAATCTTCCCAAGCTGGCTCCAGTCGCTCTTCATTGTCAGATATATCTTCTCTTCCGATTTCAACTTGACCAACGATTTTCTAGAGTTCCCCACAGTCAGTCCGAGTGTGCTTTTACAACTGCATCGCGCGCAATCGAACGGTTGCGAAGCGGAATCGATGGCACACGCTTTAAACCAAATGACGGTAAATAACTATTAAGAATATTAGCTGTATCACATCTTCGTTTCGCCCCTTCTGCCGGGTCAGCTGTCATAGTTTGTTTTCCATTTCAAGTCTGGCGCGCAAAGCTTGTTCCAGAGTCACTCTCTTGGAACGATACCGTCGTCGGCTGTGCTCCTCTTCCTCCTCCTCTTCCTCAGCCTGCTGCTGCTCCCGTTCTTCCTCCGCCCGGTCGTCTTCATCCTTCATTGGGACTGCGTAAGTTGCATTCGCCTTCCCCGGTACTGCAAATTCCACGGCGCTGTTGCGTCTCGACCCATCCTCTACGTCGCCCAGTTCCAGGGAATCAGTCATGGAGACATCGATGTTCAGCGCCTGGGGACCAATCGCGCTCCCGTCTCGCTTCCGGTCAATTTCCTTCCTCAAGCTTTTCCTGCTGTTCAGGATCCACATGGCGGAGAGCGCGTAGAATTTAGACAGAAGGTGGTTCGAGATGACCGTCGCTGCCGCGGCGGCATCCTGCGGGCCGCCTTCTCCGTTCCAGCTGGGCGACGTCTGGGAGGCAATGAGATTGACGAGAGTGCACACGGCACCAGGCACGGCGGCATGTATTGTCAACTTTGAGAGTCGTTCCAGGATGCTGGCTGTGTCGCGCGAAACGTTCTTGGCGGTTGCCTGTCGGAGGGATTACAGATAGGTAACTCCAGAATGCCAAGTATGCTCACAAGCAGAAGGCAGATGGTAGCACCGCTGAGCAGTCCGTCACCGACGAAGAGAAGTGTGAGATACGCAGCCGCTGAAAGCTGATTAGAGGCGAGGCCAATGAACGATGCGCCAGGACACGCACACCAAGGGACGCTAGGGCTCCTGCCATTGAGAATCTAGTCTCCTCAGCGTGCTGGATGATATACAGGAATTGAACAGACGCACGGAAACCATGCCAGTAACACAAGCCGTCGTGAAGATGAATCCCAGACCAAGCGGAATCCACAGCCGTTTCGAAAGCGTCTTGAATGATGGTCGTGATCATTGGTCATGCAGCAGAGCGGATGGACACGCACCCAAGTGCGCCAGCAAAAGAAGACTTGCACATAGTACACCAGCACCACCCCCAATAGTTCCGACACTCGGAAGTAGCCTAGATAATCTTCAAAGGTTTCGGTGGATTGGAACATGGCAGCAAGCCCTTGCATCTGGGTTTGCGTGAAAACACTGCGCCTGGGATCAGTAGGGACTTGGGACGAGAGTTCCGGCAAACACACAGCGCGTAAATCGTCTTGCCCAAAGTGCTAAGTGTGAGAACCGCCACCCATAACCGCAGGAGGCAGGGGTCTGTGAGATGATAACCATGTCCAATGTATGTTGCGGTCTGTGCAATCAGGACGCCTTGCAGCAGGAGGTCGCCGTTGAGTGCGAGATTCTCGATCCGTTTCAGTCTCCAATGGCCCCGTACTGGATTTGGGCTAAACTCACCCAGCCTCCTAGACCATACTTCAACAACAATAGGGCATCCGACGACGGTTGAGGCAATGACATAAGAAGCGCTCAGCCAGCAAGGTTGGTCATGGAGGTCGTCCGGTCGTTACTGCACGGTTTTCTATATAGGCGAGCTCGGTTAACCTGAGCTTCTGCGGCGCGTCAGGCCGTGATCGGTTTGGGCGAGTTGCATGCACGAACTGCGGAGAATCCATTCTTTACAGTGAGTTGCAGTAGATTGAATGCCAGAAGGTCAAGCCATACAAACGCCTGAGCCGCTGCGTCCAGCCGACAGTAGCTCACAGGCCGGGAGACACAAGCTTTGGACTCCCATCCTGCCAGTGTCGCCGCATACGGTGATTGACAGACGAGCGATGCATTAGGCCTGACGATCATTGGTCATTGATCGAGGCTGACGAAGATCGCTCAAAGAGGCAAGTCCGACAAAGCCCGAACGTCGGCGAAACACTGCGGTGAGCCTGTCGTCTGCGATGCTTCAGCCCTCAAGCTCATTCTAACAGAAATATCCCAAGTTGCGACGGAGCCTCAGAGATCGAGCTAGTCTCCCCACCTCCCGGCTTGCTCGGAATTTGTGACTCGTGCTTTAGGGCAGAAACCGCGTGTCTGCTCGAAATCACAATCGAGTACACCGGCCTTCATATAATCGCAGGCAAGTACATCTCTTTACGCTTTGGATTTATTCCTTGTTTCCAGGCAGGGCTTCTCTGATTTTTGATTCGAGGACTCTCCAAGACCTCTGAACTTACATTCCTCGTTGAATTCTCGTACATCTCAAAGCTATTTTAAATCATGGAGGTCTGTTCCGCCTTCCCCTTTCTCATGCGCAGCTGTCTGAAGATAGCGGCCTAAAAATATACAGGTGCTTCACTATCATAGCATTTAGCATGCTGCAGCACTGATTTCGTCTTGTATTCGTAAGTTGTTGGCCTGTGCAATATATGTAGAAGTTGATCGCTTAACGTCGTCGACTTGGTTGTAATATTTGCAAAAGCACCTCGCGCAAGGGGTTGCCGGCCGCTCTGCGGCCGGTGAACGCACGTAAATGATTAAGAACCCTAAATGATACCGTATGTACGTCTGTCCGCTATACCCAGTTAGACCTGTTACATGCCGTTCTCCTTCTCAGACCTGGCCCGCAGGGCTTGCTCCAGAGTGACTCTGGTGGAACGATACCTTCTGCCGTATTCCTCGTCTTCGTCCTCCCGTTCTTGCCCCTCCTCTTCATCTTCGACCTTGATTGGAGCTGCGTAAGGTGAATGTCTCCCCTTGGGTGCTGCGAATTCGATAACACTGTCGTGCTTCGTCCCTTGTAAATCGCCCAGTTCTAGGGGGTCGTTCGTAGAGGCCTCAACGCTTGAGCCCTGACCGAGCTTTGCCGGATGGCTCATTCTGCTTCCGTCTCGAGGGCGATGGACCCCCTTCCGTAGGCTTCTCCTACTGTTGAGGATCCACATAGCCGAAAACGCGTACAATTTGGGAAGGAGCTGGCTTGAGACGATCGACCCCGCTGCTGCCATATCCTGCGGGGCCCCTACTCGGCTCAAACTGGGCGATACTTGAGAAGTGATGAGAACGACGAGAGTGCAGATGGCACCGGGCACGGCGGCATGCATGGTGAGCCTTGACAGTCGTTCCAGGACGCTTGCCGTATCGCGCGAAACGCTTCTCGCCGTTGTCTGTCGGTGAAGTCACTGACAATGAAATGCAAATATGTTATGTGCGCTCACAAGCAGAAGGTACATGGTGGCCGCGCTAAGCATTCCGTCCCCCACGAAGAGCAACCCCAGATACGCCCCCGCTGGAGGACAGTAGAGTAAGAGCTAGGGCTAATGAGCAACATGTCGGCAAACGCACACCAAGGAACACCGCTGGTCCCATTATCCAAAATCTGTTTGCCGTTAACAAGCTGACGATATCTGCAAAGACACCGGCGCACCGAAAACATGCCGCAAACGAACGACATCGAGAACATGAGTGCCAGACCGAGCGGAATCCACGGCCGTTTCGAGAGCGTCTTGAGGCTTGGTCATGATCCGGGGCGATGCGGTGAAGTGGACGGAGGACACACCCAGGTGCGCCAACAAAAGAAGAGTTGCACGTAGTACACTAGCAGCACCCCGAACAGTTGTGTCATTCGGAAGTTTTGCAGGTACCGATTGAAGGATCTGGTGTCCGATTGGGTCTGAAGATTCAAAGTCTGCAGCTGGAGCTGGGTAAAGACACTGCGCTTCAGGGTCAGCAAAAACTCAAACACGAATTGCGGGAAACATACAGCGCATATACGGTCTTCGCCAAGGTACTAAGCCAGAGACCCGCCACCCACAAACGCAGAAGGGAGGGGTCTGTGCGGTGATAACCGTGTCCTAGGTATGTGGCAGTCTGCGCAATCAGTATGCCTTGTAGAAGGACGTCGCCATTGATAGCAAGATTCTGGATGCGCTTAAGTCTCCGGCTGTTCCCGCGCTGGACAGCGGCAATGCTCACCCATCCTGCCAGACCAAATTGCAACAAAAGTGAAGAGTCCGGTTGTTGTCGAAGCGGGGCCATAAGAAGCCCGCAGCTAGTTTCTCCACGCATTTCTTTATAGGCGGCTCAGTTACATAACTAGATGGGTCCGTGATCGGCCGGTGTGTCCACGATTTGGGGAAGAACGCACCGTCCACCATCCTTTAATAGCAGAAGGTTGAGGCACCCAATCATCTGAGCCGTTGTATACCATCTTACGCGTGGAGTGCAGCATGACACCAGCTCGACAGCCGATCTCCGCTTAAGTGATCTGGTGTAACGGGCATGACGAGTAGGGCCGAGGGATCGAAGAACGGCATGAGCACTATCGCCAATGCGACGCATTGGCAACAGTGCTCTGAACTCGGGTCAACTAGAAAGTGAAAGTTGTCTGAGAGCAACGTCTGGGAGTTTTGCTTTGATCTTCCACTGAGCCATCTGCCACAAGTTGCGATGAAGCGAGTGGCTCAGGCCAACCCAAGTTTCGTTACTTGTTGATCTTGGCGGAAAACACGCGTGCGCTCGATGTCGCTTCACAGACGTGCGTTTTCAAATGTTTCATCGGATAGGATTCGGCGTTGAGGAGTGCTGGAAAGTACTGCATGTCGCATTGGGCAAAGAGACGAATCTAAGATGAACAAATGAGGCGAGGTAGCAATGGTCATTGAATTGTAATGGGTGAGAAAGAACGTAGGGAATGAATGAAACATGTGCGCGTCATATACTACTCGATTCCGCATTGTCCTTGCAGTGAATCAAGTCCTTTGAGACGCTGCAGTTGCCAGCGCAGTGGTCAATATAGCCGTGCTAGTTCCAGACACTGGTCTGACTATCCGTCCAGTCAGCACCGAACAGACGTTTGGTGCTTCTTCCCGGTCGAGGACAGCTTGCCCGCCTGTAGTATAGACCGTGAATGGCCACAAGGAGGAAAGCTCGCGATGGCACAAAGCAGAAAGCTGTCCGGATGATCAAGCTGTGCATCAATGATCTCTGTCGCGATCAGGCTCGGTGGCCTTGGATAGGCGATTTGTCACAAGTTGTCACCAAAAATGTCCTTGGAATCCGACCTTCACCCTGTGCCCGACGTTCATTCCTTTCTCGCATCCACTGCTGACGACGACGACGCGGACACCGCCTCGCAGCGTTCGATTTCTCTCTCCTCTCCCGCCGTCTCTCCCCGCAATTCTCTCCAGAACCACGGCACATCGCATCGCGCGTCACATCCATACACGCTCGACACCGACCTCAGCTCGGAGCCCGATGACTCGAGCAGCGTGTACACGCACGACATGGGCATGCAGGAGAGCCCGAACACGTCCGTCGCACCGTCCGTGATCGAGGAACCGAGGGACGCTTTTCCCACTAGCAAGACCATGATGCCAACGTATCCGCCGTCCCCGCCACGAGGTGACGCGGCGTCCATCGCTTCGGTAGCCTCGGGCTCTTCTCGCAAAGCACGTCCCGAGTCTATGATTGTGCTTCCCGGAGACAAACCTCTCATCCTGGGCATCGCATTGGTGGACTTCAATCACTTAGTAGGCATCTTCTCGCTCGTTTCTATTGCATCAACTGATCCGCACTAGGTCGGCCCTCGTATCGAGTACTCGCGCGGGGACATCTTCGACGACGAGGAGGTCACCAAGATCCTGCCCTTCCTGGCGTTGCCAGATGGTGCACATCTCGTACGTCGCCGCGCGCATCAGTCAGATGGGTGACACATTTGACGCGCCGTTGCTATAGAGTGCGGAGGACTACTCTTATTTCCATCTCGTTCCTTCTGGATCCAACCCTACGACTATCTTCGGCATTTCATGTAACCAACAGATCGCGTCGACGGCGTTGCTCGTCAAGACGCCAGACGTGACGCGGTCGACTGTGCAGAAGGCGGTGGTTGTGCTTGCATCAAAGCCCATTTTCGGGCCGATCAGGTGCGCGGCGGTCTAGTCCTTGCCTCGCTGTTGCTCATCTCTCGTAGGGACAAGCTGGGCGTGGTCACCACGGCACTCTTCCATCAGAGGTGACGACCGTCATGCGATCATCTCTACGCTGTGTTTCAATGATCTGGGCAGGGATTTCTCGGAAACGGCCATCTTAGACGACTTTGGGTCCTCTTTGGAGACTTCTGTTCGGGGTCAGCTGTCAGAAAGCGGATTGTTCATTGGGACTAACCTGTATGCTGCGCGATCTCGTTCTTGCATCTCAAGCTGACTCTTCACATAGCCGCGAACTTGTCCACACATTCCGACAGCGAACACTGCTCCTCGTCAAAGCGTTGTTACTTCAGAAACGGGTGTGTCCGCTGTTCCTCTTTCCTAGCGAATCTCATTCTGTCAAGATTCTGTTCTACGGTCATCCTGTGGAACGCCTCTGCACCTATCAATACTCGCTCGTCTCGCTTCTCCCAGGTCTTCTGCAAACGCTGGATGACTGTGGATCGCCCCCACTGTCCAGTCGGGCGCCGACTCTCACCCAGCCGACATCTTTACGGACCTCTGACCGCAAGAGCATGATGGCATATACTGGCCTTCCACTGGATATATTTGGGAAGGACGCGTTTTTTCAGCCTTATTTGCCACTGCAGCAATTAGACCTAGCTGCTGAGACCAAAAGCTGGCTGTGTGGTAGCACCAACTCGATCGTCACGCAGAGGAACGAGGTTGATTTGTTCGTGAATGTGCGTGACCGAGTGAATCATTTTGTGTGTCTGATTGTTGACATATTTCCAGACGGAGACTGGTGTGTTGGAGTTCCGGGACCCCAAGTTGGAGCGAAGCGCCGGATTGACGCCCGCGGACCGGAAGTGGATGGATGACATTGTCAAAGATGTCAATGAGGGCTGGAGCGACGAGGAAGGTCGGCCGGTCAGCATTATGTACAAGGGCAGCGACGACTATCTACGAACCAAGGTTTGCCTCAGTCGACTTGTCAACCGGCGCACCTGACCAGGATAACAGTTTGAGGAGTACATCTCTGCTTCTCTGGCTGCGGTCAGATATCGCGATTTCCTGTCGAAAGGTGGAAAACCGATGATCGGGACAGGCTTGGACTTGACGTCCACGGATGACTTTAATCCGCTTTGGATCAGCGAGTTCAAAAATACCAACGCCTATGAAGTCTGGGCGCGCACCACCGACCCGCTTCTCTTTGATCTCGTAGAGCCACGCCATCCATGTGTTGACAAGCCATCGGTTGTTGCGGACATTGGGCTTCGTTTGCAGGAGGGAATCCAGGATCTCAAGATCGAGCAACAGCTGGCTCCGACGCGGGAGGCCATTGCCCGCACGATCTCTGTGGGTTCCACCAACTTATTCAAAGCTTTCGAAGGGGTCCGCGAGCGGTGGAATCAACCCAAGGAACCTGCGCTTGAGAGCGTGCCCGGAACACCGGTCACCGCGAGCAAAGCCGATGTTCCTCCCCCGAACTCCCGACCTCTTCTCCTGGCGCGCAGTTCCACCATCGAACCGAGTGCGGCACCAGCACCGAACCCCGCACGGCAGACAATCTCATCTTGGGGCGCCGGGCTTGGGTCGTTCCTGAACCGGATGCCGAATATCACCAAACGAGACAGTGCTGCTGCTGACATGCCACCACCGATTATTACGACTCCGGAGGAAAGCCCGAATGCGTCTACCCCGTCGTTCCTCGGCATCCTCTCGCCGTCGGGTGTGTCGTCGCCCTCGGTCTTTCCGCCGACTCCGCAAGACGCGGCTCCGCTCAACCCCGTCTCGTCGGCGTCCGTGCCGCAGCAGGCATCGACATCCCCACTGAGATCCTTGTCGCTCTTGACGCCCAAGGCTCCGGCGCCGGTTGCCGCCGCTCCAACGTCGGAACCGGAACCGGTTGCGAAGGAAACACCCTCGATGGATCTCATTCATGACGAGCCGCATCCTATCATCCACGACGAGCCTGAGTCTGTTCATGAAGAGCCTGGCAGCGTTCACGAAGAATCTCTTTCGGAGATCCACAGCGAGCCCGCACCCGCTGCCGGGTTTGCCGTGTAACGAGCGAATCGCTCGCCCACGTTCTTTACCTGACCCACTAAGCTCATACGTGTATATTCTATTGTACAGCCCACGGCAGTTGCTCCGGAGCAGCTCTGTCTCATTCGTACCGGTACATCTGGCATCACTTCATCGGGATGTGTTTAGAAATTATTTATGTCTTTTTGACGAACACATGATCGAGGATAATGTCTGCAGAGATCAAGGTAGGAGCGTCCATATCCAACTCGATGCTGGTGAGGTGGTTGGGATCGACCGCCAGAGCGAGGGAGCCGGAGTTCCCCGTGATATGCATGTCACACATTTGACAAATCTAATCCACTTTGGTTGCCTCACGCCCTGCACCTTGCTTCTGTCCCCTTGCCTGTTGGCTCTCGCTTTCCTTTCTTCCCCTTGTTTTCCTTCTCATGAGATCCAACTCTCGCCTATCCAAGGCGCTCTCTGTTGGTTTGACGGTCTCCGTTCTCCTTCATGCCGCTCTCGGATCCCCGGCGCAATTTCCGCTCTCGATGGAGGCGGGGACAAGTGCGACTGCTCCCATAACCACCGGCGATAAAGACATGGAAGTCTCCAACACTGCGCCCGTGGGCTGGTACGACCCTCGAGCGGGCGGTGGGAGAATGCTTGATGTGCGTCGTGCTACGGGTTCTTGTCTCTCGTCGTTCATGCTAGGATCACAGTTCACCACCAAGACACGGGGGGAACCGCTCAATGTCATCATCTCCGGCCTGTCCGATCCGTTCGTCCTCACCGATGAGGGTTTCGAGGCGTACGCTCGCTCCATCGGCTATGCGCGCGAATGCATGGGTTTGCATTGGGGTGCGGATTCCGTCTACATCGTCTCCATTCCTGCCGCTCACAGTGTAGCAGGAAACGTGCATAAGGCTGATCTTGGTGACGGCGATGGCCGCAAACCCGAAGTGCTTCTGTATCGGCAACACTACAAGCTCCCCGGCTGGGGGACATGCTGGGAGAGTTTCGCCGGGGGACAGCACTTCCGGGCGTGGAAACAGAACGGGACAGCTGCGAATAGTGGGGCATGGTTTCTCGGGTGAGTGTTCAATTGTTCAGTTCTTCGCTTGCGATACAGCGGCGAGAAACGTGCGTGCCACTGCGCGATTTCGTTTCCGCCTCTTGTTCCGCTTCACATCACATTCTGATTACGCGTTTCCTGTTTCAGGGCGTCTAAGGAAGAAGATGGCCGGCGCGGGCATACGATCGTTGCCAACGGCTGGAACATCGGGCGCGATTGGCTGGTGGAGCAGACGCTCGCTGAATCGCAGCCTGTTTGGGTTCCGTACGGAGCGCTGTCCCCTCAATCCCTTGCTACATTGCGACCGCGAGGCGATGGGAGTGGAGACTTGCGAAGCGAACAATGGCCGTGGCCTGAGACGGGAGGAGAGCGGATCCAGTGGAGCGCTGTTGTGGAGTGGCGTGTTGGGCTGCTGGAACCCGGAAAGAAAGGTCAGTGATAACAGCTCCCTTTCGAATTTCAGAGACACTCACGCTGGCGCAGGCATCAACCACAACATTCCTCAAGACGGAGTCGTGGCCATCTTGACTATCAGTCGAGTAACGACTGACCAGAGATTAGATTAGATCCGGAAACCCTCCTCATTATGCATTTATCTATCTCACATGCATGAACCTGTACGACTCATCACGATACTATCTATGCCAGACAACTTGTATATCTGTATCATTGTTTCTAGACGAGCTTGTGGATTGTAATACTCAAGGCCTGCTTGCAAGCTTGAATTCGGACCTGCACCCACACTCTGCCCACTTCCTTTTTTGGTGCGATCGCGACATGAACTGACGCAATTTTGATTCCTTGCTCTCACTCATCACGACCATGCGTGCCTACTACTTCGACAACGTCCCCGGCGACCAGCGTCTCCCCCACGACTACGTGCCCTCTCGCCCCGTCTCCGATGACGTCCTCCAGAAGCTGAATGTCCTCCACTGGCACATCCCGGTCGAAAACCACGAAACGGACGTGAACGCCATTGCGAAGGAGCGGGGATACAAGAATCGGGACATGATCAACGTCTCGAAGGAAGGAATGGGCGATGTGCGCTCACATGAATCGAGGTTTCCCCAGGATACTGACGAATCCATTCAGATCTACGAGGCGAAGATTAAAGGCTTCTTCGAGGAGTGCGCCAGCGCCCATGCCTCTCTCCCGGCCGCTCTCTGATTATTCGTGGGCAGGCACATGCACGAGGACGAAGAGATCCGGTACATTATGAGTGGTAGCGGATACTTTGACGTTCGAGGTGCGTTTCTTCGGCTCTCCCGGTCCAAGTCTGTCTGTACTGAAGATCTGCATCCTGTCCTAGAAACCCCTTCAGACGCCTGGATCCGTGTTGCTCTTGACGCCGGTGACCTGCTCGTTCTGCCCGCTGGGATCTACCACCGCTTCACCCTGGACTCGAACAACAACATCAAGGCCATGCGGCTGTTCCAGGCATGTCTTTCTCTCGCCACGGCGCTTCCCGCTCTGCGCTGCGTCAACTGATCACCGACAGGATGAGCCCAAGTGGATACCGCACAACCGGAGCGAGGTGACAGATGTCAACCCCCACCGCATCGATTATCTCAGTGCCATTGGCGTTGGCGCCTGAGCTCCTTGGCCATTCCGGCAGAGAACACACAAACCATTATATGAAAACAATGTAAATTTCTGGAATGTAGCTCCCATGTTTCAGCGCCTTTTGCGTTATCCCTGAATGCCCTTGCTGCTGGTGACCACGAGTTACCCTGTGCACATAAAATCCTCGCGCAGATATCTAGAGTTGGTTTGCGGTCGAAGATCTTCGACACGCACATCTTGCAGCAATATCTCCTTGTCCGAGAAGATCAGCTATTTTTCAGCGCGAACACTGAAATGGCAATCATCCACTTGGGTCTGGTCTCTATAGAAGTGAGTCCGAAAACCTGCAGGATCCGAACCTGATATTTGAGGCTGGTGAGCGAGCATAGGTCTGGTTGACCGTAGGGTAGATCGTATTCGATATGATGACATCACTATTCGGGTCGTCGCTCTCACCTTCTGTGCTCCAGCGTTGACTTGTGGCTTACTCGTTTGCATACATCTGACGTCCCGATGTCTATGCGTTATCTTACTGCCAGACTCGCGCAACAAGTTCCTCTCTCTCTCTCGAATCAGCATCTACACTCGTGCCTGAGCTTGAGCTGTAGATCGACGATGACTTGATGGGCGCAGTCGGCGCGTTCAGCCTCGATCAGGCATGATTACTGAACAACGCTCTGCGATGTCCGCGCTGACAGTTGAATAGCTGATGGAGCTTGCTGGGCTTGCGTGTGCACAAACGCTTGCCAAGGTCTACGACTCCAAACAGCATCCCCGCGTTCTCGTCTGCTGTGGACCAGGGAATCAAGGTTTGCAATTGAGTTAGCATGCCGGTGTGAGATGCTCCATGTTTTCTCCAGGTGGAGACGGGTTGGTTGCCGCCAGACACCTGGGTGAGTCCATCGCTCCTCCAAGTCGCCCAAGATATGTATGACTCTCGACAAAAGCACAATTCGGATATCAGCCAACTCTGTACATGCCGAAAGTCGAGTAAACCGATCGTTCCAGTGGACACACATTCTGAGCGGACGTCTAGCCCGGCTCGAAGGAGATCTACAAGGTACGCACAAGGGCACTCAGCTCGTCCTCCTGCCCGCGGCTTCAACTGTCCTAGCGTCTCCACACCCAATGCAAAAACATGAATATCAAGACCCTCGACACCGGGGACATCAGCTCACTCGTCTCCGCCCTCGCGTCCTCCGACGTCATCCTCGATGCCATCTTCGGTTTCTCGTTCAAACCTCCGATCCGTGCACCGTTCGACGCCGCTCTGCCGCTGCTGACCCGGTCTGGGCTTCCCATCGTCTCGGTTGATATCCCATCGGGGTGGGATGTCGAGGCGGGCAACGACGCGGGGGTAGGGCTGCAGCCGGATGTGCTGCTCAGCTTGACTGCTCCGAAGGAGGGAGTGAGAGCGTTCAAGGGCAGACACTTCCTCGGCGGTCGATTTGTTCCCCCGTGAGTTCAGTTGGTTGTGCCATCGCTCATGGCTATAACACGTTGACATTCCAGAGGTGTGGTTGAAGACCATCAGCTCAACCTCCCGGCATACCCCGGGTATGAGCAGATCGTCGAAATCACTGATACCAGTTCAGGAAAACTGTAGAGAGTAGCTACAAATGAATTACGTTTACGACGTGGTATGTAGTAGGGCCATCCCCAGTAAAGAAAGCTCTGCCCCGAGCAAGGAAGTTTCCGATTGTCTCAGGTTTGGCAGCTCGAGACTCTAATGCATTGTACCCAAAAACGTTGCCTAGTCACTGTCCACATCCATGTCGCCATCCTTCCGCCGTAGATCAGGAAATACCAAGCTCCTCCTCGCCGGTCGTCCCTTGATCCCTCCCCCTAGTTTTGCATTGGGTATCTGCAGTCGTGGATCACACAATCCCCATTGCAGTTGGTCCCTGAACACAGGCCGCACACGGCGCCGGGTGGCTCTTGGGAGCTCGTCCTCCTCGTCATCGTCCGAAGACGATGCTTCGGCGATCGCCACCATCTGCACCGACTTCGACGGCCGGCTCGGCGTACCGGGAGCGGCGGCGGCGGCAGAGGGCGTCCTGAGCGCGGATTTGGAGGGAGACTGCCGTGTCTTGGAGGGTGAAGACGGGGTCGATTGCATGCGCTTGATGGATTCCAGCGTGATGAGACCGGCCGCTTTGAGACGTTTGGACTGTCTGGTTGGTGATGCGGAGGTGTCTTCCGGTTCAGAGTCGGATGGGGCCTCCGCTGCTTTGCGCTTCCGGGGTGTGCCGAAGATCTGTTCGTGTCGAGAAGGGGTCTGTGGTTGTGTGTGTTTTCGCGGTGACTTGCGAGGGGAAAGGGAGGTGGCCCGTGTCGATTCGAGCACCGCTTGATACGCGCTGCGGACAGCTTCCGCCATGTGCTTGTCGCAGACTTCATCGATGTCTTTCGTGATGGTCTTCATCTTCCCCCTCCTGACTCTGTACTTCGCCTCGAATGCATCGAGCGAGACTGCTTGTTCCTTATCCTACAGCGGCGTTCAGCGTTGAGGTCATGGCGAGAAGGAAGCCGTGTTTACTCCAGTCTGGTTGCACACCCACGCGAATGTAGCGCATACCATTTCCGTCTCACTGTACTTCTCAGCAAAGTCTACCAAGAGTCCCATAATCTTGTCCATATACCCGAGCATCCTCAAAGGAGTCTTCTGGTAATGCTCGATGCGAATCTTGGCGAAGGTCGGGGATTCCGCTGAGGTAGACTTAGTTTCCGTGCTCTCCAGCGCCTTTTCCACTCTCGCGAGCAGCTTCTTGAAAGGGCCCAAGGCTTGGCACGAAGCAATACGCGCCGCGTCGATGGTGACATGAGTATTATTGAGCCTAGATACACATCGATGTTATTAGGGGGAGACCATCCGACAGGAACAGAAAGAACGCACCTCTGCGACGCAATGTAGGCACAAATGGGTTCGAGTGCCGTGCGATTCTCACCCAAGTCATGCCCTGAGCCTGGCGCCGTGATACGACGCGCCTCACGAAATAGTCTTTCGGCCTCAGCGATTGTTTTGGCGTCGTCACAGTACTTCAAGACCCTAGTCGCGTTCCAAGCCATGGTCGTTAGTGAGAAGACGCGTAGTGTCACGCGTGACCTTGACATAATGAATGATCTTGGCCTTCAATTGGTCCACCCTCTTCCTTCTTTCGAAGAATATGCAAATCCCAAGACTTAGCTCGCAATAATCAGCAGGAATGTGAGAATTTTTCATAAAAGGTATTTCGCTCCCCTGACTGCCAGTGACTACGACTTGCAGATGAAACTCGACTCATTCCGACGTGGTACCTATCGCCTCAACCAATATCCAGCTCGCGATTTCAAGCAGAAAAAGCACTGCGGGCGGTTGAGGATCGTCTTCCTCATCTGGCGTCTTCTGACAAGGAATAGGGATAGAACGTCACGGGTAGGTCGGGGCTCGGAACTGCCTCGTCAGCTGCACTTCTCTTCCACGAACGAAACCAGACATTCCCATGCCTGAGCCACTTTTCCATGGAATTGTCAACTTATGAATCCCGGTGCTTGTTCCGTTCTCTTGCCGGATGGCTCTCTAGTGTGCGCAGCTCTGTGAGATGATCTGGATGGCCCGTTGGACCCCGGTGACAAATGGCGACGTGATGAATCGAACGACAGAATAATGCGCTACATACATACTGTTTCGCTGACTCTGAATCAACCGTGGGAGATCTCTTGCGACTCTCATGCTAATGGACACGGACACCACCATTGCTCTTCCCTCTTCTGGTGGCAATTCGAGACTATTTCCTTCTGCATCACGGACTTGAAAATCGTGGCTGGCTTCCGTGGTCGTGGAGCATCAGAAAACAAGGGTGTATTTCTGACTTGACACCTGGCTAGGATCCGGTCGACCCACCTTCGGTTCTATTTCACTTCCTCGCCAGACGGTGACATTGCGCTCGATTGGGACACGTTCACGCGGAACGTGTTTCTTGTGGCTCCGTGTCAGCCCTGTCAGCCCTACATTTCTTGCCTGCAGCCCGGCCTGCGGGATCCCGTGCAAGACCGAGACACGCCTGGCCTGCACACCGGACACAAGCGCGTCTTTGTCTTGTGAAACGAACCTCTGTTCTCCCCGCTACGTTCCAGATGAAATCGACGATGAGGGTCTGCTCCCCGCTCCCAGAGCGAATTGGCCATCGCGTGCTGCAATGTCACAAGGGCAGTTGAGAGGGTGGGCGTTGGTCAGTTGACGATACAAGACATCAGACAAAGTCCTCTCGATGCGCTATATCCAGAGACTCGACCGCTTATAGACTCGGGGGTTAGCCAGCCCAAGCCCAGATGTCTGGGTCGAGAAGGAATATCATGCCATCAAGGGAGGCGATCGAACATGAGTGGAACCGGTGGAGAAGACGCAGGGTTCGCGCAAGAGCTGAGTTTGAAACAGCCCTGTGGCACATATAAGCAAGACCTTACGGACGAGGAAACTTCACGTACGGCTCACAGCCAACGGGGGAAACGGCGGGAACAACAGGATGCCAGTGCCAAGTGCTCGTATGAGATCCACATTTGAATGAACGTATATGTACGGTCACGCAGGATCATGGATGCCGCCGCCGTCCCAATGATAGAGACTTCCGTTATCTCCGATGCTTGCTCCGCAGGAGGAGAAGCGTTCTATGGAGTGGTGTGGGGTACTTCCCCGCAGGCCCCCCGAAATCTGACAGGCCTGACAGTCCGGGCCGGCGAAGACGGGTACGCACAGAAGATCTGGTTCTTTTCCCCACAGTGATAAAAGGGTTAGTGTCAACGGGTGACGAATTGCGAGTCATTCTATCTACAGGCTGTAATGGTAACAATCTATGCAGTTGTGTCTATCAAGTCGTCGGAGTGCAGTGCGGACAGAGTGAGTACAGTACAAGCTAGGGGGACAGGACATGGCAGGGGGGCGATGGGAAGGGATTCTAGGCGGTATATAGACAGATAAATAGAGTAAACAGATTAGGGTGTCCCCGGATTAGATGTGTGCGCTGAAGAGAAGTAGCCTAGATTGCTTCACTGGAAGTTACGAGACGCGGCCTCGAACTGGCTGAATCCAGGCAGCTCGACCCGCTCCTCGATGGACGTCGTCTCCGCGCGGGGAGACCCCGGATGCGAGCCAGGATTCGACCTGGGCCCTGAGACAGGCCCGTGCGCGGCATCGTAATTAGCCGGTATCTTGAGTGGGGGCAATCTTATCGGGGGACTTCCGCTCCTTGACGGGGGCATACTCGACGCGGCACTCGCTCCACCGCTTGCGTTGCCGCTGCTCCAGCCGCTCCAGCTGCCAGCTGTCGACGTCGAAGCCGAAGAGCTGGACCCGGACGGCAGATGCGGGAAGGACGGCCAGCTGCTCGTCCGCGGATATGATGGCGGCGGCTGGTGCTGCGTTGCTGATGGGCTGGGATACGGAGCGCCGGGCGCGGCGTGTATGGGCGTCATCCCGAAAGCGAGTCGGACCGAATGTGCCAAGTGCTGCGGGTGAGGGGCTCCGTTGGAGTGGCCCTGGCTGTGCCCATTCCCGGCGTTCGCGGGGCCTTCGAGCGATAGAGGCGGAGGGCTGTTGCCCCGCGAGCGGAGCGTCAATGTCCTCATCGGTCCGAGGAAGGGGGATGTGCTGGGGGTCGGATTCCATGTGCTTTTCCCGCTCCGCATGACTAGCCCCTCGGAGTCGCTCGTGGCGTGCTCGGACGGGGGCGATGCGCTGTCGCGGCGGTCGCCGGGAATGGGTGGGATGTGTGAGGTAGATCGGGAATGGACGTTGGAAGTGGGGGTGGAGATCACCGAGGGCTCGCGCGACGCAGGTGTCATCTGCCACGCAGGCCCGCTCAACCGCCGATGGTTCTTGCTCGATTTTTCCCGTTCTCGTTCCCTCGGTTGCGGAGAATGATATGGGGATTCCTGCTCGTGGGATTCTACTCGCCGCAAGGCTGCCGCATGTCTCGCTTCGTATTCAGCCCGCCTTCTTGCCTCGTCTCGCTCCAGCATGTACAGCTCGTCCATGGCGACTGACGACAGGGTGGTGAAGGCAGAATGCGAGCGGAAGTCGTCCGAGTCTCGGCTCCTGTCGGTGGGTCGTGCATAGTCTTCATCGTCGCTCCCTGCTCGGCTGCGTGCCTTTTTCTTGGGCGGCGCGGGGTCGTTGGTGTGGATGCGCGAATGCCGCGTCAACTCGTCAGAGCGCGAAAAACGTTTCTCGCACGAGGGAAAATTGCACACGAAGGGCTTCTCGCCAGTGTGGGTACGGATATGCCTAGTCTGAAAGGTAATCGCAGTAAAAATCAGTCTCGCATGGGGTAACAATATTGTAGGGTGGCATACCTGGTGCTCGAGCCTGCTGAATGCACGGCCGCATAGAGGATATGGGCATTTGTACGGACGAGGTTGTGCACTGGACTGCGCGGCCATGGCGGAAGGGTTGTTGGTAGTGGTGAGGAAGAGAGAAGCGGCGGAGATGGGTTGATCCATCTAGGCAACTAAGTGCCCGAATTGTCCCGCGTCAGATCTTCCCCGCACCGATCACTATCCGCGATAATCTTGAGCCGGACCGAAGCCCCGGCCGGCATGTGAAAGATGTTTTTCAGGGCGAGGATAGGCGAGGCACTCTGGCTGACTCAGGCTGATCGAGGCTCCTCGCACTTGCAGTGCGCCTAAGCGCGCCCGACTTCACCCGGCGGCAGTTATATTCTGCCACCGATGCTCCCTGGAACGACCATTCTGCAGGGCTTCCACGTTGCAGGCAACGAACAGGGTGGCAAGGAAAATTCGCATGGCTATTTTTGCAGCCCAGTGCTTGTTTACCCCGGCAATTACTCTGAAAAGCTTGTCGACAAGACAGTTGAGCATGTGAGAAGGCGGCCGAAATGCTGAATCCTGATCCCATAGCAGCAGGAGACCAACCCCACAACCCTCGGCGATTGCTAGGAGAAATCCCTCCAAAGACCCCATGGGGCGGGCGTCCTCGGCACCGTAGACAGCCTGATAACATATAATTTCGTATGTAATATGGAGTTGCAGGGCGCTCAAATATCGGAGAATATATTCCCAATTAATCAAGCACAAAGGCAGCAGCTGCATACAAACATATTGTACCTGTCTGTATGGGATGCCGGGTCACGGGTATCGGAATCATGATGTTGTACAATGTATGGAAGTCGCGCTATCGTCCAGTCAACGCCGAGCCCCAGTCCGGCGGCGCACATGACCACGCTGCTTTATCGAGAGACGACTGGTCGTCGAGCGGGAACGGGATGGATATCTGCGGGGATGGCTGGGACCAGGCAACGGTCGGCCAGGCTGGGTCTGTGGGTCCAGAAGGAGCACGCATGGAACAGAAGGCTATCGAACAGTCGAACAGCTTCTGGTAGCCAACGGGAGCGCCATGGGGGAGAGATGATTGCCGCGAACGAGGCCTTCTCTAATCCCTGGGCTCGTGCACCGTCGAACCCGTCAATCCCCATGTCCGCAGAAACTCCCCCCGGAGCTCCGTTCTCCATCAATGAAGTCCTGTGATGGGCTGGACAAGCGTCCGAGGCTCGAGTGCTCTCGGATGGAATTCGGGGAAACACTACGTTGCACACCGGCCGGCATTGGACTCGACAGGAGTGTTGCATTGTGTTTATACTAGAATGGGCATGCGCGGTCTGTTTCCCGAGACACTACAGTATAGGACGAAAACAATTCGTTGCAATTCGAGACTGGACGGGAGTCGGCACCCGACCTGCTTGAAGCTGATTGTGACGTGACAGCACTTGCGTCACCGAGATCACCAATGGCTTGCTATGAACTTCGACTCCTTGCATGAGCTCTCCACTGGTAGTCCCGCCACCACGCGCACCATCCGATTGAGGCGCTCGACGCACCTGGCTCCCAACCCCACATTTCATGGCGCGCAGCTGCCGAGGAAGCACGCGGCCACGGCATTACTGAGCCGCGGGTTCCCGTACTCGCGGTCCGTCCTCGGTCCGTCCGCTAAACAAGACTGGGGAGGCTGACTGCGAGGATGATAGACGGCTGACGGCGCACGACTCGTGTGTCAACGCACTCGCATTTTCGTCCCAGAATGGCCGGTTCCTTGCCAGCGGTGGGGATGGTGAGCATGCATGCAGATCGAGTGCCACCGATGCTGGTCGGTCTGACCTCATGCCCTGCCCAGATCTCAGTATCCATCTCTGGGATCTGCATTCTGAGACCGTAAAGAAAAGACCATCATGCACCTTCCGCGGTCCTGTTGTGAGCTGAGGCCGCTCACGGTCTATTGAGTGACTTTGATCAGTGGTGTGTAGAGGAACATATTTGTCCTGGCGTTTTCTGCTCACAACCGTTTCATTTTCTCGTTCGTATGCCTTCTTTGCCGCGTGACACTGGCTGACTATATCGCAGAGGGGGGGTCGACGAGACAGTCCTCAAGTTCGACGTCGCAGCTCATCTGGAACGCGGATTGGATTCACAGGTTTTCCACACTCCCGATGCTCGTTTTTATGACCACGAGGTGAATGGTGATCCACGATGACTGGAATGGTCTGTGGCTGAGAAAATGGAAGGACTCTATCCGGGCTATTTCTCCCCATGTTGTTCAAGATGAGGTTTTCCTTACGGCCAGGTCCGTATGGAGAAAAGGCTGCTTTCTGGCTAATTCTGATGCAGTGAAGACGGGAAGATCCTCATACACGACGGAAGAGCACGTATACGAGCCCAGGACACACTCCAGATCGATGCGGAGGTGACGAGTGTCCAGTTTCACCCTATGATGGAGCACATCTTCCTGTCGAGTGATTCGCGCGGGCGGGTCTGCTTGCGAGATACGCGGATGGCTTTCGGGCCAAGTTCATCGAGAACGAAGGAAGGCGTCGTGCACAGCGTCAGCACAATCTCATCCTGTCTCCAGCCTGCCGAACTCACCGTCGTCAGCAGTACCATACCTACATTTGTCGTCGCTCCTCTTCCTCTTTGGCTCGTCTGGAAACAAGCAGCGTTGTGTTCAACAGTGATGGCTCTCAACTCTGTGCTACCAACCTCGTGAATCAACAAAGTCGTCGGCACTGTAACCCTGCTGACCTTGAACCAGCATCACCACCCTATAATCTACAACTTGAACGATCCATATCCTGTCGCTGTCTGCAGCGCACCAAATCTCCCCGATGGTACTCCCGTGCCTGTAAACGAACGCACATACCAGAACATGTGCACCATGAAGGCGCGTCACCTGGCATCATCACGTCTCTCTCTCCTAGTCTGACTCACATTCTGTGTAGCACGGGTCCTTTGGCGGGCCGGGGCTCAACACGGATTCATTATATGCTGCCGGCTCTGACGATTTCAGGGCGTACATCTGGGCTCTTCCCCCGTCTCATGAACTGACTGAGCGGCGGCGAGTGATGTCGTATCGGGACTGGACAGCGGAGGAGCACACTGGTGTCACAGGTAAGTGATCCTCATGTGTGAATCGAGCCACGTCCCAAGCTGCGGGACACAAAGCTTTCGCAGACGACATCCACGGGCCACGATATGTCCCGGTCGAGCTCGACACGCCTCTGGCAAGACTCGGCGGGCACCACAGGATCGTGAACACTGTGATCGTGCATCCAGAAATGCTTGTGGCTGCGACTTCCGGTGTCGAGGCCCATGTCGTCCTCCATGGCGCCGCGGAGTCTCTGTTAGGCGGGCTGTCCAGAACATCGCAGAACACCCGGGCCATCGGAAGCAGCTGGGAGTGGGCGAGCGCTGCCGGCGAAGATGAGCGGGACGGGCATTGGGTCGAAGAGCAGCAAGACACGGTGCAGATGTTCGATAGGTGGGTGTGGTCGCACGTTGCATCAGATCCATGATTCGTTAACGAGAGCTTGCAGTATCATCTACAGAGAGCGTGCGATCGAGCACATGCTTGGAAGCGACGGAGAAGATAGCGACGTTGACGTCGCCGAAGACAGCTAAAACCTGGGGATGCCGGGCAGTGGGAATTCACCTGCGATGATATCAATGATATGTATATAACGACTTCTCGATCTGTTCCCTCACCGTCGAACAATCTCTTGAAATGCACGAGGTTATTTCACTCGAGACGCTTAGAACAGTGGGGATGAACCAACCACTTGAGAGCATCCGTACCTGCAATCCCATGGGTGCTTGTATTGCTCTTTGTAGTCCTGTCGCAACTTTTCGAACTGAGCAACGTGTCCGATCGTGAACTGATTACTACGACTTTGTGAGCACCTGACCGTGTCCTGCCGGAGCCATCATTCTCTATCAGTGTTCCTCTCCACATCCACACCCACGTCTTCGGGATCCCTGCTGCCGTTACATACTCCGTCCCTCGACGTATGGGACTATATCATACATACATAACCGACACCGGCGCCCTAACGGCTTGCCCCGGATTGAAGCCCCAAGGAGGGAGGACTCGCGTTCCAATACACGTTCCGAGCAGAAGCGCGACGGGGGCTTCGTCCGCCTAGCATTCGAGCTATCGACTCGCTAGTATCTCCCAGCCCGCGTCGTGGTCCGCCCGACGCCTTCCATCTTCTGCTTCTTTGCCAAATATACATATCGCGCTTATGCTCTGAGAAATCATCCACCGTCAAGATGGTCAGAAGACGCTCATCCGCGCTGCCCGCACTATAAATATAAACAGCGCACAAGTCCCTGCTGGCCCCGCGTCATCCCCTCGTCTCACTCCCCCCTTCGTGTCCTTAGAGCATGCGTCCCGTCGTGCTCCTCTCTCCGCTCAGCCTCCTCGCGCTTGTCGGGCCAGCCGCCGCGGGCGTGACGGTCCAGAAGCCCGGCCTGCGCGTGCCCAAGAAGTACATCAGCGCGAACCACTCGGGCGCGGTCGAGGAGATATTCGTGAAGACGTGGGATGCGTACGAGAAGTATGCGTTTGGATTCGATGAACTACTGCCCGTCAGTCTGGCGGGCGAGAACGATCTTGGTGGGTGGGGCGCTTCGATCGTGGACGCTCTGGTGCGTTTCATTCCTCTTGTCATACCTGAGCCTCGCTTATGACCGCAGGGAACGATGGTAGGCGCTGCTGTGGTCGTTGCGTGATCGATCATTCTGACGCTGGGTGTGTGAAGCTGGTGATGGGCCGGGAGGACTTGTTCAACGCGACCTTGCCCTACTGGGAGACCGTGGACTTCAACTCGTCGCCAGAAGCTGGTACCGTCAGGTGTGTCTATATCTAGTTCCCCTTCCCGGAATAAGTCTGATAACGAGACCACAGCGTTTTCGGTGCGTGCGAAACAGGGTCGACCGCCAAGCTGATGTCTGATGCCGTGTACCAGAGACCACTATCCGTTTCGTAGCAGGATTCATCTCTGCGTACCAGCTGAGTGGGGAGCAGCACCCGATTCTCATCCAGAAAGCTCAGCAAGTCGCTGACAAACTCGCTTTCTCGTGGATCAATGTGAGGCTCCCCGTGTCCCCACAGCTTGCCGCACGCATGCTCAACTTTCCAGGGTAACGTCATAAACTACGGCCACATCGATTTCAGCGACAATGCGCCTGCCATCGCACTGGTGAGTTTCCCCTCTGAGCCTGGTTGAGCGCTGACGAGAAACGTGCAGACCAACATCGCTGAAGCTGGAACGTTGACGCTCGAATGGCACCTGTTGACCCAATACACCGGAAACCAGACCTATGCCAATCTCACCAAGAATGCGGTGCTGCACATGGCGAACCTGGTCCGTGCGCTGACCCAAGTCATGACGTTCGACTTGAACTTTTACAGGCCACGCCCCTCCCGGGTCTCGCTCCTCAATCTATTGACCCGGCGACCGGCAAATTCGCAGACGCGTATCTCGTCAGTTGGGATTTCTCGTTCTCCTTTCAGAATCTGACAAATGTAGACCTGGGGAGGAGGCAGCGACTCGTACTTTGAATATCTCATCAAGTACCCTCGTCTGACCAACACCGATGACACGACCTTTGTCGATACATGGAAGGTCTGGCCTGTTCCGTCATGTCATCCAGAGGCTTACTGATCCTGTCGACATGTAGACTGCGGTCGATTCGTCTATATCCCACTTGCTCAAGGTGAACCACCCAAACGACGAGACAGACTGGAGGCTTACAATCATGACAGACCTCAACCGTCAAGAACTTTTCGTATCTGGCGGACCAAGACGACTCTGGCGCCATCCGTCATGTCGGCTCGTGAGTGCATCCGCGCCGTTCTTGTGTTGCACGCTCACCAACGGCGAACAGCCACCTGGCTTGTTTCTATGCTGGAAACTGGCTTCTGGGCGGTAAGCTGCTGCAAAACCAGACGATCATTGACGTCGCTCTGGCCTTGAACGATGGTTGCTGGGTGAGTGATGCACATGGCTAGTCAGTAAGCGGCTTTGAATGAATCGTTGTCCAGAACACATATGCCAGCACAGTGTGGGTGTCACCCATCCGCGCATGAAAAGTTTTCCCACCCTGACGACCTGATGCAGAACTGGAATTGGGCCCGAGAACTTTGCGTTCATCAGCGCTGACGGAAACTTCACCGGTGGAAGCCCCATCACGGCCAGCCAAATGAAGTTCTATAGGAAACACGGATACTACATCACCGGGTCTGATTACATCCAGCGGCCCGAGGTGCTCGAGTCCAACTTCTACGCGTGGCGCGTAACCGGGCTGACCAAGTACCTCGACCGCGCGGTCTCTGCGATCAACTCGTTCAACAAGTTCCTGCCCGCCACGGTGGCCTTTGGTTCGCTCAACGACGTGAATAGCGCTGATGGAGGGCTGATTGACATCACTGAGAGTTTCTGGTGCGTCTATTCGCGTACTGAGCACGGATCAGGGAGTTGATGAGCGACGACCAGGTATGCCGAGGTCCTCAAATACCTGTTCCTCACCTTCGACGATCCGTCGCATATCAGCTTGGACGATTGTGCGTGTTTTGCCTGACCAGGGTTGCTAAAGGTCTAACACCCAGGGCTGCTTCATAGATGTCTTCAACACAGAATGCCACCCGTTCAAGGCCCCTGCCGCGCTCGACTCGTACTCTGGCTCTGGGAAACTGGTCCCGCAGAAGAACTTCAAGCCGACGCCTGTGAGCCTGCCGAAGCCAGCCATTAGCCCCAAGTAGTACTTTCTTATGAGGTCATTCACTGGTGCAATATTAATACATATGATCGCGCCGCCTCGACATCGGGTGCTGGCTTCATGAGAGGGTTATGGACTAAATCGATTTGATTGAGACGGTTGGGGGACCCAGCTGGCGTTTGGCCAGTTGCTGTTTATGCCTGCCGTTTCCCGAGGAGCAAATTGAGTCACATTCTCATTGCAGAAACTGCTGCGCTACCACCTCAGAGAGTGCAGCCAGCCTGCACTGAATTACAGGTTCCTTATTATTTGCTTGGATAGAAATCAAAGTCGACACTTTCCATTCGCATATGTAGATCTATTCACTGAAGTACGAACGAATTCAAGGCCCCGCGGGGCGTGTGCTTGAGCACTTCTGCTCTGAGCGGCGGCCTCATTAGAAGGATAGCGGATCCACACCCACCTGGAAAGCGCTCACACTCACGAGCCATTTACCTTGGGTGTTGAATGATTAGGAGGAGCGAAACATCTCCGCACCGCATAGTACTAGAACAAACCCGACCTTCGTCTGATCCAGTGTCCACGCAATGCCATTTCTCTCTTTGCCCACAAATCACACTCGCAGTCAGCACAGTGCCGTAGTAAAGACAAGGTGCGTCCTCCCGCAGAATGGGCAGCAGCTGATCCGGGTATCCAGTGGGAGCAGTGGAATACCGGAGTGCTCGGGGCAGCGGGGCAGCGGGTCCCATCACTCAAAAAAGAAGAACAAATCAGGATGGATCAGGGGCCGAAAACGAGGGTGCAGCTACTGGGAACGTATCCGAAGGCTGCACAGTGCGAGGTAGGTAATGCGATGCGCCGCGGGACGCAGAGGGAGGAGGGTTCGGGGTCTGGGACAGAATATGCGGGGGGTAATAGCTCCGCTTCTCCTGCCTGTCCTCCTCGTTCGGCGGGGCCAGCATGGCCTGTGCGGAAGCCGAACCCGCCGCGCCGATCCTCCCGACGACGCTTTCGTACTCCTCCGGCAAAGCAGGCACTACAGCGGCATGCCGCCCGCCGAGGGGCCCGCCCTCGACAAAGTGCTGCCAGACGTAGTCTCGCAGGCGGTCGGAGTTCGGGAGCTCCTGGATCAAATGCTTGATCGTGTTCTGTCCGAGCCCGAAAAAGTCCGGCCCCGAGACGGAATTCGAGTGCTGCCGCCTCCTGAGCGCGTTGGCCGTCTTGACGATCCCCGACCATGCGCCCGTCGCGGTGCCCGAGATGACCGGGCGCTCGGGCGCGTCGGACGGGATGATCTGGAACTTGGGCCCGTCGCCGCCGTCGAGGATGCTGCAGTGGTACACGACCTCCGCGTGCGGGTCGACCGTCGAGAGGTAGCGCCGCGTGACCTCGTAGCCGACGGGGAAGATGTAGCGCTCAGTGTGGAAGTGCTCGCGCATGCACACGTCGCCGAGCCGCAGCACGCGCATGATGCCCACGTTCAGCGGCAGCAGCGGCTTGCCGAGCTTGTCCCGAGGCACGACAGGGATGCTGTAGCTCTTGCTCGTCACCGTGTGCGCTTTCAGCCGCTTGGGCTTGGCTGCGTGTGTCTGCCGGGCCGATGGGAAGGCGGCGGGGGCGGGGACGGAAGCGCGCTGTGGTGACGGCGGAACGGGTGTAAATGTGGCAGGGGGCGGCTGCGCCAAGTACGGCATTGCGCCGATATAGAAGGGGTACGGTGGATACGGAAATGGGGGCGGAGGAGGGGCCGCACCACCGAGATATGAGAAATACGGATTCAAGACCTGTCGCGGGGCAGCGTCAATCGCGGCGGGCTCAGAGGAGGCTGAGGTAGGTAGTGCTGGAGGGGCGGCACCCTCAGCGGATGCCGCTCCAGTCTCCGTGCGAGGGACTTTGGCATCGGGTGCGAGCGCGATCAGTTCATCACTATCGCGCGAACGCTTTCTCCCCGTCTCCGAAGAGCTGCCACCGTCCTGGGGACTCTCCGCCGGTCGTATGCGCAGTCGCGTGCCAGTGCTCGACAGCATGAGTGGCGCGGTTTCAGAGCCTTCGACTTCGCTGACAGTGGCTACGAAACCAGGTTGGTTTTCCAGTTCGCTGATGCGCTCTAATAACGCACTGTCTAGCGTTCAGCTTGGGCCGGCATGATGTTTCAGCGACGCGACTCACTTTCGTTCTTCCTCCATCTTGTGGGACTGCTCCCCCGTTCGCTCGAGCTCGGTGCTCATCTCCTTATTTTTCTGCACCCATCCGATCAGATCCCGCAAAGCCACCAATTTTCAGAAAGGCTCGACCGACCTCTTCGAGCTCCAGAAACTGCCGGCGCAGCAGCTCGTATCGTTCATGTATGGGCGCCGGGGTCTGTGCAGAGTCGTGGTGAGCACACGGAGGAAGAAGAAGAAGACGAAGAATGACAGGTGCAGATGCACGCACTCTGATCGCGTCGGACGCGTCGACCGGGGCGGTAGACATTTAACCCGCGGTGTGTGTGTGGCAGGGGGAGGGCGCAGGTCGATGAGCTCCGATGCAAACAGACTGTCGGCCTCCAAGTCAAGCAAGGACAAGCAACTCAATTGATCGATCGGGGGCGGCAGTTGCCGGGCGGTTCAAGGCACGGGAAGGTAAAAATCTGACGGGTCAACAGCGAGTGATTGCGCTACACGAAGCTTGATCATGGACAACTATTTCCAGTTTGCCCGAATTATTTCGTAGTATACATAGCGATAAATCTGCGTTCGATAACATGGTCGAGAGTAGCATGCCGAGACGAGCGTTAGGCCGCCTCAGATTTTGCCAAATCAGAGTCCAGCCGCTGTTCGCACGCGGGAAAAATCAGCCAGCAAATAACAGGCGCGGATGAGCTGTCGACTACTCACCGCCTGGTCCGATCCTGCTGTGCGGAAGTCCTGCCTGGAGCCGGGTCTTTTATCTAATGTGTCGTCCGGTGTAGGCACAGAGCGCACCGAGGGCGCCTGGGCCGAAGTCCCCGGGAGAGTCGCTGTTGAAAAGGAAAAAGAGAGTGGCGTTCAGCGCAACCCCATCACATGATCAGAATTCGAAGCAAGTGCTCACTGAATTGTATGGAGTGCAAGTTGGCATGCGTCGATGGCTCGTCGGCCTCGGCATCCGACCCCGTGTTTTGGGAGACGCCCATGCCCCGCCGGCGCTGGATGAAATTGACGAGGATCGTGAGCGAGTACACGCGGCCCATGACCTGGAAGAAGATCCCGAACGCTGGGCAAACAAACAAATCAAACTCTGTCAATACCGAGAACAAAGCCGGCCGGAGCAGAGACGCGCGCCGCACCGGATGCCTTTTCGGTTTCTTTGAGCAGATCGGATACCATGGCAAGCAGGGTGACGACGGCAACGACCGCGCCGGACGCGAGGGCGTTCAGGCAGATGGCGCGGATCATCGCTTGCGTCGAGCGCCACACCGGCGAGATCCCGCTCAAGGTCCAGACCGTGCTAAAGGCGATCAAGATATCGGCGACTGAGCAGACGATCGCTGCCATTCTGCGATGCATCAGAGTGTGTCTGTATCATTATAGACAGAATATTACGTTGTCTATCGGTGAGAAATCAGCATGTATGCGCAGATTTTTTTTAGATTCAAGAACGCACCAGATGGACCTGCTGCCGGCTATGTAAAGGGTATGCGGCGGACACAATCGATAGCAAAAACTAGGACGCTGAGCGATCAGGCGACAACAGATGGGCCAATCTCACATGAGCGCCAGAGAGCAGCATTAAAAGAGCACAGAATAACGTGTGCTTGGAACTGCGGGGTATCGGATGAGGACGAGCGCTGTGGACTGCATTTTGCTTCTCACAATTTCCAGTAGCGATGCTGGGTGAGATCGTCAGATGTCTGGAACACTATCGATGAGCGGTGGCACGCACGACAAGAATGGACTGCTCGACCAGCGCTGACAATCCCGTCGAGACCAGGAACGTCGATATGACTATCGGGTTCTCCTCGCTGGTGACCAGAGACTCGTAAGTGTTGACGTAGATGCATAGCGTGGCCAGGGTGTCGTTCACGAGCAGCACAATCAGGCCGAACCTGTACAGCGCAAGCAGCCTCCAGCGGGAGAAGTAGTACCCGAACAGCGCGATCTCGAACGCAAACGCGAACGTGTTCAGCCACGAGCTCGCTAGAACCAGGCTGGCACCGCATGAGCTCAGCGATCAAACATACACAAAGCCCGGTACGCACGTGTCGTAGACGTGCAGCTCGCTCGCCTCGTTGAACGTTATCGGACGGGAGCGCGATGAGGCATCGAGCGCCGATGCAGACATCCTGGGCCGGCTGCGTCGCCCTGGCCGCGCGTCAGAGAGTGTCAGTGGCCGTCGACGTTGCAGTGAAAAAGCAAGGGCACAGCGGCTGATTGCCGGCTGACGCTCGATCGTGGATTGTGATAGGCATCTGATCATCATCGGCCGCCACACTGAGCAGGTTGGAAAAACCCCGGCAAATGCCGCAGCCATGAGCCCGCGATTTGGCAACAATGCCATGTGTCTCCCCGCACATGCAGTAGGTAAACCCGAGTGGGTAGTGAAGTGCACAGGACGCGTCTCGTGGTGGAAATCGATCGATCGATGCATGTGGTATATCTACATTCTAAAAAATTCTACCTGTCTACAAATCGCGAATCGCGCGATTCATTTGCCAAGCTAGGACCCGAGCACAGCCGTGGCCAGAAATCCGGCCATCTCCTCGAAATGCGCCTTGTACATCGTCTCGGCGTCCTTGTGGTAGTCCAGCGAGTGCGATGCCCCATCGATGATGATGATCTTGGTCTCGACACCCGCGCCCTTCAGGAGCGAGTGCAGATGCACCGAGTCGGATGGGAGCACTGCGGTGTCCTCCGATCCGTGGAAGAAAAATGTCGGGGGGAACTCCGGAGTGATGTTCAGCTGCGGGAAAATCCGACGGTGCTCCTCCGGCACCAGTGGGCCGAGCTCTTCCTGCAGGATCGCCGGGTCGGAGGACTTCTCGAGCAGCGGGCGCAGCGCGAGAGACAGGCTGGGCTCATGCTGGCCGGCCAGGTAGTCGAGGAAAACACCCATCTGCAGCAGCAGCCGGCACAGGGGGAGCCGCGGATTGGACGGCCAGCCCGGCTTCGTCGGATGCGTGGTCGGGAAGTACGTGAGTGTAGACTCGGATGTGGGATCCAGCTTGGTGTTTTCGGGGTAAACGAACTCAGCAAAGTCGATCGGATCAAGCATCTCGCGCCCGAGAAAGAAGGGTTCGAATTTGAGACCCAGCGTTTGGTGGTTCTATCAGGATTCAGCTCGGGATCTTGAGCAGAAGGCCCGAATCAACACACCAGGAAATCCGCACCGAGCCCGTACAGCGAAAGCACCGCTTTGGGCTTCGGCGTGGCATGCAGCGCGGTGAGATAGGCGACATAACCCCCGGCACTCGACCCGGCCACAGCCACGGACGCCATGTCAACCCCGAAGGTGCGTCCGGCATCACCGGGAACCTTGAACACGGTCGCCTCGTTCCCTAGAAACGCGAAGAGATCCTGCACGTCCCGGATGACGTCATGCATTGACGATGCCGGGATCAGTTGGTAGTCGGCCGAGATGAACAGAATCCCCTTCGCGTTGAGGCGCGCTGATGAGGGTTCACCCGTCAGAATCCGGGTTTCTAGGAGGAGCAGACGCGGGAGAACTGCGTACTTTGAAGCCATGTCGGGAACCAGCTCGTGCGTGTCCCTACGGTCATGCCTCCCCCGTGATAGTAGACGACGGCCGGCAAACGCGTCACGGAGCCGGTCAAGAATTCCGCAGCCGGGGGATACACATCGAGGCACACCTCCGACCCGCCTCTGAGCTGCTTGTAGGGCACGTCGGTGTTGTTCATTGGCGCGGGGGAGGAAGATAAGAAGACCCCCGCGATCAACCTCGCTCGATTAAAAAAGGAGTCGGCTAGTCAAGGGCTGTGTTGGGCTCGTTGGGCGTCCGAAGGCAGATGTTCTGTCGCTGGCTCCTCACCGACTTGTAGACCCTTATCCGGTGATAAGCACCGTAGTAGCCAGATATGTAACAGAGCACGAACAAGGTCGAGAAGATTTCCAAGACAGAAAGGCGATCCTGAAACAGGTAGTTTAGTATAAAAACGATAGAAAAGTCTGTCTGAGTTTAATCAACATAGTAGAAAGCATTGAAGAACTGTGGACGTACTCGTCCTGCGCAATAATATTCGCTGACAAACCGGACGCACGTGATTGATGTCGACTGACTGCAGGCTCTCTCGTTGACCACATCAGTGTGTAAGTCATCGCTGAGCAATGCTTGTCGCTCTCAGCAAGATTAGAGTCTGAGACACTCCCATGAAACTTCTATACGCTCATCGACCACTTGGTCATACTGTTAACCAGTCACGTAGCAAGCCTCGTATTTCCGAATACGTATCGTGTTCCAAATGCAACAGAGCTCCAGGTGAAGCCAGCTTGAACCTACATCTCAGTCAGCAGGACCACCGCGATGCGAGTCAGCATGCGTAAGTAATCGATATCACTGATAACCCTCGCCCGCCTTCGACGGACGCCCAGGCCAGCTCGCCGCCATGATGGCCTCTCCCAGTCTCCGGAACTTTGCGGTTCGCGCCAAAAGGCGAACAACATGAGTTACATATAAGGATGGTAGCGATCAGCCAGCAAACAACAAGTACTATAAACCCGTTACAAGGAAAAGCACCACATAATTTACATATAACAGCGACGACGGCCATCGCGCCTCCAACAAGCAAACCTGTTACAAGACAAGACAAAAGAACACGCGCTTCAAACTCCCCACCAGGACGAGTTTGCGGGGGTATTCGGCGAGACGATATCGTCCAGCAGCAGCCCGCTCTGGTCCCCCTCCCCGGGCAGCTGGAGCGCATCCAACCGCATGTGCAACCTGGTCGTGATAACGGAGTTGAGACTCCAACACGCGCTGGTGCGAAATCCCTTCAGGAACCTTCGCGACACGGGAGCTGCGGGGACTTACAGGACAGTTGCGACGCATTGGCCAGGCTGGAACAAGCCATCATCAGATTATGTCACTGCGGCCGAGAGACTAGGAAGACTAACATTCCAAGCCAGAGAACTGACGAGGTAGAGCGTTCTCAAGATGAAGAGGACCTAATCAGCCAGCCACGTCAGCCGGCGAGAAACAGCCATTCATATTTGAGCAACATACGACGAGGTACCGCACACCGTCCGTCTGGAGCGAGACGATGACTTCGCTATTGGTGCGGTGGGGCCGCTCTAGCGCGCTGTAGACCATGAAAACCATGATGACGATGTCGAGGCCCGACTGCGCGCAATCAATCCCGTCAGCTGCGAACGATCGCCTTGCGCTCCAGGAGCAGTAGCAGCACCCACCTGGATCCCGAACGTAGCAGGCAGCCACCGGGTGCTCGACGTCAGTAGACACATCTTGAAGATCGGCGACGCCTTGAACGTCTCTACACAATGATCACCCGTCAGCCACCGCTTCCGTTGCAGCATCACATAGGGAACCGATCTGCACGCACCCTGCAGTATCAGGACGCAGTTGATGCCCGTCGCGGCGGTCGTCGATATGAACACGAAGAACGTGCCCACGAGAAGTAGCGCCACGACCCGCCGGTCGTCCCACAGCGAGTGCATGCGGATAATGATGACCGCTGCATGCGCTCGGTCAGGACACGTCCACATCTGCATTCGACTGATCGGACACGCACCGTGGGACGCAATCGCGAATATCATCATGGTCGCGCCGAAAAACCACAGAAACGAATGGCAGCTGGGACGGGGTCGGTGGACGGGTCACGTAGATATAGTCGCGCTTTGCGCACCGCTGGGTGGCGGATATCGTGTCAGGCCGTGGACCGTCGTCAAGTGCGCAGGGACTCACAGTATCGCTCAAACGAGAGCCGGAATCACCACTGAACACTGCGCGCGTATGTCCCGTTCCAGTCCGCCGATATCAGGAGTCACCGAGGGACGCACCGCTAATAGAACTTATCATGACCACCTCGGTCATGTACCGATTCACCCAAAACGCGGCCTTGGATGGCCAGCTAGTAATGCGATTCTGCCATATCGAGCGCACTTCCTCCGAAAAGGTCAAAATGTGGTCGTACAGCAGCACCGCAAGCGAAAAGACTGGCGGCCATCATGCATACTCGTCAGGAACAAGTCCGGCGCGATTTGGTGGGCCAAACGCTCACCACTTATGTAGCGCAGGAGGAGGATGGTAGCGACGAGCTCCGCCTCGGATACCTCGAGGGCAGTGGACATCGAGGGCAGGAGCGGAGGTAGAAATTCACCAGACGACGCCCCCCAATTATAGCCCAGTGCACACCTTGGAATCTCATGCAACTCGTCAGGTGGAAAGATGATCATGAGGGAATGTCAGGATTGGCGCTGGCTTCTTGACATAGTAGACGCTGCTCTACGTGCTCTGCAAGGCTTTCACAGCGCGCAAGCGGCACGGCCGTATGCGTTGCTACATAGACCCAGCCTGGCAGAACGCCCGGGGAGCTATCTCCTAATCCGCGCGCGGGTAGATTTGTACAGTTGCTGGCGAAACACAGCCAGATTGTGGGAAGGGAAGTATGAAGAAGACTGACGGATCGGCGGCCATATAAGGGTTCGCGTGATATTTCTCACAAAACCATGTGAGCCGGCGAAGCAGCGTGGGCAACAGTATCACAATCTCCGTGATACACAACGAACGTATATTTCGGCACCGGGAAAGCCATGCCGGATATAAGACGGCCGCCGACGAAACGACAATTCAGAACCGCCGTCTCCGTGAGCTCTGGAACTTGGACGTTTCTCTCCGTAGTCGTCTGCAGAGAAGAATGAGTGGATGTATTTCGCAAGTCTGTGAGCGACCACGAACCGGCTAGCACGCTCTCTCTCGATCTCCCTGCGCTCCACCTCGTCAGCGGACAGAATCTCAAATCGTGTCCGGAACTCGTCCGCCTCCTGCCAGTCCCGCCAAACGCTTTCCAAGGGCTTGGGACCTCGTCCGCGAGATCCCGAGCTCATCCCCAGTCCTGTCTTATCTCGCATGCCGCCCCCGTCGACGACACCCCACTCGACTGCATCCTTCTTATGCTTGATGAGCTCTTCATGTATTGCATGGGCGATCAGAGGTACAGCTTCTCCGGCGAGTCCAAGCTCTCGGCACAGGGTTTGTGAGAAGTCCTCTGGTGTCAGTGGCGAAAGCAAATCCCACTCGATGTGGTCCAATAGATGATGTGTGGCAATCTGGACATCAATCTGCACGGATGAGGTTAGTGTCAACCACACCCACGCAGCCGGTGAGAATCGCACACTGAGAATGACGCGGCATTCAGCCGCGGGCTCGTCTTGATCCAGCTCCTCACTGGACAACTCTAGTCGTGCTATTGCCTCGTGCTCCTCGAGTTGCGCCCGTATCTGATTCGTCACTGTCTCGACCCACGTCGTAGGCAGGTCCAAGTCTGCACAAAAGATGGCGGCGAAATTTTCCGGCCGGATGAGATCTTCATTGAGATTCCAAACAAAACAATCACGGATCCGATGTGTGTCCGTCTCAAACTCGACGCGTATCGGAACCAGGGCTGAACGAACGACTGCTTGCGTATCAATCTTATCCTGTGTGCTGCAGAAGCATTAGCGCATCGCCCAATATAGCACAGCCCACGAACTAACGGGAAAACATGGAATCCCTCCTTGAGAGCCGGCGTCGCTACTTTCGTCTGCACGAAACGCGCGGGTGGAGTCAGCCCGAGATAGCTCTGGTCCAATTCCGTCTTTTCTGGTCGCAGAGGAACCGTAGGGGCTGTCACGGGTGCCGTGACTCCAGTATTGGAGTTAAAGACGGACATGCCCGGGGCCATGCGCGATTTCGTCACCGCTGCGCGTTGCCGAGCACCTGCCGGCGCCCTGAGCTCATTTTGGAATTCCGAGTCATCCGAATCGAGGGCGCCCGCATCCGGCAGGTCGTCGCCGGACCCGGGGTCGACGTAGTTGACCGCCCGCCGCGAGGAGCGCGATGTGGTGGCCTGGACGTGGGAGATGATGGGCTGCATGAGCAGCGACACGCCGGTGCGCATGCGCGAAGGGTACGTCGTGTAGTACCCCTGCGCAGCAACAGGGATCGGGTTGGCAGGTGGATTGGGGGGTCCGACCGGGACGAAGACTGGAGGAGGGATGGCTTGCTGTGGGTAGATGACGGGCGCGGGTTGGGGCACGGGAGTAGATGCTGCTGGTGTGGCACGGGGCGTGTTCCGTGAGCGTGTCGTTCGGCCGGTGCCGCCTCCTCGGGGAGTCGCCGTCGACGTAGACCAGTTCAGGAGGTTTTTCTGATATGCAGCGGAGTTCCCGGTGGCATTGGCGGCGACATGAAGTTGGTCTATCGTCTGTTTGAGCTGCTGTGCAGACAGGTCTTGCATCGACATAGGGCGGAAAGTAGGGCTAGCGTTATCGAATCGGGGATATGGTGAATTTAGAGGCACTAGTCGCAGTTCACAGGAGCTGCACGATGATCAGTGCTGCAAGGGTGAGATACACTGGGACGCGAGCACGCACCAGCCAAAATGTAGTCCTGACCAGGCTCGAAGACGTCAGCCGCTGACGAATCTTCTCTGACTCCAAAAGCCTCAAGAGCGACGGCAAAAAAGGTCAACAGGTGAACGATAGGCTAAGACAACAACCAAGTGCAGTCGCGACAAATTGAAGCGAGGGACGTGTTGTGTGTGTATGTTGTGGATGCCTTCGGGGACTGCTGATTTCGATTACAGCCCATCATCATCAGTGCCCTGTTTACTTTACTTCCCACCGGTTTGTAGCTTGACTTGAGCTCGATAACAATTTGAACTGGACAGGATTCCGTCTTACTGCCAATGTGAACCGTCATGTTAGGGATAGCCATCATGCGGAACTGACTCGATCCGAATGATACAGCGTCTACTAATCAACGCCTAACAACCTCTCCTCCTCTTCCCCTGCGGCCAGCTCTCTACAATGCCGAGAAACAGCACTGATCCTCTGAAGACCAAGGACATCGCAGGATTGGCTGACTACATCAAGTCTGAGAGATGCAAGAACGTCGTATTCATGGTGAGCTCGTCTCGTCTGGTGAAGCTGTGGACATTGATTTGCCTGCAGCTTGGCGCCGGTGTTTACCACTTTCTCCCAACTCGATAGTTGATTTCTGAATTGCGATAGGCATTAGCACATCGGCCGGCATCCCTGACTTCCGATCTCCCGAAACCGGTCAGTCGTTCCGTCATGAACCATGTTTCTGCGGGCGTTAACGACTCTTCTTGCCAGGTCTTTACGTACGAAAACGTATTTCTGTTCTGCCTCGACCTTACTTGCATTCGGTCTAGGCCAACTTGGCTCGATTGAAGCTACCATACCCCGAAGCAGTCTTCGAGATCAACTTCTTCCGTCGAGATCCCAAACCATGTAAGTAATTGAGACGCCCTCGCATCATCGACGGGCTTCAGACGTCTGTTCAGTCTACACCCTCGCCCACGAGTTATATCCGGGCCAATTCCGGCCAACTCCTACCCATTCCTTCGTTCGACTCTTTGCGGAGAAGAAGCTCCTGCAGAAATGCTTTACTCAGAACATCGACACGTTGGAACGACAAGCAGGTGTTCCGGGGGACAAGATCATCGAAGCGCACGGCAGTTTCGCCACCCAGCGGTGCATTGACTGCCGCAAGCCACACGAAGACGCGGAGATGAAGCGGCAAGTCCTCGCCAAGGAGATACCGAAGTGCCCATCCTGCAAGGGCCTGGTCAAGCCCGATATCGTCTTCTTCGGGGAGTCTGTCAGTCTCATCCCGCGTTTCTGATCGCGGGTAACTGTCTGATAATACTCCAGCTTCCGGATGAATTCACGAGAGCCATCCCTTCCGTCGGAGAAGCAGACCTCCTCATCATTATTGGAACCTCACTCACTGTCCATCCCTTCGCCGGTCTGGCGCAGCGCGTGCTTGGCACTTGCCCTCGCGTTCTCATCAACTTTGAACGCGTTGGCACAATCGGTCACCGGCCGAACGACTTGGTGTTGCTGGGCAAATGCGACGAGATAGTCAGGGACCTTTGCCGAGAACTAGGTTGGGAGAAAGATCTGGACCGTCTTTGGGCCGAAACCAAGTCAGTGGAAAAGAAAAGCGAGCAGGAGACCGGGCCGGGGCCAGAGCCAGAACCAGAGCCAGAATCCGCCGCAGATCTTGTCGAAACAATCACTGAGGCCATCGGAAAGCAGTTGAACTTGGATGAGACTGCGGACGAAGAATCTGACGACGAGGCAGCTGGGGATGTAGATGGTGGCAAGAAAGTGGAAGACAAACCTGGAAAGTTGTGAGCATCGTGTCTAATTCGACTCCAGTATGTATGTAGCTTCGTCAGTGTATTCATAATCCGGCGTCATGTAGGTACATAAGTATGCGGTACGTTTCATACAAGGGCAAGAAAGACAAGATACATGGCATGCAACACAAAGAACAAAGTCCGGTCAAGTAAGAAAACCCTGCTATCCAGTGGAAACATCACAATTTGGCACAAACACGTCTGTGCTCTTCCCAATCTTTGCGCTGGTGGTCAAGCGAACAGTATCTGACCAACCTGCACTTGCTGCATGTCTGAGCGACGACTTTGGGACGTTCAACAACCCCAGCGTTGCTGTTCTCCGATCCCTCAGAGCTCCCCGACTCACTCGCATTGTCGCCCGTATCGAAGCACACGTCGCAATCAATCCAGTTGCACATCTGCTTCCGCTTGACCCGTTTCCCGTACTTTCCACCGCGCTTGATGTCCAGCACTTGTGCAGCCTCCGGTCCCCGGCGCGGGAACCGTATCATCTCGCAGTCATCCGTGCAACAAGGATTGGGGCAGCCGGTGGGATAATCGTAGAACAGATCCGCAGACGGCACATAAGAGCGGTGCGTGAATATGATTTGCGAGTAGGACGTCGGCTGATGGGAGAAGAGGATGAGGAAGCGCGGCCGTTTCTCGTACAACAGCGCGCGGAACGTCAGATCGATCTGGGGAAAGCACGGAGTGCGACGCTGCCGAGCCATGCTGTGCGTGATGCGCATGTGCTCAAGCTGTATCTCCCGCTCCATCGATGGTTTGCACGTCCGCCCGAACGTGTTCCGGCAGATGAGCTTGAAGAAAGCTGTAACGTCATCCATCTCCTGCCGCTTCAGGTCGGTCACTATTATGAATATCTCATCGCAGCCGCCATCGTGCATGCCTCGCAGGAGCATGAGCTCCGGAAGCTGAGCGGTCTTTGAGCGAGCGTCAATGGAGTCGAAAAGAGATGTGGCACACCATGGTGAAGATAACAGGCATCATGGGCAGTTTCCGCTCCTGCACTGTCCGGTGGTGGTATAAGTGTGTCGTCCATGTGCGATCAAGGGGGATGAGCCGCCCAGTGTCGACTGTCCGACAAAAGACATTCTCAGGGACGAAGTCCCCTTTGTTCCAGATGATGCTCTGCTCGTCATGGGTCGCGTGCTTGCGGTCGCGGACGTCCCGAAACCACTCGTAGTATGCGTCGTGTCCGTATCCGCGGTGCTCGAGCCACTTGTCTATGAGCGTATCCGTCGCATCATGAGACAATGTCGTCTTGATCAACTCCGACGTCGATAACCTTGGAGGGGAGAACAACGAATAGTGACGCGAGCGGTGGGGCATTTGAGAGATAGGAACCAACAGAGGTGGGCCAAAGAGGGAGTTGGGGAGCAGATGGTCGCAGCACAAGACGCGTTAATTGATACACTTGCCGAATGTTTAGTGTACAAACACAGCCCATCAATCGATCCTGATGGGCTCTTTATCAGCGATTCTCTCTTTGCTCGGTCGCACCATGGTTTCAGTCTCCCCAGCAACGCAGCCCAGCCAGATTTCACACTTTTGAAAGGATTCTGGCCCATCTCGCCATGCATGGCCTTCCGCACCTTCTCTCCGTATTGAGTCCAGCCGCTGTTGGCTGTGGAAGTCCGCCGGAGCTCGCGAGCCGAATAGGCACTGCCTCCATGAAAGAACACGCGCCGCTACAGGATGATCATCCGACCCCAGATTCCACATCCTTCCATCTATTCCTATCTAATATACATATAGTTCCAGTAAAGCTCTCCCACAATTCACCATACACCATACAATCCCAGGTAACGATTTACATGTCTAAATGAACCACCAAAAATCTATTCATCTCGTCGAAATGGTGCGCGTACAGCTCTTCCGCGTTCTTCACATAGTCCAAGGAATGGGTCGCTCCGGGAACATAGACCAGGTGAGCAGCGACACCGGCCATTTGCAGCAGCATGTAGAAGTGGCGCGAGTCAGAAGGGGGCACAGCCGTATCGTCCGCCCCATGGAACAGATATGTGGGCGGGAATTCGGATGTCACATGGAGCTGGGGGAAGATTCGACGGTGGTGCTCAGGGATGAGCTCTGCGGCAGCATCCTGCATAGCAAAAGGGTCGCTGACCAAGTCGGGGTTGTCCAGCAGCGGGCGGAGAGTCTCAGACAAGCTGGGTTCGTGCTGGCCAGTCCAGTAGTCGAGATACTGTCCAAGCTGGAGGTAGAGGCGGGATAAATATGTCCGGGGGTTCGAGGGCCAGCCAGGTTTCGTTGGGTGATCGAGGGGATAATACTCGAGGGGAGAATCGCAGATGGGTTGAAGGGCTTGACATCCGGGATACAGCAGGTCAGGGAAGTCGGCGGGATCCAGCATCTCGCGCCCGAGGAAGAACGGCTTCGTCTTGGGCGAGAGTGTCTGATGGGTCTATGGCACATGGTGAGTGAGTGTGGTATATGATCGACGATGAGGCACTGACAAAGGAGTCGCCGCCAACAGCATACAGGGCGAGGATGGCCTTCGGCTTAGGCGAGACATGTATGCCCGCCAGCAAGGCACACAACCCGCCAGCACTGGATCCCGCGGCGGCCATCGCATCAGGTCGAATTCCGAATTCAAGATCCTCGCCCGACTTGAAGCGCGTGTTTTCGTCGCGCAGGAAAGCGAACACGTCCTGAATGTCGTCTATCACGCTGTGCACCGTGGCGGGGCCGGGAATGAGCTGATAGTCAACGGAAACGAGCACCATGCCAGCGGCATTGAGACGCGCTGCGATACATGTAGCGATTGAGTAGCGAACACGCCGTTTGCATTGAGCGGTGACGTACCTTGAAGCCAGCTAGGAAACCAGCTGTTTCTACTTCCGACAGTGAGTCCACCTCCGTGAAAATACACAACGGTGGGCAGCCGCAATACTTCGGTGTTAGAACGCGTTTCGTGGCGAAGGGAACTGATGTCGGGCGGGTACACGTTGAGAAGCAGAGATAGCTCTCCGACTTTCTTGTAACAGACATCGATGCATTCCATGGCGTGTTGGATGGAAGGGGACAAGGAAGAGAGCAGACGTCGGAGAGAGAGGGGTGTGTAATGAGGTGATCGTATATCACGCTGTCTGTCAGTCTGTGGTGCTCCTCATTCTGCTCCCCTTTCTCCTGTGTCCACAGTGCCAGAGACTTGCAGACATTGGTATCATGCGCCTGGGTGCGAGAGAATTCAATCGTTCTGCTTGGCCTACTGCGGTACTCGGGCGCACATAGGATCTGGGTTTGGTTCCGGTCAAGAAATCTCGACGAGATGATCATGATGACTGGGAGTGCAGGGGGTGGTGGGAAAAACGCGCTCAGTTACCACTACGATGACATCACCAGTCTTCACGCGCAGACGCGATCACCTGACAGATAGCAGCAAGCGGGGACATTGGTCAAGGAACACGGCAGACATGAGGAGAGTAAAGTGCATTGGCAATGGCAGTTATTTGAATTTGACTGAGGAGGGTAGAGTAGAAGTGGTTCTCTAGGAACGATTATGGAATCGTGCAACACCAGGCACGACCGCCGCGCTCGGCGACTACGAAAAGTGGACTAGGTAGTGGAAAAGAGTGTGTGAAAAGGAGTGTGGGTGGTAAAGGAGTGACAGTGTTTCGTGCGAGTTCAGAATTTTCCGCCGGCAATCTGCAGCGAGATTAAAAAACGGAAAATGACGACGAAAGAATGGGCTACAAACCTTGGCGTTGTTGGCGGTGACCTTGTGTCCCTTGCCGCCAGAGATGGAGAGACCGGAGAAGTCCCATGCGCCAGTGCAGGCGCCGCAGTTCACGACGAGGCCTTGGCCGCTGGAACCAACAGCAACGGTGGTCGCAGCGCCGTCGAAGTTGACGTTACTGCAAAGATGGCATGAGCCAGTAACTAGTTGGCAGTAGAGACGACGCACGAGATGGGGCCGCCGGTTCCGACCTTGGGGCCATCCTCGACAGGGTAGCTCTGAGAGATGAGCACACCGAAATCAGAGATGCCGGTCAGGACGTTGCTGGGGGGATCGTGTTAACAGTGATTATCTTGCGAAACCAAGATTCACGCACCCCTGGTAGGTCACACCAGAGACTTTGGCGTTAGTGGCGGCCTCTTGCACCTTGATGCGGATCCCGTATTTCGAATTCGACACGTGGTTGCCACTAGCGCGGAAGTTAGTGACCGACTTGCCGGTGGCGATGGAGCCGATCGAAATTCCGTGTCCGCCAGTGCAGACGTTGTTCGAGAATGCAATGTCTGGAAAGAAATTCCGTATGAGTGTGTGAGCGTGCGCGAATCGGTTGAAAGGCGTACTGTTTCCAGAGTTGACAGCGACGCAGTCGTCCTGGTTGTGGACCGTGCAGCCGCTCACAGTCACGTCTGACGCGCTGATGTCGAACCCGTCGGTGTTGTGGCCGAGGCTTGCACCCGCCGCTGGAATTGCAGATGAGATTTTGGAGGGGGGGGGCAATGGAAGTCAGACACTCACAGTTATCGACGGTGACGCCTTTGATGGTACTGGCCGCATTGGTGCCAACCGAGATGGCTTGGGCAGGCGAGTTGAGGACAGTGAACGATTCGAATGTTCCCGAGCCCTGGAGCCTTGACATCGCGTGTCAGAAAGGAATTGATGTACTGGTCGGCAAAGACCCACTTCACGAAGGGGTGAGGCTTGAAGGCACCGCCGTTAGTACCCTTTCCGTCCCAGTACGAGGCGCCATTTCCCTGCGATCAGCCCCATCAGCAGTTATAGACTGAAGGTAGCAAAGCTTCACACATTGATTTTGTGGCCGGCGCCGTTGAAGGTGACACTCGGAGTATTGATAATGAAGAGCGGGCCGGCAGCTTTAGCCTCGGAAATCAGATCTGAAGCTATCTTGATTTACGCGGATGCTTACTGCTGGTCTTGGAGAAGATCACGTCGCCGGCCATGGTAACAACCGCGCCCTTAGCTGCCGCAATAGTCACCGTTTCTTTGCAATTGTCAGCGACAAGAAAAATTTGAAGAAACCGAAAGAGACGTACGACCAGCAGGAACAGTGAAGGGCTGGATGGTGACTGTGGTACAGCTCGACAAGCTCTTCGAGCTGGCGACGCTGTTGACGATGCAAGCTCCGCGCTCGGCGATCGTCACATTGGTCGGAGCCGCTGCAGCAAATGCTGCCAGCGCGATGAACTGAGCGAGAGTGGTCGTGGAAAGCATGCTGTTAGATTCGGAAAAGGGAGGGGAGGAGTGAAAGGAAAGGAAATTGATGCTTGTTAGAATCGTTTCGGACGCGCTCTTATACCATCCCGAGTGCGCCTCGTGGCATGAATATTGGTTCCGATTACGGTGGCCGGGATGATTCTTAGAGACTTGACACCCTCGCCAAACGCTCGCGGTCGGTCCGGGGCCATCAGGATAATACCAAATGACACACACGACACATACACCCCATCGAGGTCCTGCGATGCGAAAATAGCCTGGACGCCGATCTAGCCAAGGCCTGTCGCGCAGAAAAGCCTCTCCCTCTCTCTCAACAGTCGAACGCCGACTCCTTAGGCCCTGGAGCCAAAAATTGCGGCCGCTGCACGTCAAGGATCTGTTCACAGTGGCCGACATCCTTCTTCAGACTGGTTGAGAACATGTAATGAAAGATTTAGGCTCGACATTCAAGCTGCATGCATGGCAACGGTACGGCAGCGTTCTTCGGGATGTATACACCACGAGAGGTTGGCAGATCTTTTCATTTTTGCAAAGTTCACACAATCTGTCTCTCACAAAAAGGGTCCGAGTGATCGATGACGTAGATTCAATTCCGGCACTCGCTCCTACCGATTGTTACAACGTCTCCTTGGGCAATAGTGCACGGTTTCTCGGTCTATGAAACCGTACCTTCAGTTTTTCCGGGATCACAAATCCATGTGAATGGATGCTGTACGTCCGTATGTCCGCGAGATAGGCTTAAATGAACTGAGATGAGAATCATACGCTTGACACTTGTACGTATCAGGAATAGACACCAGGATCAACCAAGCATCGCAGGTAAAGTGCAGCAGTCACAAGAGACACGAATGAAATAGCCCCTGTTAGAAGCCGCTCCAAAAACGGGATTGAGCTGTGGTTTCTCGAAGAGGATTGAGGTATGTCGGAAGAAAAGGCCCGGTTTGCGAATGCATTCACACGCGTACGCGGCAAGCGATTGCATCACCGCACTCTACGGTGTCGGGGCTATTAATAGATTACGTGACTTCCCTCGGTATCGAAGCCCGAAGCTCGTTGCTCGCCTGTCCCAGCCTTCGAATTCCAACGAGTAGACTTTCTAAATGCATCACGGCTGAGGATGTACTGCGCCTGAGTGGAGCTGGGAAGATTCAGCGCGTTCACTGCCAGACCAAATACTTACTCGCGTAATCGCACCATGGTGGTTGTCAGATAAATGGTAGCAAATCCATCAGTTGAAATAGGCCGCGACAGGAGCCGATCCATATTTGTCGAATCGAGAGACTCGGACATTTGGTACAACTCGGACTCGGGATTACTGAATCACAAGGACTCACAAAGATCGATTCCAATAACAAAAGCAATGTAAGTCATCCCACAGATCTCGCAGAGAGCGGAAGTTGCAGTGGTGGTGGGCACGTGAGCCTAAGGGGGGAGCTCGAACCAGTCCCACGTGACATATTGAACTCGAATCAATACAATCACGAAACCTCGGCCATCCTCCGAGCTCAGGGTCGAAATCGAGCCAAAGCAATTGCTTCACCGACCGTAAGTGAATTCGCGAGGGGGCAGTTGTCCATTGATGGTTGCTTTCTTCAAGAATAGCGCCCTGATCTGCGCCCGGTAGCATTAGTACTCTTAGACCAGGATCCGAAGACCGCCTCTTCTGATCAAATTGCGGACTTGACTTGCAACGTAGACAGACCGTATGTGCCGAGCTTTTTAAGATACCCATTCTGTGTAAAATGTTTGCATAACTGTCCGGGTGCTGCTATAGCACATTCATTCTTGTGTCTTATGGAACGACAACGGTGATACCGTGAATCGCTTTGTCCGTGACGTCACAGCTACAGATGGAGCGAGATTCCTGTGCAATCACCCTGCAGATTGAGTAAAATATTTTGTCATTCCATTTGCTCTGAACAGTAATGAATGATAGCCCTATTTACGTCAAGCGGTCAAAAGTAATATCAAATCAAATTCTTTGATAGAATACTAATATGTTTTTGTTTCTATTTCCAGCGCAAAATGACGCAAATGTTTACTTAGTCAAAAGAGACCGAACCATGATGATATTTTTTCGAACTCTCTGTGGGGGAAGCAGGCGTCTATTCGTTGTACGAATTGTTTGGAAAATTGACGTCCATTTTGAGTATCTCCTTTTCTTCCGTGGAGAGAAGGCTAAAAATCAAACTGAGAGTTGCCTGTTTTCCGCGTAAGAAAAAAAAGTTCTCCTGAAATTATTGCGGATGTGAATGATGAATGTGAGTCGCAATGAGATCCAGTGATCAGTAGTCAGTATCGTGAATGTGATTCGAACGGGTTTCACTGTGACCGCCAGACTTACACTTGCTCTATATTCGGAGAGGATTTTCTGTTGCTACAGAATTAAGTGTGAGTACACCCAGATCTGCGTCCAGGTAATCTGCGATGAATGGCCGAGGCAAAAAAAATCGTGTGTTTTGAAACTCACTGGCACGCAGATGTTCAGAAATAAGTCTGATATGTCGAGACAAGCAAACTCTACAACTTTCCGGAAGCATCTGAAGATAAGAATCGGTCGACCAAAACCAGTTGACTCCATCTTGAGGCGAGTTGCGGAGCACAAGCCATCCATGATTCTACTGAGAAAAGGAACGAATGAGTCTTGTCCTGATCCGGAGGTCGACGTGTCTCATTTACCAGTGAGCGAGATCAGCGGACGGAGATTTGATCCGAGTAACTTCCAAGCCATTCGCGCGCAAACACAGAGCAGGAGACCGGTGGACCAGAGTTCAAAAAGATTCGCACAGGGCTTTTGAAGCGATGGCCGGGTCAGTCAGTCTACAATGACATCACCAAATGTGTAATCTCAACGCGATCAGCTCACATTGACAGCCCAGGGAGACATGTACTGAGTCATCAGAGAGATAGAGTGCGTTTGCAGTAGGTGAAATGTAAATTGATGAGGAAAGTACACGGCCAGACACCTAGATGCATCTGATTCAATGTGATGGCAATGAGCGTGATTGTGATCCGATTTTTGGACCGGACTGAAATTCGAATAGCTCTCGCTCACTTTTCCGACATTGAGATGAAATTGAAATGGGTGAATGAATGTGACTCATCCCAGCCCCTTTTGAGTTTCACTCGTGCACACTCATTGAATCCCGCTCATTCTCGCCCGGCCCCCATGAGCCACAACGCACGCGCATGTACGTGGGCTCTGGCAATCACTGATAGATAATGATTGACATTGATATGCGAAAGCCCCTATTTGGAACTACTACCACTCGAACGGCAAACCCGTCGCATCCTGCAAAGTCTGTCGAGATGGAATAGAGCGGAACGGTACTCAAAGCGAGCTTGTTCGACATGAGAAGACCCAGACACACACAAAGGCTCTTCAACGTCAAGCCGATCGTGAACAGGACAACGCGGATTTCCTGCGCCAGGCGGCCAGCAGCGATCCTGCTGTAAACCCACCAATCACCGATCGAGACATCGCAGACCATGCCCTCAGAAACCTCTTATCATCACTCGGTGGAGGTACCATGGCGCCTCACGCCGTCACACAGCCCAATCCGACCTTAGCGGATGGCTCGGGCCCTGACTTGCGTTCTCACACCCCCCTTCGTTCGACGGCGTCAAATATTGGCATCAGCTGGAATCTCATGGAGGCTTACGGAGAGACTGAGCTCATTCCGTCAGCTGACGAACGATCTGTTCAGTCGATCACGAATGCGATCCTCGAGCGCTTTGACCTCGAGGCCCTGTCAGACGAAGACGAGAATGAGCGCTCGGACGCCGAGTCTGAGCTTGCAGCTGAGGATCCCGTTCTCGGAAATGCTGGTATAGTGTTTCTCACTGACCACGGACTCAACTGACCTTCGCAATTGACACAGATTCCAATCGTCGCGAGCACGTCCCAAAACACGCTCGGGGAGACCTCGAGCCAGGATCAGAGGCTGAGCGTTTGCACTGGTATCCCTGGGACAACCGTATCGTGAGTGTATCCTTCCTTTTGGATCGTCACACTGTTCACGCGCATCATGCAAGACCTGCACTCTTGATGTCCTCATGCACCTCCCACGATCTGTCTTCTCTCAGCGACAACTCGATCTCTTTCTCTGGCTCCTCAAAGTCAACAATGTCCCAGATGTCCCATCAATCAAGCAAATGCAACAACTCGATCTCGCTCTTCAGAAGCTTTGTGGAATTGAGACTATTGCGTACAACGGGGCCCTCGGTCACAAGTATCATGTCAACAGCCTTGCGCAGATCATTGCTCAGGCAAGCCTACGCTGCTTGTCAGAGATCAGATTCGGACTCAGCTCTTTCCAGGAGATGGCGAATCCTCGAGTTCGTCCACATCTGTCTTTCTACCCCGAAGATTCTGGGAACGAGCTCTCCGAGGCGCGTCAGGGCCAGCGATGGCTTCACGAGCTTCCCAATGATCAGACCACACCCATGATCCGGCTCGCGGGAAAGGACTACTACATCTACGAGCCATGCATGGCTACATCTGAACGCGACGGTGTCCAGCAATATGTTATCCCTGTCCAATTCTTCACTCGCGGTGGCTCATTGTTCGCCAAATGCTGGAGAATGCATCCCGTTGTTACAGATCAGATCTCGGGTTGGCGCGTGGATAAGACCACTCCGTTCGAAGTCGACACAAAGTTGTTCTTCAAGACATTCACACAATTTCAGAGCGACGTCGAGTGGTATCAAATTCCGAATCCATCTCATATAATTGGTAAGCTCTATGCTAATTCAGATCGAACGACCACCGTAGCTCATCCTTTGCCAATGAAAGATGTTGTTGACCTCAACGCTATGACGCAGAGCACTCCCTGGACATATACAAACCCTGTCATCGGAAACCCGTGGCGTTCAAAGGCCGGTGGATGTCGTGTTGTGTCATTTCCCATGTGGCTCTATTGCGATGATACGTCAGGCAATGTTTCTAAGAAATGGAATAAGCATAATAGCTTTCTAATGACTCCAGCTGGTTTGAATAGACACGAAAGCCAGAAGGAATATAATATCCACTTTCTGTGTACATCCAACATTGCCCCGCCACTCGAGATGCTGGACGGAATTGTCGAACAGCTCAAGTGAGCACAATTTCACGGAGTCTAATTCACGTCTGATGTTCTGCAGAAACGGTCAGGATGTAGGGATCTGGACCTGGGATATTGAACTCGAAGAACCTGTGCTGGTTGTGCCCGAAGTCTTGGCTTTGCTGGGGGACAATCCGATGCAGAGCAAATTTGCATGTCATATTGGTTTGCGCGGAAAATTCTTCTGTCGAGCATGCTGGGCTCGGGGACACACAGCCAAGTCTGCTGAGCCCAGTTTCGGAGCGGCAGGGGCCACTGACAGCGCTGGACCAAGCGGTGATCAGAGTGATGTCGAAACCGATGATGATGATATCAATGGTGTTGGTGGCGAAAGCGATGACAGTGCGGCGAGTGCTGGACCGAAGAAGGGTAAACAAGGGAAGAAGGCCTTGGAAACCATGGGTCAAATGGTCAACCGCATCAAAGCGTTCATGACGGTGAGTGGATTATGGTGTCCAACCAGATTACTCTTGGATCGCTTACATGACTTTTGGTATAGCTCGGACGTTTACGCAACAAAGCCGAGACTGTAAATTACCTCCGCTCAGAATTTCTCACTGCTTCCACTGCTGTGGATAAGAAGACGCAGATCAAGAACTTGCGCACGGAGACAGGGATCAAGGACACATTCCAGCAGTTCTTTGTTGAGAAGCTCTTTGATTCTTACAAAAATAAACGAGGACATGAAGCCCGGATAGCGGCACTGGAAGCTCAAGTTCGACAAATGCCTATGGACATGAATGCCATGAGCCCGGTTTGGCGGATTCGGGGTTTGGACGCGCATCAAGACACACCGGTTGAAATTCTTCACGTTGTTCTGCTAGGATTTGTGAAGTATCTCTGGCGCGATCTCATTCAGCTCCAGCTCAAAAACAAGGATGACAAAAAAAAGTTGTTGATCACACGATTGAACTCGGTCGACACATCCGGTCTTGGAATCTCGCCTCTGGCAGGTCGAACTCTTGTGCAATATGCCGGGTCTTTGACAGGTCGCGACTTCCGCGTGATTGCTCAAGTTGCGCCATTTGTGGTCTTCGACCTGGTGGACTCCGGGTGCTTCGACACGTGGAAAGCACTCTCAAAGCTAATTCCGCTCATCTGGCAACCTAGAATCTCAGATATCAATGCTTACACGGTCAGTCAACAACCATTGGAGTCGCACAATGACTGACTTGAACGGAAGAATCTCCTCACATCTGAAATCAATCATTTTTTGATATGTGCCGCTCGATGGACGAATCGCTGGTTCAACAAGCCTAAATTCCACATTCTGTTACATCTACCAGCCCACATTCGTCGATTTGGTCCAGCTATCTTGTTTGCGACAGAGGCCTTTGAGTCTTTCAATGCCATCATCCGGGCCAAAAGTGTCCATTCCAATCGACACGCACCATCTCGTGACATTGCGGTAGGCTTTGCCCAGGGAAACCGTGTTCGCCACCTCCTCAGTGGCGGTTGCATCCGTTCTGAGTCAGCTGCCGACTGCACCGATCCTCGGAATTGGCAGAAAAGACATTGGATGCGAGCGGGTGAAGGAGCCCTTACGGTTGTCGAAGGGAACACCGTGGCGTCGTATCTAGGTTTGCAGCAAGACCGTATCACAAATGTGATGGGAGGTAAGCCTGTTCCGCTTCTGGGAAAGTACCACTCTCATGTCTGTGAGCAGTCATCGGCCCACTGGCATCTGGCACATTAAGAGAAACTCTCACCGCTCGACACATCGAGTCATGGACCGGCAATCCGAATAACTTTCAAGCACGTACAAAGCTGTGACTTGCTAATGGAGACATATGTCAGCTAGGATCATATGTTCTTGTCAAAAAGAATACACGCGCCACGGAAATCTATCATATCGAAGAGGTCTTGCAGAAGAAAGGCTCAGTAAACGCCCTGGCTGAGCTCCCCGATGTCATCTTGATGCGGCAGGCTCTGGTCAATCCAAGTCAAGAAAAGTACGGAATGCCGAGAGTATGGCTTTCAAACTGTTGGGTGCTCGGGTCGCTTGAAGTATGTTAGACCGGTGAGATCAGACAGCGCTTCTCACTTACCATTGCACAGGAGATCTTATGCACCGTGAACGTACAACACAACTGCATTGATCACCATTGCGATACATCAGCGGAAGTGCCCATATACCAAGAACGCACAAAGACGATGCAAACCCAGGCTCGCATCAAGCATCGAGGAGACCTTGATAATGTTGTGCTTAACACCGCCCAGATGCGTGACGCATGCCATCTTCAGCAGTTCCGTATCAACGCACCCATCATGCAAGACCTTGACCAGGTCGTTCATGAGAGTGCTGTGAAAGAGATTGCGTTGCGCAAGCATTCCAAGACCAAGACAAAGCCATCCACACCTACCCCAGTACCACGCAGCGGGGCATCTGCAGACCCAGCAAATCGATCTCCGTTGACGATCCGCATTCCGTCCCTTCGACAACCCAGTTCGCTGCGCGAGTCATCCGGACCTCAGATTTAGGGCAGAGAAGTGAAAGAAAAGAGTATCATTTTTATACGTTAGACATGGTATTGATGTTTTCCAATCGATTGTGAAGTTCCTGGTTCTCCGAGCGCAAGCTGTTCCGCTCAGACCGAAGTTGACGAATTGTGGTTTGCATCTTCTCGAGGGTAGATTGCAGCGTGCTAGCATGTGTTGGATACTCTCTTAGACGTTGTACAAGCAAGATTTCGGCATGCGACAGTTCGAGGAATGCATGGGGCTCAGACTCGTGGACGGTTTGACAATCAGGGATCTCGACTGTGCAGAGAGACTGAGCTCTTTTTGAAGAGTACATAGCACCAGCGTACCTTTGACCTTGACTTCGGGTTTGGCACTGGAACCCTCCGTGGCGACGTTCTCCTTCTCTGACTTGACACGCACTAAACTGGAAATGGCAGCTGGGATGGGAGGCGCCGAGCGGCGGGAGCTCAAAACAGGTGAAACATGGTCTGTGTCTCAGTAAGGGAGCGAGACTGGCTGCACACGAAGGACGTACTTTCACAATAAGAGTCAAAGAACTGAGTTTCCGTGATCTGACTGTTCAGTGCACCAGCCCCCGTTGTGGGATCACCGATCTTGTCATACAATCTGGAAGTCATTTTGAGTCGGCGACCGATACAGACAAGTGGAGGTGCACACTCTGTAAGTCTCTGAGCGCAGCGCTGAGACGAAAGTCAAGGTGCATGAGGCACGGGAGAGAAAGGATGTTTGCCTGTGTTTATTTCGGCCTTGGGCATGATGGCGGGTGGACCCTTTCTGTTGCGCTCATGACCGCCGCTTTTATACCTCTGCCGCTGTGACACAACATGTTTCATGACGCGTCGACGCGTTTTTTGAATCAACAGGGGCAGATTCTCCACGTGAGAGCGCGTCTGCGCGATATAAAAGGAGGGGCACCTGCTCGACACTCCACCCCGATGCAATGGATGCCTTCCCCCCCTTTGGCCCTGCTGTCATGTCACCAATGCCTGCAGATCCAGTCTTTTCTCGCTCGCTATCGCCTCTGAATGACTCACCAACGTCTCAACCACCTTTCCAATTTCCGGAGGTGTTCCACTCAACGACACCGGCAACAGCTCCCATGTTATCGCCTTCGACCACCAGCCACAATATCGAAGTCGTTGGCACTGTACTACTGGATAAGATAGCAAACGATCTTTTGCTGGGTCCCGGGGAGATCGAACAACTTAGGTTCTTGGTACGCGTACGTGGTCATTGCTGCTTCGTAGAATGTCCTTTTCACCATTATTGTCAGTTGGCAGCATTGGGAGACGGGCTTTCACTCCCAGATGTTGCGACGCGCGTGTATATGCTCGCTGTCCAGTTGGCAGATGTATGCGAGCGTCGGCGTTTGCGACAGAGGGATGAGACTGAGAGGCTGGATATCGGCAGTGTCTTCAATGACTTGAAGATTCGCTTGGCCGACACATTCCATCTCACAGAGGTGCAAAAGGCGAGCTCACACGACGTGTACGCTGCCACATTACTGAGTCTCTTGGCAGCAAGATATTCGTGCAGAGGCTTGCAGCCTGATCATTGAGCCCAGACGGACTTCCTTCTCAGGGCTGGCGCAAGACCTCATTGTGAGCACTGAGTGATTGTTCAGTACTAACGGGAATGCTCATTCCATCGCTTGTAGGAGAAGTTCGAGATAAACAGGGATACGGAAGCCTTCGTCAATCTCAGGAATGTCTTCATCGCACCGAGCCGAATCAAAGTCTTGAACAAGGAAGCTCGGTCTGTTGCCTCGAGCGTGCGAAACAGTTTTCGCAATGATGTGCGTCTGTTTCTCTCCCTGAATCCACCACCCTCACGCTTTGCGTAGATTGTGATGAGCATCAAACCGAAAATCTTCTGCGACCTCGCCGATTTTGTGAAGAAGTGTGTGCGGAAGTACAAGAATACGACACTCACAACTCTTAACGTGGATCCATACACTGTCCAACTGGCACTTCTGGTAAGCTCATCGTATTGTCGAAGGTCTGTCTATTCCCTGACCAGTTTGCAGCGCCGCTTTGTCTATGACCATCCAGAGATTGTGAACGCTGCTGTGGACTCTGACGACATAGAGAACGAAGACCCGAGCACCAGCGAAGAGCGTCCAGCGAAACGAGCACGTGCGGGACGCACAGCCAAAGGAGAGGACTTTTGGGGACGTGTGGAAGAGTGGTTCAAGAAAGAGATGGCAGTCCGCGGGTCGAATTGGACCTCTGCTTCATGGAAAAGGTATTGGCCCACAATGATTGTCTCATACACGGCTGGTGCTAATTGATGTTCAAGATACATTGACCAAGTGATTGTGGACGACAGAGTGAAGTTTGTTGGTGTCAAGCCCGGATCTCCCGTCATCCGTGAGCTCCCAGAGACCCCCATTCGTCCAATGTGGGGTGAAGGTCTAAGTTCGGCCGGCGCGCGGTCAACGGAGTCGACGCCAGGCCCCTCTGTTCCCGAAAGTGACCCGTTCTGGTCAGCAATGTGTGCAGCGTAGTCTCTAGGTAGTTCACATGTACCATAAACCAAACCTGAATGAACGCGAAATGTGCAGCCAGTGATCAGGACCTGTGTGACTCCGTGCAACGGTGTGACGCTATTCTCTTTTTGTCCATCAACAACCACTGTCGAGTCGTCCCACCACAGCAAGATGCATACACCGCAATACAACCGCCCTCTGAATACTGCTGCAACATGACACTACAAGCTGATAAGGGACCTGACTGGGGGCAAGGAGCAAGATCTGGGAACGACCGGCGAGTCAAAGTGCAAGAACACAAGAAATCGGAAGTGTCAACGCCCACTACTTCAACCTTCACATCTCTACAAGTGACTACAAGGCCTTTCAAGCGGTCTCTACTAGATCAAGATAGTCTCTGGGTCACGACATCCTCCACAGCAATCATACACATTGTCAAGCGTGTCGCAAGAACGTCAAGATTCACTCCCCCACCATCTCGAGCTCGATTCGGAATACTTTGAAATCATCAACAAGTCTATTTACATTCGCAAAGCCAGGATGACGTTCACGTGTGGCGGTGGACCGTAGAGGATGGAAGGAAGCGGAGCGATCCTGAGTTTGGTGGTTCCGAACTTGGTGCGTGCTGCGACTGCGACCTCACTAGGTACTGACACGATTCGTAGCTCACAGTCCCGACACAAGCATGCGTAGCTCGTCTGGGTATACCTGCGTTCCCTTGCCTGTACTGGCGTGGCCAGAGCCACGATTTGGGTGGTCGAGGACACCAGGGCGTTGTATCGCCATATCATGTATTCCTCATCTCTAATAACACTTCTCATTCCACATACCCACATGTATTACCCCGACGTAAGCACCGATGAGCACCTGCGAGAGCGGTACAGATTCTGCGCAGGCATCCGGTCTCGCCCGAAGGATCCCCGAAAGGAAAGACGATTAATGCGTGACGTGGATGGGCATCACGTGGAACCATTGAGCGAGACTCATTCCAAAGTGGCTTTCACGCATTCCACAGGCATCTGAATCTGAGCTGGCCCACGCGCTTTCAATTGCCGCCCAAATCTCGCTACACAATAACTAAAATCTAGGAATTTGCGCGTAGCTCAACGAACCGTCCTCCCTGTGTAGCAGTGGCTCTCTGGGATGACGTCAAGGAGTCGAAAACGCGATCACCTGACATTGAGAGCAGGATCCGAGGAACGGGAACTGAGACATCGGGAGAAATAGAGTGCATTTGCATATATAGATGAGATGTAGATTGACTAGGGAAGTGGAAGTGGGTATTTAGAAACGATTATGGAATCGCAGCCGCGCTTGGCAGCTAAGGGGAGGATGAATTAAGTAGTGAAAAAGAGTGTGGGGTTGATAAGGAGTGACGAGCGAGGTCATGTCGCAAAATCTAGAATTTTCCGCCAGAAATCTGCAGCAAGGTCAATAAACGGAGAGCGGCGGCGAAAATAGAGACCGCAGACCTTGGCGTTGTTTGCGGCGACCTTGTGTCCCTTGCCGCCAGAAATAGAGAGGCCGGAGAAGTCCCATGCGCCAGTGCAGGCGCCGCAGTTCACCACGAGTCCGAGTCCGCTGGAGCCAACAGCCACCGTGGTCGCAGCGCCGTCGAAGTTGACGTTACTAAACCCGATTGTCAATCACGAAATCCGTTTGGCTGGGAAGACGACGTACGAGATGGGGCCGCCGGTTCCGACCTTGGGGCCGTCCTCGACGGGGTAGCTCTGAGAGATGAGCACACCGAAGTCAGAGATGCCGGTCAGGACGTTGCTGGGGAGGGCGTGTCAGCGCGAAATGTCATCCAAAAGTAAGATTCACGCACCCCTGGTAGGTCACACCAGAGACCTTGGCGTTGGTGGCGGCTTCCTGAACCTTGATGCGGATCCCATACTTCGAGTTCGACACGTGGTTACCGGTGGCGCCACCTCAGTTACCACCGCCAACCCCCCATATAGACCCCGCGGGGGACCTCCTGGGTACCCTTAGACGTAGCTCTATGGGTACCCAGGAGGTCCCCCCCCGCGGGGGTACAGGGGGCAGCTGGCCATTTTGGGGCAGGGGGATGGGCGGGGGTCAGGACGGGGGTCAGGACGGGGGTGCCCATACATACCATGTGACTTGTCCATAAGAGCGGGCAGCTGGGCGGGAAAAAAAAAATCAATCACATGATGCACCAAATGGGCGGGATGGCGGGAAAATCACGTGATGAGCTGCAGGAAAAATTTCAAAATGGCGGGGGTTGGCAGGGGCGTTGGCGGGGGCGCTACCGCCCCTCCCGCACACTGCAGCGGGCAGTGGGCGCATTATCACGTGACTTTTTGGGGGCCCCTTTTTGCACCATTTGGCATGATTTTGGAGGTGCTGCTTGATAGATTGCATGTTGTGGCAGACAGTGGGCGCAAAATCACGTGATTTTCCGCCAAAAAAAAAATGGAAGCCTCTCTAAATCATCCCAGTATAATTTCCATAGGTAAATACACTAATTGACCATGCATTTGAGCTTAGAAAACCCCAAATGCACCCTGCACAATAGGATTGTTGATGCGCTTGATCCCATCATCTGGCGGGGTCTGCCGCGGGGTCAGTCTGGCATATTCTATATTTGACCTCCTTTAGCCGTAGCAGTAGTGCTGCTGACCACCAGGGCAAGAATACAAACATTTATGAAATATCTTATCAAGGTAGACAAAGCCAATAGGGAAGGTGAAGATGTGTAACTGGATATTGCAATTGATGCAGGGCCCAGTGCGGGGTCTGGTGCAGGGTCTGGTGCGGGGTCTGATGCGGGGTCTGGTGGGGGAGCAGGGGCAGGGGTGGATTACACAAAATTTTGATGTATCTACTCTGGCTAGGGTTGTAGAATATCACGTAACTTTTCTCTATTTTGGCAGGGAATGGGGGATAAAGATACACAACATTGCCCGCATGTTTTGGCTGGGTCTCCAGGTCAAGTCATGTGATTTACCAATGTTTCGGTGGGGGGTAGGAGATTAATGGATGATGTTACCTATATAATCCATGGCATGTGAAGTCAAGCAGAACATGTGATTTTCTCATTTTTTGGCTGGCAGGATGGGTGGCATAGTAGATTGGCAGACCAGGGTCCACACTCCACTCATTGATTGTTTGCTTTACCCATTTAATATATATGTGTAGCACAGTGGTATCCATTTTTGGAGCTTGTAATAGAACATATTAGGTACACATCTCATCCCCCCCTTCCTGGCTGAATGCACTTGAGGTCTGAAACTTGTGTGTTCCCTTGCAAGCGATCTGCTTGGGTTTCAGCATGAATTCATTAAATAGAGTGGATTTGAGGTGAACTATATTCATTACTCGGTGTGATGTGAGAGGATGTATTTACTGGCAAGTTGTCCCACAATAGTCAGAGCTTGGTTATCAGTGCAAATTTGACATGTAAACTCTTAACAACTTGTGTCTTGGCTTGTATCTTTTGGAAGACCAACTGCAAACACATGGCTGATTGTTTTTACCAATGAGTCTCTACCCACCCCAGCCATGACCACCTGCCTGCACCCCCGCCTTCACCCCCGCCCCCTGCCAGCACCCCCGCAACTACCCTGCCACTGATTGACCCCCGCCATCACCCCCGCCACACCGGTGCCTCAGCCCCTGCCATCTCCGAATATGTAATATTATGTAAAGTGACAGCCCGGAACACATCAAGTCAGTAGCCAATCAGGACCTGTATAAACGTCGTACCTAACTATGTTTTGCTCTTCTGTGACTGTTTTTACATATATGCTGCTAAAAACCATCGGAATTATGTCTCCTTATGCTGTTCTTGTTGAATATAATGCCACTTCATGTCCTCTGTCAGCCCGAAATTCGAAACATGGAAACAGCTCATAGTGACTCAATGTTCCTATATAGAGAACACTTCGACATGGTTCACTTTGCATATTGCGCAAAATATATTTTCTGCAAGGGCCCAACTTCACACAACCGAAGGATACACCCTTTGGCAATGCCTGAACAAAATCTGGGGAGTGCTGGACCCTGTAACGATTCAAAAATACGAAATAAATCCAAAGTATAGTGTGATTTATAATGTGGGATACGGGCCAGTTTAAAGAGATGTGAGCCTCTGGTCATCTTGAATATCGTTTCTAACAATGTTTCGGTCCCCTACCTCCTACCAGACAACCTCTGTTCTCACTGGAACGTGCAAAACCCACCCAAGCTTGTAAAATCAATTGTCGCCCAGAAACAAGAGCAGTCGAGTTCCTTTGTCGGAATTGGGTAGAGGTAACCATGAAGTTGCTTGGGCTGCAGTATAAAAGCATGGGAATGTGTTTCTATGTGTGTTCATCTGGTCGCTCCACATTTGATTGGCCAGCAGGGGCTGGCGCACCCCCGCAGTCAACCCCGCCCAATCCCCTGCAAGAATTGTATTCACAAGGTTTCTGCGCAATTCTTTGTCAGGGTTCTGTGTATTAGCACACTCATTACAGTGTCTCAATGTGATGTTCACAGGTTATATTCAATCCAGCAAATGATGCTTGTAACAGCTGTATCAAATATGCTATTAAAGAGAGTGAAACATTGGAGATGCAGTCATCCTTAAAAAGCGGGAGGACCACTTCAGCTGTTCGGAAGGGGAGCAGTAGCCATGACTATTCCTGCTGATCAATGTAGCTGTGACTGGACAACCCCCTTGGGGATTTGCTGAACACATGTAGTTGCGCATTTTTTAATATGTTAGCATCTTTTGAAGCCACAAACTCCACCAAAATGTACTGGCAAAACCATGCTTTAATCTCCTACCCCCCACCGAAACATTGGTAAATCACATGACTTGACCTGGAGACCCAGCCAAAACATGCGGGCAATGTTGTGTATCTTTATCCCCCATTCCCTGCCAAAATAGAGAAAAGTTACGTGATATTCTACAACCCTAGCCAGAGTAGATACATCAAAATTTTGTGTAATCCACCCCTGCCCCTGCTCCCCCACCAGACCCCGCATCAGACCCCGCACCAGACCCCGCACCAGACCCCGCACTGGGCCCTGCATCAATTGCAATATCCAGTTACACATCTTCACCTTCCCTATTGGCTTTGTCTACCTTGATAAGATATTTCATAAATGTTTGTATTCTTGCCCTGGTGGTCAGCAGCACTACTGCTACGGCTAAAGGAGGTCAAATATAGAATATGCCAGACTGACCCCGCGGCAGACCCCGCCAGATGATGGGATCAAGCGCATCAACAATCCTATTGTGCAGGGTGCATTTGGGGTTTTCTAAGCTCAAATGCATGGTCAATTAGTGTATTTACCTATGGAAATTATACTGGGATGATTTAGAGAGGCTTCCATTTTTTTTTTGGCGGAAAATCACGTGATTTTGCGCCCACTGTCTGCCACAACATGCAATCTATCAAGCAGCACCTCCAAAATCATGCCAAATGGTGCAAAAAGGGGCCCCCAAAAAGTCACGTGATAATGCGCCCACTGCCCGCTGCAGTGTGCGGGAGGGGCGGTAGCGCCCCCGCCAACGCCCCTGCCAACCCCCGCCATTTTGAAATTTTTCCTGCAGCTCATCACGTGATTTTCCCGCCATCCCGCCCATTTGGTGCATCATGTGATTGATTTTTTTTTTCCCGCCCAGCTGCCCGCTCTTATGGACAAGTCACATGGTATGTATGGGCACCCCCGTCCTGACCCCCGTCCTGACCCCCGCCCATCCCCCTGCCCCAAAATGGCCAGCTGCCCCCTGTACCCCCGCGGGGGGGGACCTCCTGGGTACCCATAGAGCTACGTCTAAGGGTACCCAGGAGGTCCCCCGCGGGGTCTATATGGGGGGTTGGCGGTGGTAACTGAGGTGGGTGGCGCGGAAGTTGGTGACCGACTTGCCCGTGGCAATCGACCCGATCGAAATTCCGTGTCCACCAGTGCAGACGTTGTTAGTGAAGGCGATGTCTGGAAAGAAATTCCGTATGAGCGCGTGCGTGTGCGCGAATTGGCTGAGATGCGTACTGTTTCCAGAGTTGACAGCGACACAGTCGTCCTGGTTGTGGACCGTGCAGCCGCTCACAGTCACATCCGACGCGCTAATGTCGAACCCGTCGGTGTTGTGGCCTAGGCTTGCGCCTGCCGCTGAAATCGGCAGATGAGATTTCGCAGATAGGTACCCGGAGCTAGCCACTCACAGTTATCGACGGTGACGCTCTTGATTGTGCTGGCCGCGTTGGTGCCAACCGAGATGGCTTGGGCAGGCGAGTTGAGGACGGTGAATGACTCAAACGTTCCCGAGCCCTGTAGCCTAGAATTTGCGTTCTTTGAGCGCGATTTCAAATCGAGCACTTCAGAGCTCACTTCACGAAGGGATGCGGCTTGAAGGAGCCGCCGTTGGTGCCCTTCCCGTCCCAGTAAGAGGCGCCGTTTCCCTGCGCTCAATAGATCAGAAGGGGTGCACTCCGGAAAGCAAAGCACCGCACATTGATTTTGTGGCCGGCGCCGTTGAAGGTGACACTCGGAGTGTTGATGATGAAAAGCGGGCCGGCAGCTGTAACGAGCGAGTCAAATCGGAAATTATCGTAACAACAACATGGGACACCTACTGCTGGTCTTTGAGAAGACGACATCGCCAGTCATGGTGACCACTGCGCCCTTGGCTGCCGCGATCGTCACCGTCTCTGTCCATTTTTCAGCACACTGAAATATCTCGAAAACTCGCAGGAGACGCACGACCGGCAGGAACAGTGAAGGGCTCGATGGTCACCGTGGTGCAGCCCGACAAGCTCTTCGAGCTGGCGACGCTGTTGACGATGCAAGCTCCGCGCTCGGCGATCGTACCGTTGGTCGGAGCCGCTGCAGCAAACGCTGCGAGCGCAATGAACTGAACGAGAGTGGCGGTGGAAAACATGCTGTTGGACTCGGAAATCGGGAGGAAGGAAGGACTGGTGTGGAATGAAATTGATGCTTTCCTCGATTGCTGTGGACACGCTCTTATACGTGCGTCCCCAGTCCGAATCGCGGCTTGACTTCTGAGTATTGATTCCGTTTGCGGTGGTCCAGATAACAGGCTTGACAGGCTTCGCCAGACTCTCGTGCTGCACCTTGCATCGAGGCCCTTGTAGAAACTAGCACATTTCGAGCCGAGTATGATCCGAGTCATGCGTCAGGATATTAACGACGGATCGACGCGCTGTTAGGTGCTGCTGCGAGTATAGCCGCATGCAAGCCAGTTTGTTATTCTCGAAGAGGGCAACAATCAAAGAACGACTGCACCCGGACAATCTCACGCACGGGCGGTGAAGCAATAGTTTTTGGCTCGATCTCGACCCTGAGCTCGGAGCATGACCGAGGCTGGATCCGGGACCCGGACTCAACATGTCACGTGCAACTCGTCTGAGTTAACTCCGGTTTAACGGACCTATTGCCCCTTCTGATGATTGCGACAAATATGATATCTTTCGATGTTTCTCAAACTGAAACAGACGGTTGTGACCAGAGGGAATCCAGTCATCATACGTTTGAGATCCAGTCAGTGGTCGAACACCTCTCGTTTCGACTGATATAGCGCAGCGGTCAGACCATCCAGCCGATCCATCCATCCCATGACCATTCCGTCTCAGGAACTTGCTGCTAGTAATCTGATAAACAATCTGCTAGTACAACTGCGCAATTCTTGAGGCGGGCCGTGAGCACCCTTCACTCAGCCGCCGGGTGTCTAACACGTGCGCTCGCTGGTATTTCAAGGCAGGGACAAGCAGAGGAACGAATGTCGGGCTCGAGGCGAGACTCAGCTGTCAAATATCACTGCTGGCTGTTAGAAACCCCGGACACTGTAGAACGCGGTGATGCGATCGGTTGCTGCCAGTCGCTGCGGATGCATTCAATCCCACACCAAGTCATTTCCCCCAACACACCTCAATGCTCCTCGAGATAGAACAGATCAATCCCGAAATTCCGGCGGCGCTGTCTGACCTTGTCTGACCAGGTCGAGTCGTCGATGTTTCGCTTGCCGTGCAGTCAGTGTTTAATGATGCTGATGTCATTCCGAACCGACAATGTGACAAGCGTATGATTGTCATCTCAGTCTATCAATAATGTTGCCGGCAGGCGTTCCGTATAGCATGCGTCCGCACGGATTCGAGATTTCGAACGCTGCGAGGGGACTGATTTCAAAACTCTCGAAGGCCATGACTTCCAGATGCGGTGCGTTCCTGATTCTAGGGCCTGGTAGGGAGCCGTGATATATGCATCAGGAACAGCTTGTAACACCAAGAGAGAACTGGATATCGCGAAAACTTCCCTACGTCATCGTTGACTAAAATCCTTCGTCGAATTGACAGGTTGTGAGAAGGTTTCCAAGGTCGATGGATCCCAACTCCATCCTCGTCGTGTATTCATCCCGAAAGCCGCTGCGGGCCGTCGCAAGGCACCAACCACAATCCTTGAGTCATTTCATGTTCTCTCAGCGTGCTGTATTGAGAAAGATGCAACCCACTATGCATACGTCGTTCACTTGCTCCGCGTCTATCAAAGTCGCAACTCCTCCTGGAGGAGTCGGTGTTCTACCAACGGGTTACTCGAGGGAGGGAGAGAGTCGCTAGGACAACGGTTCGAGACTAAATTAGCATCTAGGCTATCTCCGCGTCGGAGGACTTTGATGCCAGGTGTGACATGCTCTCGGGGGCTCACGACCGAACACGAGAGTCTGGCGAAGCCTGTCAAGCCTGTTATCTGGACCACCGCAAACGGAATCAATACTCAGAAGTCAAGCCGCGATTCGGACTGGGGACGCACGTATAAGAGCGTGTCCACAGCAATCGAGGAAAGCATCAATTTCATTCCACACCAGTCCTTCCTTCCTCCCGATTTCCGAGTCCAACAGCATGTTTTCCACCGCCACTCTCGTTCAGTTCATTGCGCTCGCAGCGTTTGCTGCAGCGGCTCCGACCAACGGTACGATCGCCGAGCGCGGAGCTTGCATCGTCAACAGCGTCGCCAGCTCGAAGAGCTTGTCGAGCTGCACCACGGTGACCATCGAGCCGTTCACTGTTCCCGCCGGTCGTGCGTCTCCTGCGAGTTTTCGGGATATTTCAGTGTGCTGACAAATGGACAGAGACGGTGACGATCGCGGCAGCCAAGGGCGCAGTGGTCACCATGACTGGCGATGTCGTCTTCTCCAAGACCAGCAGTAGGCATCCCATGTTGTTGTTACGATAATTTCCGATTTGACTCGCTCGTTACAGCTGCCGGCCCGCTTTTCATCATCAACACTCCGAGTGTCACCTTCAACGGCGCCGGCCACAAAATCAATGTTCGCTGCTTTGCTGCCCGGAATGTACCACTGCTGATGCGTTGAGCGCAGGGAAACGGCGCCTCGTACTGGGACGGGAAGGGAACCAACGGCGGCTCCTTCAAGCCACACCCCTTCGTGAAGTGAGCTATGAAGTGCGCGATTCAAAATGGCCCTCCTGACACGCGAGTTCCAGGATCCAGGGCTCTGGAACGTTTGAGTCGTTCACTGTTCTCAACTCCCCCGCCCAGGCCATCTCGGTCGGGACCAACGCGGCCAGCACCATCAAAGGTGTTACGGTGGACAACTGTGAGCAGTTTCCATCATCTGCGTTCAAATTCTCATCCAAGAATTCCAGCGGCGGGCGCAAGTCTGGGCCACAACACCGATGGGTTCGACATCAGCGCGTCAGACGTGACTGTGAGCGGCTGCACGGTCCACAACCAGGACGACTGTGTCGCCGTCAACTCTGGAAACAGTATGCCTTTCAGCCGATTTGCGCAAGCTCACGCACCCATCCGCATATTTCCCAGACATTGCGTTCTCGAACAACGTCTGCACTGGCGGGCACGGAATTTCGATCGGGTCGATTGCCACGGGCAAGTCGGTCACCAACTTCCGCGCGACCGGCAACCACGTTTCGAACTCGAAGTACGGGATCCGTATTAAGGTCCAGGAAGCCGCCACCAACGCCAAGGTCTCTGGTGTGACCTACCAGGGGTGCGTGAATCTTGGTTTCGAAAGATAATTCCTGTTGACACGATCCCCCAAGCAACGTCCTGACCGGCATCTCTGATTTTGGTGTGCTCATCTCTCAGAGCTACCCCGTCGAGGACGGCCCCAAGGTCGGAACCGGCGGCCCTATCTCGTGCGTTGTCTCTCCACTGCGGCACATTTACTTGCTCACAATCTCTTTTAAAGCAACGTCAACTTCGACGGCGCTGCGACCACGGTGGCTGTTGGCTCCAGCGGACTCGGACTTGTCGTGAACTGCGGCGCCTGCACTGGCGCATGGGACTTCTCCGGCCTCTCGATCTCTGGCGGCAAGGGACACAAGGTCGCTGCGAACAACGCCAAGGTCTGCAGCCTCCATTTTCGTTGCCAATTTTCTCTTCTTGACGTTGCTACAGATTTCTGGCGGAAAATTCTAGATCTTGCGACATGAACTCGCTCGTCACTCCTTATCAACCCCACACTCTTTTTCACTACTTAATTCACCCCTCCCAGCTGCCGAGCGTGGCTGCCCTTAGAGAACCACTTCCACTCTCCTAGTCAATCTACATCTCATCTATATATGCAAATTCACTCTATTTCTCCTGATGTCTCCGTTCACGTTCCTCGGGTCCTGCTGTCAATGTCAGGTGATCGCGTTGAGTTTTTTAACTCCGTGACGTCAGTCTCGTCTAAGCAACTAAGCAACTCGTCGCAGTCCTAAATGGCCAACTCTTTCTTTGCGAAGAGCCCATTTTCACTTTTAGCACTCAGCGGCACCTGGAGTGGGCCCACGTAGTTATATTCATATTGGCAACGTTCTTATAGGATTGCATGGCCAGATATCACTGTGCAACTGCTACGAACTCAAACTCCTGTCGAATGAACCCGGGCATCTTGGTTGTAATGAGGACCTGTTGTTCCAAACGCTCTCATCAGGAGAAAAACTCAAGTTATTCTTGGGCACATACCGGGGTGTAAATCGGACCTCGACTAGTGTCCAACTGCCAAACACCATCTCCGTTCATCAATTCCACACCCACGCGGCCGCTATACCCACGTTTGACAAATGTAAACTTGGCAGCTTCCACGCCGTAGTTCGCAGATAGAGTCTGGAATGCCCAGTTAGCAAGATTGTAAGCGAAGCATACAGTGGGACGTGATTCAATGAACGGAACGAACTTTGGACTGGGTGACGCTCAAGGGCAAGTTGAGTCCGACGTTAGTGATATTGTATCCCGACTTGTCGTCCCCTGCCACTGACCACTGTGAAATCAATGCCAAAAACTTTGTGATGAGCATGCACGACGCGAGCGGGAAAGAGACGCACGACACCGTAGTCCCCGGGTGCGATTGTGGAGTTGCTAGTGTACAATTCTTGACCGACAGCGAGCGTGCGCAGGACGCCACGTAACAATGTCTCATGGATGATGTACCGACCAGGAGAGATCGGAGAAGAAGACTCGTTCACATGTGCGAACTTGGCGGAATGCCCGACGACGCGGGGGGCCTCTTCCGCGTTTAGCGAGACGAACTTGAAACGCTGGGCGGAATTCCTTCCAGATCCGCAAGCCGGTGCCAGCATGATCTGGATTGATTCATCGAAGGGGATAGAGATGAGCGGATGGACGATAAAGGTCGAATGGATAAACACAGACACGTTGCATGATGGGGCCTTCGTCGGGGTTGAGCGTCCACACGCGGTCGGTCCCATCAGTAGTGCGGATCTACCAAACCCGAAGATTTAACAACATCGCGAGTACTCTCGACAATGGCAAGAACTCACGATGAAGAACCCCTCCGTCTCAGTGCGCTCCATGGTAAATCCTTGCGGCTTGTAGTCGTCGGTCGTCGTGACAAATTTCTTGCGAATGCATTAGAAAGAAGGCACAGCGTCGCGGTGGGGAATGATTTGTACGTTATCACCGTCTATGACGATGGAAGCGCCTTGTCCGATATTTCTGAGCCCAAAAACATTGCCCGTGTCGTCCATCGGCATCAGCTCGAACTACGAGTCGCCTCATCAGGATAGCGCTCGTGAAGAATTCGGGAGTGCCACACCGATCCGAAGGGCCCTGAGTATTCCAGGGTGCGGCTGACATAGAGCGCCTCCCCGATACGATAGGTGCGGATTTCGGCGTAGCCGTAGTCCGGGGTGACGATGCGGTACGTCCCAGGCGTCAGGGAAACGCTCGATCCCTGCGCCATATCCTTAAATTAGTATTCACACAGCGGTGGAAGGTGTGCATATGCACCCACCGCCTGGGTGACATGCAGTCCCGGAATCGCTTGAGGATGTTGCAGATGGTCGTCCCACGAAGGAACGGCGCCATCAGTGATGAATGACAGCGCACCGAGGGTCACAGTGAGTAGCTTGGTGAACATCAAGGTAAAAGGGAGGGCAAGACTGACCAGAACCGACGGGCAACCTGCGTTTATAGGGTTTCCAGACCACGTCAGTGTCATTAGTGCTGATCAAACACACAAAGAACGATAGCAGCCGAAGAACTGGTGGCGTGCGGGGAAGCGAGTTGCTCGCTGGTACAGCGGCGGGGCACTCAAACATGGCACGTTTGTGGGGAAAGTAGCGCGTGAATAGACTGTCTGACTAGTGCAGCGCCCAGGGACTCATGAGTCGTAGTAGAATCATCGATTTGATCGTGGCCAGATCCTTTACTCGAGTAGACCAGCCAGCATGTGACTCACGGTAAATTTGAACATACCATTTGTCTCAACTCAGCATGTGCATGGCTGGCAAAGTTTCGCTTCTAGGATTGATCTAAATATGACACTCACTTCTCCGTCGAGCACATGAAGCTGTTTCCTGCACCGGACTATTTTCTCTAATAGATCCTCTTGTAAGGGGGCACCCATCGCCGCGAATGTTCCTTAGCAGGCCATTCCATCTTATCTTTCCAGAATGACGCACAAATACAAAACGGGTGGAGATTTGGTTGAAGACCTCATCAACTGAACACTGGGCAGTGTAATGACATTGCCTGAAACATCTCGCCGAGTTTGGTTGCTCTCTAGGCCAAAACTTGCTCTTAATCCGTATTGCTTAACAATAGTTTTTGATATAAAATCTGAACCCTATCCTAATGCCAGAAAAAGTGATTACCTGAGACTGCAAAGTGACACTCTTGGAAAGAAATTTAAGAGTAAACGCGGAGGTCATTTGCGGAATAACGTGTGTTCGTAATGGAAGATCTGACTAGGCAAGTATAAGTCGCTCTCTAGGAGCGATTTTGGAATCACAGCTTGGATGGTACAAAAGAATCGACCGCCGCGCTCGGCGAATATGCAGATTAATTTAAACAACGGAAACGAGTGTGGGGTGCAAAGGCAGTAACGTTATTTTGCAAGAGTTTAGAATTTTCCGCCGGTAATCTATAGCGAGGTCAACGAACAGAAAGCCTCAGCAAAAGGGAAGTCCACGGACCTTGGCGTTGTTGGCGGCGATCTTGTGGCCCGTGCCGCCGGTGATGGCGAGGCTGGAGAAGTCCCAGTTGCCGGAGCAGGCACCACAGTTGACGACGAGCCCGAGGGCGCTGGAGCCAACAGCAACCGTGGTCGCAGCGCCGTTGAAGTTGACGTTGCTAAACGCGATTGTCAATCACACAATCTAGTAGAAACACGCAGCCTACGCACGAGATAGGACCGCCAGTTCCGACCTTGGGGCCGTCCTCGACGGGGTAGCTCTGGGAGATGAGCACACCAAAGTCAGAGATGCCGGTCAGAACGTTGCTGGAGAGATCGTGTCAACTTGGACGATCAACAATGAAAACGGATGCACTTACCCCTGGTACGTCACACCGGAGACCTTGGCATTGGTGGCAGCCTGTTGGACCTTGATCCGGATACCGTACTTGGAGTTCGAGACATGGTTGCCGATGGCGCGGAAGTTGGTGACGGATTTGCCAGTGGCAATCGACCCGATGGAGATTCCGTGTCCACCAGTGCAGATGTTGTTCAAGAAGGCCACGTCTGAGAAAAGATCGGGTGAGTGAATGTGTTTACATCGGATGTGCAATACACACTGTTTCCAGAGTTGACAGCAACACAATCGTCCTGGTTGTGGACCGTGCAGCCGCTCACAGTCACGTCCGACGCGCTGATGTCGAACCCATCGGTGTTGTGGCCAAGGCTTGCACCAGCCGCTAGAATTCTCGGATGAGATTTTGAACCAAGATAGTGGAACCTTCTCACTGTTGTCGACCGTGACGCCTTTGATGGTGCTGAGTGCAGTGGTTCCGACAGAGATGGCCTGGGCCGGAGAGTTGAGGACGGTGAACGATTCAAATGTACCCGAGCCCTGGAGCCTGGAAATCGCGTGTCAGGAACGGATTGATTATTCGGTCGGCGGGGACTCACTTTACGAAGGGGTGAGGCTTGAAGGAGCCGCCGTTCGTGCCCTGACCATCCCAGTAAAGGCCACCATTTCCCTACGATCGCTGCGTCAGCTGGCGTGTACATACAACAGATAGGAGAATGTCTACATTGATCCTGTGACCGGCGCCGTTAAAGGTCACACCCGGGGTGTTGATGATGAAGAGCGGGCCGGGGGCTGTAGCGCACACATCAGAACTACACATATTTTCTATCAATCGGAGGCGGCCTACTAGTGGTCTTGGAGAAGACGACATCGCCAGTCATGGTGACAACGGCGCCCTGAGCTGCCGCGATCGTCACGGTTTCTTTCCACTTGTCAGCCAAATTGAAGATTCAGAGCAGCTGAAAGCGACGCACGACCAGCGGGGACGGTGAAGGGCTGGATGGTCACAGTGGTGCAGCCGGACAGGCTCTTCGAGCTGGCGACGCTGTTGACGATGCAAGCTGCACGTTCAGCGATCGTCACGTTGGTGGGGGCGGCTGCAGCGAAAGCGGCGAGCGCGATGAACTGAACGAGAGTGGTCATGGAAAGCATGGTGGGGAATCGGCAGACAAGGGAGAGAAGGAGTGAAATGAGATGGAATTGGTGCTGGACCCAAACGTTGTCGATACTCTCTTATACCATCTTGAATCAGCCTCGCGACTCGAGTATTGGTCCCGACTATAGTGGCCCGGATAATATATTTGTCACGTTCGCCAAACGCTCGTGGTCGATCGCGGACAGTCGGACACTCAAGATAATGCCACACGGTACACACCTCGCATCTCGACCTCTTTCGACGCGGAAATAAACTAGACGCCGATCTGGTCGAGGCCTGTCGTCCTGGAGATGTGTTTTCAGTCGGACAAATCCGTTGGTAGAAAAGAGACTCCTGAGACAGGCCTTGCGCCTAAAATAGACTTGGGGCAAGTCAAGAGCCGTTCTCAGAGTGGTCTGCAGTCATCTACGATGAGCGGGGCTGAAGGACATGGAATGAGGAATCCAAAGTCATGAGTTAAGGCGTGTGCATCGCATCGGCCCGGTAGCGTGTTTCGGGATATATACACGACATGGGCATTCGAGGGGTGGGTGATCTCTCAATCTTTGCAGCGTTCCCACGATCTGTCCACCCCGAAGCATTTTAGTGGTTGATGACGTGGGTAAATTACGGCAACCAATATTCACTGTGTTACAACTTACAAAGTCTCCTCAGGCCGTCGACCACAGCCTCTTTATGGGCCAAGAGGTCACTCGATAACACCTTGAGGATTGGAGGAATCAATCGAGCATCAAAGATCACGAACCCGTGTGGGTGCAAGATAGACTTAGATAGACTCAGATGGCAATCATATCCTTGTCACTTTCACCGATTAGGGATTCAGCATCAAAATCATTCAAAACACTGCAGCCCAGAGAGAAAGCTGAGACGCTTCCTCACAACAACTAAAGGGTAACACACCGTCGGCCTCGAGCGGTAGGTGTCATACGAGGAACACTGAGATGCGGGGGGAAGACAGTTCTGAAATACGAATCTACGCGCAGATGCGGCAACCGATCGTATCACAACGCTTTACCGCGTCCCGGGCTATTAATAGCTTCACTCAATTGCTAATTGCTTGGTCGCAACACCTGACACTCGTTGCTCACCTGAGCCCGCGTTGAAATGATAATAACAGCGATCAGGCTTTCTGGACACGCTGCCGCTGACTCGAGTCTTGGATTGCGGCTGACTCGAGTCCAAAAAAGTCTGCCACTTTCACTGCCACGCAAGTTATGTGCGCCATGGCCCCAAGAAGAGAGTGGTCATCGGATGGTCCACAACGAGATCTCGGCTCGACGCACTCTCCGATGGAAGGTTGATCCCTCTCTCTCAGTCCGCTTGAGAGCGGTAGTTCTGATTTGGGAGCGGGAGATTCGGATACCTGGTGCGGTTCATGCTCACTATCGCTGGAGGACATATACGTACCCAAACAGATCCCAATTTTACCGACGTCGAACGATTACAGAGGTCTTACAGCTTGGGCTAGGCGCTTGAGCTCGTTACGCAGTTCTAACAGGTCGCACGGGACATATCGACACCGGTCAATGCAACCACTGGACATCGGTCCTCTTCGCGACTCAAGGGTCAAGCTCGAGTCGAAGCCGTCTTATTACCGACCGTGAGTAAGCCCGGGCGGGTACAGTCTTCTTTCGATTGTTTACTGTCGTGCTCTGCAGGGGATTGAGCACGGGATTGCGTCCGCTGCTTCTCGCCGGTCGGACATTGCCTCACAGCGCACCCACTCGACGCCTCGTGGACTTGCTGTCTAGTGAATCGAATCCTGTTCGGGCCGAAAGAAGCTTGGAATCTTTCCTCAAGCTGTGGAACTCCTCTGGACTACAATACTTCTTGCGGCGCTCTCAATCATCCATTCGCGCTTCTCTCCCAGGTGGGCTAGACACCCCAGGGACCTCCAATTATTATGTAAAATGGCTTCGAGGCCCCCTCCGGAGGCCATCAAACCACCCCCTACCCCCCCTGATCGGAGGCCATCCTGGAGGCGCCTTCCTAATTGGTACTCTGCCCAGCCATTCATCCACAGCCAGCATGGTAGGCTAGGCATTGACCCGAGTGTTTATATGTGCTTTAGTAGTCAGTATAAAGCCTCAGACAATGTCTTAGCTCACAAAAGCTTGTATTTCTTGCTTGCAAATGGCAGACCACTGGGCGCACAAAATTTGGGATTTGAGCACATGAGCACTCCTCAGGTGCATAGAGCAGCAGTATATATATTAATTCGAGATTGAGCATGAGGTAGCTGTGCCCACACGCAAAAATGAGATGTTGCTGAAGGGATGGTTTATGGCCTCCACAACCTCCCAGGGGCAGAAAAAAAGGTGTTGGGTAGCCCACAGGCCATTGAATTCTGCTTCAATAGATCAATTTGACGCTTATGCTTTGTCAAAACAACAGCCCAGGATATAAATTGGATGCTGGAGCAGTGGCAGAACAAGCCTCCACCGCCTCCAGGACTGGGGACCAAAAGCGGTTATTGTAGATTCAGCCACATAAACCATATTTCTGATCTTGTTTGTCCTAGTTGGAATGTCTAGGTATTCAAGAGAGACAGGCGGCTACATAGATCAGATGCTAGCACCAATAGCAGAACTGGCCTCCATGGCCTCCACAGCCAGTGACCAAAAGCGGTTTTTTGGGTTCAGCCATATAAACCATGTCCATGATGTTGAAGGTCTTCATTATAATTATGAGGGTCCTTTAGTTAAATTGCTCACCACATGAATCAGATGCTGGAGCAAATGGCAGAACTGGCCTCCGCTGCCTCCACAGGTTATCACTTGAAGAGTCTGAATGAGATGACAATGTAACAGATATATATTCTCCTGGCTGACCGCATTCTGTCATTTTCACCTCTACATGCTAGTTTAATTGCTGCAGAATGTTAAAATTAGAGGATGGGAGACCCTGGAGGCACTGGAGGCACATGCAAGATCCAATCAATGTCATCAATATCATCAATGCCATCAATAGCATCAAGAGCATCACCGATCATTGGTATATTGATCAGCCAATCAGATGATGAATAAACATCGAACATCTAGTATATTCACTCCTGAGAGACACAGACTACATGTATGCTCATACTGAAAGTGGATTAGTGGTCCCAGGACATGCCCCAATGACATATTACATCCTTGTCTCAAGAACATATCATTGAAATTCGGAGTTGGCAAATGAACTGAAAGTCAACTCCAGCATCTGATTCATGTGGTGAGCAATTTAACTAAAGGACCCTCATAATTATAATGAAGACCTTCAACATCATGGACATGGTTTATATGGCTGAACCCAAAAAACCGCTTTTGGTCACTGGCTGTGGAGGCCATGGAGGCCAGTTCTGCTATTGGTGCTAGCATCTGATCTATGTAGCCGCCTGTCTCTCTTGAATACCTAGACATTCCAACTAGGACAAACAAGATCAGAAATATGGTTTATGTGGCTGAATCTACAATAACCGCTTTTGGTCCCCAGTCCTGGAGGCGGTGGAGGCTTGTTCTGCCACTGCTCCAGCATCCAATTTATATCCTGGGCTGTTGTTTTGACAAAGCATAAGCGTCAAATTGATCTATTGAAGCAGAATTCAATGGCCTGTGGGCTACCCAACACCTTTTTTTCTGCCCCTGGGAGGTTGTGGAGGCCATAAACCATCCCTTCAGCAACATCTCATTTTTGCGTGTGGGCACAGCTACCTCATGCTCAATCTCGAATTAATATATATACTGCTGCTCTATGCACCTGAGGAGTGCTCATGTGCTCAAATCCCAAATTTTGTGCGCCCAGTGGTCTGCCATTTGCAAGCAAGAAATACAAGCTTTTGTGAGCTAAGACATTGTCTGAGGCTTTATACTGACTACTAAAGCACATATAAACACTCGGGTCAATGCCTAGCCTACCATGCTGGCTGTGGATGAATGGCTGGGCAGAGTACCAATTAGGAAGGCGCCTCCAGGATGGCCTCCGATCAGGGGGGTAGGGGGTGGTTTGATGGCCTCTGGAGGGGGCCTCGAAGCCATTTTACATAATAATTGGAGGTCCCTGGGGTGGGGCTAGATTTATCTAACCATGATCGCCAGCGCCTTTGATATTCTGGTCTCAAGCCACCAATGTGCACAGTCCTCGAGAGGTTATCGTAAACGAGCACCTTGTGGTCTCTTGTGACGATGCTACGGCACTCCTCGCTTTGTCGAACACGGACTAAATTTCCGCACTATTGCTCGCTTCCTGTCGCTAGTCGCTAGTCTCCGTCCTCTTCCTTTGTTCTGCTTCGCGTCTACCACTGTCTTGGATAAGGTCCTAATCCGCCGCAGATGTGAACGCGTGATACTCAAAGGTGAAGGTGCGTTGATGTATCTTAGCCCTTGCCACATTTCTCGCTGTCTTCCTTGCAGCATCTAGCCCTGTTTCAGCTTCTCATGGAAAAACGGGCGCTTATCTGGAGGTAAACGCCTCGTTGTTCACCGCCTTGTCAGTTTTATGACGCCGGTTAAATAGCTATGGCAGACTCATTCAAACAAGTCTGCTATCGATGGAGCCGGCGATCAAATGACGAGCCCAAGACACAAAAGCAGATCTGGAAAAAAAATATGAAATACGACATTTGCGGCATGTTGAATACCGATTACGGGCAGAATCACTTCGAGTCTGAGTGCGCTTGCAGTGCGAATCGAACGTGACACATCAAGCCGCGCCAGTGGCGCCATCAAGGTCATTAACGGTTGAAAAACTAAATCGAAAAAGGTCTAGGAGCCCTACTTAATCAAAGGCGGGGCAGGCCCGGCAGGGGCAATAGAAACTGTCACCAAGCAAAGGAGTCCGTTCTCCGTGCCGAAGGCCGTTGGGGTGCCGCATTTCATAAAAACAGGGTGCACGCAACTGTTACTTTCACACATGGACGCCTTGTCCTCAACACGGCGAGCCAGCCACCTTGGAATCCCTCAGAGCGCCAGACCACATCCCCTGCACCGGCACCAAAGCGCAACGGTGGCAGCCCGTCCCCGTCGGTCGTCGCCACTCGCCGGACCGGCTTTTTCGAGTGAGAACGGCGAGCCTCCCGGCGACGACGACGATGCCCGCAGCACAAAAGGGAAGGACAAGACGTCCGTGCGCCTGTCCCCTGCTTCCGCACCCGCCTCCCGCTCTCCGTCTCTTCTATCGCTGCACTCCCTCGAGGGGCCACAGGCACCCGTACCCCGCACCCGCAGAATGTCACTCGTCCAGCCGCGGCCGCTGTCATCCATCCTGAATACCGACGCCGCGCCCTACCCGCCCTCCCCCAGGCTCGATCGCACCTCGCCCTCCGCGTTCAGGCGCAAGAGCTACGGCCCGGGCCCCTCGCCTGCCCTCCCCCCATCGGGCTCAGACAACTGGCTCACCGCCGAGCCCACGCCACGGTTCTCGCGCCTCAGCCTGGGCGCCGGCGTTGTCATGCCCGTGCGCAAGGCGGATTCCCCCGCCGCCGCACGCCACGCCACGCGCCGCCGGAGCAGCAGCGCGACGTCGGACTCGCGGAGCGTCAGGAGCGTCGCGAGCAGCGTGCCCAGCCTCAGCGGCAGCTCGGTCGTCACCGCGAGCTCGTCGTACAGCCCCAGCGGGACGATGCGGCCTGATACCCCCACCAGCCTCCATGGAGCGGCTGGGGTCGCATGCCCGGTCGTGCGCGCGGGAGACGAAACGCCGGACGTTGGTGCCCCTGGATCCGCACCAGTGGACCGCAGTGCGGCGACGAAGGCCCGTAAAAACGTGTTCAGGAGATGGTGGAAGCGTGTTAGAGGCAGAGACTGATGCGATGGACAATCTCCGCACCCCCCAACATTCTTTAGATGATCGGACTTCATAGAGATACCCCACCAGCACCGTTGCGACGGATGTACCATACTGCAGTGTAATAGTACGCACTTTAATCTTCCCAATCCTGTGCATGAGTGGGAGCACTGATTGAGTGGGGATACGAACACCAACAATGATTGCAAGGATGCCGACTGATGAGGATCAGACGTCGCAGCCCATGTTATTCATGCAGCGAGGTCTTGCCTAGAAAAATCCAGCGCGGAACCCTTCTCCCAGTTCATTCGCATTCATGTCAGTGAGACCTAGGTCTGCGCTATTGGGCATGTAAAACAAATCGTACATCGATTCAAGTACAAGATGTACCTGCGAACTATACGTAGCTGTGTGATACTAGGCGTGTGGTGGTGTGGATATCGAGTGCCTCCACGGGGCCAGACAACAAGTGGAAGTAGTCATGCAAACATAGGAAAGACGAGAGAGAGAGAGAGAGAGAAAACAAGAGACGAGTGGTGGATACATGGGCTTAGGGTACAATTTAGATGACGATAGCTCCGACCATGATGGCGAGAGCACCGAGTAAGGAACCTGATACTCCACTGCGGAGGGAGAGGGCAGCGCTATTTCCACTAGCAGAGGGAGTGGCGGCAGCCGAAGTGGCTGTCGAGGCCGCGTCTGTAGACGTGGTCACAGATGTACTGAAGCCAGTCGGGGTGCTGGTCGCCCTAATGTATGTGCGCCTGTGAGCATGGTCCGCAGAGTAAGGTAGAAGAAACTCACGTGGGGGTGGAGAGGACGGGATCCGGAGTAGTCGACGGGAACACGGTCGTCGTGAGCGAAGTCGCCTTGACGCTGATTGACGCGACCGAGTCCGCAGCAGCGATGGAGAAAGGCTTGCTAGCAGCATATATCGTGTCAATGCTGGAGATGTCCACAAGAATGATGTAGTAGCCGTCACTGGAGGATGTGTCAGCGGAGATATAGCCTGCAAGGACACCGGACGCACGCAGCGGCCACGGTCCCCAACGGGACGTTCACGCTCAGCTGGGACGTGGGGATGGCATTACCAATGGCAATGGCGTTGTTCTAGAACGCGCATTCTCAGTAAGGGAAACGCGAAGGAGAGAAGAAGAGAAGCACGAGATCAGACGGATGCACGAGCTCAATAGAGACCGAGGGCCTGACGCGGATGAGCACGAGAGCGAGCAGGCTGCAGGGAAGGGAGGGGAACGCACGGGTCGCTGGGGCCAGTGGTCCAGGTGACGGTGACGTTTCCGTTGACGACAGCATCACCGGTGACGGAAACCAGCTTGAGAGCGGAGGCGTACGAAGCCAGGGCAAAAAGAGAGCTGCGAAAGAGGAAAATTAGATTAGGCTCCCAGGGAAGCGGGGGAATGATCGACGCACAAGACTTTGAGAGACCCGAGCATTTTGAGTGGGAGTGAACCTAGGGGACGAGAATCCAAAAGAGTGGAAGTGAGAGCGAAGTGAGAGCGAGAGCGGCCGAATGGAAACGATCGGCCTAGAGCGTGGGAAGGAAGGCAAGAAGGAAGGAAAATGCATGTGCCTTGATCAGCAGGCCTCACGTCAACCTCGTATTGACATTCACCACGTTTGAGAACTTTGAGTCAAATTAAAGTTAATGAAAAGACTAGCAGTGGTACAAAAAGCAAAAGACAATTCAAATTTATGTCGCAGAAAGTTTTTGAGTTACGATGTCGAACTCGGTTCGGGCTTCAGCAATGATTTCTGCAGACTGGCCGTTAGCCAGTGCATGGATATGAGCAGAGGTCACTCACAGTGGTTCTGGATGCGGATGGGTTCCAGTTTGGCCTGGTTCGCCTTGAATACGGCCAAGACGTTGACCCGAAGGTCTTCATCATCACCGCAGTCGCAGCCCTCTCCGTCCGACAGCGCACCGGTCAGCGAGCCGATGAGATCCTGGACGGCACCGAGAATGTCTCCAAGAAGGTTGTCCCCGCAAGTTCCACTCAAGCCAGAGAACTGGCCGAGCAAACCCGCGACATCGGACAACAACCCGCCGTCACCGCCCAGAAGACCACCCAACAGACCATCTGGACCAAGGAGAGTGTCGAGCAAACCATTGATCAGTCCACCCAGGAGGCCGTTATCACCGAGCAGGCCACCGAGGAGCCCGCTATCATCACCGCAGCCGGAATCGCAGCCAGAGTCGTCGTCGTCCCCGCCACCCAAGAGCCCGCCCAGCAAGTCGCCGCCGAGAAGGCCCGAGAGCAGGCCGTCGTGACCGCCCAAGATGCCCAACAGCCCATCGCCGCCGCCGCCACCCAAGAGACCGCCAAGTAGTCCCCCGAGCAGACCATCCTCCTCTTTCGGCCCGAGCTTGCGAATGACACCCATGACGTGCTGGGCCGCCTTGATAACGTGGGGAGTGGTGCCGTTGACAGGCAGCTGGCTCGTGAGGTTGTTGAGACGGGCGAGGTGTGCCACGACGATCGACGCGTGCGAGCTCATGTTGGCGACGGTCACGTTGGAGTTTTTGTGCGCCTGTGGATAGCAGTCAAAACAGGGCAGAAATAAGCGAACAACAACCCGCACCAAGCTCTGTAGGATGGTTCTACCGAGCACAGGCTGAGGCGAACGCGTTGAGCAGACAACATCAGATGAAATCTCTGCGCTTACAGGCGAAGGTGCAGCGAAGACGCCAGCGACGGTGGACGCGAGAACAACGAAAGCAGAGAAGCGCATTGTGCAGGATGAGAAGACGATGAGTGCTTCGACTGGGTCGGGTGTTGTAGACGACTTGTCCAGCTTCAGCTAACCACCGTAGCTTTTATACTGTCCCGCCTCTTCGTCGCCGCGCGCGGTCCTTGTTGGCGCCCGACTCTTCTTCCGCCCTCCCATAGCCCAGGAAAAGAAATACCCCAACTCAAAAACGAGCGGACGGGCCTAGCCTGTGTGGTAGCATGCGGTGCCGCAATTCAATGTGCGTCTTTTCGCCTGGTCGAAACGCGACGAAGGGGTAGGGGGAGGACGACCAGGACGCCCTGTCCCTGGACAGATGTCGGGGGAGCGGTCCAGACCGATCGGTGGCTTCGGGACCTTGCTACAGTCCGACATAGGCTGAGATGCAGTACAGAACAGGAAAAAGAGGTTTCCTAATTGTAGGACAGCGAGTACACGAGAGCGGCCGCGACTGAGGGGGACAAACGAGACCCTTCAGGCGACGGCCCGACTTTCCCGAGGCCGTCGATGAGGTCATCATCTGATTCATCACGCACTGGTCAGCAAACACCCGATCATTCATAAGTATTAAGTATACTGTACATAGTTCAGCATTATCATTTCAGCGAGCTAGTATAGAATGGTAGTTGAATGGAGCTCCAACGGCCGAATCAATTTCACCACCAGCCGGAATACGGCTCCACCTCGTCCAGTTTCGTTCGCGGCGCTGGGACAGGAAGGAGCGGCTCTCGCTCAAGAGTCAAGGCATCCAAGCGCAGATTCAGCCTCACTCCAACCACACAGTTGATACTCCAGCATAGCCTGAAAAGCGTTCCAGCGTAAGACAATCGAGTGAGACGGGAAATCACTTGCACTACAGTTGCAACCGATTGTCCGGGCTGACGGAGAGATCAATACTGCGCTTTGCGGAGCGGGGAATACCGCACATTCATCGTGATGGCACTAATCATATACAGCATGCGCAGACCGAATATGGCCTATGCAGTTATTTACCATGCCATCCGATTGAACCCGTGAGCGCGATACATACCACGAGAAAGGGCACGCCATCCTTCCGCAGCGTCGTCTTCATCTCGCTGTTGCTTCTCCGCGGCTGAGCGAGCGTATTGTAGATCATCAACATCACCACAGAAACATCGCAGCCCGTCTGAGATCGCGTCAGAGCGGGGCCCGGGAACTGATACAGCCAACACACCTGGATGCCGAAAACGATAACCAAAACCCGAGGAGTGGCCGCCAGCAGACACACTCGGAAGAAGGGGGAATATAGGAAGGAGCCTAGATCCGCAATCACTGGCTGCGGAGCACGGGCATGAACAGTAGCGTACGTTGCAGATCGGAGACGCTCAAGATACCGACAATCAGGACGGATAGGATGCTGAAGACAAAGAGAAGCATCAGCAGTCGCGAAATGAGGACCGTCCCCTCATAAAGCTTGTGCATTCGGAGTATAGTCACAGCTGCAGGAAACGATCAGACGCCCACTATAGGACATTGCTAGAGAAAGACGGGCCGTGGGACGTAGCCGAGAACGTGATCAGCACAGTGCCAAAGTACCACAGGAAAGCGTGGCAGCTGCAGGTACATTCTCATCTCCAATCGCGAATTCATTCAAAGCAAAGCTCACCTCTGTCATGCGTCAATGCAAGTCGGCTAGAATCAAGTGAAACAGACGCACGGATGTGGTCAGTTGGGATATCTGACCACTGAAAGCTGAGCGATATGGGTTTGTATGAGAGTGGGAGGGTGCACTGCGATAGGGACTCACCCGCGACCGTAAGCGCGACGACCGACTCCACAAGGTAACGGTTTATCCCGAACGCGACCTTGCGCCACGTGCTCATCGCCTTGTTTCTCCAGATGACCCGCAGCTCCTCTTCGAATGTCACGATGTGCTCGCAGACCAAGATGACCAGACCGCATACTGCCGCGGCAAGTGAGGCTTATAGGATCCAGCAGGCGTTACACAAACTGACCGCTGATATATCGAAGGACAAGGATGGTGTCGGCAATCTCAGCCAGTGAGGCCATGGTAGGCGAAGAAGGGGCGATGATGACACAGCCGGAGACGTATTAGTGGTGGTATAAGAAAGAAGAGTCCCTCTAACGTGACTGCTTCGATCTCCACAAACTATATTCTCGGAACACTTAGCAGTGGCGACCGGCAGTCTTCAGGACTCCCCAAAGTCCGGCCACAGCGGTTCAAACCTTCCTTTCCGGGTGATAGCCGAGTGCAAAATAGCTAGGTCGTTGAGAAAGCGGGGATGCAGAATTGATGAGGCTTCATACCAGGACCGACAGATAAGTCCCAGTTTTTCAGTTTGAAATCTTGATACCTAGTTCAGCGGACTGGATGCGCGGGACAGCCAGGTGGGACAAGGTGCTTGAACGGAAAAGCTAACCCCGGACGCTTCCATCGGCAAAGCATGTTTCACGGATGACAGGGCCTGACATCCATTGGCACCTGTCAAGATATATGCACGGTTCGGGAAATCTCCGAAAACGCTTAGAAACGGACGCGGCTGTCGGCACTGGAGATTCGTCCGAAATGTGTAATATTCCTCATGCAGACCACCGGCAGATAGTGCGTCATCGAAGATTCTCGGAAAGATTGGTGAGGAGCAAGATCGCGACAGCTGGTTCTTACTTTTAAATTAGTCCCCCCGATTATCATCGCCTTGCCTGACTCTTGACTGAATCTTTCTACGCGTTCCCGACCATACTCAACCGGCATATGCTGAGCTGCAGGAACAGAACTGGAAAACGGATTTCTTGAATTGGAGGAATGAGAGTACTCGAGAGAGGCCGAGACTGGAAGAAGGAAATGAGACATTCGGGCGATGGGCGTGGCAAACAGTCGGTGATGTCATCGGTGCGCATTTGATCAACATCAAACGCCGGATCATTCCACACATCAATCGCTGTCATTATCGTACAGCAAGCTGGTATAAAATGGTAAACAAATGAAGCTACAACGAACAAATTAACGTCGCCACCACCTGGAACATGGCTGCACATCGTCTGGTATAATTCGTGGTGCTGGAACAGGGAGAAGAGGCTTTCGCTCAAGAGTCAACGCATCCAAGCGCAGATTCAGCCTCAGCCCAACCACACAGTTAATACTCCAGCATATGCTAGAAGACGCCTCAGCACGAAACGAAAAGATGAGACAGAAAATCACTTGCACTACAGTTGCGACCGATTGTCCGGGCTGACGGAGAGATCAGTACAGGGCTTTGCGGAGCGGGGAATATCGCACATTCATCGTGATGGCACTGATGGTATAGAGCATGCGCAGACCGAATATGGCCTATGTAATTATGCACCCTGCCATCCAATCACAGTTCTGAGTGCAACACGTACCACGAGAAAGGGGACACCATCCTTCCGCAGCGTCGTCTTCATGTCGGTGTCACTTCTCCGCGGCTGATCGAGCGCATTGTAGATCATTAAAATCACCACGGAAATATCACAGCTTGTCTTGAACCGCGTCAGAGCGGGGCTCAAGAACTGACACAGCCTACACACCTGAATAGCGAAAACAGCAATCAAAATCCGGGGAGTGGCCGCCAGCAGACACACTCTGAAGAGAGGAGAATAGAGAACAGCGCCTAGATTTGCAGTCACTGGCTGAAGGATTACGGACATAAGCACGACGTACTTTGCAGATCGGAGATACTCAATATACCGATGATCAGGACGGATAGGATACTGAATAGAAAGAGAAGCATGAGCAGTCGCGAGATGAAGACCGTCCCCTCATAAAGCTTGTGCATTCGGAGTATGGTCACAGCTGCAGGAAACAATCAGACGCCCATAAGACATGACCAGGGGAAGACGGGCCGTGAGACGTAGCCGAGAACGTGATCAACGTAGCGCCAAAGTACGAGAGAAAGGCGTGGCAACTGCGGGCACAGCTCATTTCCAATGTCGACTTCATTCAACAGCAAGGCTCACCCCTGCCGCCGCGAGTCAATCTCAGTCGGAGACAATCAATTGAAACAGACGCACGGACGTCGTCATCTGCCGTATTTCACCACTGAAAGCTGAGAGATATGAGTGTACATCAGAATAGAAGTTGCACGCGATAGGGACTCACCCGCTACCGTGAGCGCGATAACCGACTCCACAAGGTAACGATTTATGCCGAACGCGACCTTGGACCACATGCTGGTATCCTTGTTCCTCCAGATGACCCGCAGCTCCTCCTTGAATGTCATGATGTGCTCGCAGACTAAGACTGTCAGCCCGCAGACTGGTCCGGGACGTGAGGCGTTCTGGCAGGATCGAGGGGGCGGTCGAGAGACTGACCACTGATGTATCGAAGGAGAAGGATGGTGTCTACGATCTCAGCCAGTGAGGCCATGGCAGGCGGAGAAGGGGCGAAGGTGACGCGTTCGCCTCCCAGTCGGAGAGTGCGTGGTATAAGAAAGAAGAGTCGGTCGAACACGACCGCGTCGATCTGCGCCAACCATGTCCTCGGAGCACTTAGCGGTAACGACCGGCAGTCCTCGAGACTCCCAAATTCCCGCCACAGTGGTTCAAACCTTCCTTTCAGAAATGATAGCCGAGTGCAAAATAGCTAGGTCGTTGAGAAAGTGGGATGCAGCATGGATAAGGCATGATGAGAGGACGGGCAGAGAGTTTCCAGTCTGAGCTTGATATATCGATACCAGTTAAGTAGACGGAATGTGCTAGACAGTCAAGTGGGACGAGATTTGAACGGAAAAGCTGATCCAAGTCAATGCTGGTCGGGAAGCATGTTCGTAGTGCAGGAGCTGACATCCATTGATAACACCTGTCACAATACCGTATGCACTATTTGGTAATTTCCGTAAGTGCTTAGAAACGGACACAGCTACCGAGACTGGAGAGTCTCTACATGTGTAGGATTTCCAATGCAGGCCATCAGCCTATAGCGCATCAACAAAGATTTTCGCAAAGATCGGGCAAGAGCGCATAGGGACAGTACATGCAGCTTATGCTTACTTTTCAGTCAGAGCGTGATCACGCATCAAGACCATCATCGCCAAGTCCATTGACTAGTGTCTGGCTCTTTTGAACGCTTACTCGACCCTACTCGAGCCATGACTCTCCCGCAAGAGCTGCTCGACAACATCCTGGACAATCTGTGTGATGACCTTGAGTCTCTTAAGCACTGCGCCCTCGCATACTCGTTGCTCCGCGCCACCAGCCAACGTATCCAATTCCGTCGCGTCGTTTTGGGCCCAGCGCCCTCCGGCAGACCTACACCGTGCTTTCGGTTCTTCGTGCTTCTTACGGAATCGCCACACATTAGTCTCCACGTCAAATCCCTCGTCATAATGGACCGCAAACCGTTCTCGTGGCACACATGGCCGAAGACCATACCGTGGATTGTTACCGAGCAAACTCTCCCTCTGCTCCTCGCCAAGCTCACGCCGAATCTCACGGCGTTCCACATGCATACACGGAGTCCGTGGGGACGGATAGCCGAGACCCGCGCCCTCCATGCAGCTCTGCTCCACGTACTGGCTTCCCCCAAGCTGTCGTATCTACAATTCAAGGACGTCTCGCCTCCTGCCTCGTCCATTCTCCTCGCGCCGGGCCTGAGGGGCCTGCTACTGAGTAACGCCGAACTTCTGGAGGACTGCCGAAGCCATACCCCTGCCGGTGCGTCGCGTGCTATCCATCGGATCGGACTCATGGGAAAGCATCTGGATTGGATTACCAGTCCACAGTGTCCGCTGGATTGGCGCCTGCTCAGAAAGCTCCGTGTATCGTCGGACCATACGAAGCCCCATACGAAGGCGCTGCAGCTGGTGCTGGACCGATGCGCGCAGTCGCTGACCGAATTCGAGTTCTTCCCGGCACATCCGTGTATGCATTCTTCTTCTTCTCCGCCGCCCAGCTGGTGCACTCTGACCTGGTGTCTTTTAGTGTCTCTGCCTCGGCCGCTACCCAGCCTGAGCCTCAGCAAGAGCGCCGTTCTGCGGCGTCTTTGCGTGTATCTCGTATGCGGGCAAGAACAAGACAAGACCGTGGTCGACTGGTTCGTGCCCCTCCTCGACAGCCTCGATCCCGCCGCGCCCATCATGCTAGTCACGATCCACTTCGAGGCGTGGGACTACGCCGGTACCATGGGGGACCGGTACGACTGGACGGCCTTCGATGAATGTCTGACGCGAGTCGTTGAACGGAGGTGGGCCCGCGTGCTCTTCAGATGCGCTGGGTCCGGTACATATCCGACTGCCGGTGAGTTCCCTCAGCTGTGGACTACCGGCCGTCTGCACATCGAGAAAAGCTCCGAGGGTGTGTTTGCTCTCTACCGCTGTTTCGATTGGCTGACCAGTTCTCAGAGCTCGATGAGCTGCAATATGCAGCTTTCTAGACGCGGTATGCATGGACGGCGGATTTCTCCATAGTACAATTGCGACCGGGACAGAATAATCGCGCAGTCCAAATGGCACGTGAGCAAGGATCATGGTCAGAATCATGTGGTGTGACATCAACCGTGACCAGCTTTTTGTCCTTTCAGACCGAATTTCACTCCGTTTTCGGGGGAATAATTCGTTTTTTTTTACTGTAGACAAGCCCCGATCTGTGCTTAGATGTCCATAAAATCGGTTGTAATGATCAACTGAGCTCGATCTTCTTTGTTTCAGACCACCACACTTCGCACAAGACCAACTTCACTCTATTTCTCAAGCAACTGATCTGTTGTGGACCGTCTCTTACTCGATCCTGCGGAGGGGGAAATGGTCATTTTTGGACCAAGATCTACTCTGTTCCGGATGGAAATATGCCTGAGTGACGGAGACCTAAATACACCCTATTTTCCCCAAATCTTCAGTTCATTCGTAGCCCCATCTCAAGATGTCATGCCTGCCCCACAGTTCGCTAATCTTGAAATTTGAGGCTGGTTTCTCTGGTGGACTGGGCTGGGCCGGATGGATTTCTAGATCATCCGAATTTGGGTGGGAATCCGGCTTTGCTGCGGACACAGAATATGGAAAAGTCAAAGTCAACTCAGAGGATGAATGGGCCTGTGATGTGACTGGTGTCGTCTGCGTCTTCGACGAAGGGACCGGCGCGTCCTCGACAACCTCGAGTGAGGCACCTTTCTTGTGTGTCTTGAAATGCCTCCGAGCATTCGAGCGAACACTGAATGTCCTATGGCAGTGGGGATATCCGCACGGAAACGCTGCATGCCAAGTTAATTACGACAGAACACAAGCGAGGACTATGCGGCCACGCTGCTTTGAAACGCCGAAATTATGAATGACGCACGTCGCAGTTTATTGTGTCCGTTCATGTGAGTCCTCAATGCGTTCGGCCTGCAAGCTGTGTCAGAATTATCCCGTGCATGCATCTGTGACAGCTTCGGCCGCACCGCGAAAATTCCTTGTGACAGACTTGGCACTTGTGGACGCGCCGCGGGCCCCGGCGAGTCGAAGCTCTCGAGGGCGCAACCAATGGCACGGCGCCAGGGAGATCGATATCCTGGGGAACGTTCGACCCCAAACCTGATCGCCGCGCTGGCAATTTCATTTCCATGCTCGCCGACGGCGCAGGTATCTTGTGACTTTGGGATACTCTGTTTAGTCTGTACACGAAAATGAGCAGTACGGGATCGAAAAAAAACGTACCGAGGAGTGAAACTTCTCGGAAACGGGACCCAGTCTTCGTTCCGAGCATCCTCGAGCCCGCGCATGGGCAAAGAGGATAAATCTCGATGGTAGAATTCTGGCGCTGGCTCGAGTTCGGCTTGGTCAAATACCTGACGGCGATGGCCCTCACTTCCAGGAATGAGAAAATAGGGCGCCGGAGGCTCGGCCAAGCGCGTGAAGTCAGTGCCGTGTGCGGTGCCACAGTCCTCTGTGTCGATTCGATGGGTGGATGATTGACCGCCGAAATGATCTTCCCGTCGAGGGCTGGGATCCATCGGCCACGGCTCGAGATTGGGAATAAGCCGATCATCGTGCTGCTGCCGCGTGCTACGCTGAGACAATTCGGGGTCTCCGTATGTGTGGCGCAAGTGGTCGATTCTTTCATCCGCGCACCACTCCTGGTCAGCAATTTGTGATGAATGATGAGGTTGATGCTGAGTTGGCCAGTTCAAATTCACTTCGTGCACTGGCCATTGTTCGTGTCTCCCGGGATTCATTTGCAGCGCCTAGCGATTTTCAGAGACCTTTCCTGGACCGAGCGTGCAAGGTATTCAATCGTAAACCGATCAGGAAGACTGTGCTTTCTCGTCTTCCTACGCCACCCATCCGCAAAATCAGGAATGAGAGAGAGGCTCACCCACAAGCAACTCCGAGCGCGAACCTCGTACAGCCGAGAACCAGAAACCTGCAGAGATTCCAGGGTTGAAGATGCGTGAGCCGGTATGTCAACGTACTTGTGTAGGGAATCTGGAACAGAAAAGAAAAACAAATATGGAACCTAGATTGACGCCTTGATAGGTTGCAGTGAGGCGCTCCTTTATACCTTATCAAGGATGCATGCTTCTCTAGCTGGCGAAACAAGATCTCGCCAAAAAAAAAACCGATCCCAAGGGAGCAGATAAAGAAAGTGTGACCCTTCCGAGCAGCAGGGCAGACGGGAAGCAATATCCGTACTTCTCAAGTGCTCAGAAACGTCATTTGCGTTCCGCGGAGAGTAAAAAGGATTGAAATATTCAATATAGTACAATGACTCCAGGTAAAACTACACAAGACCTTCAAGAATATCTCCTGAAAACGTTGAGTATCATCACCACGAGAACAGCGCACTCGCCAGTCATGAGCAAGCCTCGATTTAAGATCCCAGCGCTTGTCTGATACTCTGGCCTGGAGGGTACAACACTGTGCAACGAATTTAGTCACGTCAAACTCCGCCGGCTCCAGAGGTTCGCCTTCGATATTGATGGCATAGAAGACGGGGTGAGAATGTATGAGTGTGTGCGTGACATCATCGAGAGCTATTGCCCAGCAGAGGTCATAGTCTTTTCTTGCTGCCGCAGCATCGGAGTGCTGAGGCCTTTCTCACATACCTAACGCTCTGTCCTACCTGCTGCTACTTCTTGATGTCTCGCCGCATGCGCCTGCGCGTCTTAACGATCAAAATAGCAGCAGCATCAATGGCCGTGAGCGTAGAATGTGACTGGCGGTGCTGGGTGCTTGCCAGGCTCGTCATCATCCACCTCGATCTGGAGGCGTTTGCGAGCGAGTGTCCTCACAGACAGTTTTGAAGGCGACGCCAGTTCATCGACATCTTCTGACCGAAAAGGAGTCGGGGAAATTCAATCGTCCTCCTGTCCCCTGGATCTTCAACATCCGCCATCGTAACATTGCAGAGGGCCTGGACGATGAGAGAGAGACTTACCATCCAAATTTTGCGTCCAGGTCTTGTTCGTCCTTGAACTCTTCGTCAGGTGCGATACTCTATTCAACAGGTCGCGAATTGGAAGGTAGGGAACCGGAGTAGCATCAAGAGTCCGCGATTGAGTGGAGCGGACAAACCTTGAGTGCTTTGGTTTTTGGAGCAGCCGTTCGATCGCTTTCCGCTTCCGTAACAAGGAGCACGCCATTTGCAATCCGATACCCGGGATACTGGGCAGATAATCACAGCCGCTCATGATGGCCATGTTTATAATCGCCTAGTGATATACAGTCAAAGGACATGACACCAGCGAAGTTCGTGCAATCGATGCATACAAATATCTGAGTCTTCTGAGATTATCCCATCGCCAAAGCCCACGTGCTCGAAGAATGCCAATTGTGCGATAGCCGCCTAGGGTGCCAAGAGGTACTCCACTGACTCTACGCAAAAGGATTTGAGGCTCGAAGCCGCCCTATTTTGCCCTGATAATATGGGACACAGTTCGATGACTTCGCACGCGATCCGAGGAGCTCCGTCGAATGAACTTGACGTAGTGGTGCTGCGCCTGTGACGCTCCACCTTGCTTTGTCAAAGCATTGCCCAGCGGGAGATCCTCTGCCTGCACTTGTGTAAATCCACCTCGGTATCCTTCTTCGCTAGCGGCGGCTCCCGTCGAATACGAGGTGCGATTCGAGCTCGTGATTTCTGAAGAGATGCATGCGGTGCATGAGGCAAATGGCATATGCCCACGGACCGCCGATCCTGGTGCGGGCCCCGTCGGTCCTAAAATTGGCACCATGCCCGATCTGGAAAGATGGGGACGATATTGAATTCATCAGACGCCTATCTCCACCTCCGGAGCATCTGCAGCAGATGCTGTCAACCTACGGTCGACGACAAAGGATATGGTCTGTTTCGACCGATAGATCGATCAGGTGTGCTGGGGTCCTGGCACTCCGTGACTCGAGGACGTGTATATGCTTATGAGAAGCCTCCGATGACCGTTCCCGACGTCATAAGGTGCTCGTCGTTGATGGCGGCACGCTCGAGCCTCCCACTCGCGCCGCTTTCAGGGTAATCTCCTACCCCTGTGGCTTGTTTTTGAAATACGCAGTCAGTATGTAGCTCCTGACAGCGGAGGAGGCGCAGGCGGAGGTATGACCAGGCCAATCTGCTGTCGATGTCGCAAAATTATTGAAATTATGATCAGTTCTGATGGACCGACATGTAAAAAACGGCTGAAAGCAGAGATTCGGCAGGGCAATTATATCGCAGACTATGTCTTCTGATTTGGTGCCTCTCATCCGCGAGGTAGCTTCAAACTCTGCTACATAGATGACGCAGGCCACTAGTACTTGTGATGAGCCTCCTACTGGACGGAAAATCATGTAATTTTTTAGGGCCATTCTCAGGAGTTATTTTGATAAATGGAACAAGTGCTAGTGGCCTCTGGATCGAGGAACCTAACCTCTAACCACCCAAACCCCTAACCAACCCTGACCGCTAACCAACCTGAACCCTAGCCAGTAAAAAAAACATGATTCTTGGGACCCGAAGCCCTATCCCAAACCCAAACCCTATCCCAAACCCGAACCTGTCTTAAGTCCGAGAAGGAGGGACACAGCAGGGTATCACTTGTGGGCGGCTGATGGAGATCACATGATACATCACATGATCACGCAAGAGACTAAGATGCTCCCGGTCATATGATCTTGACGCGTTACAACTCTGTATTCTCTGCAATCCTAATCTTCACTCTCGCTATCACTACTCGGGACGTAATCTGCATTCAGAAAGGCCTGGTCGGTGAGGGTCGATAGTGAGCGCTGTCGACGGCGATCAATTCCTTTGGATTTTGATTTTCCGCGACCAGTTTCGACTGTCGAATCTTCGCGATTGTCAGCCAAACCTATTTGCAAGCTTCGACCTCCCTTGAACTTTGCCAGGTCGCGCTCGATCTGTGATGCGTGTGAGGTCATGTGATGTGGGACCTCGAGTAAGTGCATCGGTTAACGCACCCTGAGATAATAGTGCGCGCCGATATCATGGCGGAGGATCCGATACTCGCCCAGAATTCCCCAGAAGATAAGTCGTGTGATCATGATTTTGGCAAGTTCAAGCCCGATGTGTCTGCCCGCTGCGTAGCCCTTGACTTGATCGTACCCCCTCACTCGGATCCACTTGGTATTGCGGCCGATGAAGACGTCGATCGTCTGCAACGCGGTGATCGGGTTTCCGGATTTTTTCTGGATGCACTCGAGGAGGGACACGAATTGTTGAATGTCAGCCGTCAGGTCGTACGCTCGCTTCGGGGAGACGCAGTTGTCGCACGCTCCGCAGAGCTTCCCGGCAGCCGTGGACTCGCCGCAATGGGCCAAGAGCTGACGAGATCGGCATACCAGGGTCTCGTCGCAGTAGTTTGCCACCTGTCGGAGTGCTTTGACAGCACGGGAGTCCCGGCCCGGGATTTCGGCGAGTTCCCGCCTGAGGGCACGCGGGTTGTAAACTGTTCAACGATGAGTATGCGCCGCCCCAAGAGCACCATGCCGGTCGCACAGATCACGCATTCGGCCGGTTGGCCATCTCGGCCCGCACGTCCGCTCTCTTGCAGGTAACTGGAAACATCAACGACCTGGGATCGACATCGAGGAGCTACGCACTTATCGAGGCTCCGGGGAGGATCGCAATGCAGGACGAAGCGGACTTGGATAATGAGAAGAATGAGTGTCAGCATCAAAGCATTGAAAGAACCGCACCGTCGCTGTGATTGACGCCCATCCCAAAGGCAACCTGTCCAGCGGGTCAGGACCGTCAGAGTTACCCGGCTCCTACCACTGCAAGACTTACCGTCGCCACAATCACCTTACAGATGCCGTGTTTCCAAGTCTTGTAAACCGCCGCTTTTTCCTGGTCCGTCATTTCAGCGTGGTAATGCTTCGCCGAAACGCCTTTCTTTCGCAAAAACAGCGCCAGCGCCTCGCATCGATCTCGACGGAAGCAATACACGATCCCGGTGTCGTCCTCCAGCCCTCTTTCGGTGATCAACTCTGCGATTGTCTCGAAACACTCGTCCGAGCGGGTCGGCAGGGCTGAGTAGCGCAGATTCGGCCGAGCCGTGGACCGGCGGAAGACACGAGGATTTACCATGTTGAGACTCTTGGTGATGAGCTGTGCTGCCGTCGGACTCGCGGTGGCGGTGAATGCTGAGATAGGAATATCAGGGAAGTTCTTCCGCAGGCATGCACCGAGTTCCGCGTACTGGGAAATGATCAATCATCAGCGATGAGATTGGGAAGGACGAACGCACGGCATCGCGGAAATCATCGACCGGAGCCACACAATGTGCCTCGTCGACGATGAATCTGGCTAGATGCTTGGAGCGGTGCAACGTTCTCAGCTCATCCATGAACGCGGGGCTTTTTTGGATGCGCTCGGGCGTGACATAGAGAAGAGCAGGTTTGATGTTTTGGTCGAAGCGCGGCCTGACGTGACCGTCACCAGAACAGAACGACATCACTTTGATGCCCTTCTCACGGAGCGCCATCTCCTGGTCCTGGATGATCGCAATCAGTGGCGAGACCACCACGGTGATCATGTTGAATTTTTCGTTCATCAGGACTGCGGGCAGTTGGAAGGAGAGGCTTTTGCCGGCCCCGGTCGGGAAAATCACGAGCAGATCACAAGCTGTGAATGCTTCCAGGATGACGTCGAGCTGTTTGGGAAGGAACTTGGCAAGTCCAAAGCTGTTCTTCAACACATCGCGACAGTCGGCCGGTGAGAACAAGCGAGTATCTCCTGGTGCGCCATCATTCTCATCAAGTATGGGGGAAGGCAGTCCGAGTGGCTCGGGTTGAGCAGGCCGCGTAGGCTGCGCGGTACGGGGGCCGGCGGAAATAAGATTCTCGATAAACTCTATGCGATCGGTGCAGAGCGATCTGCAAAAGCTGTAGAGAGAATTTGACCTCAACCGTTGACACTTACTCGATTTGGTCGTACAGAGTTTGATCTGCTTCTTTGAGAGCGTACTGGCGTCGTGCCTTCTTGTGCTGGTACAAGTGCCGATAGTCGGAGAGTAGCATGTCCTTCAATATTGCCATCGGCGCCTTCAAGAAACGATTGTGAGACGCCAAATCTCGTCAAAGGAACCAATGGCAATGCTCACAGAGTCAGGGAGAGCTTCGAACTTCTCGGCAGTAAATGTGGGGCCCTCCTGAAATGCTTTCTGGATCCTTCGCTCACAAGAGCCTTCTTCTACCGACTGGTCTCTGACGTCGTCTATGCATCGGTTGTGCGACGTTTGAGAACGGATGAATGCCGAGCGAAAGCGACCGGGGGTGTTATCGGCATTGGTTGGACCCGGCCCCGGCTTGAATTTCTTCGTATGAAAGGTGTGAGCCATAGCAAACGAGTTAGATTCGAGGCGGACCTTTTTCTGTGCGGAGGACATAGTCAGAGATCGGGAGCGGGGGGTCGATGAGCAGCGGGATGAAGAGGATGTCACCAAACGGATAAGATTTAAAATAAACCATGATAAGCCGCAGCAAACATGTTCAGAACTCGGCGAGCCCTTGCTTCCTTTGCGCGATCCTAGTTTAACCTTACTGTAGTGTCGGGTCACTCGCTTCCCAATATGGGGGAAATTAATTTCCGCCGTGACTGTATACTCCGTCGCGGTACGCCTCGGGCGGCCAATCTGGGCAGAGGACGGCAGAGTTCAACGGTGTAAGAGTTGGTCGAAATACATGATTATTTTCATCTTATCGTCTTGCGAGGCAGACGAAATGTCGAAGGGCAGTCACCAAGGCCGCGGGGGTAAGTAATCGGGAAGAGCCGAGTCCTGGGCAGTTAGCCCCTGAAGTAAGTATATCATCAGCAAGCAGATTATCACAGCCACCTTGACCCTCTTGGAAATCCGTTACCCGCCTCGGACGCGTTGACGGTCGATGTTACTTCGGCCCAAGCGGCTTCAGTTCCCAATATCCGCTCTTCGAAAACCATCTCACACTCCTTTGAATACACGGCGCGCTCATTCCGGCGCGAAAAATGGGCCCAACCACGCAATACTCCAAATGCTGAGGCGCAGTGAGTAGTCAGTCACGCATCGCTCAACGCGCCCATCGGTGTACCAATGACGCTCTTCTTATGTCTCCAGACCAGGAAGAGGAAGAGAAGACTGAAAAGAAGAACGTCTACCGTGCGCGCTCGTTCGCAACTGCCATGAAGGCCATCGAATCGTTGAAGGAGCCCATACGTTCTCTGGAAGCAGTTCAGAATGTTCGTGCTCCCGAGTTTCTAATCAACTACTCAGCTTATCTCCTGGCAGTTGAAAGGGGTTGGCCCCGGGATAAGACGGCGGATTCAGCTATTTCTAGAAACATCAGGAGACAGCGGTCAGTGACGTTCCGAGTCTTGCATACAATGCGCTCCGCTGGACACTCATCTTCATAGTCCCAAAACTGGACGCTGAGACTTTGGCGCATAGGAGGGAAGAGCGAGTTATATTAGCAGAGTTGGAGGCCGTTCAAGGGATCGGGTAAGCTCTCAGTACTCATGCAGGTCTATGAGGCTCAGACGCATCTGCTCTCCAGGCCTGTAAAAGCACGCAAACTGCTAGAAGCGGGATGCACAAGCGTGGAGGACCTGCAATCTCCCCAGTTTGATAAACTGCTGACGACGCCGCAACGTCACGGTGCCCGCTATCATGAGCATTTGAAACAAGGCGTCTCTCGCGAAGAGGCCGAATCACTTGCTGTGCGCCTTCCGTGTCTCCCGTCGCGAAGGGGCGCTTACACCAGTCAGTAGCGCTACATTCGAAGCTCACTGCCCTCCTCTTTCGAGATTGTCCTGGGTGGAAGTTTGTGAGTTGGTCTCCCGACTCGTCACAACACAAGGGCTGATTGTGAATAGTCGGAGAGGAGCTGACAAGTCCTCCGATATCGACATCCTTATCTTCCATCCCAATCATGTGTTTGTTCCTTTCCCCGACCCCCCAGCACCCAGCAAGGATCCTGCTCGTAAGAGACGGTCCAACGGCAAATCTACCGAGACTTTACTTCAGAGTGAAGTCATTCCTGCCCTCGATTCCCGACACATCATCGCAGACACGATATCTTCCGGGCCGTTCAGGTGGCAAGGGTATGCTGTGATTCCAGATGGAGAACATGCGGATCGTCATGAGCGAATGGATGCTTTGAGGGAGGGCAACGTTGCTATCAGGCGACTGGATCTCAAGTGCGTGTCGTCTCTCCCCGACGACGTGCCTTCATATCCTCTCAGTCTCGTTGCGAAGCGGTCTCGAGGATCAGCCCTGCTTGCCTTGACCGGGGATACAGACTTCAACCGTGGCTTGCGGGTGCGAGCGACCAAGCTGGGATATCACCTCAATGAGTTTGGCCTGTGGCGGTGGCACATCTTGAGCAAGAACGGAGACCCCCGTCTTGATCCTGAGTCCTCTACAGCCCTAGCAGACGCAGCGGACGGCTACTGGGAGCTCATCAACGCCGAGACTGAGGTTGATGTGATGGACGCGTTGGATATGACCTATGTTAAACCGGAGATGAGGAACTACGGATTACTTGATAATGTGCGCAGATCGTCGTCGTCTAGAGCAATGAGGAAATCATGAAACCCTGGATTCATGCGCCAACATAGCCTTGGTAGACGAGATGCCCAGGACATTACGAAAGTCGCGGTCGATGGAAATCGTAGTCAAGGAACCCTAACCTGAAGCTGCAGCTCAAAGCTGGTCCACGCACTCATGTAGGGACTGAGGGTCAAACTTGAAAAGCTTCATGCTGGAATCTCCTATGAAGTTCTCAAATCATATTTCTGCCCACTTTCCTCGTTTAGTTCCTGTGTCCTGAATGACGCGTTTGGATGGTGGATCCCTGTGATCTCTCCATCATCCCATAACCTGTGCCAGTCACGCCCCCACCACTTCTCCTCTTACAGCTTCACCATGGCCCACCTCACCAAACCGACCGTGTACGATATCAAGGACTCCAACATCGCTCTCCTGGGCTCGGATGTAAGTCGGCATCCGGCATCCTGATTCAAGCAGGTCAAGCCATGAATATCAACCCGTTCATCAGCTCGAGAAACGTGTCCGGGAAGCGGGAGGAGACAAGGAGCATGCTTGGGCGGGCGCAGGAACGCAGGTTGGGCTCGAGATCTGGAGGATAGAGAAGTTCCATGTCGTGGAGTGGCCTAGAGACAAGTACGGATCGTTCTACGATGGCGACTCGTACATCGTCCTCAACGTGAGTTATCGCCTGAACACCTCGTACTGGCCGCGCACCACACTCTTACACTGTCATGAAGACGTACAAGAAGACACCGGATGCGAAGGCGCTGTCCTTCGATCTGCACTTCTGGTTGGGGGAGAACACGACGCAGGATGAGGCGGGCACAGCGGCTTACAAGACTGTCGAACTCGATGACCGTACGTCTCCCGCGATTCGTTCCCTCACAGCGCTCATTTCGACTGGCGCACCAGATCTGCACGGCGTCCCTGTCGAATACCGCGAAGCGCAAGGCTGCGAGTCGGACCGGTTCCTGTCCCACTTCCCGCACTTTGTCTCTCTGCGGGGCGGCGTCGCGACCGGGTTCCACCACGTCTCCGACCCCCCGCCGCTCGATCTGCACAAGCTGTACATCATCAAAGTCGTCGCCTCGGGCCGCGGCACGGGCCTCGTGGTGCGCGAGGTCCCCGCGGTGGCGGCGAGTCTGGTCGCGGGCGACGCCTATGTTCTGGATAAGGGCACGCACGTACTCCAGCTCAATACCACGGCGAGTGCCGGGAAGGAGAAGTTCAAGGCCGCGGAGTTCGCGCAGAGCTTGGTCGCCCCCCGCCAGGGACACTGCGATGTGGAGGTCTTCGGTGGGCGGCGTTGCGTTGGCTATCGCAAACTGAATCTCACCTATTTATATACCGCACTCAGATGAAGGCGCGCCTGGTTCCAACAAGTTCCTGTCCGAGTTCGGCGAGAACACACACATTGCCGCGGCCTTCGCAGCCCAGGAAGGCTCCGCGGCGCCCACGCTCTTCCGTCTTTCGGACGCCGGGGGCGAGGTGTCTTTCAGCGCGGTCGACTCCGTTTCCCGGTCGTCGCTCGACTCGGCGGACGCGTTCCTGCTCGACCATTCCCGTGACGAGCGGCCGGTCATCTACGTCTGGATAGGCAGGGACGCGTCGCTGGATGAGCAACGGCTGGCGGTGCAGTACGCGCAGCGCTACCTACACCAGCATCAGCTGCAGGGCGGCGGGAGCAGACACGGTGCTGCCACGTCGATCGTGAAGATGAGGGAGGGCCAGGAAACCGCCGCGTTTTTGCGGGCGCTTGATTCTTGAAATCGTCGAGTGTTACATAAGGCCGAATTTGGAATTTAGTGTATATTGTAGCGCGTGTCTTTCGACCTTCCACTCAGAATCATGCAGCGAATTGGACATTTGGAACGACGTACTACTATGTGAGCCGCGGTAATCCATTCGGAGAGTAGGTCTGATGGAGGCATATGCCCAAACTAGTGCCCGTCACTCAGTCCATTCTGGAGTCAATTTTTCTTTCGCCAAAGATAGAGAGAGCATCAGTCGCTCACTGCCAGATCTCGCCATTGAATAATCTGCCGCTTGAAGTGAATTGGTCGAACGCCGAAGGCTGTGCTGTTGAGATCACTTGATTTGGAACAGTGAGCAAACAATAGCCGATTGCGGTTGAGGCCCTTTTTTGTTCTTCTCACTGATGCCCCGACCTCGTGTGGGCCCTCCCCCAGATGGCAGGTCGCAGCCTGAAGCATGCCACTGCATTGTGCGCGGGAAATTGGGCCTCTGATTTATTGTTGGCCTGATCCATGGCCCTTGTGCCCGTTGTGTCCCATTGTGTCCCCCGCGAACAGGCGTGTGGATATAAGACTGGGATTCCGTCTCCCGTCTCTTCCTTTCCATTTCCTCATCGTCATCCTCCTATCGCAACCAACTCATGATGGACCCTCAGACGCTCGCCCAGCTCGCCGCCCTGCGCCCGCTGGGGTCCGAGATCGAAGCCATGCACCGCAAACAGCAATTCCTGGAGATCATCACGTACCTCGGCAACCGGGACACCGAGAAGCAGCACGACCGCGTTCTCGCCTCGTGCCTGGACGATCTCTCGCGCAGCTGTCCGCAGTACGCGCCGCACTCGTCCGCGATGTTCTGCGTGATACTCGGGTGGGCCTGCCGCTGGAAGTCGCTGTTCGAGGCGCAGATGAAGCTGTTCCTCGCGCTGTCCCCGGCCACCGCGATGTTCGCGGCGAAGGAGATGGCGAGGTGCGTGTCCGTCTATCTTTCCTGGGTGGCATCATGCTGAGCACATATCCGGTCGAGTTCAGCCGAGTCAAGGCTTCGCAGGCGGAACGGGTCCAGAGGATGGCTTATTACAGAGCTATTAGCCTGGGTTCAACGATCCATTGGGTGTCCTGGTACGGCGCGCACACACCTGAGATTCTCGAACACTGGAAAGCGCTCGTGGTACGTCATCGCGCGTGATCTGCCCCGGGCCTAACATAGCTCTCAACGAAACCCTCAGGAATTCGTGCTGCAGCGGTCTATGGAGAGACTGCTAACGATTGGGGTGCATCCGGTCACGACTCCGCTTATGCGCATGCAGATCGAGGAGCTGAAGGAGTGCATCTCCACCGACTATGTCGCGTGTCCGGACCTGGACGACGAGGCCATTTCCCGTCTCGCGGGAATGAAGGGCCTGAACTGGCTGTTCGATCTGGATCGTCTGGCCGGCCCCAGCGCTGGCCCCACCTCACGCGGGGTCCTCTGAGGACCGGAACACCCTGTGATGGGCGGTTGGACAGCGGACGGACGATGCGTGGAATATCAGTCTCGAGGTCGCGTGGTTCGCGGACATGTTACAGTATTGAGTGGACTTTTTCTGGCTAGGAAATTATCATTATTTTCAGAAAGGAAAGTTGTCAGTGAGCGTGCCTAGGCGTCCTAGTGCTTCTCCGCGAGAGTATTCTTCGTATCACCGTTGGGCTGTACAGCGATTACATCCTGAATTGGAGAAGTGCCAACTTGAGATCGCCTGCACCGGAGCGTATCTGCCATAGTCCACAGTCGGAGGAAAGTATCGCACTTGTCCTCCCCATCAATAGAAGTCCAGCCAAGCGTCAAGACATGCTATCTATGACTGACTTCAGTCGGTCATATTTATGCTTTCTCTAGTTTCTCTGGACGGCGGCACTCCGGGTGATATATATGTAAGCGAGAACATGGGCGCAAATTAAATTCGACTATCGTGGGCTAAACATTCTTCCTCTTTGTGGGAGCTGTCAGCATTGAAAGGATCAAGAGGATGGGTCATTGCTCGGAGAGGTTCTACCACCGGTGACAACTCGAAAGGCTGCGCATCATTTTCGAGCGATGAATTCGGTGGAGTACACCGGCTCACTCGGTTCCATGGATAATTTATTTAATCGCTCTCCCCTTTCGTGAAGGTTGTCTTTTCAAGTGCATCGAGATATTGGAGGCAGATATGATATGATTAGATCAGACGTGTGATACATCAACTGACTGATCCATCACACACTCATAGGTCTCTCATGTCCATCCATTTGATAGCGCTGGATAGCATTAACACAGAAAATACATGGGGCGGAGAGATAGAGGTAATAGATGATGCAGCAAAGCAAGTCCATGATGATGATGATGACGAATCAAGAGAGAAATCAGTGTCTGGCCTCGAAGGGGTTGTGATACGGCACGTGTTCGGTGGGCGGGTCGTACGGCCGCTCGGCGTTGTACTCGGGCGGGTGCGAGCTGTACGGCTGCGTCTGCTGGTACTGGTACATCGGGGGGACACCCCCCGCGCCGCTCTGCTGCGGCAGGTTGAGCTGCTTGTACACACCGCGCGACCGGGTGCGGCGGGACTGGAAGATCCAGGCCCCGACGACGAGCAGCACGAGCCCGCCCAGGACAGAGGCCGCGATGATGTAGTACGTCCGGTGCTTGTTGAACGAGTCGACGAGGCTGTTGCCCGAGCTGTCCGACGTCGTGGGCTGGCTGGCCGGGGCGAGCAGGACCGTGCCGTTCGTCGTGTCGACGCCACCCAGCCGGGAGTTGACGAAATCAAGATGAGCTAGACAGGACGGGTCAGGTCCCAAGGTGCGTGAAAGCCAATGCCACAAACCGTCAGTAGTGTTGGTAGTCGATAGGAATTGGATGTACGGCTCGGCCTTGCTCGTCGCATGGTCGACAAAGTCACCAAAGTTGACCAAAGTGTACACGTTCCGGAGGAACGCCATTCCGACTGCACAACAGATTCAGCGGGGCCGACTGAAAAGACAACGCGAGCCATACAAATGATGTCGTACGAAGGATCGGAGCCGGTGTTGAACGAGACAGGCTGGAACTGCGCACGAGGCATCAGATGGGCGTCCCCTCGCTACGATCAATCTCGGCCACTTACGACACCCAGGCAAGCGGTGACACCGGCCGACGTCGTCTTTTTCTTCAGCCCGAAAATAGTCGGGTCCACCGTGGCGTCGAGGGGATGCACCGGGAACGAGACGCCGCCGAACTTGAGCGTGATGTTCACTTCATGCGTGCAGGGCACGAGCCAGATCTGGCCGACGTCCGTGTCGTTCACGAGCTCGGCGCCCTGGAAGCGGCTGTAGATGCCACTGGCGATCGTGCTGCGGTGGAGACTGTCAGAAAACAAAACATGCAACTGCGCAACCGCAGGATTCCGGACGCACGCAGGAACCTGGGGCAACGAGAAGCCGGTGTCGACGACGACCGTCGCCTGCTGTTTGTTGGAAGTGGACTTGACCACCGACTTGTACGGAATGGCCTGTCCGTCGGGGCCCAGGAACCCATCCGCATCGAGCAGAACCTGGAAATGCTGGTTCGCGCTGTTGCCGATGGAGACATCGGTGACCGCGAGCTTGGGCTGGCTCGTGATGTTCGCGTGGCCCGGCAGGATCTCTCCGACGGTGAGGTTGCCCGGGAACACCTCCGACGGGTCGTTCAGGCGCCCGAGGGTGAACGTGATGTAGTTGGGCGTCGTCGTGTTCTGGATGAAGATGTTGTCGAGGACGGTGATGCCCTCGTCGGCGGAAGAAAAGGTCTGGAAGACGACCGAGCCCGCGCTTGGGCCGAGCCCGATCAGTCCCTGACCGGCGGTGTGGTCGGCATCAGGCGTGACCATGACTAAACGGGGGTAGAAGCCTAGTGAGTCTGCGGCGCTCTTTCAAAGATGCCACCAACGCACTGAAAGCCTGGTTAGGAATCGTGAAGCCCGAGAACTCGACGGCGCCGAGCTTGACGGGCCCCGTCGCGCCGCCCGAGGCATACGAGATGGTCGCGGCTTTCCCTGTGTCCTGCGTCGCAGACGATAAATCGCCCGCTACCCAAAGATCGGAGCTGTCATGGAAGGTCTGACTGAGTGTGGGCGCGATGTCAAGGGTGCGTGCCACACACCTGCCCGTGTCAATGAGCACGGCAAAGTCTTGTCCGCCGACCTTGACGGTCGTCGTGTACTGCAGGTCGGCCGAGTTGGCAAGCGGCGACGAGCCTGCGAGGCTGGCTCTCCGCTGCAAAACCTGGTCGTGCGGTATCCGGCGCCCCTCGATTTCGAGTCGTAGTGCATGAGAAGAGGATGTGAGAGATAAAAGCGCGACGAGCGCTGTGGATAGTTTTGCAAACATAAGGAGGCGCCCGGAAGAAGAAAAGGAAGAAAGTAACGAGAGGAGCGGGTCGGTAATAGAGAGAGAGGAAACAGGGCAGTGCAGTGAGGCCGTGTCCTGTCAGTCGCTTCTCCCTATGTTTTTGATCATGATGGCGATCAGCGCTGATGAGTGCAGCGCCGCAGCGCTGTTGCAGTTGGCAACGTGCGCTCGTCTGGGCCCAAGCCCGACCAAGGGTTCTCAAACGATCGGAGACCGCGGCCTGCAACTAGCGAAGTTGAGACTCGGAAAATTCAGAAAATCAGGGACTGGTGTCAGCGAGTGACGAGATTGGCAAAACCGCTCGGGGCTTGCTGCGGACGCGGAATTCTGTCCGTTGAGTTATCCGGTGGGAATTCCCTTCATCGAAACGTCTTGGGTGCGCCTTGGCTAGCTTAGGACGCCCTGAATCAAGTCTAAAAGACTACAGACTCGCGCCTCACACGTTACGGTAGTCGTTACCCGCCATGATGATTTTTGCACAAGTCACAATAGATTGATGACTACTGTTCTCTTCTCAATCTCATTCGGGTGACACGTCCGCGATCGGGTGACACGTCCGCGATCGGGGGACGGGGGCTGTGCCTCGTCACCGTCGATTTGAGACTCCGCCCGCGCCAACTCGGGCTCCACCGCCTCCTGGCGCCGCGTTGTCACGTTCCACGTCACCCGTCGTTTGGCTGGTCGCGTCACCGACTTTCGAGCCTAATCGGGCAATTTCCGGGACCTGCTGACGCTCCCCTCCTCCACAACGCGACCACCCTTCAACATGCATGCGTGGGCTTCTACTTGGGGGGCTCTTAAGGAGGATGCAACGCATGATGTCCGGAGACTCGACCATGGGGCTTGACAAGCACGCGGCATGCCTTGCTTAAGAGCCCTCTACCCAATTGCCGTTGCCTTTGCCTGGATAACGCCATCTCCCATTCGCACGCCATCTACAATTTCTCGCTGCCCCCTCCCCTTCCAGCGCATTCTCGCTGCCCTATTCCTGTCGTAGCGTCACTGCAATTTCTCGCTGACCCTCTCCTTCCGACGTGCTCACCCCTGCTGCCTGTCCACCGCCGCCGCTGCTTTTCATCTGCTGCCACCGCCGTTCCTCCTTGCCCTCTCCAAACTCGTCCTTGCCGTTTGCCCCTTGTCCTCGCCGTTTGCCCTAGGACGCGGTGCCCCAGTGTAGCAAGTAATGGATAGCGGGCCTGTCTATTCAGCCATTGGGAGTGTGATTCTTTGGTGTCGCAGATGGCATTTGTTTGGGTTTCCATGGGTGTACGTGCGTTTGATTGACTTGGATGCTATTACCGCTCTGTTCTACTTATCTCACAATGGATCTTGAGACCGGACAAAGCCCAAGCCCGTCATGCAAGCCAGGGTTAGGTAGGGCAGCCCTAGACAAAGCCCAAGCCCATCATGCAAGCCAGCCTGTCGGCACCAAGCGCCCGCATTCGACTGTTGTATGGTTGGGCTTTTCTCTGGCGACGCTTTGCTCCCATCCTCTTATATAAAACGGTGAGGGCGAGACATGTCTTGAGTGAAATGACCGCCTGCATTGAGTGCTCAACTATCTACCGCTATTTTCCACCTGGGAAAGAGACATGTGACGGCTGCGCTGATCGTCTCGCAGAGCGTAACCCGGACTATTCTGCATGCAAGGGATGCAGCAAAACATACCGATTCCTGGCTAAATCAACATGCGGTGCATGCTCCCAGCTCGGTGCGTTCTGGCTGAGCTTGTATGAGTATACACAAATTGATGTGGATGTGCCACAGATACTGCTGCGCAACATGTGTCGAAGACGATGGGCAATGCTCCCAATCCTCGGAACACCGCTCCGTTCATTCCGCCTCCCCCTCCCGGTATCAACCTTAGCTCTGAGGTCAGTTATTCTGCCAAATGTCCCATGCCCGTACTCACAAAGATCAGAATCAACGTGACGCCGGTCAGACTCTTTCGCAACTTCAGGGCAGCTACCAGAATGCTGTGAGTGCCAATCTAGGCATCCAAGCTGCAAAGAGCAAGATTTTGGGGGGTGTTGCTGGCATTCGGTCGAATGTTGCAGATGTCAAAGTCAAGGTATGTCCCTCAGAAGCGGCTTATGTTGCTAGTAGTCAATGTGCTGATGCGGCTCAGATTGTTAAGCTTGAGACACGCGTCACTGAACGGAGCAAACCCGTCGATGTAGGCATCAAGTCCCACGTTTTCTCATTTGACTTCGACACTCCGTGGCAAGGCACGCCGGCTTCAGTGTCGTCAAGTATCTACGCTGCAATTCAGCGAGCATATGTGCTTAAATATCAACAGCAACTTCCTTTGTGAGCCTGTCCGCTTGCGTTTTGCACCTAATCACTGACATTCTGCAATGCAGCGAACATCTTTCTTTCCTCTACTCCAAGTCACACTCCGAGATCAGCCTTGACCTTCGTGAAAAATCCATCGGGGAAATCTACAACAACGTGAAATTTGGCATCGAGAACCCGGAAGCGAATCGAAAGTTCAGGCTTCTTGACATCACCGTGCTGTATGAGCCTGAGGTCAGTCGACATCCTGATGTGAGAGGTGCATTCTTACAAACGTACAGGACGACTCGGACTCTGATGATGTCGAGTCTGCTCCCACCAAACAGGGATTGAGCAAGCGCAAGAAGACACAGGCTAACACATCTGCATCCAAACGTGCGTCTCAACTATCAATTGTATCCTCCGTTTCAATTATTAATGATTGTGACTCTCAGGTCCTTTCACTCCAGCTGCAGCTGGAATGTACGAGAGTTTTACTGGTCCTACCCCAGTTCAAGTTGCTCGACCAACTCCTCCTCCCTTCACTGATGAGCGGGTCGAATTCGAAGTCCGACGCCTGGACTATAAAGTTGACACCGAGTCCAACATAAGTGAATGGGTGGAGTCCACTGACTCCATCAAGATCCGTGTTGTTGAGACTGCTGCTGCTGCCGGCAAGACAAAGGAAATGTTCATGGTGAGCACCAGTTTTCATTTGTTCCAGATACGTACCTGCAGACGATGCCGTGTCCAGATTGAGATGGATGGCAAGCACTACGCTGGAAAGTCTTTCTTCACTCTCAACTCCGAGAGTGTGACCGAGCCCTCCCATGAAGAAAACCTGAGATATCTGAAAGCTGAAGTCGCTGTTCAACATATGACCTCACAAACGGTTGCCAGATTCAATACAGCAGCAACCGATAGTTGTGTTGCCATCGCTCGTGCGTCCATTACATTCTTGTAAATCACTGAGCTCATCCACTTTGTAGCGGTCAAGGTCGCGATTCCATTCATTCTCATGGTCACAGAAGGCCCTGAAGCTGAGCGCGCGTGGCTCTGCGACCCTCTTCTCAGCAAGACACAGACGATCAAGTACTCGGGCATGGACACCGCTGGACATCATCAAGAGATCTATGGATCAACATGTGATGCCATTGCCCACTTCTCGCTGGCTGACTCGTCGGAATACATGGTACTTGTAGACATTCAAGGCACGACTCGATATCAATGTCTTAGTCGCTGACATTCATTCCTGATGGTGAACAGGGATCAAGGAGCCGCATCAAGTAAATGGCACTCGTGGATTAGACATCCTTGTTCTCTTCGACACCATGGCCCACACTACTTGGGAGAAGTACATATTTCTCTTCTCATTGTGTCGAAGTTCTGAGTTGCGTTTTAGTGATGCCCTTGGAAACAAGGGTGTAGATGGTATCAAGTCGTTCAAACGGGGACATATCTGCAACCGGATCTGCCGCAAACTTGGTCTTGAGAAGATCAAGACTGCAGAAGAAATCAGCAATGGTTCAAAGGATAGGGATGACAACGAAGGTTCTGACAATGAGAACAACTAGATTACTTGTATATGGTTTAGCATTTGCATGAAGGGAAACATGATTCGATGTCTATAACTAAGGACACTACTATACTTCGTTGTATTTTGCAATCATGTGAGAGAATACAGCCCAGCCGTTCAACGCGCTTACATCCGGCGATCCAATTCCTGCAAAGATTGCTTCGCATAGAACCACCATGTCATTACTTCCAAATTGAAGCTTCTCGGCAGGTGAGTGCTCTTCTATGAGGTGGTCAATGAGCGGCAGATGGATGTCGTCAATTGAAATCAGCTGCATATCACCTCCGTACCGCTCAGGATGTTCATAGAAGTCGATGATTCGTCCACCAGTGGGGAGGAGTCGACTGGCCTGCTTGCGGACTCGGTGTATCCCGTTCTCATACTGGATTTTATCGAGCCGCAACTGGACAATTCTGCCCCAGAGCCAAAGACATACACCCCTGGAGGCGACATCAGTTCACTGATAAATGCTTCATTACAAGGTCTTACTCGTGGATTGGGTTATCAGGATGAAAACCAGATGCAACTTTGCCAGATTCGTACTCGTGCTTCACATTGGCAAGCTCTTTCTCCCAGATTGGGCGCCAACCACGTTCACATGTGATATTGTACACACTTTTCACAGAGCGATGTGCCGGAACAATTTCAAGACTAAGGTCGGGATAGAGGAGTTGCCTACGTGGACACCGAGAGGTCAGTAATCTCCCGTTGCGCCATGGTAAAATACACTCACCTGAGCGATGTCTGAAGTGCAGCCAACTTGCCCGTCTCGCTCCCTTTGTCCGTCACGGTCTGGATAGGGATACCTGTGGCAACGATGAGGGTTAGTAAGGATCAGATGAGTCTCGAAGCCAGACGCACCTTTCAATTGACGAACCAGCTGGAGATATAACGCAGGTGGTACATCTGCTGTCCTCGAGTCGGGTACAGCACGAAGGAGCAGCTCACGTCGCGAGAACTTGTTGATGATGCCATAGACCGAGATTCCCATTGAGTTCAGGATCTTTTCGTGCCCGTCAATGCACCACTCTTCGTCCAATCCGGAGGCAAACAATCCTCGAGTGTGTACCTTGCGCGCACCAGGTCTGCGTAAAGCAGCAGCGTTGGCGTCATGCGCAGCTCGGAACATATCAATGAAACGGCTAGGGTGTCGACACTGTGTGAGCATACTTGGATTTAGTCACTGCAAGGAGTACGCACCGAGGAATGTGTATCGATGTCAATCCCAGTTTTTCCTTCACTTTGCGGCCGCCCCAGGTGCCCAATGGATCCTCCGCTGTGATGGCCAGAATGGCAGCGCCCTGGTCCTCGACAGAGACTTGCGGATGACGGGTGGTACGCAGATGATAATCCTTGATATAGCGCTCAACAGTCCTCAAACTAGACGGTCACGTCAGTTACTGGAGCATTATTTGATAGAGAGTTGCTTGTGCTTACCTAGTAGATACGCCGTGGTCGTCAGACAAGGCTTGTGGCATGTTTGCTTGCTTCACACCTTCGTCAATATACTTCTGTATCCATACAAGGAGCTGGGGATAGCGGTTGACTGATATAAGCTGTCGTTAGAGTGGTATCAACGTTGAGAGCAGGCTGAAAACGCACGTAATCTGCCCCCGTGGCCATTGCTCCCATCCGGGTTGTTGACCATCCTGGCGTCAACGGTGTCTTCCGGGTTGTCCCGCATCGGAGGCATGGTGGAGTGGAGGGACATGGAGGCGGCCTGGGTATTCATCTTCTTCGAGGTTGGTCCAAAGCGCAGTAGCGGCAACGCTGCACGCAGTACAAAGCGGAGAGTACAGTTCGCAAAGCGTCAGGAATAGTGACACAGGCAGGTGATCAAGATCAGTAGTCATCAATCTATTGTGACTTGTGCAAAAATCATCATGGCGGGTAACGACTACCGTACACGTGGGTCGAGTCCAGCTTGGACATCTAGCAAGTCCATGTGGACTTTTAATCGCATCGGGGTTGTGGCAGTGAAATCCGGCGTCTCGCACGACAGCCCGGGAACAGTAACGACCATGGGGACACCACGGAGAACGAGCCTTGGCACACGAGGTATTATACGTCGGGCATTCACCGACTCCGACGGAGGCAGCAGCTTAGCAGCGCATGGTCGTTTCTGTACGGTCCAAGCGTTGTGCGGCTGCGGAGAAATATGTACACTATCGGGGCAAAAAGACGGTGGTGGTGGTCGTTTTTGCCAAGTTTCATTGCAACACGTGATAACATACTTTCTCCCTCTCCCCCTCATCTCCGCTCCGACTTGGAAATGCGCTCGCTACCTTCATCACTAACACTCTTTCTCGCCGCCACTCTTTTCGAGGCCGCCCAAGCCGTATCCGTACCTTTCGAAGTCCACACCACGAACAAACCGCTTCCACATCACAATGCGAGACGGAGTGCTGCGCCCATATCCAACAACGGCAATGCCGCCTACATCAGCAACATAACACTAGGAGGTGTAACTGTTCCTGTGATTCTTGACACCGGGAGGTGTGTGTCGGGTCGATCGGTCTCTTGTTCGCGAGCTGAGAGGGTGCCGGATTGGTAGCTCCGACCTATGGGTAACCTTCCAGGGCTCACCACCCGCCGCTTCTAAGGATACGGGGAAGAGTCTTGCGCTGAACTATGCCGTCGGATCTGCCTCCGGTGCGCCCATGGCCATTGCACTATTCACAGATTGTTCATCCTCATATCGTCTTCCCAGGCAACATCCACACGGTCGAGCTGCAGTTCGCCGGCTTCACAGTCCCAGATCAGGCCTTCCTTCAGGTGGCGAACTCGAGCTCGTTCTCCACCGACTCTGCCTACGACGGTAAGCATAATTCTGGGAAAGCAACTCGCTCCGCTCAACTGGGTCGGAAGGTCTGGTCGGCCTCGGTCCAAACGAAGGCTCTTCAATCCAGTCGAAGCTCGGCTCACCACAGGGGGATATGGTCCTCAACCGCATGTTCCAGCAGAACAACCTCTCATCAAATTTCATTACATTCCTCCTTTCGCGCACCAACGATCCTGCGGCGGTGCGTCTGTTTGCCACGGGCTCTTTGCCATTGATCTGACAGGTCCGACTGTCTAGAAACTGACCGGACAGTTCACCATCGGCGAAGCCGTTGCTGGGTTCGAGAATATCACGAGCCAGACGAAGCTGAATGTGGAGACGGTGCACAGGCTGCTGAACGATCGTGCGTGTTCACTTGTCTGTCAATTCGTCGCTCAGTTTCTCGACCGTAGAGCAGCACTGGCAAGCTCTAACGGATGTGAACAGCGTTACTGGTCCTGATGGGAATGTGATCAACATCGGCTCGATTGTGCCCAAGGCACCGGATGGCCAGCTCGTCGCGGTGTTCGACTCTGGTTTTACCTTCAGCCAGGTCCCTCGCAAGATGTCGGATGCTATCTACGGACGCGTTCAGGGCGCGGTGTACGACACCAAGAACGAATGGTGGACTGTACCTTGCGGGCAAGAGATCAACGTCACCTTTCACTTTGGTGGAGTGGCTTTCCCAGTGCACCCGCTCGACGCGGTTGATGACAACTTCAAGATCAAGGATGCGAGCGGGAACCCTGTCTGTATCGGTGCCTTCCAACCTATCACCAGTGCCTTCAGTTTGTTCGGAAATTTCGACATGATCATGGGCATGACTTTCCGTGCGTCTCCACGTCGTGTTCTTGCTCTCAGTTAACCTCCCAACCTGTGCAGTGCGCAATGCCTACACGCTCCTCGACTACGGACGCTGGGCCACAGGTTCATCCGTCGACCAAGGCGACCCTTTCCTGCAGCTGCTGCCACTGACATCACGAGACGCTGCCCACGCCGATTTTGTGAATGCGCGGCTGAAAGGTGTTGATACGACGGGCTCTGCGCAATACCAGCTGCTGCCTGCGAGTCAGCAACAGAGCTCGCCCGTCTCCGCGGAGGAGAAGAAGAAGCTTTACGAGGAGAAGGTGCTCAGTCACTGGCCAGCCATTCTCGTCGGCTGTCTTATCGCCGTCGGGCTGCTGGTGGTGCTGATCATCTGGAAATGTTGCTGCCGTAAACGCAAGGGCAAAGGAACGAATGATGCCGCGCTGCTTTCCCAGAAGAATCAGACATATCTTCCGCTGCAAGCTCAAGGGGGAGCGTCGATGACGAACGTGGGGTACGCTGGAAGCCCAGGATATCCTCAGCAGGAGTATGCTGGTGCTGCCGGGTCTGGCTACCCCCAGCAAGGCTATGTTGGTGGGTCTGGTTACCCCCAGCAGCAGCATCAGGGTTATCCACAGCAAGGTCATTACTAGTTTCGGACCAAACGATTGCCTGCATCTGGTTCTCGGACTGCTTTGATATAATCCATTTTACGCTGTGCCGCATCGACATGTTGTGATTTATCCGGTAAACTATCGTATGTGTAGGCGTCTAATCCCAATAACAATGTAACCCCGCAGTGCGCACGTCGCCCGCAAGTTCGCCAGTGAGTTACGGCAGGCTCCATGGTTACCGTGGTCTAGGCAGGAGTCTGGGTCAAGCCGCCTAATCTGATAAGATCTTGACTGACAGACAGGACACACCGCTTTTGCCTTTCTGTGATCGACTACCACTGGTTTGGTAAACACACACGCAAGCATCTCCTTCTTTCTTTACCCCACAATGTCGGTCATCGACCTCTCCCAGCCGCTTTCCGCTATCCTCCGAGAGGGGACGAAGAAAGCCCATCAAGAAGTCGAGACCAGTGCCGGTGCGGCGGCTCTGCTTAGAGGCGAGCTGCCCAAGGAGGAGTATGTCAGGTTTCTGATGATGCTCTGGCATGTGTACGAGTGCGTATCGACTTTCTTTCGCTCTATGGCTGTCGCAATGAACATCCGAACCTGCAGCACATTCGAGAGAGCCCTGGAGCGCCACCAGGCGAATCCCATCCTCGAGCCGACGTACAACCCCGCTCTCCTCGCACGTGCACCCGCTCTCTCTGCGGACATTGCCTACATCCTAAGCATACCCGAGTCTTCATGGAAGTCTCACCCTATCCATGAAGCACTGCAGGCATCCCGGCCGCAAGCCCTCACTGACTATGTCAATGCTGTGAACTCCATATCTGACTCGAATGACCCCGCGCCCCTCCTTGCACACGCATACGTGCGCTATCTGGGGGACCTAAGCGGCGGGCAGACGATTCAGCGTGCTCTGGGCAAGGCGTACCACCTGACGCCGAACGGGCCGGGGCTCGAGTTCTACAAGTTCAAGGAGCTGACGACGAACAAGCAGGCGACGATCGGCGAGATGAAGCGCATCAAGGACTGGTTCCGGGCCGGCATGGACAAGGGTGCTGGGGACAACATGGACGCGAAGGGTACGCGCGTCTGCCCGTGCGTGTGTGCATTTACACGTCCGCTTACGTCTTCGCGCAGCGGCCATCATGGACGAGGCGTCCCGCGTGTTTGAATACAACGGGGCGCTGTTCCGGGCTATCTCGACAGAGAAGCCCAAGGTCGTGTACAGCAAGCCCGAAGAAGGCACGGGGTCCAAGACGTACTCTGTGGCCTCCGTGGTCTCGTTCATCCTTGCGCTGTGCATAGCGCACTTTGCACTCACCGTAGGAGGCTTCACGGGCGAGCGAGGCTACGAGAAGCTCGTGGCCGTCGAGCAGTGGCTTGGCGGTCGCATCACCGGGACAGGATGAGCGCTCCCAGCCTGCTGTGACTTATGTTGTTGTCTTCGTTTTCAGCTGTTATAACTCAGGCTACCGCTTTGAGATCCGCGTATAGTATGCTAGTGTGCACTAATGTCAATTTCTACTACATAGATTGAATCATTCGCCCAGTCAGCCTAGGAAGGGATCATTCCGGATTTGCGCGGGCTTAAAAATGATCTCCTTTTGGGTGTTCCTGGCGACTGCTATCCCAGAGCAAGTCGGGTATGAAAGACGCCTAGCTTGATCGGTCTGAAGGGCTGCGGCTTTGTGAGACGGCGCTACTAAGAGCCGGAACTGGAACCAATCGGGAATGCTCGCACTGAAAGCAGCTGAAAAAGTAAGCGGAACTCTCAGCATATCCGCTTCACGTGATAGGTCGTGGGAACCTGAGCGATCACTAATCACTGGCGCCATAGCCATCTGCTTCAAACCCCCATCTCGTCAGTGTACGTAAACTTCCGAGCCTTACTCTCTCAATGAAGGACGCTCCGGCCTCCATTCCGTGGCCGTGTGCGCTCGCGTACGATTTGGGCAGGGAATGCCTGGAAACCGAACTTTCCGCCCGTCCAAGAGGGTTGTTCCGCGCTTCACTTCTCACGCTCGCGGCCAATGATGAGAGTACGGCCGCCATATGAAATGAAAGCGGATGTGGGGCACATGCTTGATGGAATTATCACGTCTGGTGTTCCGTGCGCTCTCTGCCTCGTCTTCGGGTGTTCCCTTGAGTGGCCTTAAAGTGGAGAAAAGAGACCTGAACCCCGATCTCTACCGTGCCAAAGCGAGAGACCAGCTACAAAACTTTCTGGTCTTGACTGCTTCCGCGTCCTCTGGGATGTGCTCGAAACAGCCATCAACATGTATGAATTGGCCAGTGTCTAGCGCTATCGTGCTGCTTGCTGATCAAGGCTGGAAGCACCCCTGGACTAAGGCGTCATTTCATTCTTCTCAAACGATCGTTCAGCTGAGTCCTCAGGCACTTGTGGCCCCTTGTAATGATGTCGCCCGCCTCCAAGTCATTCAGCACGGCCGACTCGGATAAGACAAGACTACCCGCCACTTACTGATCAGATACCACACCGCGCTGATGGTCCCAAAGCCCACGAACACGACCGACGCGTAATCTGGAAGCAGTGTGTCAGCTCGCCTGTCGGACCGCAGCAAACAGCCACCCATCGTACTCATGCTCTGCCGTGTGACGGGAACCGCGGGGGGCATCGAGAACAGCACGAGCTCGAATGCGACCCACACCACTGCGATCCCGTTCATCGCACCGCCAAAGCGGCCCAAGGGGAACGGCGAGTCGTGCATGTCCTTCCGGCCGTTGAAGAGCGAGACGGCGATGGGGAATGTGTAGCTGGCGCCAAGACAGATGACCGCGACGGCGACGAATGCGTTGAACGCCGTGCTAGACCCGAGGTACAGCAGCCCCAGGGCGAGCTGGATCGCTGTGGAGAGCAGGAGCGCGTTGAGCGGGACGCCGAGGTGGGGGTGCACCACGGAGAACGTGCGGTGGAAGGGCAGAGCGCCGTCCCGCGCAAAGGCCCACGTCGAGCGGGACGCGGCGCACGAGATCGAGATCGCACAGAACATGCCAATGCCGAAGACTGTCGCTGAGTTGAGAAAGTAACTCGTGTCGTCAACGGAAAACGTACTGATGAACCACTGCTGCGAGTCAGCCAGGGAATCGACCCCATCACAAACACAATCGGACACGCACCAGTCCGAATCCACCCCCTTTCGATCCCATTATCAGCTCAAACAACAGGCCGATCGGCTGTCCGCTGCTGACTGCGTGTACAGTACGATCAGGCCCCCTCGTCCGCTCGACGCATCAATGGACACACCGGAGATCAGGGTAGCGATGTCGGGAAGCGTGAACAGAATCGGGACGAGAAAGAGGACACCCGTCAAGAAGCCGATGGGAATGGACCAGACAATGGCCCGCGGAAGATTTCTCGACGGATCTCTCACCTCTTCGGCCATGCTTGCGACTATGCCAAACCAATACTCGGTCAATTCGAGCTTCGGGCCCGATGCACCACTCACTCATCCCTATCCCTGCGAACGTATACGCTGTCACTTGAGGTCAGCCTCAGGTAATCATAGACATTCCGACTCCTCTGCGCACCAGGCTGCACACATGTTAATTCTCATACCACCTGCAAACAGGAGACCTCACTGGCAACAATCCAATGAAGAATCCCCAGCCGGGGGTCCACCCCGATGGCCCGGAATCGAAATGGCCAAGTGCGAAGGCAGCTGAATGCCTGCCCGCAGCCGCCTTGGCTGACACACAGACGAGCGTGACTGGCGCTGATTCAGATCGCGCAGACAAGAGTAAGCAAATGGGTACCGATGACTCCCAGGATTGTCCAGTACGCAGAGATGATCTATAGACAGTGTGGGAACGCGCTTCCCAGTCGCAGATGATGCTCACATCGAGCAAAGGCAGAATGCCATTGAAAAACGTGCAAAAGGCTAGCGCGACGGCTGTGACCCCGAGGAAGATGACATCTCGACGCTCTCGTCAGTCTCTTGGGCTCTGCGACGAGTAAGTCGGACTGACAAGTCTGCCAGGGTTTGGCCTCCCAATCTGGTAGATATATCCCAGCACCTGCGACGATGAGTTGCGCCGTACCCTAACGTCCGCTGAGCTCCGGAATACAAATGCGCACATGCACGCGCTTAGAAGGACGAAGCTTCAACGCACAAACGTCACCGAGAGACTAATCGTCCAAACTCCCACCGTCGTCAACCATCCGTTGAACCAAGAGAGCAGCAGTCTCCACCTCGGCGACGCGAGCCGAAAGCACCAGTAATAAGCGCCCGCAGACGTCGGATACTTTGCGCATATTTCACCGAGGGATAGCGCGAGAGGCAGGGCAAACAGAGAGACGAGAAGCCAGCTGCATGCGGTATCCTGAGATAAGGCACATGGATCACTCATCGGAGAATACTGACCCCCAGAGGATAGTGGCGGGGCCTCCCGCGGCGAGGGAGGTGGCAAAAGGGGCTGCAAGGCCGAAGGCTGTCGAACGCTTATCGGAATGGGAGTGGTGATAAGCAGGAGAATGCCTCACGGACGGCCATGATCGCTTTGCAGCACTCAGCGATGCCAGCTGGCCTGTACAGGACAACGGCTCACCTAAGGTCACTGCGGAGACGTCAGCTATATCGACACGCAGCGTCTGAGCGACGGACTGAATAGGATGTGGAACAGCCCGCGCGACTGGGGGGTGTGAATCGACGGGACAGCCAGTCCACCCGAAAGAAAGCTGCACACACACGGGTCATCTCTTGCTCATAGCCCAGTTTCTGTAAATCTTGTGCATGGGTCGAGGACTCAGATTCAGCCATAGCTGAAAGGAAAGATGCCGGGAACTCGAAGGGCCCGAAAGCCCTTCAGACACTTATCGCTTCGAAGGTCCGAACAGAAGCAAGCCCCTTCGGACCGGAAGCTACTAGCCTTCTGCGTTCATCAATCGAGTACGTACATATGTACTCGCCACTGGCTATGAGCCGGGACCAAGATGTGCTTGGACTTTCGTGGTACAAGGAGGCAGAAGACATTCTATTCTGAGAGCGCCACCTTCAGTACCTCGATGATCATATCGACTTCTTCAAGAGTGTTGTAATGCAGAAGCCCAAGGTCGTGTACAGCAAGCCCGAAGAGGCACGAGGTCCAAGACGTGCTCTGTGGCCTCCGTGGTCTCGTTCATCTTTGCGCTGTGCATAGCGCACTTTGCACTCACCGTGGGAGACTTCACAGGCGAGCGAAGTTACGAGAAGTTCGCGGTCATCGAGCAGTGGCTTGGCGGTCGCATCACCGGGACAGGATGAGCGCTCCCAGGTTGTGACTGATGTTGTCGTCTTCGTTCGCAGCTGCGTGACTAGGTCTGCTTCACCCCATCTCCTCAATGTACGGAAAATTCCAAGCCTGACTCCGTCAATCAAAGATCGGTCGCTGTGGCCTCCATCTCGTGGCCGTATGCGCCCGCACGCGATCCGGGCGGGGAATGCCTTGAAATCAAGCCTTCCGTCCGCCCGAGAGGGTTCTTCCACGCCTCATATCTCCCGCTTGCGGGACGGCCGCCGAATGAAATCAAGGTTGGTGTGGGGCACATGCTTGAATTATCGCGTCTGTGGTGTTCCGTGCCTCTCTGCCTTGCCGGTTTCTCAGTTCCTCGACTGCCTTTGAAAGTGGAGAAAAGAGGCCTGGACTGCGATCTTTACCGCGCCAAAGTGAGAGACCAGCTACAAAACTATCAGGTCTTTACTGTATGCGCGTCCTCTGGGATGTGTTCGAAACTGCCGTTAACATGTATGAATTGGCCAGTGTCTAGCGCTATCGTATTGCTCGCTAAACTGTCGACAGCACCGCTGATGCTTATGGCTGGAATCACCCCTGGACTCAAGGCGACATTTCATTCTTAAACGACTGTTCAGCTGTGTCCTCAGGCACTTGTGGCCCTTTGTAATGATGTCGCCCGCCCGCAAGTCATTCAGCACGGTCAACTCGGAGCAAGCCACTCGCCACTCACTGATCAGATACCACACTGCGCTGATGGCTGCAAACCCCACGAACACGACCGACGCGTAATCTGGGGCAGTGTGTCAGCTCGCTTGTCGGACCGCAATAAACGGGCACCCATCGTACTCATGCTCTGCCGCGTGACGGGCACCGCCGGGGGCATCGAGAACAGAACGAGCTGGAACGCGACCCACACCACTGCGATCCCGTTCATCGCAGCGCCAAAGCGGCCCAAGGGGAACGGCGAGTCGTGCATGTCCTTCCGGCCGTTGAAGAGCGAGACGGCAATGGGGAATGTATAGCTGGCGCCGAGACAGATGACCGCGACGGCGACGAACGCGTTGAACGCCGTGCTAGACCCGAGGTACAGCAGCCCCAGGGCGAGCTGGATCGCCGTGGACAGCAGGAGCGCGTTGAGCGGGACGCCGAGGTGGGGGTGCACCACGGAGAATGTGCGGTGGAAGGGCAGAGCGCTGTCCCGCGCAAAGGCCCACGTCGAGCGGGAGGCGGCACACGCGATCGAGATCGCGCAGAACATGCCAATGCCGAAGACTATCGCTGAAATGAGAACGGAACGCGTGTCGTCAACGGAAAACGCACTGATGAACCACTGCTACGAGTCAGCCAGGGAGTCGACCCCATCACAAACACAATCGGACACGCACCAGTCCGAATCCACCCCCTTTCGATCCCATTATGAGCTCAAACAACAGACCGATCGGTTGTCCGCTGCTGACTGCACCTACGATCAGACTGCTCGTTCTCTAGACGCATCAATGGACACACCGGAGATCAGGGTGGCGATGTCGGGAAGCGTGAACAGAATCGGGACGAGAAAGAGGACACCCGTCAAGAAGCCGATGGGGATGGACCAGACAATCGCGCGCGGAAGATTTCTCGACGGATCTCTCACCTCTTCAGCCATGCTTGCAACTATGCCAAACCAATACTCGGTCAATTCGAGTTCCGTGTCCAATCCAACACTTACTCATTCCCAATCCTGCAAATGTATACGCTGTCACTCAAGGTCAGCCTCCGGTACTGATAGACATGCCGATCCCTCTGCGCACCAGGCTGCACACATGTTAACTCTCATTCCGTGCGCCCCAAGGAGAACGCACCGGCAACAACCCGATGAAGAATCCCCAGCCGGGCGTCCAACCCGATGGCCCGGAATCGAAATGGCCGAGTGCGAAGGCAGCTGAATGCCGGCCCGCAGCGGCCTTGGCCGACACGCAGACCAGCGTCACTGATGCCGTTTCAGATCCCCCTCGCGGAGAAGAGTAAGCAAATGGGTACCGATGACTCCCAGGATTGTCCAGTACGCAGAGATGATCTAGAGACAGTGTCAGAACACGCCTCCCGGTCGCAGATGATAATGCTCACATCGAGCAAAGGCAGAATGCTATTGAAGAACGCGCAAAAGGCTAGCGTGACGGCTGCAACAGCGAGGAAGATAACATCTCGACGCTCTCGTCAGTCTTTCCCATTCTGCACAGTGCAAGGGGACTGACAAGTCTGCCAGGGTTTGGCTTCCCAATCCGGTAGGTATATCCCGGCCCCTGCGATGATGAGCTGTGTCGTTCCCTAACGCCAAATCAGCTCCGCAATCCACGTATGCGCGCGTGTGGGCGTGCGAGAAGGACGAAGCCTAAACGCACAAACGTCACCGAAAGACCAGCCGTCCAAACGCCCACCATCGTCAGCCATCCGTTGAACCACGAGAGCAGCAACCTCCGCCTCGACGACGCGAGACGGAAACACCAGTAATATGCCCCGGCCGAAGTCGGATACTTGGCGCATATTTCGCCCAAAGACAGGGCGAGCGGCAGGGTGAGCAAAGAGACGAGAAGCCAGCTGCATGTGGTGTGCTGAGAACAGGCATGTGGATGGCCCAGCCGAGAAGACTGACCCCCAGAGGATAGTGGCAGGCCCTCCCGCGGCGAGGGATGTGGCCAAGGGGGCTGCGAGGCCGTAGGCTATAGAACGTTCGTCGGAATCAAAGGGGCAATAAAAGGAGGATGCCTTACGAACGGCCATGATCGCTTTGCAGTCTCAGCAGTGCCACTACTTAACTCGTAGAGGACAACGACTTACCCAAGGTCACTGCAAAGACGTCAGCCGTATCGAAACGCAGTCTCCGGGAGACGGACTGAATAGGATCTGGAATAGCCCGCGCGACTGGGGATGTGAATCGGGACAACCTGTCCACGCGAAAAGAAAACTGCACACACACGGGTCATCTCCTGCTCATAACCTAGTTTCTGCAAATCTTGCGCATGTGTTGGGGACTCAGAGTCAGACATCACTGGATGGAAAGGTGCTGGGAACGTGAAAACCCCGACAGCCCTCCAGGTACTTATCCATACCAAGGTCCGAACAGAAGTAGGTCCGTTCATACCGGAACCTACTAGCCTTGTGCGGGTCATCAATCGAGTACGTATTCGCCACTGGAATGAACGGAACCGAGACCGATATGCACTTGAACTTTCGAAGGACAAAGAGGCAAGCATTCTATTGTGAGAGCGCTACCTTCAGCACCTCGATAATCATGTCGACTTCTTCAAGAGTGTTGTAATGCACCAACGACACGCGCACGGCTCCGTCGTCCAGCGTGAACGGCGGCGGAAGGTGGCTTGCGAGCGTGTATGCGTACATATGTCCGTATCGGATTCCAATCTGCAGTGGGTGCGTCAGATCCGACTTGAAAAGAGGGAGGAAAGCCAGTCGGAAGTACCCTGCCATCTTTGTCGAACACATCGACGATCGCCGTACTCCGAATTGATCTATCACCAGCAACGATGAAAGAGATCGTGGGCACCCGATCGGCAGACACGTCCTCGACACCGACCACTAGTACACCCCGGGCACGTTGTTCCGGCGCGGTCAGAAACCCAAGCAACTTGGAGACCAGCTGGGTCTCGTGTTCGGCAATGGCCGCAAAGGCCGTCGTCAAGTCGTGCTCAGGCACGAGCGATTGGAGGTACGGGACGATCGCGGTGGTACCATACACGGCTTCGTAGCCCGGTCCGCCCGGTTGGAGCTTGTATGCACCGTGCGTAGGGATAAAGTGATGTGCGATCGAGGCCACGGATGACTCCATCACCTGCTTCCGGATGTAGAGAGCGGAGACGTGCGGGCCGTAGACCTTGTAGTAGGAGAATACACAGTATTCCTGGCGGAATATGACATGAATGCAGCGCACGCAAGGAAGACAACTCACGACGTCCCAAGCCTGAACGTCCATCCTCCGGTGTGGCGCATACGCCACACAATCGACCGAAATCTCGACTTTGGCAGCACCCTTGGCAGCAGCCTCGGCACGAACGGCCTTGCTGACCTCTGCGACAGGCACAACAGAGCCCAACAAGTTGGACACGGCAGGGAACGCGACAAGGCGCGTCTTCGAGGTGATCAGCAGCAGCAGTTCTTCGATTTTGAGCTGGTGAGAGTAGGGATTGTTGGCGGCGGTCGGGCTGGATATCCAGTACTTGATCACCGCTCCCGTTCGCTCAGCAAGCTTCTTCCACGGTCCACAATTCGCTATCAGAGATGAGTGCCAATCCACAACTCCAGCGACGCCGGAAAGCACCCTCGTGTTCGCCAGTGACGATGAACTCGTCTCCCACTTTGATATCTTTCTCTATCGCGCGCGCCAGATTCTCCAGATTCGCGGTCGAGCTGGGCCCGAAAACGACCTCATCGGCACTCGCAGCGTTGAGCAGCTCCCGTGCACCCTCCGTCGCACCCATCACTCTGTCGGTCGACGCGATCGACAGCTCGTATCCCGCGCCGAATTGGACGTTGGTGCTGATAAGGTAGTCCGTGAGACGATCGATGGAGGACTGTATGATCTGGCTTCCGCCTGCGTTCTCGGCGAAGACGAAGCCCGGCTTCTTGCTGAACGCGGGGAAGTGCGAGCGCACGAACGCGACGTCGAGGGCGGGCATTATCGTGATACGCAGGGTGGAAGAGGGGAAGATGGGTTTCCCGGTGGGAGAGAGGATCTGCCGAGCCGATGCGGGGAAGGGGTGTTTTGCGCATCCAATCGGCGAACACCTTTGATTCTTGACATATGGTCGTCGTCCCTCTCGCCCCACATGCTGGCACTTTCGACCGGCGTGGGGGCCATCCTCCCTTTCAGAGTTTCAGGCACGTCACTGGTCATGAGCGCCCAGTATCGGCCCTGTGATCGGCCCGGACGAGTGGTGCGTGCAAAGTTGCGAACAGGAGTCATACTTATCAGCGCTCGAGCGCCAGTCGCGATGCCGCCCTACGAGGCCGTCGCGATCTGTCGGTGGTGGATGGTGGTGGCTCAAGGCAAAGTGATGCGGTGATGGCAGCTTGGGCCGCGCTAACAGACGTTTTCCGAGGTCTCTGCTCCAGGCTTCTCCCCACAATTCAACACGCTTCAAAGAGACGAGTGACTGCTTATGCATACTTGATCTATTCTTCGAAAAAAATTATCTCTATTTTTCTTGGCTATCGTGCTCGAGCCCCAAGGCGGGATGGACGTGATACTCGGGAAACTCATCAAAAAGTCTCACCAGTTGGCACTCCAAGCCCCTTCCCTATCCCGAAATCTCCAACGCCGCAATTTTGGGCTTCTTCTGATGCGTCTCATCTTGGTTCCTCTGTTTGATAGATTTGCTTCATGCTCAAGATAGCATCTCTCCATCGGGTCCTGCATCATCTGAATGTACGTTTGCTGACATTAATTCGGGTTGCAAAGAGGCACCGCGTCGGCCTAAAACCGAAGTCAAGTTAGGGTCAATTTCCCGCCGGCAGATTAAATCTAGACAAACTCCTGGACGGCGAGGATACTGGACACCAAGTGGCTGTGATGCATTGGTTCAGCTAAAAATCTACGCATCGTGTAATGCTCGCGTCAAGTCATCAAGGATTGGACTAGATGTTGGAATTGGTCTTCAGCCATTCGATTTATCGATCACCGGCGTTCAGCTTGTATGAACAGATCCGCTACAACCCCGAAGCAAGCTGTCACACGGAGCTCCGCATCGCAACGCATGTTTCGAGTCATAGTCCTGCTTACTGATCCATCAGCTACAATGGGTACACGTTCCGGGTACACGTCGAGTCATGGTCTTTATATATCACACCATCCCCAGCGCGTTCCAGAATCCTTTTGGTCTGCCTGTCATGGATCCCTCACCTCCAGAGTACAACGGGCACTGTGTGTGTGCGTCGCCAGAATATTCTCCCTGCGTATCAGAGGGAGAGGTGCTACTCGACGCGTCTTATTCGGCCCGCCGACGCGGAGGGTCTTCGCCCACTGGCGTCTACACCAAGGTGTTTGATTCGACCAACGTCACCTTGTTCAACCAGGGAGACGAGCCTTCCTATGGCAGGCAGGGCAATGTGCAGGGCTCTGTCGCCATCCTCAAGTGTCGAGAACGCGTGCAGAGAGTGGAAGCCCTCGTTCGTGGTCAGACTTGCACTGCCGGCGCCTACTGATTTTTCAATTTCCGCAGCTCGAAGGACGGATAGAAACCAGCTCACTAGATGCAGGCGCTTTCGAAACGATAATATTCCGGCACGAAGCCACCCTTTGGGATGCTGCTGAGCCGGAGACACGGCAACCCTCCTGTCCAGACGCTCTGGATTTCTCATTCACGTTCCCCTCCACCTTTCACGACGGCAAAGAGACATCTCCACTCCCCCCGTCGTACTCGACTACATTTTTCGGGATGCCGAACCTCAACGCCCGGTGTACCTACCGACTGCGGATCGTCATAGCCCGCCGTTCCAAAACGCTGAAAATGTTTGCGAAAACCCAGGTGTTAGTGCTCTGGCCCATTGTTCTCCGAAACGCCCTCATTCTTTTATCAACGCAGGCTGAGTCTACATTTGAACTACCATCCCCGCGCAACGCCCTCGGACGGCATCTCCGCGATACAAAACTCTGCGCTGGCCGACATCAAACTCTCTCCCCAGCCGTGGTCGCAGCACTCGTTCTTCGGCGAATCCTCTTTCCCAATCCAATGCGAAGTGAGTGCGTGCGCCGCATCTGATGTTCTAGTGCATTTATCCATGGCCTGATCACAGTTCTTCATGCCGGCTCTGAAGGTCTTTGGCATCGGGGACACCATCCCCTTCCATATCCAGATCTCATCCCGATCCGCGTCTCTGCAACATCGCCTCCAGCAACAGCGGCCGGCTTCGAGCAGGCCACCGGCGACCCACCCCCTGGTCTGTGTCTATCTCAAACGCGTGGTAACTGCGACCTATCGCGACAAACCCGTGTCACGATCTCAAGTCATTGGGAAAGGCGATATCCCGCCTCTTCCCGTCCTCGTGGGATCTGCGCCGGCGTGTGACAAGGAACTCAGCTTCAACCTCAGCGGGACTGTGCGCTGTGTGGAGGACGCCATCCAGGCCGGTGGATTCCACGTCGCGAGTCTGTCCGTCTACGTAGGTGCTCGGTGGATACCCTATCAGCGTGCTTTCTGATCGGTTCTTTTGTGCTGTTAGGACTACCTTGTGGTCGAGGTCGCCCCGGGAAATGCGTGTCATCCCATTCGATGTCAGATCCCTGTTCGATTCGTCACGGACTCCTTCCATGAGGCATAAGCTTCAACAAAATATGTTATCATTCGAATAGAAATGCCCATGGACTATGAAATAGACTCAAAGTCACTGTAAATAATTAGGCAATTCTTACTGTAATGGTGCAATTCAACTTGATTCTGATCTGTTTTGATCGATTGATTGGGCAGATAAGATTAGATCTTTCGGCTGCGAACCCAGAACTGAGAGGTAGGTGGGTCGGTAGATAGATTACCAGCGCGGTCCCAATGAAGAGAGACTGGGGTACTTAATACAAAGATGCGTCACGTATATGCTTACAGACATCCAATCAGCTTTTTTTCCTCGAACACTTAGAGCTCAACGCGTTGTTCCCCAATGACCCACTGCCGACGTTCGAGATATCCAAAGGGGTTCGCAGAGGTCGACATGACGATTATATTCACAAAGAATCACGACAGGTCCCCCACAGCCGCTGAGAAAGGAACAAAAAGGTGAGGTGCCGCCGGTCAGTAGAGCTAGAGCTCCCTTGTACGATTTGTGTCTTGGACTTCGAATATGACTTTAGCGACGCACATTATCAGACCCGAATCTCTTCCATAGATAAGCAACGCCGGGCACTGCTCGGGGACCGTGCAGTTCTTGCTGCGAGAGTAACGAGGTAAGTGAGCGCTCTTGCCTCTTCCTTGTTTCAAGATAATTTCTAAAGAATACGAGATTCATTCTTGTTTACAAAGCATTCCTAATGTTAAATTGATTCCTGCTCAAGCTACCTTCACCTCTCCGTACCCTACGTTTTCTAATATTCGGAATGAAAAGAGGCACCGCGAGGCAGCGCGTTGGCCAACAATCGAATTTAAGCTGATGTCATTTTCCCCCACGGAAAATGAAATCTGGACAAACTTCTCGACGGTGAGAATACTGGACACCAATTGGCTGTGATGCATTGGTTTAGCTAAAATTCTATGCGTCGTGTAATGCTCGCGTCAAGTCGTCAAGGGACTCGAGAACTGGATGTTGGACTTGATCTCCGGCGTTTCAATTGATCGATCACCAGCGTTTACATAACTTGTCTACACAGATCCGCTACTATCCCGAAGCCAGTTGTCACACGGAACTCCGCATTGCAATCCATGTTTCGAGCTGCTTACTGGTCCATCAGCTACAATGAGTGTGCATCCGCGGTAAGTACCCGTCGAGTGATGGACTTCATATATCAGACCATTCCTGGTGCGTTCCGAAAGCTTTTGGTCTGCTCGTCATGGATCCCTCACCTCCAGAATACAGTGGGGATCTCCTGTGCGGGTCACCAGAATATTCTCCCTGCATATCCGAGGGAGAGGTGCTTCTCTACGCCTCTTGTCCGACCCGCCGAAGCGAAGGACCCTCGCCCACTGGCGTCTACACCAAGGTGTTCGATTCGACCAACGTCACCTTGTTCAACCAGGGAGACGAGCCTTCCTATGACAGACAGGGAAATGTGCAGGGTTCTGTCGCCATCCTCAAGTGTCGAGAACGCGTGCAGAAAGTCGAAGCCCTCGTTCGTGGTCAGACTTGAACCGCCGGCGCCTGCTCATTTTTCACTTTCCACAGCTCGAGGGATGGATAGAAACCAGGTCTCTCGATGCAGGTGCTTCCGAAACGGCAATATTCAAGCACGAAGCTACCCTTTGGGACGCTGCCGAGTCGACGACGCAGCAGTCATCCTGTCCAGACGCTCTGGACTTCTCATTCACGTTCCCCTCCACCTTTCACGACGGCAAAGAGACATCTCCCCTCCCCCCATCTTATTCGTCGGCTTTCTTCGGGATGTCGGACCTCAATGCCCGGTGCACCTACCAATTGCGGATCGTCATCACTCGCCGTGCCAAGACACTGAAACTATTCACGAAAGCCCAGGTGTTCGTTTTCCAGCACATTCTTCTCCGAAACGCCACTCATCCATTTTTTTCTGGAACAGGCTGACTCTACATGTGAACTACCACCCGCGCACAACAACCTCGAACGGCGTCTGCGCAATGCAAAACTCTGCGCTGGCCGACATCAAACTCGCTCCCCAGCCGTGGTCGCAGCACTCGTTCTCGGGCGAATCCTCTTTCCCAATCCAATGCGAAGTGAGTGGGTCTTTCGCACTTTCCGTCATTCTTCTGCATTGATCCGTACATCACGTCGCAGTTTTTCATGCCGGCTCTGAAGGTCTTTGGGATCGGGGACATCATCCCCTTCCATATCCAGATCTCGTCCCGATCCCCGTCTCTGCAACATCTCCTCCACAACCACCAGCAGCAGCAGCAGCAGCAGCAGCCGGCTTCGAGCAGGTCACCAACAACAACCCATCCCCTGATTCGCATCTATCTCAAACGCGTAGCGACTGTGACCTACCGCGACAAATCCGTGTCGCGGTTCCAAGTCATCGGGAAAGGCGACGTCCCGCCGCTGCCGGTCACCACGGACTCTGAGCCGGAGCTCAGCTTCAGCATCAGTGGGACTGTGTGCTGTACGGACGACATTATCCAGGTGGGGGGATTCCACGCCGCGAACCTGTCTGTCCATGTGGGTACTCGTTGTATATCCGATTCGGTAGCATGTTTTCTGACCGGTTCTTTTGTGCTGTTAGGACTATCTGGTGGTCGAGATTGCCCCGGGAGATGCGTGCCATCCCATTCGATGTCAGATCCCCGTTCGATTCGTCATGGACTCCTTCCGTGAGGAATAGGCTTCGACGAAATATGCTATCATTCGAATAGAGATGCCCATGGACTATGTAATAGACTCAAAGCTACTGTAAATGATTCGGCAATTCTTACTGTAATGATGCATTTCAACTTGATCTGATCTGCTTTGATCGATTGATTGGACAGATAAGATTAGATTTTTCGACTGCGAACTGGGAACTGAGAGAAACACGGTCAACATCCCTACCTCTCCCATACTGTATACCAAGCCATTTCCCAGAGAATATGAAATTCATTCTTGTTTACAGCGGGTTACTAATGCTACATTCATTCCTGTTCACGCGCCGTTCACCTTTCCAATCCCAGAGATCCAAGGGTAGCACGCGGCGCACGGGGAAATTATTGGGGTGCAGTTGTTTGAGCAGATGTCGGCGACTCGTGGATATCGTGCACCGTGGCCTCGCCCTGCAGAATCTTCTCGCCGTGCTCTTTCAATTCCGGCTGGTACAGAGGCTCAGGATCATGGAGGACGGGGCCACAACGTGCTGCTCACCTTCGCGAGTAGCTAGATAGCGGGAAATTCCGGTCAAACACTGGCTGCAGATAAATCCGAAATAATTACCGTCCCGCGTGTTTTCTGACAACCACAGGTTTTAAATTAGTATGGTGCTCTCCGAAGAATGTGGAACGAAGAGGCCGCACCTTTGCTACACCGATGACCCGCTCCTTAAACGGCACGACATGCGGCTCCTGCTGTACATATTCCACATTCTGCTCCTGCTGCTGCTCGATCCCAGGCCCCGCGTCGCTCGCGCGCCTCATCGTCGCGCCAGTAGCAGAATTACTCGACTCGGGCAGGATATCCTGGTTCACAGTACTCGTCTTCGTTTTGGCGTCCATGGATCGGCGGCGCAGTTTGGGGCTTCTCGAGGATGACTGGGTTCGGGGTGGGGAGCGGCTGGTGAGCGTCGGCGAGAGCGGGGGTGTGGGGTGTGATAGTGCGTCCATGGCAGCCTGTTATGTGTGTATATAGGATTGGTGTGGAGCAGGTGTGGGGCACTTATACTACGCGCTGGAAATGAAATGACCTCGACGTACGATGGTGTCACCGTGACGTCATCGTCCAGCGCGGAACTTGTCGTGAAACGGCGTTCGTGCTCTGAGCGCGCCAGGGACCATAGAGAGGGAATTGTGGAAGAGAAGCTGTAGCTGAACGGTCAGCTATTCAGTGCATTACGCAAGTACTTGCGACCGACATGAACATAAGAGACCCTCCGGGATCACGTGAGATCTCGAGAAGAACACGTGGTATATGTTCAAACTGCAATTTCTGTACATGGAGCGGCAAGATCTGATAGATCCAGTGAAGTTGAAGTACAAAGAAGACTAAGCGTCTCCGTTTACTTCCTTGTGTATCTGATAGACATCCGAAATGCTGTCGGGACGTTCAACATTTTCCAGACTATCCTGATGTTCATTTCCCAGACACAAGCACATATGAAGTACTTGGCTCAATGGGCCAATAATTCATTCATTTCCTAGAGGATCAACTTAATTTCGGATCAAGGCCTGAAACTGCAGTCCAGAAATTGAACCACCACCACGTGACGTGTGTTGCCATGTCGTCTACAGACTAGATAATAGCACATGCATGCGAAGCAGTGTCAGAATGTGATTTTCCTAGTCTGAGCCTCGGCGGCCGACTTCTCGCGGCGCTCGGACAGCCTGGGAAGTCAGCTGAGCTATCGAACGAAGTTGAACTCCTACATCTCAGACCTGATACATCACGTGGACCCGCTCGCTCCCGCGATCCCTCGCCCGTGATAAAAACGCACATGCTGGGGATGGGAGAATCCACTCACCCAAGGTAGTTCCTCCATGTCCCCGCCAGATTCACGCAGCCCTCCACCTCCTTCAAGCGCTGCTGAGACAGCCTACCTCAGCCTGATGCGCGCCGCGCCCTCCTCCGCGGACCGACGCACACTCAAGCCCGAGACCCTAGACGACATCTACGCGCAGCTGCGCACGGTCGAGCCGGGTTTCCTCATCGGCGAATGGACGGGCGGCGATTTCCCCGAGCTGGGGCACCCCGTCAGCGCCAGTCTCACGCAGATCCGGTGGGCGGGGAAGAGCTTCTACAGCGCGGAGGACGTCGTGCCGATCGTGGTGTACGACGCGCAGGGGAGCAGGACGCCTGCTTTGGAGCCGTATGGCAAGGCGAGGGTGTGTACTGGGTTTTGTCCCGCTGCTGTGGACCTGTTCCTGGCTCATTGAGGGCGCAGATCCGCGAAGTCAAGTTCCGGGGCGTTGTGTCTGCCGCGATGGTGTACGACATCCTCGCGATCATCGACCATTTCCGCTATGTTGACGAGAACACCGTCGCGGGGGTCATGGACACCAAAGATGCACCGCCCGGATATCACTTCTACTTGAAGAGACTCGACGCGAAAAGCCGCCTGTAGAAACTGTGGCACCGAAATGGATAGTTCATTCATAGCACGGTTGCTGCACACAAATAAGAGCGTCCTGAGTTACAAAAAGTTCGTTATACAGTCCATCCTTCTTGGGGGTAAGTACATGGCATGGCAGTCCGCCGCTCAGTTCGTCGTCGCGTCCGTGAACTGCGTCGTCGCGAAGCCGACCGCGGAGTTGGTGGTGCTGAAGATCGAGTAGAACCGCTGCAGGAAACCAAACCCATCTGCAACAAAGCACGTGCTCAGCATGTGACCGGGGAAGTCTCGATGAGAAACACGCCCACGCACCAATAAAGTCGAGCCCCGATCCGCTGTTGCTGCCGAGATCAGCTGTGATCAGGTAGATCTGGCCGTCCTGGCCGCCGAGCGTGGAGTTGAGCGCGCGGGGCCAGATTTGCGCGTTCGGCGTCAGCTCAAACGTTTGCTGCACAGACATCTGGTCAGCAGCCAAATCCTAGACACGGAAACTGCTGCAGCTCACATCTCCGATGGCGAAGAACAGGCTCTGCATGTTGTCAAACTGCGACTGCGTCACGGTGAGCAGGCCCGTGGCGCTGTCGAGGGTCGCGCCGGTGGCCTGCTTGTACGCGTTGAAGGCGTCCGTGGCGATCATCAGCAGCGTCGTGCCGGTGTCGACAATCCCAGCAGTCAGGCCCAGAATTGGGCTTCCATTCGTGCCGTAGCTGTCCGTCCCCTTGTCAGTCCTGTACTTAAAAGCGGGAAACAAACATGACACACGTGATGGTCTGATCGATACCCCAGTATCTAATCGCAGATCAAATAAGCTGCGATAGTCCCATCGATCTCAAAGGCAACTCACTGGCTGGCAGGGGAAGTCTTCGTGATCGGAACCCACGTGATCTGGCCGGTGAACTTGGTCGCGTCCATTCCCCCAAACGTGAGCTCGCCATTGGCGGCGCCCGCGGCGGTGGTTGGGACGTATGAGATCGAGATGGACTCGGCAGGGATCGTCCCTTGCGCGAAGAGGTTGTCCGTCACAGTGGGCACGCTAGTCGCTCCGCTGACGGTCGTGCTCGTCAGATCCACCGGGCCAATCCTGCATGACGGGTGGAATGGGCAGTCAGCGGGCGGTTGATCGCACGTCAGAATGAGGAAACACTGACCCCAAGATTCCGTCGACACCATTGAAGCCGGACGCGGTCGATGCGACGCCGATCGACTGGTTCTGGATAACGAGGCCCGGGCCGAGCGTCACTTCATCCGTGTCTGTGCACAATCCATCAGAAACGAGCTTCGGCGTGCAGATTAGGGGCAGCGAGCCACGAACACTCAGTCCCAGAGAACTGCGAACCAAGGCTGTCAGAAGAAGACACCCCCCTGATGGAGACTGGGGACATACCGATCCAGAGCCGTAGCTGACGTTCACGCTCTGGCGCGTGTCCTGCACCGTAAACGCGTCAGCACCCGCGCTGCAGAGGCCGCGACGCACGCAAACTCACCGTGCTGGTCGACGTCGGGACGTACGCCTTGGCCGCGCCGACCCACGTGTTCGAGCTCCCGGTGTCGATCAGGAGCGTGTACGACGTCGGCGGCGACCCGACGCCCACGTCCATCGTGTACGTCACCGCTGTAAACGCGTCAGCACGCGTCCGTCGGCGCGTCGATCCGGAGCCCTGTCCCGCTCACCTGCATCAGTGACGTCGACGGACCCAGTGGCGCCCGTGCCCGCGCCCGTTGCGGGGCCCGTCGGCGCGGACACACCCGTCCCGCCGGGCTGCTGCTGGTGATGGCGGTGGTGGTGGTGGTGGTGCGCGGCGAAGCTGCGCTGCTTGAACGCGGCGGGGCCGTGCGGCGAGACGCCGTCGAGCATCTTGCGCGCACGGGCCTGGTCGCGCGCGAGGATGTGGCGCGCGCCGCCTGCTGCGATGTGCGTCGTGAACGGGAGCGCGCGGATGACTGTGTGCGACATGGTTTCGTGAGGCGGTGTGGTGCGGTGTGTACTGATGATAGGTGGTTGGATAGTTGGAGAGCTAGATCGTGAACGGAGGAGAAAGAGAAAGGAATGGAGAGCGACATGGGGCACCCCCGCGCGCCCTTTATACCAGACACCCGCATCGCCCTCCCACACCACATGCATCAGATCCAGAAGCCCTCGCTCGGACTGTCTCCAAACTCGTCATCGAGAGCGGAGAAGCACCGAGCTGCTGGAGATAGCAACTGGGGACGCTCGAGAAGACGCCCCAACCGGCGTCCGCCGGTGACAGGGCGAGCTGAGCTGCCTGACGCACCGCCTGGATCTGCCTGGAGGGCCGGACTCGGATAAGCACGGCGCGAAGGGGCAGCCGATACGATACGCCACGGCTCATCCTGCCCAAATGCAGCGATTTACCCGGGCGTGCGCAGCCGTGGAAGCAAACCTTATCGGCTCCAAAAATACGTCGTCGTCGTAGCCAGGTAGGCAGTGCAAGTGAGTTACATATACTCATCAGCATGCGGTATTCGGTCATCCTTCCCCAGTGTCCAGGGCTGCGGTGCGGAGGCCGGCTTGGATTGAATGCTGTGCTGGGGTAGGCTGTGCTGGGGTACTGACAATCCTGTCATTTTCTTCTCCTTCTTGCATTCCGACAAGCAATGGAAGCCCCAGACGCGAGGAACCCTGAGGAACATGTCATCAACGAGTGTGGCGTCTGCAGCTTAGTGCTGTCGGCGGATCCCGGCCGCCTTCGACTTCTCGCATCTCTGATGCCCATGACTCATGTGATATGATATGCATAGAAGCGAATTTGAGTCGGTGCTAATTACGAATAGATGTGTTGCTAACTACTACTAACACTGACTAACTACATACTACTTACTCTACTTTGCTGATTAAATGTCCGCGCCCGCCATCGCGTACAGCGCGTCACGCTCTCCCGACTCCTCAACCAGGGCCCGCAGCTTCCCATCTGGGATCTTCAGCAGCTCCTTCGGGCTGTCAAACTCAGCCTGTGGCGGTAGTCAGCGATCAGAAACACAATGACAGGGGCGAATGAGGACGCACGATGTTGCCCGCGTCGAGCACCATGATTTTGTCCGCATCCATGATAGTCTGCAGCCGATGCGCCACGGTGATCAGCGACACATCGTTGTGCAGCTCCTGCCGCAACGAGTTCTGGATGATCGCGTCCGTCTTGTAGTCAATCGCGGACGTCGCTACAGGGCGAAGAAAGGAAGAATCATCAGTAGGGAACACCAACGAGTAGCCGAACAGTCCCCACCTTCGTCCAGAATCAGCACCTTGCTTTTCCGCACGATGGCCCGGGCGAGCGCGAAGATCTGCCGCTGGCCAACACTCAAGTTCCCGCCGCCAACAGCGACGGCGCTGTCTAGCGTAATCCTTCCCTCGTCCAGCTCGTCCTGCAACGCGAACAGCCCCGCCGCGCGCAACGCGTAGTTCAACTCCAGATCGTCGTACTGTCCGAAAGGATCCAGGTTCGATCGGACCGTCCCGCTGAGAAGCTCGGGCTGCAGAACCACGTGAGCATGGGAGACTCGTGACGCTGGAAGACTCGCACTGACCACTTGGGGGATGATGGTGATGCTGGAGCGCAACGCGTCCAGATTCAGCGTGGACGTGTCGATCCCATCGTAGTATACTTTGCCGTCAGTCGGGATACATTGGAGCAGTGACAGGGTCAGCGAGCTCTGCAACAACAAGTCAGCGCGTCTGTTTTCGAAGCACAGCAGCAAGCGCGCACCTTTCCAGAACCAGTTCGGCCGACTAGAGTGGGGCGAGGTGAATTCCGTCAGCATGCTGATAGCAAGAAGCCTCGGAGGAGGAAACGCACCGATGCCGATCCGCTCTCCGGGCTTGACCGTAAACGAGATGTTGTGTAGCACATCCGGACCAGTCAGCGAGTACCGCGCGCTCAGATTCTCCACCCTCAGATCTCCGCTAGCAGGCCAGTACGCCGGCGGCACTCCCGCAGACGTGGGCGACTTCTCGTGCTCGATGTCGATGTAGTCCTGGATACGCTCGAGACTGTTGCCCTGAACCTCAAAGTCGTTGAAGATCCGCACGGCCCAAAGCAGCATCTGCGTGAACGTGATCGCCATGTTGATCAGGAAACCCGTGTCGCCCGCATTCGTGTGCTTGCCGTAGACCAGGTACGCGGCGAGCGTCGCCAAGAACAGTGAGCCGAGGAAGTCGACCCGGACTGAGATCCATCGGTTCAGGTTGTAGAAGCTCCGCGCGGCACGGGTGTACCGATCAATCCGTATCAGCGTCTCGCTCTTGAACTTGCTCTCGGCCCCAAACGCACGAATCGACACTGATGGCGGTAGTCAGATCTCTCCGGCGGTGTCAGCGAGAAGTTGGGACATACCCAAACCAGAAACAGCAGCACCAAAGCTGGATCACGATCAGACAAACTCGTTCAGACAAAGATAGATGCGATCAACTCACTGTGCCAGGACAGGCGCGCGGGCGTTGGACATGAGCCGCTTCACGGAGAGTTGCCCGGCCATGTAGATCTGCCCGAGGTACGCACCCGCACCCGCGACCGCCAGCCCAGGGAAAAGGAACACAGGAGTGTACAGCACGACAACACCAAATTTGACAATCATGGAGATAACCATGCTCGCTAGGGGCATGAACAAGTTGGGCAGCGAGTCGTCTATCGCTCGGACATCCTTGGTCACACGCGCGATGATACGTGACGTCGGTGTGACATCCAGCCACCTGCGACGATGGTTAGAATAGAGAGCGGGGCAGCACTGGGCAAGAGCGCAGACCTCAGCGGCGCGCGCAGAACGGAATCGACGAGCTTCTTGTGGATCACCCGCGAGGCCCGAACTTGACCGAACACCAGAGCAAAGAAAGCAACCAAGATCGTCAGAACCGTGATCAAGACTATGACAACTGTAGATTGTGTCAGGGGCTTGAGTGCATGCTAATTTGAAAGTGTGATACCGAAGATGCCCAAATTCCTGTTTGTCCATTTCAGTCAAGCATCTTAGAAACATCAAATGGGACTCACAGCACAACATCGACATCGCTGGCTGGCCTGTCATCGTATTGGCGCGCCCAGTAGCCCAGCCACCACGTGCGAACGGCAGTGAAGATCTGGTTCAGAACCAAGCCGAGCGTAAACACGATCCAGAACACCGTAGCGTGATTACCGCCCATCGCCTTGAAGTACATCAACACTAAAGCCCCCAACGCTCAGTAACCACAAAAAGACGAACAATACAAGAGACTCACGGGAAGCCGAGCTGACATGTCCCATCTGCACTTCCTCGGCAACGATGAGCTTGCCAGCGACTGGCGCTGCCGCCGCAGGTTTGGTCTCTGCTTCAGTCCCATCCACGTTTTCTTCCGCCTTGGCGATTGCCTTCTCCTCTTTCCGGATCTGGCTCTCCAGAGCACCGCCACGAGTGAGGATCTCCGACGCCGTGCCCTGGCCGCTGATGCGGCCGTCCGAGGAGAACGTGCAGACGTAGTCTGCGATGTGACGGGTAAGTGCGACGTTGTGGGTCTGCAAAAATCCTTAGTAGGCGCGACGGAGACGACAAGAAAGACGGACGACAAGAATCACAGTCCGGTTTTCTGGCATATTCGTCAAGACTTGAAATAATACAACGACAGGACAACTCACGGATTAACGGTCCAGCGAAGCATTTCTCGACGATCCACTGAGAGGTGTGGACACTGGGCCGGTGTTAAAAGGAGAACAGAAGATAGCAGCTGGAGCCACTCACTCGAGAGCAGCAAGTACATCGTCGAGAAGGAGGATGCTGGCGTCAGAGTACTACAAAGACCGCGTCACTTTCTACGCAGCCAACCACCAGTCAACGAAAAACCTACCACCGCACGAGCCAGCGTCAAACGCGCTTTCTGGCCTCCAGAAAGCGTCAAGCCCTTCTCGCCAACCTCCGTTTTGTCGCCAGCCTGGAACAGAGCCAGATCCTGCTCGAGCGCACACTGATGCACCACCTGTCTGTAGCGCTCCTCGTCAAACGGCGTGTTGAACACGATGTTGTCCCGGATCGTCTCGTTGAGCACCCACGACTCCTGCGCCGCATACGCGACACCGCCACTCCGCGGCAGGTTGTACCACGAGTCAGGCGACGACGGGAGATAGTGCATTTCCCCGAGGAGGGCCATCAAAAGCGAGGTTTTGCCTAGTTGATCGAGTTGTCGGCGCTTGTGATCATGAAACACACCGGTACGACGCACCAGAACCAGTAGGACCAACGACCAGATTGATCTTCCCTCGCTTGAAGATGATCTCATTATCGAACTTGAGTGAGAAATGGCGAGACGACCGGGTGAGTGAGCCATCCGACTCGGATTGCCAAGAGAACGTCGCGCGTCGGAACCCAATCTCTTCCGAGCCACCAGTGTTGATCAGAGCGCGCGCTTCAACCTTCTTCTCATCAAAGCTGTCCAGGAGCTCTGTCTGTATGCGGATCAATAACGTTGCAAGGGAAACGAGAGTAAGGCTTCTCACGTTCTTCAAAAAGTCGTTCATGCGGTCAAGCGAGACTTTGCCGCTCATCAGGTTGTTCAACCAACCGGTGATCTACAGACCTTTGAACACAATGCGACACCGGAAGCCAAGGGAACATACCTGGGCGATGTTATCCCGCAACAAGTCGAATACGGTCATGCTAGAGAAGACTTTGGATGCGTTCAACGGCTGCTTCATGATCAAAGTGTAAGTCGAATATGTCGCGACCATGGTCACGATCTATCCCAAGTCAGTCGCACAAATGGACAGACGGGGCCTGAGGCATACGGGAATCAAGACGCTGAGAGTCCGTCAATCACGGTACACCTTTGAAATGCAGATACCCACTTGACAATGTTGCTGGCCATGTCCAGGAAACGTCTCTTGCGGATCCATCCCAGTTCGTCCACTCGCTGATAGGGACACGCATCAAGACATTCGAATCGCCACAGAAGACAGACAGACATACCTTCTCGTCAATGCGCTCTTTCATGCGCTCCTCCCAGCCGAATAGTTTGACCATCCGGAGAGAGTTCACAGCTGTACCATCAATGTCAACCAAACGAGCCCATGGCGAAACAACAAGCTGCGGCACACCTTCGCTGACGCCCGTGACTCGATCGTCTGTTCGTTTGAGACGTTCCTTCTGAACCGACTGGACCATTTTCGCCACTGAGAACCGTCAGAACAAGGACACCCAGCCTGAGCCTCAGACGCACTGTATCCCGGGAGGGGCACCATCAATAGGATAGAGGCAACGCCCACCCAGACAGACCATCCGAGTAAGGAGTGGAGGAACCAGATTCCCAACGTGATCTGCAGAGGGATGGACAGGAACAGGTTAAGCAAGTCTCGGCTGTCGACTGGAAGGACAATCAGCAGACCGAAAGACCATCCACACAGAGATCAAACCAATGTTATCCAGATCGGTGGTCACCAGGTTGTTGATCTTCCCCACAAGACTTCCGCCAGACTTGGGCTTGTCGGCAGCAGGCGCTGTCGCAGCAGTACTATGCGAGTCAGCCTTGCTCGGCGCCTTACTTGGAGCAGCTGATTTGCCAGACTTGACGCTTGCAGATCCACCGTGGACAGTGCTCGACTGGGCATCCTCCCCTTCAGCATTCTCCGACGTCGCGGGAGGCACATTGTTCTCATCATCTTCTTCATGGGACTCCGTGCGAGACACCGTGCGAGGCGTTTCGGAGGTGGAGGTCGGCGCCGATTCCTGTTGGGTCTCTATTTCCGCTTTCATGCGGATGCGCAGACTGGCGAGTGCGTTCTCATTACATGACACGCCATTTGGAACAGAGCGTGCTTACCTGTGCGTGAAAACAAGCTGAGTAAGGATGGCCTCCGCTTGGACCAAGGAACGAGTCTAGACACCGCACTAAGCATGATCGGAAGAATGTGTGTGATGAATTGGAGCATACGTTGATGAAAACGTAGGTTTGCATTGCCACCGAAGCTAGAGTTCATCAAGACACACGCGTCATTGTTCCCTGCTCCAATGCTCACCAACGACCGGACCGAGGAAGATAAGAAGGATCCAGACCCAGGGCTTGACTGGCTCATCTTGGCCTCCCTTCTCAATGAATCTGAACGGCCCGTTCAGTCACAAACCATATTGAAGGAGACAACGGACAGTAGCAGATGGTTCATAGCGTATGGCCTAGAATAGCCATCAGGTTAGCGAGATAATCAGCTCGGTCATTAAGACCCACCCCGAAAGTGCCATGAGAACTCTGACGAGCAGCAGACAGCCCAATACGATGAAACGCGCTCCAAAAACTCTCATGAGCCCAAAAAAGATATGCCCACGCGCTTTCCCCATGTAGCTGTCGAGATACTGCCACGGACGTCAGATCGATGATTCCGTCACCAACAGGGGACTGCTTACTTTGAAGCTCTTGCGGGTGAGATACTCAGAGGCATCGGAGTCACGCAGGGCGTAGAGCTGCGGTTCGTCGAGCTTGCCCTGGCGGTAAGCCAGGAAGATGATCCCGTCCAGGAAAAAAAAGAACGCATGCGAGATGATTGACGCGGTTTCCTCGGGATTGAGTTCCGTGTGTGGATTCTGGAATAAACCGTCAGCAGGATACGTATCGCCGCGCGCAATGCCGCACCAAAGGATCGACGGGGATGTACTGCCGCGGCGTAAACAGCGGAATAACGACACCAGTGGCGAAGAGGAGGGTGATGGTAGCCCAGAGGATCGGCGAGTCCGCGTCCCGGGGGTCCAGGGTGAACGTCGCAAGCGGAACAATGTCCCGGTATACGTAGACTGCGAGCGAAGCGAGGATGACGAGGTTCACATGACCCACAACTGCACTGCGCGAGCGGCGGGGGTTGACAGAGAGCGCTGAGAGGATCGTGCAGTAGCCCTGGAACGAATAAGCCGCCGAGTAGGTGACGGATACAACGGCAGTTGGCTTACATATGCCACGGCGGCAACCAAAGCGCCCTCTATGCCTTCCACCGCCGCATATATAGACAGCCCGAGGAGTGCGAAACATCCGACCAAACGCGCAATCCGGAACCGCAGAATGGCCCCAGTGCCAATCCCCGGCGCGTCCGCAACAGGCTCGTCCGACGAGATCCCAGCACGGACAAGGAGGCGGTGGACGAAAGGTATGGATCCCAGCCCTTGAATGACGAACAGCAGGACCGAGAAGCAGGTGGCGATGCCAGGAACCAGTAATGTGGGATCCGCTTTGAGGTCATTCGAACCAAGCCGAAGATGCCCAACGCTCTGGACGTCAGACGCCCAGGCATTGAAGCCCAGGACGGCCTGAGATGTAAGCCCAAAGTCCATACAGCGCACAGACTAGGGAGAGATGAGAAGAGATATATTTTGGGTCACATCGTGACAGTTACTGTGGGATATCATCGAAACCTTCCGCCCGGCAGAGTCTCGGCAGACGTTGCCTTATCGACGTCATGCCGGCTGGGCCGAGGCTCCGCGGCGAACCAAAATTAGATTGCAATCAGGTCAAGTAACAGCCTCTCGCGTTGCACCGACGCGATGACTCCAATAGCAGCGTCATAGAGCTTGCTTCCGCCTCACTCATGCCCTCCGACGGCGAATCGTCGAATGATCTTGACAACACCGCGCGTCCGACTCCCAGCCGCAGCTGCGATCTCTGCAGGAAGAGGAAAGGTGTGAGCTCATTCCAAGACGTCGCGGAGACCCACTTATTCAAGTGCGCAGTGCGATGTGAGTCGGAATCCAGGCAGCTCTTTCCTGTTACTCTCCGCTCATAGCATAAATACCAAGGTGATGGACCCAACAAGGAAGGTGGTCATTGCACGCTTTGCACCAACCTCAAGCTCACATGCACCTATCTCGATCCCGTGAAGAAACGCGGCCCCAACATGGAAGAATTGCGGCAGGAAATCCGCACGCTAAAAGCCAAACTGCGCTCGCTCTCCCTCTGTCCAGTGTGCTCTCGCTTGATAAACGACTGGGATATCGGCCCGCCGCCGCCGGCAACACCCGTGCCAAAGCGCAGACGAAGCCGAGAATCCCCTCTAGGAGAGGAGACTGAGAGCCGGGTCGAGGATCCGCTCGGGTGCATTAGTGAAGAACCCTCCGTGGACGGGCAGCGCGTCGAGAAGATGTACTTTGGGCCTGTCAGTTCGATGGCGCTGGCCCATCTGGCTGTTGTGGTATGCCGCCCTTGCCTTTCACCCGGTCTTCTGATTGCCTGAAAAAAATCCATAGAAGAAGGGAAAACATCATGGGCGTCCCCAGTTCCAGACGCGATCATTCTGGGACGTTCAACCGGTCGGTCTCTTTTTCAACTCGCGAGATCTAGCGGTCAATGGCCAAACAATTCGAACAGTGGGAACGTCATTCATACACACAGTTTCCGGCATACAAATTCCCCGACCCGGATCTCATCTTCAAGCTCGTCTCTCTCTACTTCGCTCGTATTCAGCCCACATTTCAACTCTTGCATCAACCGTCTTTCGAAGAACTGCTCGCTGAAGGGCGCCAATACCGTGATCCCCAGTTTGGAGCACTTCTGCTCGCTGTCCTAGCTGTCGCATCCCGGGTATGTTTCGAACGATCTCAATAGCAGCAAGGCTCACACACTGCTCAGCTTTCTGACGACGTCCGGGTTCTCTGCAACGGTTATTCGCTCTTGTCCTCGGGCTGGCCATTTTTCAGTCAAATCCGTTCGCCACCCATGATACCGGGTCCCAGCGTACATACCGTCCAGTCTTATGCGGTCAAAAATTCCATGTTTGCATTTCAAGCCGCCACTCATGTCATGTTGAAAATAGTTGATGGCCCTGTACTCGCTTGGGATCTCGATGCCCGAATTATCTTGGTTTTACATTGTAAGTGACATGGTCATCTCTTCACGAAACTGATTATATGGTATCATCACCAGGGCTTGGCCACTCGTTTCTTGCAGCATCGCGGCGAGCATCAGCGCAAGCGAAAAATGGATCAATTGAATGAATCAGATGAGCAATGGAACCGGGCGTTCTGGTATTCCATCCGCAACGGGCCCAGAGAGCAAATATTCACACTACCTCCAGGACGACATTCAATCTCGATCGTGTGGTTAACTCCGTCTTCGGTCTCCCTACCGGGTTGCACCTGAATGAGTGAGTGCGTGATTCAGAACCGGCTGATATCACCTCTAATATGGTTCATCAGATGTGACGCCGATCTGCCGCTCGAAATGGACGACCAGTACTGGTCAAAAGGATTCACACAGCCTGCAGCTGTTCCATCGCGCCTGACGTTCTTTGCATTGCAGGTCAGACTGAGCATCGTGAGTGATGGAGTTCGAATTTGTCGATATTATTGTTCATCAGGATGATGAGATCCTCGGCGATGCTAATCGACTGTACACCAAGGCGAAAGCCACTCAAACTTCAGAAATAAGAAATGTGCAGGCTGTGATCGAACAGCTCGACTTCGCTATGCAAAGCTGGCTTGGATCGGTTCCAGAGGATTGTATGTGATACGTTATGTTCAACGACAAGAATTAAAACTCGATAGTACAGTGGAACAGCACACATCCGGACCCGGACAGCGAATTCTTTGACCAAGCATGTTGCCTGCGCATGGCATTCCTATATGTGCAGTTGGTGGTGCGTCTTTTGGTCATTCATGCCCTGATATAGAATCTCATGCCAGTTTCAGATTCATCGACCGTACATTCATCGGGAGGAAGTATCTGGGTCGCCGTCGCTGTCCATCTGCATGTCCACTGCCCGAGATCTGATCGAAGCAGCTGACGTTTGGATCACAACGCGACAGCAGGCACCCGGAATGTCAGGCATCTTCACGGTTCGAAATCCCCTGTATTTCTATCCCCCATTTACACAGCTCGTAACAGCATCATGTGTTCTTCGCCGCGATCATGCTCATCGTAACGCACATCGGCGATCAGCCAGACGAGATGGCCCGGGACAGACCGTACATCGACAAAACGCTAGGCATCCTCGAATTCGGTTCTGCTAGGTATGTCAGGTCTGATCTCTGGTGCCTCGGTCAGTCCTCAGCTGCGCCCAGGTGGCAATCCTCCGGCCGATTCTGGGATATGATCAGCGAGTTCAAGCACTACTTCCAGGAACCGACGCCTGAAGCCGAGATATCTACGACTTCTACTCAAGATGTCGATACCCAGACATTCCTATCAAGTCCCGCGTCCCGTGATGCTCACCTTGAACCGGGTGCTTTTGTTGACTCGCAGACTCTGGAACAGATGGTGGCCTCCGATCCGGTGGGATACACATTGCCCTTCTATGATACCTGGAGTGATCACGAAATGGATGAATATCAGCACCGATCAGGGTGCGTAGTCGCAATCTCCGTCTTTGAGCCTGAACACCAATCCAGAACGCCAGCCTCGCGCAGTGGGAACAAAATCTGAATTCCACCCGGGACCATTGGGACCAAATCTGGCTCGCATACGAGCCCATCAACACCTCCGCTTTCTATTAATGACTCGTTTCCTCAATCCTGCGCGACTTCCGAGATGTTTATCCGGCTCGGACGACGCCCATAGTTATACACCTGATCGTGTTGCCAAGTCACAAACTTGAGTGATCATACCACGTGAATTGAGCTTCAGATTCCCAAATCGGTGCGTGCCTGAATATAAGTGCGCGAATGTATGTGAGGTCAATGGATACATTACAAAATGGACTATACAAATGACTTCAAGAAAAGATGCAACGACAACAAACGACGACAGCTCAGCCCACCACTCCCCCACACTACGATGCGGGGGGCGGAGCCTGCGTCTGGGGCGGGCCCGTCCTCCTCAACGTCACAGGTTTGCCCTCAGCTGGTTTTAAGCGCTTGGCAAGAGACTCCGCATCGCTCGATGCTCCATCATGCGGCCGTTTCGCAGCACCGACAAGTGACAAGCCCGATCCCTCGGCGCTTCCCTTGATGCTCAATTGCGCGGGAGCAGCTGCGTCGCCGCTGCCGCCGGCCGCCGCGGCGTTAGCCGCACCGGCACGCCCTGACGCAGCTGCGCCCCGACCTCTGGCAGCGCCCCGACCCCGGACGTTCCCGCGAGCAGCGGCAGCTGTCGCAGCAGCCGCGGAGGCGGGCTGACCGGACCGCGCCGCTGCTGATTTTGGTGCTGCGGCCGATGCTGCTGTAGGTGCAGGTGCCGACGTCGAAGGTGCCGATGTCGAAGCCGGTGCTGGGGTTGACGTTGAAGCAGATGTCGATGCCGCTGGTGCAGATTGGAGCGCAGCAATCTTGGCCTCGAGTTCTTTGACCTTGTTCTGCGTCCGCACAAGCTGGTTGTCCTTCACTGCCATCTTCATTTTGAGTTCTTGTCGCCCGCGCTCGATCAGCTCCTCCTCGCTTGCTTTGGACTGTGGGGCGGCGGTGTCCTCGCCGGAATTCGCTGCCGCTTGGGCCTCAGCTTTGGCCTTTTCCACCGCAGTTTTGACCTCCTCAGCGTGATGCGCCTCCAGCTTCGTCTGAAGTGCCTGCAATTCTTCCTGGTGCTTCTTCGTGACCTCTTCTGGGGGCGCAGCAGCAGCAGAAGTGGCTGCGGCGAGGTCCGCCTCAGCTTTCTTTAGCCGTTCCACCAACATGCGCATCCGATTGCGAGCCAATTCGTGAGCTTCCTTCAATTTTGCCTCCCCGGCGCGACTTTGCTGTAAATCCCGATCAGCACTCATGTAAACAACATGAACGAGCGCACGCACCTTTTCAGCTTCAACCGCCGCATCACGCGTTTTGACGAGCTCTGCTTTCTCAGTTTCCCAAGTTTGTTTTGCTTCCTCCAATCCAGGGGCAGCTTCTTGAGCTGGTGGAACGGCAGAAGTTATGATCCAATTGGCCTTTTCAGCTAACAACCCATCCCGCTCAGCGGTCAGAGCAGCCTGGATCTCAATCAGATCTGGATGCACCATGCAAGAACTGTCAGCGCGCACCATCGCAGCAGAATTGTCCTCGCTTGGAGTCTCAGTCGGCACGGATTGCGACTGCGCATCCTGCAGAGTCTTAATCTGAGCCTGTAGCGAAGCCACCGTGGCCGTGAGCTCGGCTTTCTCCGCCAACAGGACCGACTTTTCCTTGTTGACAGCCCCGAGGTTTCTCTTGAATCCGTCCATGTTCTTGGCGTTTATATCTCTGTGGTTCCGCATGTTGGCTTCGACTGCTTGGACCTGTTCTCAGTTAGCATCGCTTTCGTCATGCATCTGGAAAACACACGCACTCGAGCTTCCAACTCGGCCACTTTGCCCTCAGCCTCAGTCTTTCTTGCCTCGGCCTCCTCAGCCTCCTTCTTCCATTTGCCGGCCTCGTCCTTCAGGGCCTGAACTTCAGCGGGATCGATACGCTCGTACTTGCTTAACAACCCAGCATTGCGTTCCTGCCATCTGCGGTTCTCCTCTTCAAGCTTGGCAAACTGACTGTTCTTCGCCTCGAGCTCGGCCTGTGCAATTTTGACCTGCTCTTTCGCCGGATTGAGCTGGGCGCTGAGCGTCTTGAGCTGTGATTCGAGCGCTTTCGATCGTTTCAAGTGCGTTTCCGACTCTGCGCGAAGCGTTGCGTTGCTCTCCCGCAAAATGTTGAGCTGGTTGATCCTTTCAAGCAGCTCCGCATGCTGAGCTGCCGACGCAGCACCTTCAACCGCCTTCTCTCGTTCCTGTTGGCCATGAGTCGTTGCCGACAACGAATCAAAACCTACACACCTCGGACAACGTCTTCCTCGTCTCTTCCAGCGTCTTGCTCAGATGCTCAATCTGCGACTTGAGCCGGGTGTTCTCCTGCTTGCTCAACTCGAGTTGCAGATCCACGATCTCCTTCTCCTTACGCAGATATGTCACGACACTTCGTAGCTCAGCCAGCTTCGTCTCCGAGTCTGAATCAGTCGTGGTTGTCGCTGTCGCATCCCCATTCTCCTCCGAGGCAGCCGCAACCGAACGGATCTTGGCCGCCTGTGAGCTCACGCTATCCAGATGCTGATGCAGCAGCGAGTTCTGGCTCGTCAGTTCTTGGCACCGTCGATTCAGATCAGCCACTTCCTTGTCCAGCGCCTCTTTCTGGAGAGCCCAGCTGCCTTCAGACGCAGTCAGCTTCGCAGTCGCTGTCTGCGCAGAAGTCTGCGCGTCCCGAACGGCCGCCTGAGCGGCAACAAGCTGCTTCTTGATTCCGTCTAGAGTCTTGATCGATTCAGCGCGCGCAAGTACTTCCTGGTCTCGCCGGTCCTCCGCAGCCTAAGTCGGCGTTGAGTGGGTAATCGAACATTCTGTCAGGGGAACAAACCTTGGCTCGTTCCTCCTGTAACCTGACATCCCTCTCCAAGGTCGTCCGGTCACTCTCCGAAAGCTTCTCTGACGTCCCAAGATCGACAATGGTGTCCTCGAGCACCTTCTTGTCGTTCGTCCATGCCGTGCGCTCAGTCTCGAACGATTTCTGCAGCTCGTTGTATTTGGCATTCGCTTGGGTAAGCTCCTCTTGCGCAGCTGTCAGCTTCTCCTGTATCGCAGCGAACTCGGACTGGACACGAATCAGGCGACGACCCGCTGACGACTTGCCCACATACCTCGTGCTTGGCGATCTGAGCCTCGGCCGAAGCTCTGTACTCGTCGTGCGTGTTGTTCAGATCCCGGAGGGCAGCTTCGTTCGCTTGGCTGATTTCACGATACTGCTCCACGTGGCTTCTGGCGGTCTTGAGATCCATCTCCGTGACTTTGAGCGCAGATCGAAGTTCCGCGACCTCGGCCTGGAGCTGTTGCTCCCCAATTGATGTGACATCCATGGAACTGTGGCCGGCAGCAGCAGCAGCAGCGGGCCTCCTCTCGTAGACAGACAACTTCTCCTCATTGCCACGTAGTTGGCGTGCCAGTTCCTCAACCCGTTGCTCGAGATGCGTCTTGCTGGTCTCAGCAACGACTAGAGCCTCCCTGGTCTTGGAGAACTCAAGCGCCGCCCTGTCGAGTTTGTTCTGCAGATCCTTGATCTCGATTTCTTTCTGCAGCGTCAGATGGCGAACTGTATCCCGTTCAGTGGACAGCTGGTTCTTCAGGTCCTGAGTTTGGCCCTCGAGCATCTGGAGTTGATTCTCCAGCCTCCTCCGGTCGTTGTCGCCGGACCGCTCCAAGTCATTATGCATCTTCTGAACGTTTGTCATCAAGTCGGACAGATGCGAACGTTCCATGGCGAGTGTGCGGTTCTCCTCGACAAGACGCCCTTGAACACCCTGTCATGATGAGCTTGAGAGACCATGATGCAGATTGGATGACACGTACCTCCCAGATCTTCTTTTCTGCTCTGAGATTCGCACACTCATTACGTAATTGCTCGATCCGGCCGGTGGCAACTTGAAGATCTTCAGTCGCACGCCCACATTCGATATCAACTCGTGTCCACTGATCGAACAATTGTTGATTCCGTTTTGTCATGTCGTCCATTTCCCGGCTGTGTGTGGCGACTTGTTCTTGGCTCATCCGCTGGCGTTCTGGGGAACGAATGAACGCTGCAACGACAGAAATGTGTGCGACTCACCAGATAGGTATTCGATCTTCGCATTTGCCTTGGCAAGCTGAGTCTGCAGCTGACCGGACTCACGCTGCATCTTGTGCAAGTCTTCGCGCAGTCGCGAGGAGTCAACCCCCATCTCTGTTCGATAGACATCGAACTGGTTCTGCACCTCCACAAGCTCCTTGGCCATGTCGCTCGCATTCGGAGGAAGACTGTCGCCAAACCCGTTCTCATGAGTGACGGATCCGTTGGTCAGCACGCCAGCAGCGGGTGGGACACCACCCCGTTCGTGTCGGGCCAGCATGGCCTTGAGAGTGTCCCGTTCTTTGACGTAAGCCTGGATGATCGTGTCAGAGCTACTCTTTTGCCTTTCGAGTTGCTCCGCAAGCTCTTGCATGGCTTCGTGGGCCTCGCGCACTGCTTCAGTCTGCTCGCGATCCAAAACGTCCCTATACTCGCGTTCCTCACTCTCCATCTTGTCGCCCAGTTCCCGCACAACCCGCAAAAGCTTCTGGTTCTGCTCTTGCAGCTCAGGGATTGATTGGAATAGGACAAGGCTGTTCGTGATGACCCCGTCGATCGTATCTGGGGGTGCGGCGGCAAGCATCTCCAGGTCTTCGTCGCTGGGAATGGACGGATCCTGCACACGGCCGATTTCGCGCAGGAGATGTTTCACCTGGCGGCCCAGATCAGTCAGCTGCTGTTGGAGCAGTTCATTCTCCCGCGTCGATTGGGCCAGCTTCTGCGAGCTGTCTTGAGCAGCTGCGCTTTCGTTGTCCCGGTCCGCGATAGCAATGGCGAGTTGCGATGCCAAATGGGCTGCTTCGGATTGCAGACGCTGGTACTCGGTGCGCTGTTGACTTAACACAGGCGCCTGGGTCAAATGAGCCAAGATGTTATCAGGAAAAGTCGATGAACTTACACGCTCTTCGATTTGGGTGAGAACTGCAGAGAGAGTTTCGTCCATACGTTCGTACTCGGTACACTTCCTGCTGTATTCTTCCTGCAGTCGAACATAGTCGGTGTACACCTCAGTGAAAGTCTTGCCGCTCTTCTGTGCCTTGCTGACCATCGCCACCGTCGGACTGAGACCCATCAGCCCGTCGACGGTCATATCCATGCTAGGCACAGGTAAGTCTCCACGGCCCATCCGGTTCATCACCTCCTCCAATTGCTCCAGGCGTTTCTCGGCATCCTCGCGGGCTCTCCTCTCCAGCTCTACCTCCTCCTTCAAAGCCGCCTCTCTCCTCTCCGACTTTTCACCCACGCCAGCCCATTCCCGCTCGATGCTATCCACGATCTCCTTCGCCTTGGACTCGCGCTCCTCCATCATAGCCACCAGGCGACGCAGTCCGCTGGCTTCGCTCGCATACGTCGCTTCTTGCTCAGCGAGTTTGCCGGTCAGGTTCTGCACTTTCTCGAGTGCTTGAGTGAGCTGGTGACTTTGGGCTGTGTGCGAGGACTGCAGAGCTTTCAGAGATGCGTGAGTGGATGCATGCGTCTGAGTCAGTGCATCAAAGCTGGCTTGCAGAGTGACGAGTTCCGCATGACGGGCTCTTCGTTGCTTCGCGTGCTCTTCTGACTGTGTAGTCAGGTCATTGTTGGCGCGCTCGGCTTCAGCGGTCTTGTGCTCCAGGTGTTGGCGCAGGGTTTCGATTTGGAACTGGCAAGGTGTTGGAGCCTCGGAACACAGAGATAAGCACGAGTCAGAACACGCACCTTGTTGGATGTTTCCGAAGACTTGAGCTCACGCAGTTCGCTTTCGAGCTTCTGGTGCTCTTGTCGGGCCTCTTTCAGGTTCGTGCGGAGGGTCTGAACCTCCTCTGAGAACTGGTTAGGCGAAAAGTGACAGATCGCACTGGCTACGCACCATCCCGTTGTGTGCTGTCCTGCTTCAGCCGGCTGATCACACCAATGAGGTCGCGTTTCTCTCGTTCGGTGTCATCAATGCGATGCTTCAGAGAATCCACTTCGGTCGTCGAGGTCGTCTGTGATCTTGAAAGAGCAGAAACCTGATTCTTCAGTGCCGTTTGGGAAGTTACTGCACATTCCGTCAGCCACACGGTACCGCACACACGAAACGGCGAGCCACCCACAAAGTTCGTCTCTCTGCGCCTGCACCTCTTTGAGTTCTTTCTGCACAGATTCAACAGAAGTCTCAGAGTCCCTTGCGGCCGACTCCTTGTCCTGCAGCGCCTGGTCCAACTCAACCTCCATCCTCTCCACCACTGCGTGCTCCTCATCGCGTGCCTGCAGCGCTGACTCGACCTGCGCCGCAAGGTCAACGAGCCGCCGGTACAGCTCCGTGATGCTCTCCGCTGTGGGAGCCGAAATATTTGTGTCGGGCAGAAGACTGGAAAGTACGTCGATGTCGACGTCCGGAGGTACGGAGACAGAGAGGTGGGTCTCCTCTGCGGTCCCTGAGGTAGAGGCAACATCGTTGTCAGTGGTTTCGGCCGCCGCCGCTGCAGCTGCCTTGCTTTTTCGACGCGTCTTCATCATGATTCTAACCCCGTCCCGACCGAGAGGGTGTCAATAAACGGAAGAGGCGCGGCGTATGTGCGCTTGTTTGGCTGAGGCGCCTCAATTGTTCGTCATTCAGACTCCTCATTCAGGTTTCTATATAATCGTCTATGCAGTAGAATAGCTGAACGTGGTTATGCTATCTGCTTGTTACTGACTTCAAGACTCAGTGGCCATTGACGTCGAAAACAAGATGATCATCATGGCCGCCTTCGGCGTTGGGCACATAGCCCTCTTGAGGGAGACCTGACTCGTCCAGCCCCTCTGCCGCCTCGATGATTTCGTACAGCCTTGACGCAATCTCAGGAGGAGGCACCCGTCCGCTCAGAATGTCGCGAACAGGCACAACGGTGCCATAAAAGTCGCGGTTCGCATCCTTGCGTTCAATAAGCATGGTCCCTTCGAGCGACACGCCCGCGAACAGCCCTACAAACGGAGAATCGCGGGTGAGATGTGTGGGGCCCAGTAGTCGATTACGCACCTTTAGATTTGGAATACGAGAACATGGGTGTCGGCATCGATGCAATGGCCGCCTGAACACTCCCGCCAGTCCCGATAGGCCCTGCCGCCGCACTGATGTTCCCCCCGATAGTCACATTCCCTCCCTGCGAGAACGCCTGCACGGCCTCCTCGTCCCTCAGCACAATCACAAAGTCCGTTATGTCCGCGCCGATTTGCAGTCCCCAGCCCAAGCCGCCGGTTGCGATGCACGATGGAGCGGACCACGATCCGTCGGGCAGCCGAGCAATGACGATTCCCGAGCCTGCTTTGCCCGAGAAAACGAAGCCTGCTTTGAGAACTTGGAAGATGGCGAGACCTGTCGTCCGGGGTTAGTCAGTGATCAGCGCACTGGATGGCCCAATTAGGAGAACCAGGACGGAATTCACCTCGAGCGTTCTGGAGGACAGATTTCGGTATGGAGTTCAGGGCCGACTCGGGTCGATCGGGGTCAGCTGTGCACACGTCAGTCTCAACAGATCCCACCTGTCTGAGCGGTGCACGACATGGAACCTACCTACCCAAGAAGCTGTCCAGAATCTTGGCCGCCTTCTCTGCTTCGCCAGGGAGACTGAACCCTTGCGCGAATTCACGCGATCCACTGGCGATCTTCTGTCCACTGGTCTGTGCAAACGCCGTCGCCTGGACCCCTACTTTCTGTGCACTCGACTTGAATTTCTCGAGGAAGGACATGGTAAGAGGGAGGTAAGCTGGGTGCCAAGGCAGCTGTGGCTATGACATAGGGGATAAAGTTTGATAAGATCCGATAAGATAAGATAAATGTTACTTCAGACAGGACGCAACCGCTTTGAGCAAAAGTTGTCATGAATTTGCCTTTCACGATGATTACACAATAAATAAATGTATTATTAATCCGACTCTCAGCGCTCAGCCCGTGCTCTGGCAGCCACCATACTTGGCTGCAGCGAGGATACAGTCCAGGGCAGCCTGATCGGTATACCCGTTGATGACCATGCCTCCTTGACTCGGGGTCCACCAGAGATTGCCTGCTTCTGCGACAGAGTCCGTCGCGTAGCTAGACGGGATGTGTCAACACGTCTCCAAAGACTCAATCCAAAGTGCTCACTGGTAAACACCACTGTATTGAGCGAAGACCTTGTTGAAGTATTTGTGGTATACCCGGTTCGTGCTGTCGTTGGCGGTATCGATGTAGTACTGGATAGCCCCGGTCAAATCATGTTTAACAGAAAGAGTGGATAGGACCCACTTGGAGGTGCTTCATGAAGATGCCCTTGAAAACCTGGGGATCGGGATTGCTGCTGGAACAGGCCTTGTATTGAGACGCAGAGATGTCGCAGCTTTCACGAATGATCCCATTCGGTGCAACAAAGTCCGTTCCAGAAAATACAGCATCGATCGTTTGCTCAGCGATATCAAGCAGGGTGTGGTTGGTCCGTCCCCTGTAAATCGTCAGTCTCGGCATCCACACCCGAAGCAAAAAGGCTGACGTCGCTACGTAGAGGCCGGCCAGTCCAGCAGCGATAACACCCTACATTGCTTTAGTGACAAGTTGAGAAAAGACGGTGAAGACGGACCTGGTTGTAAGTCCAAAGGCCTTGGTCAACAGAACACTGGCCGGTTTTGGTGTTGACTTGGATGCCGTCGTACCAGATACCGTCAGAACGGCGAGCACCGGAGGTCTCCAACCAAGCCCAGACCTTGACAGCGACTTAGGCAACGATAACTGCATGGGAGAGCTGGCCAGACTCACTCGTTTGGCATCATTCAAGTATTGGTCACCTCCGACTGTGTTGTACATGGTGGCTGACGTCAGGAGGAAGAGACCATTCGTAATCGTGTTCTTGTACGTGCAATCGCTGGGGAATCGTTCAGTCAAGGTGTTTCGAAAGCACCATATCGAACTTGCCCGTTCCAGCAAACTCCGCCACCGCAAACACTGGACCCTGCCAGTCGTCAGTCCTCATCAATATCTGGCAGCTGATAACACTCACAAGTAACGCTGACACTCTGTTGGATCCCGGAACCGAATGCCTGTGACCAGGTTGGCCGGAGAGGGTGTGCAACGAGTATGCACTCACATAGAAATCACTCGGATGCGGGTCAGAAGTGCTGCCAATCGAAGCCTTGTACTGGCCAACTTTGATGAACCTGTCGGACGTATAAGAACCACGCGACTAGCAGCGAAACGAGACCGACATGAGCGCTGTCCACAATGCATCGTCCCGGGATTCTAGGTTCTGGTCAGCGACAATACGTGACATCGCAATCCGGAGTGACTGACTGCCGAAGTAGGTATCCCATCCCGCGGGAGGCGCAGTCTGACCGCCGCCAGGGTATGGCCCAGCAACTGGAGGCACGATCAGTAGAGACGACAACCATGGCACTTGCACGAACTTTGATTGAAAATGTCGTAGGTCTTGTCTCTTTGAGGCGGTCAGTATCAACACCAGTCGCAATGAAATGAAGAGTACCCAGTGGCCCAGACGTAGTTCTGTTCTCGGTCAGCCCCAGGGCGTGAAACGAACTCAGTCAACTTACATAGAGAGTCTCCCACTTGTTCTACCTGGACGTCAGTGATCTGAGAGCGGACACAGAAGAATCAACTCACAGCATCGGTCCACTCGCGATCAGCATCATCGGGCTCTGAGATCCAAACACCTCCACCAAGGTCGTTTGGTGGCCTAAACACGACGGGATCGTAAGCGAAAGTAAGGAGTCTCGAGCTCTACTCACGCCACGTAATAGGTCATCATTTGGTCGAGGTGTTTCTAAGAAACGGATGAGAGAGGCAAACGAGGCAGGTCAATCGGCGCTACCTTGGCAACACTCTGGAATTAAAGCGTGAGTCCTGAGATACGGTCCGAAGGGTGAGCAACTCACGTAGATCGAGGGACATGAGGTTGGGCCAGAGAACGTCGTAGTGGTTGGCGGAGGCGGCGCCTGAGTTGTTGTCGGCGGCGGCGGCGGCGCACTCGTAGTAGTCGGTCCGCTTGGAGGAGACGAGCCATGGGCGCAAGCTCCAGGAGGACTAAGACCGGGTTCAGACTTGGAAACATCACGGCGCTGCCACAGCTCACCAATAGCCATATGGGCAAGACCAGGAGCAAAGGCCCCCATCGGTGACACCGGAAAGAGCGACGCCTGTGGCAGAGGCGGTGTATGCAGGGAGAACAGGCTGCGGACCTTGGAGGTCGCAATTGCACACGTGCATTGGGCACATGCCGAAACCGCAAGCGAAGCTGCACAATCCTCCGAGGTTGGGATCAGACTTGGCACTGCCCTTGGTACAGACATTGGGATTGAACGGTGAGAAGCTGGGCGTGGTCAAAGGGTGCTTCACAGTGTCGCAAGCTGTAGTCGGGCAGTAGCTAGGGCTGTTTGAGAGGCGGAAGCAGTGCGCACATGAATGGCATACCCATAGGTGCAATCGAACGAGCAGAGTCCTCCGTAGCTGGCATCCATGCCAGCGGCGGGATATCCGACAGTCGTAGTAGGTGGCGGCTTGGCCGGCTGGATACCCATTTGAGTGCAGATGCACGACCCGTAAGGACAATATCCGTATTTGCACGAGAAGTTACACAGGCCCTGGAAGTTACCCACCTGATACGGCGGTCAGAATAGATGACATGGATGAGAGCCAGAGCACATACACTGGTCCCGGCGATGCAAGTGGCAGAGGTGTCGTAGATTGACCACACGGGAGGAGCGACTGTTCCGGAGCCAGTAGCACTGCCGACCCAGGCATTGAAGTTGTTCAGCCCATTATGGCACACGGTGGTGATCGATTGGCCAGTGACGACCATTCCAGCGACGTTAACCTGCACAGTTCCCAGATTGCCCCCGTAAGCGGCACTGCCACGGTAGATACCAACTCCGCCATACGGCCTCTTGTCCCACTGTGCTGGGATGGAGTTCCCGCCAACAGTAACAGTCGGTGCGACCTCAGCATTGAGCAGCGCCGCGAAATAGATTTTGTCTTGGAGCATCTGCGACGGCGGATATTCAACTTGCAGTTGCGCAGCCACGTCGCCAGTCGTCCCCCCATCTCCGCAGGCAGCAGCGGGCGAGAGCCGGAACCAGGCGGTCAACAACTGTTGCGAGGCCGCAGCTTTGCCGGTTTTATACGTCTGGATGAGGTACCTGTGAAATAAGTCTCAACACGAAGCGCAACAAAGACGAAGGTCTCCAACGAACGGGAGGAAAGTAGTCCAGCCGGTGTGAGGCATCCCATCAACATAGTTGAACGGTGCCTTGCCGATGGTGAAAGCGTCATAGGAAGTGGGGTTCAACGGACCTACGGACAACGATGATCAGCTGGAGGAGCAAGGTGAACGGGACGAAACGGCGCACCAATGTAGTGGGACTCTCCAAAGTCGTTCCACGAGATGATCTCCACAAAGTCGGGGCGACTGTAAAAGACCTGGTCCCATCGATCGAACCAAAGAGTGTCTCCATTCCACAACCAGTTCTTGCCATAGCCAGGGAGATTCGTGTAGAACCAAGGTGAAACTATGAGTTGGTGAGCACGGTCACGATCTCAATCACTGTTCAGGCTGACCGGGCATCATGTAATTCGCACCGACCGGGCGATTAGCGATGTCATCACCCTCGAACTGTGATGCAATGAGATCGACGTGAAGATGAGAGGCTGAGGGCAACGAACCAGAAGGTACGACGCGTCCGGGAACGTATTCATGGGCTGAGGTCCAACTGGCCATGCCGCCCAGCTGAACAGACCATCTGCCTGTCCGACTGCTCAGATCGTATTCGCGTCAGATCGCGAAACACAAACGGACCTGACCATAGCTCCAAGCCTCTTTCGCACTGACAGCCGACCAATCAGGGATCTTGGCGACATCAGTTGACCGAGACAGACTACGAGGAAGAGGAACGCACGAAATAACAACCAGTAACACTTTTGATGTGCGTCCAGTCCGCGTGGTTGGCGTCGCCTGCGAAGGTGGAGACCATAGGACTGCTGCCCCGCTTGTAATAACGCGCGTTGCCGATCCACGGAGTGAGCGTGTCGAGAACCTGCTGCTGCGTCCAAGGTCCGTTGCCGCCGTAGTCGAAGGAGAAGAACAGGTTGAAGCCAGTGCTCTGCGCGGCTGCGAACGCGTTGCTGAGCTGGCTGTTATGCGGATCTCCCACAGCCATGTTGATCACGAAGGCGTCGAGCTGCATGGCTTGAGCGGCCTTCATGTCGTTAACCCAGTCGTTGACGCCCCATGAACCCGTATTGGTGATCTAGTGACCAGGTGAGCGACGCGCGGACGTATGGGATCGACTCGCGTACCATGAAGTGGGCAAACACGGCGGCGGCATCCACGACCTTGAGAGGCGCAAGCAGCATCGCTGCCGCGAGCGTGAAAACTCGCATCGTATGTCGAATGGGAGTGCTCGGGATTCTGATTTTTTCATGATAGTATGGCCTCGTTTTATAGTGCTCTCGCCTGCGGATGCAAAATTTTGATTGAGGTCGGAGACTCAAGCAAGATTTGACCGTGGGAAGTTCGCGAGAATCAGGTACGCGATCGCTACATTATCTTACGCGGTCGCAAATTGAGTTGTTTGCGCTGATTCCTTCAGCACGATTGCAACAAGTGGGCAAACGGCCAAATACTCACTGGGCGCATGCGATCACTGCCCGTCCTCATCCTGCAGCCTGCGGTGGCCTGGCGTTCATTCAGGCACGAAGATAAGATGCGCACCGATACCGGGATATAGCGGCTCCCAAAAGCGCCAGCCGTCGCAGTAGGATTCCCGCTTGAACAAACGCACACGCTTAGTCAAGATATCTTCAAAATGACGCGAGCGCGGCGCGCGCCATCTGAAACGCGCGATCACCTGCTTCAGTGTTCCCTTGATGAACAATTTGGTCGCTGCGACTCTAGCCTAGCAGAGATCAATGGCTAGAATGGAGGCGTGTGGACAATGGGCAGATCTTGTCTCGTCTGTGCCTGATAACGAGAGCCAGCGGACAAGATCGGATAAACGAGGACGCAGAGCCGTGTCTGATTAATGCCGGGCGAATTCAAGAGTCTCGGTAGGTCTCGGTATGACTGTGTATGTTTTAGATTTAGACCTGGATTTGCAAAGTTCGGAAGAGGTGCCCTCAGCCGGGGACTGTGCGAGGAACAACGGGTGCTGTGTCTTGTCGGTTACATACATACATCGTTGATCAAATTTGTATTGAGTTTCAGATGCAACAGATCCAATTCACGAAAAGTACTTGTCCCAGAAAGTCGACGAGCCGTTCGTGGGAGCCACAGCTTCGACACCCAAGAGACGCATCACAAGACTGTAGATCTGCACGTTCTCAAAAGGGTCCATGACATAAACATCGTCTGCAGTCGAGTGCCAGCCGACATTCGGGTTTGACAAAAGCCGGCGTGACAGAGTGGTCTCCCTCCGCTGGTGGAGAATCTTTACGACCGACGAGAAGGGCCCGTGTGCAACAAACATGGCCTGCATTTCTTTGGCGTGGTTGTCATATCCATGACTCTGGTGCCAAATCAGGATAGCTTGTCGGGCAAGGAGTAAGGACACGTACTCCCTTGCTCATCGCGGCATTTTCTTCGCCATGGTTCGTGAGCACATATCCGATCTTTGGAACCACGTATATTGGCGCAATACGTTCGTTGTGCGAAAAATGCCATCGTTCGGACATCGTATCACGTGTGAACACCTCAAACTTCCCGTTGCTCTTGGCAGCAGCCGCTTCAAGTAGGAGCAGGTTGTGGGTAGCATTGACTTTCTCGTTAAACCAGAGACCCATCGCTGGCCAGCCGTCCTCGTGTTCGATGGCGGCGTAAGCCTCCTTGCCAATGATGTCGTCCATGTAGATCAGCTCGGGGTGGCTCGTATCAGTCATCCCATGGTCAGAAACAAACACCACATCGACGATGTCTGTGAGGTTCCTCTCCTCCAGCGCTGTGTGTAGATTCTTCGCAAACAAGTCCACTTGCTCAAGGGTTATCTGGACGATTTCTGGTTCAACGAACATAGCCGACAACTCGAAGGGTAGCACTTACATTCACCAGCTTGGACATGGGTCCCGCTTTATGGCCTGCTTGATCCAAGGAAGGCTCATAAGCTTCAGGAGGTGAGAACTCCAGCTAGTGGCATGGATAATCGGAAAGACAAACCCATGAGAAGTTGGGGACGCTCCTCTAGAGGCAAGTCAATCCAGCGCACGAGCTGGTCTAGCTTCTCTTGCAAGGGCACATGATCCTGTCCCGCACGACTTGAGTTCAGTTGGCTGGAGGTCCAGTATGGGACACACCTTCCATGGAACAAAGTACGTAGAGGTTGCCCCTGATGTCGTTTTAGGCGGGCCTGGCCTGTGCACGACTTAGCAGGGTCTCAGGATCAACGAAGCGCAACTCGACGAACCACATGAGATTAGCGGTGATGATGTTCGACTTTCCGGCCGTTTCCCACATCTGAAAAGAATAGTAGAAGCGCTTCAATCATCTCATCGCCGGGACTCACTGGCTCCCCTAGCCACCATCGAGACACCCAGGCCGAAGAGATTCTATTGTAGTGGAATTCGGTTTCCGTAATCGGGTCCCAAAAGTTCTGTGTGGACGAGATTTACGGGTGACTGAGTGCGGAGACGAGATGGACGACACACGTTTCCAACGATTCCGTTCGACTCCGCATAAAGGCCCGTCCTATAACGCGTTCTAAGTGAGAGTCCAAATGCAAGCGTGGCCCATACATACATCAAGGCCCAGTGATTACTAGAAAAGAGCCGACGAAGAAGGTTAGGACTGCGGCGTGTACGATATACGCTGCTTACTCACGGGAACGTTAATGTCTGCACCAAGGGCACATGAGGCGGGCGGTGCGGCAGGAGCAAGTGACTCACAGGGAAGATAGGAATGAGAGATTTGGCACGCAAGCCCTGCTTGCTGATATCCAATAAATGTGGTGTAAGCCCACGGTCCAGATAATCCGCTCTGGCAATTACGTGGTGATATTGACAACGAGGCGGAGAGTAGACGCGTCAGCGACGCGAGGTACGCGGACGCTCACCTTAGCCCGTCAATAGAAACAATCAGAACCGTCCTCCTGAAATCGTGTGTGCCATTAGACCGTAGCTCGTCTCCGTGGAAGGCCAAATTAGGATGCGCAGGGATTCTTGGCGATCCTTGAGGCGGAGAGAGGAGGAATGAGCGGGCAAATGCCCCTGTAGCGAGTAGGACAATGAGACTGATAGCAGCGCAGAGGATCCGCTTCCGCGACCAGGGCCTTGAAATCGAATCCGTTTTGGATGGGTCTGCATCAGGACTGTGTAGGGACCACTGCTTGTCGGCCAGTGTGTCGTCGGGGTCAGAGAGAAGACCTTTACGCTCCTCGCGTGTACCGACATGCCTGGTAGCATCGGCTTTCCGCGAGGAAGAGGCTGGATACGATACCGAGCTCATGGTTTCGTTTCAGGAGCTATACTATGGAAACCCGGAAGGCCCTGCTCAATAACCGAGACGGCTGACAGTGATGGCGTGATATGGGGTCCCGCTCACCAAATTGTAGACTTAGACATCGGTAATATAGTTTTGTAGACAACTGTGATCATTAAGTAGCATGCTGATCCGACTCAGTCATAGTCAGTCAGAGTCATAGTATTATAATACACACGGTTACCGTGAACTGTTTGCCAGGACGTTGACAGGTGGCTGTGCCTGTCATTGTTTCTGTTGTCCCCCAGCGCCCGTCATTGTTCTCTCAAAGTGTTACCTTGCGGCTTAGTTCAAGATGGGTGGGGAGCACGGCCACGCGGCGGGGTGCAGCCTTTGTCCGTTTGTGAATTCGCGACGGACAGTGGTGGGCGCCCCGTCACTCCCGCCATAGCCGTCACAGCAAGGGCTGCCCACCGCCTGTCTCGGTGCAAAGCAAACCGTGATTGGCAGTGGCCGCTGTCTGTCCGTGAGTTCACAACATACCACAGTGGATAATCTCGAACTGCACGAGAAGAGCCCCACTTCTTTCTTCTGGAACCGCTGACCCCGAACCCGCAGCAAAAACCTGCTGCGATTCGTGCTGTGCGATGCTGCGACAATATTTTTGACGGGGGCAGGCTGCATGACCCAATGGGCTCAAGTTGTATCCCCATCTCTCCCACAATGCCACGAACGGGACGTTTACTGATTCAATGCAGGTCACTTGCCCACCCTGTTTTCCCAGCATCCTAGCGGCGAGCGTATATATAACACACCCACCGGGGGCCTACTAGTGCACTCCCACCACTCTCAGCGCCGCAATCAGTCCAATGGTGCAACCACAAGAAGTTGATGTTATCGTCGCGGGGGGCGGGCCTGGGGGCTGTGTCGTCGCTGGCCGTCTCGCGGTTGCTGATCCCTCCCTCAAAGTCATGCTCATCGAAGGTGCCTGCCTCGACTCCTCCCGTCGTGTGCCAGCCGGTCTCTGATGCACACACTCACAGGGGGTGCTAACAACAGAGACGATCCCTGGGTAAGCTCGAGTGGCCGATCTGCGGCGCAGGATTCTGAATATCTTGTGTTCAAGTCTACCGGTCCGTCGTTCATGACCCACGCTGCTTCGTTCCCTCGCACTCACCGCGGATCCGGATCGCAGACCGGGCATCTACGTCCGCAACATGCAGCGCAACGGCATGTAAGTGATCCTGACCGCGTTACCCGGGCCTTCAGTGGGCTGACCGGGCCACAGAAACGACAAGGCCACGTTCTACATCGACACGAAGGCCTCGTCATATCTCCGCGGAAGACAGAGCATTGTCCCGTGCGTGCCCCAGTTCTTTTTTTTCGCTCGGTGATGTGAGTGACCGGATTTTGTTCGATCCAGACGCGCGAACATCCTCGGTGTGTAGACCACCGCCTCGTGGAATATTCCTCTCACAGTTCCGTGCGACCAGGCGGAGGGAGCAGGTGAGAATGCCATTCTTCGATGAGCCCCGCAGAGATAACCCGAACCCCCGTAGTGTTAATTTCCAGGTCAGTCAGTCGGCAAACTCGGGCAGTACAGTCGAGTTCACATGACTTAATGTTTCTAGATTTACACAAGGGTGAGTTCAATTGTGTTTTTGTTTTGCTCTGGCTAATTTGGGTCTCATGGCTCAACGCAGGCATCCGCCTCCGATTGGGGTGATTTCTGCTCGTTTAGCTCAGCGTTCTTCGAAGTTGACAGGTTTCAGATGACTTCAAATCCGAGGGATGGACTGCGAAAGGTGCGGTGAAGCGGTCCACTTTGAACATTGCTGATTAAGCAACCTCACCAGATCTACTGCCTTTGATGAAACAGGTATTGGCAGTTATGACGTAGCAAGCAGCTTGGTACACAGCCTGTCATGTGTCTAATCTCGGATCATGTGATTCTACTTAAATACTATTTTTGTTGTGTTGCATCCTTAGTCTTCCTGCCCCTATCAGGCTTGACTGAGGACTTAATGATCAAAGCTGTCTACAAAACTATATTACCAATGTCTAAGTCTACAATTCGAGGAGCAGGACCCCAGATCACACCATCACTGTCAGCTGTCCCGGTTATTGAGCAGGCCGTCTCGGTTATTGAGCAGGGCCTTCCGGGTTTCCATACTATACTGACTTGGGTGGCGATGAGTCTGGATCTGACAGCACATGATGGCATCACGACAGTCTGCACTGATGATAATGTGCGAGGGCCAAAAGTAGCAAGGAACGAGCACAAGCCACCCTTCAAATGATTTGCTTTATCCCTACGGATAAATATGTCTTGAAGACCGATATGCAATCCTCTCCAGAGCCTCGGGATGTTGTGAAGTCGATGTTATTAGATTGGGCTTTTCTAAAAGGGTCAAAGCAAGCAGGATTAAGTGGTTCCAATATGGCCCGGGAGACGGGAGAAACGACTTCTGTGTTCTATATTGTGTGAGTGTTCGTCATCTTAATAGATGAGTATTAAAGTAACCCAGCTGTCGCTTTGAGAGAGTGAGCCTTACTGTTGCCATCACGGCACTTGGCGAGCTCTGATGATTGACTAGAAAGCGTCGCCCTTGGCGACCGAAAGCCTTGCTTGAGTGAGACACATACCGTCGTCCATAAGGGTCAAGGTCTGTTTTAGGAAAGTGCGATCATGATCCAATGCTGGGGTCCAGTGAGTGATCTCCAGTCACACCGAGGCCCCTCCTCGGTGTGTCATTCGTTGTTAGTCATCGCCTGGTTATCTCTTCATCCCATCGTTATTTGTCGCGTCGCGCTTGGACCAGCGCGCTCTATGTGTTCTTTGTGTGTACGGCTACAACCTCTCATTCATATATATCCCAGTTAAATATGTACACACCCTCTGTGCTCGAACCCGATGAGAATTTTACAACTCTAATTACCCCTCCGTAAAACACGACCCTATCACTTTTCAAGGGCAAGGTCTGATTTACCCACGGAAGAACGCGAAGACCCCTGCACCGACTCTCCCCCTCCTCCACAGACGATGGGCCATTGCGATGGCTGCTCAAGCGCTCACAGCTTGCCCGCCGTATCAAGCGCTCAACGACAAGGGTGTCAAGAACCCCAAACCGGTCTTTTTGACGCGCGACAAGTCAAACTCACGTCATGACCTCAGATTAGCCAACAGGCAATGCTTTTTCCTCTAAAGCATTGGTCCTAGGATCTCTCAACATACTAATATTTACTGTACAATGAAAAAAAAATCACTCTGCAGCGCGAAATTACTAGAAGCCGTCGTTGCCATCGACGACGACGGCGCTCACTGTACCGAAAAATGTCTCCCGATATCACCTCACTAAGCAGATATGAGGCATAGGGTCACGGAGTGCCAGGACCCCCAGCACTTAGTAAATTTCCATCATCAAGATAGACCTTGACCCTTATGGACGACGGTAGACACAATGAAATTTATGCCGCAGACCAGTAACTACATTACATTGTACAATCACACTTTCTTCTTCTTTTTCAGGCTCTCGTTCATCTCAGGCACTGCACGGCGCTTCCTTGGGCTCGGGGGCACAGCAACCTTTGCCTCGATGATACGGAGCTTCACAATATCTAGTGAGAGCTTGTAACCGTTCAAGGCACGAACATGAAGTGTACGAGCGAAAAATGGAGAAGCGTGCTTGATGGGGACGCATGGTGTACATCACGAGTGCGTCGGAAGAGCGCGGAACACTGCCATCGGATCAACATGGCCATCACAAAAGAATTATGAGTGTGGAGAGTGCCTTGACTAGAAAGCGTTGGCTCTGCCAACATTATGCCTTGCTTGCTAATTAAATCCATATGATCAAATTTATATACAATAAAACAAGTAAAATACCAGTGCAGTTGTAACTAAGCGCCAGATGCTCTCGTCTTCTTCTTCAGGCTCTTGTCCATATCAGGCATTGCTGGCAGAAACTAGATGAGGCAAGACAACATCATGCAGTGTACGCGCTTGTGTGCGCAATGGTGGCATGTGAAGCAGCGCTGTTAGAGAGTGACACGAGCAGAAACAAAAACAGCCCACAGGTGGGTGCACACTGCAAAAGAGAGTCATCATCATGCATGGAACTATAAATTACACTGCTTTGCCGCGCTATAATGCCAGCAACAGCAGGGAGCGTAAGTACAAAGATAAGAGTGAAGAGTGAATGAGACCATGACATACTCAAGACGAAGGTAAAATTGATCGGATCAGATGCTGGAACAGAGTCCTCTGATTGATGTCATCATTGATGGGATCTGATTGATGCACGAATTTAGGGTCTGGAGAAGCCTTGACAAGCAAGGCAACAAGCAAGGCAATTTCGACGATGATCGTTTCTCGTCGCGCACTCTCACAGCCTGCAGTGTTAGGTCGTTTTGTGCCCTCTTGACTTCAATTCAGATGCAAATACCCTTGACGTTATCATCCCGCGGCTCATCTCCGGCCAAACTGGTCTCGTTGTCTTGAAGCGCAGCAACAGCAATCAGCCAGGATGATCGCACATTGCACTTGCGGAGACCGCCGTTTGTTCGCGCGTATACATATGCAGCAACGGCCCTCATTATACCGAGGAATAGCCTGGGTTAGCCAAGCTTAGCAAGCCCTTTCACTTCTTTCGGAGCTTTTTGCTGACTCCAAATTTAGCGCGCCGCGTTCAACTGACCTCCTGCGAAGACTTAAATATGGACATATCGATCAATAACGGATCCTGATCCATTTTAGACTTGTCAACGAGTCACTCGTCCGGGAATTTACCGCCTGAGCGGCCCAGTGACCTGATGCACTGCGCCCGGACATCGAGGCAGGAGCGCGCGTCCTTCTGGATGGCAATGCATCGAGAGCCGGAAGGCCCTTCAGCCTTCCTCGTGATACAGCCGACAAATCTCCTTGGCGTCCATGTTTTGCCTTTGACTACGTCGTCCGAGAGGTCCGACCCGTATAAAATGTGGGGAGAGAGAACGAGAACACCAGCTTCCAAGTCTTCAAAGTTGCGATGTTCCCTACTACTGCTCTCTTCGCTCTCTGTCTCGCTGCTGTGTCTCAGGCGCAGCAGATCGGCACTCTGCAATCGGAAGTACACCCGACTCTCACCACGCAGCAGTGCACAGCCGGCGGAAGCTGCACCACTTCGCAGAATGCGGTCGTTCTCGACTCGAACTGGCGCTGGACTCACTCTACGTCGTCAGCCACCAACTGCTACACCGGCAACACCTGGAACGCCGCTCTCTGCCCCGACGCCACGACCTGTGCGCAGAACTGCGCTCTCGACGGCGCCAACTACCAGGGCACCTACGGAGTGTCCACCTCCGGCAATGCTCTGACGCTCAAGTTCCTCACTGGTAGGTCTTTCCGTGGGACCTCGCGAGCGTTGCTGACAATTGGGCAAGGTTCCAACGTCGGCAGCCGAGTGTACCTGATGGCGGACAACACCCACTACGAGATGTTCCAATTGCTCAACCAGGAGTTCACCTTCACCGTCGATGCCTCGCAGCTCGGCTGTGGTCTCAACGGCGCGCTCTACTTGACCGAGATGGATGCCGACGGTGGTGTGTCTCGCTTCCCGAACAACAAGGCCGGTGCCCAGTACGGAACCGGCTACTGTGACGCGCAGTGCCCTCAAGATCTCAAGTTCATCAACGGATTGGTGCGTTTCCTCTAGCCCAAAATATGGCATTCTCCTCATGAATCTCATGACAGGCCAACTCTGCCAACTGGACGCCGTCTACGAACGACCCCAACACTGGCACTGGTACGATGGGAACCTGCTGTAACGAGATGGACATCTGGGAGGGTGAGTGGACGATTGGATCTTAGTCGCGCCGCAAAAACTCACTCACTTGATTCCAGCCAATAAGTGGGACACTGCCTACACGCCTCACTCGTGCTCTGTCGTCGGCCAGACCATGTGCACTGGTACCAACTGCGGTGCCGGCAGCGACCGCTACAAGGCTCTCTGCGACAAGGATGGTTGCGACTTCAACACCTACCGCTGGGGCGACAGCAGCTTCTTCGGACCTGGTCTCACCATCGACACCACTCAGCCGGTCACCGTCGTCACTCAGTTCCTCACCAACGACAACACCACGACTGGGACGCTGTCCGAGATCCGCCGTCTCTACGTGCAGGGCGGCAAGGTTTTCCAGAACGCTCCTGCCAAGACTCCTGGCCTCACTCAGTTCAACTCGGTTACCGACGCGTTCTGCAACGCGCAGAAGAACATCACCGGAGATACCAACAGCTTCGAGGCCCGCGGCGGTCTTGCAACGATGAGTGCTGCGCTCAAGCGCGGCATGGTTTTGGCGCTCTCGCTCTGGGACGATGACACCGCTGGAATGCTCTGGCTCGACGCTGCCTACCCGACCAACAGCAGCGCCTCTGCTCCCGGTGTAACGCGTGGACCCTGCACCGCCACTTCCGGTGACCCCAAGGTGCGCTCTCTCATCATCTTCCGGTGATCTGGATTGACGAGTATTATCTTTAGACCGTCCAAGCCCAGCAGCCGAACGCCCAGGTCATCTTCTCGAACATCAAGACCGGCCCGATCGGCTCTACCTTCAGCGGCACGACCACCGGCGGCGGCTCGGGAACGACCACCTCGGCTACGACACACTCGACCAGCACTGTCTCCTCGGCGACCACGAGCTCTGGCTCTAGCTCTACCGGCGGAACGATCCCCAAGTTCGGACAGTGCGGTGGCCAAGGTCAGTGTTACCATCTGGTGTTGTATGTTACCAGATCCTTATCTACCATGCAGGATGGACTGGCTCTGGAACATGTGCATCTGGAAGCACCTGTGTCTTCAGCAACCCATGTGCGTCTTTCACACTTCCTCGTCTTCTCCTTCTCACGTGTTTTTCCAGTCTACTCTCAGTGCCTGTAAACGATTCGGGCACGTAAAATGACTTGACAACTCTCTGTATAGTACGCGCACCCTGTTGTGTAATACGAATTGAATAAACGGGACCGCTATAATTCTCTTCACAAAACGTATCTAGATCTCACTGAGAGTAATAACATAAGGTCAGTCCCTACTTCCCGGAACCCAAGTCAATCCCGCGCTCGCGTCAAACTTGGGCTGTTGGCCGGTGCCTGCCGCCTCCTGATACTGCAAATGAAAAGAGAATCCCTGTGCGATCAGCGCACGCGAAACTAAATTCAAGTCTTCCTTCTTCGTGCACATGGAAGAGGCTGAAACCTGTTTCAACGATTCAGCCCTCCGGAAGAGAAGCTTTGTCAGCTACTGGGCATCAAAATCACACGAGCGGAGATGCAAACGGGGTCAGTCTGGGGCAAGCATCGTACTCGTTCTATGGAGCGAGACAATGTGCGCGGTCCCACCGAGATGGAATGAAGTAGTCCTGGGAGTTCTGTGGGTTTGTAGGTATCGCACTATCATTACTTGAGGATACAGCCCGTAAAGTTGGCGGGGCACGCTCCAGTCGATCCGGCCCCAGTCTTGAATGTCGATCGTGAGGCTTGGATCCGCCTGTACACTGAGGAGGATATTTTCCTATCTAAATTAACACATAATGGGTCACGCAATCATGGGCCTCTGCTGTGTGATTTACGATCGAATTCGGTGTACGCGACGCGTCTGCATCACATGACCGACCATCACATGATCGCTCCCCGGCAAATCTTCCGAAATGGTTAGCCTGAGCCTCCCAGGTCAAATCTGAATTCCTGTGTCTGGCATCCCTTTCTGTCGCCTGGAACTCTCAAATCAAAAGCCTGCCCACTCTTTGACGCATTGAGGCATCCACAACGGCATCGATCAGTGCCATTCATAACACACTGGTCATTAACTTGCGAGCGCACATCCACCTCTTCCTCGCCTCGCTGCCATCTACATCTGCTTCACCACATCACACTGAGTTCGAGGCTGTGCTTGCGAAGGGAAACCAGGAATTCATCGGCTTACTCGCCGAATGGCTTGCAGCTCAAGAGCTGACTGTACTCGTTGCGCGGGCGTTCCGGCCGTTGCTGGTCGAGATATGTGCGCGATGGCCGGACGATGGAGGGATCAGGGACACGTCTGAGGGATCGGAGGGAATTCGTACTGTGGATAGACTAGTCGCAATCTGTGCGCTCGTGAAGGTGTACGACGAACTATTCCCGTACGTTTTTCTCTTCTGCAACAGTCTGGTTGGTTTATCGTCTCTTCGTCGGACAGGATTCCATATGAGCACACAAATATTTCCATGGGACGTGGATTGTCCTCTGTTATGTGAAGGAAAGGAAGTTGACGGGTGGCTCATGCCTGTGTTCGAGGCCCAGCGCCTCCGCGAGCTGCGGAAATGGGATGCAACAGAGTTCGGTCATGATCGCGAGGGGATTCCGCTCCGGTCAGGACCGATTTACTTGAATCTTGACTCGCATATACTGATACTCGCGATCAGCCTGCGCGTGGCTAATATCTCTGGCCTATTACTGCTGCGAGCCAATTCCTTGCCTTCGCCGCCGTCTACACTGGTCCCGACAGTCAGCACATCTACAGCCCTACGGTCGCTGGCGCTGAATATCAGGCACCGCCAGCACTACTGACATCTCCGCCTTCGTCTGACAAATCCTTACTGCTTACCCATCTATCCTTGCTGCTTCACACGACGCTGATACCTATTCATCTCTCCGACACGTCTTTGGACGCGCGGTCGCTGCTGGGGTCGTACATGTCATCACCGACGCAGCCGGGCACATTCGAATGGCGCGATGGCGCGCTGGTCCGTGCCATGCGACAAGGCAAATGGATCGTTCTCGAGGACATCGACCGGGCGACATCCGAGGTGCTGGGTGTCCTCAAGCCCCTCGTCGAATCTCTCGGCGCAGGGAAATGGATCGGCCAGCGGGCGTCGGTGGTCGTGCCTGGTCGCGAACGAGTCGTTGCCGCGGACGGGTTCGCGCTGTTTGCGACCCGTTCCGGATCCGGGCCGGCGACCTTTTTTGGCGCGCACAAGTTTGCAGAGGTGGTGCTCCCGTCGCCGAGTATCGCCGAGCTCGAGACAGTCGTCGCTGTGCGATTCCCACGGCTTGCAGGTGGGGTAGCGCGAGCGGTGGTGAGCATGTGGGATGCGGTCCGGCTGCTGGGCAGCGTCACGTCGACGCGAGATGTCGGCTTGCGAGAGCTGGAGAAGTTCTGCGAGCGCGTGACAAGGCTGATCCCCGCGAATACCGATCTGCTCTCGGGCCTCAACCCCACGCTGCGGGAAGACATCTTCCTCGAGGCGCGGGACGTGTTCTTCGGCTCCGGCGCACCGAACGCATCAGCCAAAGCGCACCTCGACGCTATCGCCGTTTGTCAGGGTTTGTTTGCTGCCTGGGGCGGAGAGGTTTTGGAGAAGCTGATCGGGTTCAACACCGCATTGAATGAAGAGGTGTCGGTCAAGAGGAGCTTTGGCCGAGCAGGCAGTCCCTGAGAATTTAATCTGCGCGATGTGCTGCGGTGGGCTACGCTCGTGTCTGCTTCAATCCAAGGCAGACCACAGGACCTCTTGAGGAACGTGTACCTCGACCGTTTCCGGGACGTGGAGGACCGCAGAAAGGCAGCAGCGCTCTTCGAGTCTGTCTTCCTCGAAGAAGCAACAACTACGGCGCCCAAGTGGGCCGTCACGCCCATCTATGTGCAGACTGGCAACTTCCAAACGTCGCGTCACGCGGGATCTACAGCACTGTCTCGCCCTCCGCGAATCCTGCCCAACCATCTGTCCGCGCTCGAATCTCTGGGTCTTTGTGTGTCGCAGAACTGGCTCGCGATTCTGACTGGGCCGAAGAATACCGGCAAGTCATTCGTGGTCCACCTTCTGGCCGATCTGTGTGGTACACCGCTGCACAGCGCCACTGACACCGGCGACCTCCTGGGGTCATTTGAGCAGCTCTCCGGCGGTGGCTTTGCCTGGATCGCGGGGCCGCTGGTGGAGGCGATGCAGTGTGGGACCTGGCTTCTCCTCGACGACGCAAATCAGTGCCCGCCGTCCGTCCTGGACCGGCTCAACTCGCTCTGCGAACCAGGCGGCGTGCTCACCCTGAGCGAACGTGGGTTCGTCGATGGCGCTGTGCCCGTGATCCGCCCCCATCCGGGCTTCCGACTGTTCATGGCGCTTGATCCCGCGAACGGCGAGCTGTCGAGGGCCATGCAGAACCGAGGTCTGGAGGTTGCGCTTGGTCTGCTGCTCTTGGCGCACGCGACAGGCAGAGAGATCGACCATGATTCCGCTGGGTCCGCTGTGCTCGATCTTACCGGGGTGCAATCCCCCATCAGAGTCCCCGCCCGACAGCATCTCGCTGCGCACGCTGTGTCGGCAGTCTATGCCCGGTACTTCCAGCGGTTCACGCAGACCATTCCCGAGCTGCGTGTGGCGGGGAGAATGAGAGAGGCCCATTACACAGCATACGCCTCGAGATGGGGTGTTCCGGTCGAATTCGTTGCTGCTCAGGTGTGTTGATAGGGTCGCAGGTCTATGAACATATACTAACAACTACAGATCCGCCCATTGGTTTCTACCTGTCTTCTCCGGACGAATCGACACTTGTGTTTCATTCTGCGCGCGGTCGACCTTGACATTAGCAAGCTCTTTCAATTCTTTCGGAGCTTTTTGCTGACTCCAACTTTAGCGCTTCGCGTTCAACTGACCTCTTAGGAAGAGTTCAATATGTCCATATCGATCAATATCGCATCCTCATCCATTTTAGACCTGTCAACGAAGCCCTTGTCTGGGAATGTACCGCCTGAGTGGCCCAGTGACCTCATGCACTCCGCCCGGGCATCGAGGCAGCAGCGCGCGTCCTGCTGGATGGGAATGCATCGAGAGCCGGAACGCCGTTCAGCATTCCTCGAGATACAGCCGACAAATCACCTTGGCATGCATGTTTTACCATTCACTGCGTCGTCCGAGTAGGTCCGAGCACTATAAAACATTGGGAGAGAGGATGGGCACGGCAGCTTCCAAGTCTTCAAAGTTGCAATGTTCCCTACCACTGCTCTCTTCGCTCTCTGTCTCGCTGCTGTGTCTCAGGCGCAGCAGATCAGCACCCTGCAATCGGAAGTACACCCGACTCTCACCACTCAGCAGTGCACAGCGGGCGGAAGCTGCACTACGACGCAGAATGCGATCGTCCTCGACTCCAACTGGCGCTGGACTCACTCGACGTCGTCCGCGACCAACTGCTACACCGGCAACACCTGGAACGCCGCTCTCTGCCCCGACGCCACGACTTGCGCGCAGAACTGTGCTCTCGACGGCGCCAACTACCAGAGCACGTACGGAATCACGACCACCGGCAATGCCGTGACGCTCAAGTTCCTGACTGGTAAGTCCTTTCATTTCGGTTGGGACCTGACTGAGCGATCGGCAAGGCTCGAACGTCGGTAGCCGAGTGTACCTGATGGCGGACAACACTCATTACGAGATGTTCCAATTGCTCAACCAGGAGTTCACCTTCACTGTGGACGTATCTCAACTCGGCTGTGGTCTCAACGGCGCGCTCTACCTGACCGAGATGGACGCCGACGGTGGTGTGTCTCGCTTCCCGAATAACAAGGCCGGTGCCCAGTACGGAGCCGGCTACTGTGACGCGCAGTGCCCTCAAGATCTCAAGTTCATCAACGGATTGGTGAGGTTGCTCTGGGTAGAAATGAACAATTCCGCTCATGAATCTCATGACAGGCCAACTCTGCCAACTGGACGCCCTCCACAAACGACCCCAACTCGGGTACTGGCACGATGGGAACTTGCTGCAACGAAATGGACATCTGGGAGTGTGAGTGGTCAAATCAATTGGGTTCCCATCAACCTGATTTGCTCTCCCCCAGCCAACAAGTTCGACGCGGCGCTCACGCCTCACCCTTGCTCTGCCGTTGGGCAGACGATGTGCACTGGCACCGACTGCGGTGCCGGCAGCGACCGCTACAACGGTCTGTGCGACAAAGATGGTTGTGACTTCAACAACTTCCGCTGGGGCGATAGCAGCTTCTTCGGACCCGGTCTCACCATCGACACGACTCAGCCGGTCACGGTCGTGACCCAGTTCCTCACCAACGACAACACCACGACTGGGACGCTGTCCGAGATCCGCCGTCTCTACGTGCAGGGCGGCAAGGTCATCCGGAACTCTCCGGCCAAGACTCCTGGCCTCACTCAGTTCAACTCGGTCACCGACGCGTTCTGCAACGCACAAAAGAACATCACCGGAGATACCAACAGCTTCGAGGCCCGCGGCGGTCTTGGCACGATGAGTGCTTCGCTGAAGCGCGGCATGGTTTTGGCCCTCTCAGTCTGGGACGATGACGCCGTTGGAATGCTCTGGCTCGATGGACAGCAATACCCGTCCACGAAGAGCGCCTCGGCCCCTGGTGTTGCGCGTGGACCCTGCTCGGCGACCTCTGGGGATCCCAAGGTACGTTCCCTCGTCGTTTCCCGGTGACCTTGATTCACGAATGTCGTTTTCAGACCGTTCAGGCCCAGCAGCCCAATGCCCAAGTCACCTTCTCGGACATCAAGACCGGCCCGATCGGCTCTACCTTCAGCGGCACGACCACCGGCGGCGGCTCGGGAACGACCACCTCGGCTACGACACACTCGACCAGCACTGTCTCTTCGGCGACCACGAGCTCTGGTTCCAGCTCTACTGGCGGAACCATCCCCAAATTCGGACAGTGCGGTGGCCAAGGTCAGTGGCACCATCTGGTCTCCTGCTCAATTACCAGATTCTAATCTCGCACGTAGGCTGGACTGGCTCGGGAACCTGTGCGGCCGGAAGCACCTGCGTGTTCAGCAACCCATGTGCGTTTTTAGAGCCTTGCGTCTTCTCGTTCTCATATGTTTTCCCAGTCTACTCTCAGTGCCTGTAAACGATTGAGGCACGTGAAATGATTCAATAGCTCTCTGTACAGTACGCGCACCCTGCTGTGTCATACGATTTGAATGAACGGGACCGCTACAATTCTCTTCACGCCGTATATCGAGATCTTGCTGGAGCGAATACACAAGGTCAGTGCGTACTTGCGGGAACGGAGGTCGAACCTGGACTGTTCGCCCGCACTCCTCCATGCGCGATCAGCGGACTCAAATTCTCTTCCAAATGTTCCTTCTCTCGGGCACATGAAAGCAGCTGAAACCTGTGTCGACGATCCAGCCCTTCGAGTCGCAGGAGAAGCTTTATCAGCCACTGGACATCAAAATCACACGAGCGGAGATCTAGCGCAGCGAGTCTAGGGCGGACCGTCGTGCGCGACGAGCTGTTTCATGGAGCAGGAAAGTGTGCGCGTCGCACTGAGGACGGGTGAAGACGTCCTGGGTGTTCTGTGGCTTTGCGAACATTGCGTCGTTGTCACTGGAAGATACTGCCCGAAAAGTTGGCCGGGCGCGCTGCAGTCGATTTGCCCCCAGTCTTGACTATCCATCGTCAGGCTTGTATCGCCCTGTATACTGAACAGATTCAATTTCCATCGACATCAATACACAATGAATGACCCAGTCATGGCCCCTGCCGTCCGGATTGTGACCGAAATCGATACGCGACGCGTTTGATCACATGACCTGTCGTCACATGATCGCTCCCCGGCAAATTTTTCAATGGTTAGCCTGAGCCTCCCAGGTCAAATCTGAATTCCTGTGTCTGGCATCCTTGTCTGTTTCCTCAAACTCTCAAATCAAAAGCCTGCCCACTCTTTGGCGCATTCAGGCATCCACAATGGCATCGATCAGTGCTATTCATAACACACTGGCCATTAACCTACGAGCACACACCCATCTCTTCCTCGCCTCGCTCCCATCTACATCTACTTCACAACATCAGAATGAGGTCGAGGTTGCGCTTGCAAAGGGAAACCAGGAATTCATCGGCTTACTTGCCGAATGGCTAGCAGTTCAAGAGCTGACTGTACTTGTTGCGCGGGCGTTCCAGCCGTTGCTGGTCGAGATATGTGGGCGATGGCTGGACGATGGAAGGATCGGGGACGTGTCTGAAGGATCGGAGGGAACTCGTACTGTGGATAGAATAGTCGCAATCTGTGCGCTTGTGGAGGTGTACAACGAACTATTCCCGTGCGTGTTTCTCTTCTGCCGCAGTCTCTTGGATTTATTGTATCTTCGTCGGATAGGATTCTACATGAATACCTTCTCATTAATTTCCCCCATGGTCCGATTTCCCTGCCTAGAAACGCACGCAGCAGCCTCCATGCTCTCCTGATCGCCTACTACCGGATTTTACAAACCAATCGAGAATTGCCGAGCCATCTTGCCTGGCCGACGGAGCCGCTGTCTACCCTCATCTACGACGCGCAGCACGACAATACGACGCGACTCTTGGCTTTAAGATGTCTTGCGTTGCAGAATGGGATGAGCGAGGGGGAGCGGGAGGAGTTGCAGACACAGCTATTCCCATGGGACGTGGATTGTCCTCTGTTGTGGGAAGGAAAGGAAGTTGACGGGTGGCTCATGCCTGTGTTCGAGGCCCAGCGCCTCTACGAGTTGCGGAAATGGGATGCAACAGAGTTCGACCATGATCACGAGGAGATTCCGCTCAGGTAAGGACCGAACTCCTTGAATCTCGACTTGCATATACTGATACTCGCGATCAGCCCCCGCATAACTAATGTATCTGGCATATTACTGTTGCGACCCAATTCCATGCCTTCGCCGCCGTCTGCACTGGTCCCGACAGCCACTACATCCACGGTCCTACGGTCGCTGGCGCTGAATATCAGACACCGCCAGCCCACACTATTGACATCTCCACCTTCGTCTGGCAAATCTTTGCTGCTGACCCATCTGTCCTTGCTGCTTCACACGACGCTGATACCTATCCATCTCTCCGACACGTCTTTGGACGCGCGGTCGCTGCTGGGGTCGTACATGTCATCGCCGACGCAGCCGGGGACATTCGAATGGCGCGATGGCGCGCTGGTCCGTGCCATGCGACAAGGGAAATGGATCGTTCTCGAGGACATCGACCGGGCGACATCCGAAGTGCTGGGTGTGCTCAAGCCCCTCGTCGAGTCTCTCGGCACGAGCAAATGGATCGGCCAGCGGGCGTCGGTGGTCGTGCCAGGCCGTGAACGAGTTCTTGCCGCGGACGGGTTCGCGCTGTTTGCGACACGTTCCGGATCCGGGCCGGCGACCTTTTTTGGCGCGCACAAGTTTGCAGAGGTCATGCTCCCGGCGCCGAGTATCGCCGAGCTTGAGACAATCGTCGCTGTGCGATTCCCACGGCTTGCAGGTGGGGTAGCGCGAGCGGTGGTGAGCATGTGGGATGCGGTCCGGCTGCTGGGCAGCGTTACGTCGACGCGAGATGTCGGCGTGCGAGAGCTCGAGAAGTTCTGCGAGCGCGTGACAAGGCTGATCCCCGCGAATACAGATCTGCTCTCGGGCCTCAACCCCACGCTGCGGGAAGACATCTTCCTCGAAGCCCGTGATGTGTTCTTCGGCTCCGGCGCGCCGAACGCATCAGCCAAAGTGCACCTCGACGCCATTGCGTCAGTCATCGCGCATCACCTCGGGCTCGATGCGGAGCGCGCCGCGTGGGTTCTTACTGGTCGCACACCCGAGTTCGAGGTGCAGAAAGACGTAGATGGACGTGTTATCGGCGTCGTCGCCGGCCGGGTACAACTGCATGCCAAGTTGAATGGCAAGCCTATTGCTACTCGGCCGTTCGCAATGCACCGGCCGGCGATCAGTCTCCTCACACGCATTGCCACGAGTGTCTCGCTGTCTGAGCCGTTGCTGCTCACTGGAGAAACGGGAACGGGAAAAACGAGCGTGATTACACACCTGGCAGCGCTGTTGCGTCGGCCGCTTATCTCGCTGAATCTGTCGCACCAGACAGAGGCGGCTGACCTGATCGGAGGCTTCAAACCCATCGATGCGCGGATCCCAGGTGCAGTGCTACAGGAGCGATGGGCGGAGCTGTTCGGGGGGACATTCAGCCGCCGGCGAAACGAGATGTTTGAGGGTGAGGTGCGGAGAGCTGTGACGGAAGGAAGGTGGAAGAGGGCTGTTGGACTGTGGAGGGAGAGTGCCAGGATGGCAAGAGAACGGATTCGGGCCCAGGTGTCAGTCGTGTGCTCACGTCCTATACCTAAAACTGATGCGCTTTCAGCTCTGAAGATCCAGACAAGCCCAGGAAGCGTCGCAAAGTGGACAACGCCAGCTGGGCCGCGTTCGAAAACGACGTCGGCGAGTTTGAAGTGCAACATGTGTTGGCTAAGGGCAAGTTTGCATTTGGTTTTGTGGAGGGTCCTCTAGTGAAGGCTTTGGGAGCGGGTGATTGGTGCGTCCGCGTTTATATATATCCTCGTTGTACTCGCTAAGAGCTAACAGGGTGCTACTCGACGAAATCAATCTGGCTAGCGCAGAAACCTTGGAATGTATCGCCACCCTCATCCAGTCGCCGACCTCCTCGATTACTCTGACAGAACAAGGCGCACTGGAGCCTGTCCCCCGACACCCCGACTTTCGCTTGTTTGCATGCATGAACCCAGCGACCGATGTCGGCAAGAAGGACCTGCCACCGAACATCCGCGCGCGATTTACCGAACTGGATGTCCCGTCGCCTGACGCCGATCGCGAGACGCTACTGAGCATTGTGGAGCAGTACATCGGGGACAAGGCCGTCGCCGACAAGGCCGCGGTGATGCACGTGGCTGAGTTCTATGCGGCGGTCAAGTCGCTCGCAGAGACGCGCCAGATCGCAGACGGGGCGAACCACCGACCGCACTACAGCATGCGAACACTCGCTCGGGCGCTTGGGTTTGCCGCGGAGATCGCTTCCCGATACGGATTGAGACGGGCGCTCTGGGAAGGCTGCCTGATGGCTTTCACCATGGTGCTCGATGCGGAGAGTGCGAGTCAAGTCGTGACCGGCCTCGCAGTCAAGTATCTGCTGGCGGGGGTGCGCAATCCACGCTCCCTCCTTGCGATGGAACCGCAATCGCCTGCGCCCGCGGAGCAGTTCGTCAAGTTTGGCCCGTTCTACCTGGAGCGCGGACCGTTCGAAATCGATCTCGCGGAGGACTACATCACCACGCCGTCCGTTGAGAAGAAACTGATCGATCTCGCGCGGATCATCCTCACGCGCCGCTTTCCCGTGTTGATCGAGGGACCGACGTCGGCGGGCAAAACGAGTTCCATCGAGTTCCTCGCGCGGCGGACAGGGCATCGTTTCGTCCGCATCAACAATCACGAGCATACAGACATCCAGGAGTACCTCGGCTCGTATGTATCTGATCCAGCGACCGGCAAGCTGCAGTTCCAGGACGGCTTGCTAGTTCGAGCGCTTCGAAACGGCGACTGGATCGTGCTGGACGAGCTGAACCTGGCGCCAACCGATGTGCTAGAAGCACTCAACCGTTTGCTGGACGATAATCGGGAGCTGGTTGTGCCGGAGACGGGGGAAGTCGTGAAGCCACACCCACACTTCATGCTGTTCGCAACACAGAATCCGCCGGGTCTGTACGCCGGCCGCAAAGTGCTCTCTCGGGCGTTCCGGAATCGGTTCTTGGAGGTCCATTTCTCGGATGTGCCGCAAGGGGAATTGGAAACGATCCTGACCGCCAGGAGCCGCATCGCGCCGTCCTACGCGCGGAAGATCGTGGCTGTGTTTCGAGAGCTGCAGGCGCGGCGACAGGCAGGTCGGGTGTTTGAGACCAAGGCAGGATTTGCGACGTTGCGTGATCTGTTCCGGTGGGCGGGCCGGGACGCCATTGGCTACGACCAGCTGGCGGAGAACGGGTACATGTTGTTGGCGGAACGGGCGAGGAGGGAGGACGATCGGAGGGTCGTGCGAGAGGTGATCGAGAGTGTGATGGGGGTCAAGATTGACGAGGAGCGGATGTATGCGCATAGGGATGCGGAGTACTTGGGCGTCGGGGTACCCGATGACCTGGGTGGGGTGATATGGACTCGCGCAATGCAGCGACTGTTTGTCCTCGTTTCTCGCGCGTTGCGGTTCAACGAACCGGTGCTGCTTGTTGGGGAGACGGGTGCTGGCAAGACGAGCGTCGCGCAGATCTTTGCTCAGGCGTGTGGCCGGCAACTTGTCGGGGTCAACTGCCACCAAGGCACCGAGACGGCCGACCTCATCGGTGGACAGCGGCCGGTGAGAAACCGCGCCGGACGCGAGGCCGAAGCCATCAAGATTGGCGTGGAAGCCTTGGCTGCCATTGGCGTAGTGTTGCCGGCAGACAGCGACTTGGACACCGTGCTTGCCAAACTACCCGCGACTAGCGACGCACGACGCGCTTGTATGGGCGCTCGTGCAATCTTCGAATGGTACGACGGTCCGCTGGTCAATGCAATGAAGACTGGGGACGTGTTTCTCCTGGATGAGATCTCGCTCGCGGACGACTCGGTGCTCGAACGACTGAACTCCGTGCTCGAGACGGGGCGCACGATTGTCCTTGCCGAACGCGGTGGCGACGCTGGTGACGGTGATGGGCTGAGCGTCACTGCGGATCCCGCTTTCAAACTCATTGCGACGATGAATCCCGGCGGCGACTACGGCAAGAAGGAGCTCTCACCCGCACTCAGAAATCGTTTCACAGAAATCTGGGTCCCAGCTGTCGATCAGCGCGTCGATCTGGAGATGATCGTCGACAGAGGTTGGAAAGCAGATGAGTTGAGGGCTTGGACTGCCCCGCTGCTGGATTGGGGAGAGTGGTTTGGTCAGAAAGTGGGTGGCCAGGGTGTCGTTAGTCTGCGGGATATTCTGGTATGTTCTCTGTCTTCTCCCCGACAGAACTGACCCTGAACTAGGGTTGGGTGACCTTCTCAAACTCCGTATACGGTCAAATGTCTTGTGTAGAGATCTTCGTGCGTCGTTCTCGAACTTACGCGCAGCTCGTCAACTGATGGAAACAGCACCACGCCGCGCATATGACCTTCCTTGACGGTCTTGGCTCATTCCCCCAGCTCTCATCTTACTCGCGAGGCGCGCTGCAACAGCTGAGGGCAGATGCAGAGACGCATCTCCACATGATCGCCCCGCTATCTTCTTCCATCGCATCACAACGATCACACACAGATCTGTCCTCAGTATGGCTCGGTTCGTTTGCCGTTCCTCGCGGACCAGTCGAGATCGTCGCCGCAAGCTTCAATCTCAGCGCCCCGACTGCGTTGTCCAACGCACAGAGAGTTGTCAGGGCGTGTCAGCTGCCCAAACCTATCCTCCTCGAAGGCAGCCCTGGCGTCGGGAAAACCAGCCTGATCACGGCGCTCGCTACACTGACCGGCCACAAACTGTGCCGCATCAATCTCTCGGACCAGACGGATCTCATCGATCTGTTCGGCTCGGATCTTCCCGTGGATGGGGGCTTCGCATGGAAGGACGGAGAGTTTCTGCGTGCATTGAAAGAGGGCTGGTGGGTATTACTGGATGAGATGAATCTCGCGCCACAGGCTGTGCTGGAGGGCTTGAACGCTGTTTTGGATCACCGAGGGAGTGTGTACATCCCCGAGCTGGGACGAACGTTTGAGAAGCACCCGAGTTTCCGGATCTTCGGCGCCCAGAATCCACTTAGCCAGGGTGGTGGACGGAAAGGTCTGCCCAAGTCGTTCGTCAACCGGTTCACGAAGGTCTACGTCGAAGAATTGAGCGCTGCGGATCTCCTCCTCGTCTGTCAGGGCTTGTTTCCTGCCTTGGGCGGATCTGTTTTGGAGAAGATGATCAGGTTCAACACGGCATTGAACGAAGAGGTGTCGGTGAAAAGGAGCTTTGGCAGAGCCGGCAGTCCCTGGGAATTCAATCTGCGCGATGTGTTGCGGTGGGCTACACTTGTGTCTGCTTCAATCCAAGGCAGACCACAGGACCTCTTGAGGAACGTGTACCTGGACCGTTTCCGGGACGTGGAGGACCGCAGAAAAGCAGCAGCGCTCTTCGAGTCTGTCTTCCTCGAAGAAGCAACGACTGCCGCGCCCAAGTGGGCCGTCACACCCACTTATGTGCAGATCGGCAACTTCCAAACGTCGCGTCACGCGGGATCTACAGCACTGTCCCGCCCTCCGCGAATTCTGCCCAGCCACCTGCCCGCGCTCGAATCACTAGGTCTTTGTGTGTCGCAGAACTGGCTCGCGATTCTGACCGGGCCGAAGAACGCCGGCAAGTCATCGGTGGTGCGCCTTCTGGCCGATCTGTGTGGTGCGCCGTTGCAGACTGTAGCGCTGCACAGCGCCACTGACACCGGTGACCTCCTGGGATCGTTCGAGCAGCTCTCCGGGGACGGGTTTGCGTGGATTGCAGGGCCGCTGGTAGAGGCGATGGAGCGTGGGACATGGCTTCTCCTCGACGACGCGAATCAGTGCCCGCCGTCCGTCCTGGACCGGCTCAACTCGCTCTGCGAACCAGGCGGCGTGCTCACCCTGAGCGAACGTGGGTTCGTCGATGGCGCTGTGCCCGTAATCCGCCCCCATCCGGGCTTCCGACTGTTCATGGCGCTTGATCCCGCGAACGGCGAGCTGTCGAGGGCCATGCGGAACCGAGGTGTGGAGGTTGCGCTGGGTCCACTGCTCTTGGCGCACGCGACAGGCAGAGAGATCGACCATGATTCCGCTGGGTCCGCTGTGCTCGATCTTACCGGGGTGCGATCCCCCATCAGTGTCCCCGCCCAACAGCATCTCGTTGCGCATGCTGTGGCGGCAGTCTATGCTCGGTACTTTCAGCGGCTCATGCAGACCATTCCCGAGCTGCGTGTGGCGGGGAGGATGAGGGAGGCCCGTTGGACAGCCTATGCCTCGAGATGGGGTGTCCCGGTCGAATTCGTCGCTGCTCAGGTGTGTTGATAGGGTCGCAGGTCTATGAACATATGCTGACGGCCACCGATCAGCCCACCGTTTTCTACCTGACTTCTCTGGACGAATCAACACTTGTGTTTCTGCGCGCGATCGACCTGGACATAGCCAGTGCTCTGTTTGTTCAAACCTCTGCGCAGCCCAACTATCAGATATCCCTCAAATCAACATCCAAAACGGAATTCTCGGTAGTGATGCGTGCAATCGAAGCTGTGATCTCCGCAGTGCTGGGTTTATTTGCGGACGGTGCAGATGTGCGTGACTCCATTGAGCAATCTATTCCGAAAGTGACACGAATTCAGCTTGCCGCTGTCTCGAAGACACAGATAGAACGTATCCTCTCAGTGCTGCGGTTCGTCAGCTCGCTCCAGTCCCAGTCCCGATCGCACACTGTCCAGAACAAGTACTTCGACTATTCTGCGGTGCAGGTCGTGTCGGGGTGGCTCGTTGATGTGCTTTCCGAGAACGGCGAGGAAGATGACGGGCTGCTGTTGGTGCGCACGCACGCCCACGCTCTGCGGAGTGCGGTGGCGCTCTCAACTGGGTTGGGGATCAGCCAAATTTGGAGCCGATTCCAGGGTGTGCTTTTGCCAGTTGGTGCAAATACAGCGATACTTCAGGAACTAGAGCAAGCTGTGGGACGGACCGACAATGACGGCAAGTCAATTTCCAGCGCTCCCAGGCACGTGCCCCGCTCAACGTCATATAGCCATCCGCAAGCAAGCATTCGACCTACTGTGTCTCGCAGACCTACGTGCAACATCTGAGGAGCAGGACGAATTTGGCCGACTGGTCGCGGATCTGGCACTGGTTCGTTTGTGCTCCTTGCACTTCCTTCGCTGATATTGATGCACTACAGAGATGCAAAGCGGTGGCTGTCCCACTTGACACTACGTCCATGGAAGTCTCTGAAAACGAGCAACGGGACGAGGAGAAGAGACACGCGACGACCATAATCGCACAATTGGGGATTCTCGCTAGCATTACTATGAGAGAGATTTCTTCAACGGCAAGTGCCTGCGGTTCGCCTATCTTACGTGAACTGATCGTATTGCAGACCCTGGCCGGCCGGATTGAGCGGCTCATTGGTGTCGAGCTCGCCCGCGGAATCGAGAACTGGGCGGGGAGAATGAAGCGGCTGGTCGGGTATCGACATACCCTGTGGACTGCACAAGCTCAACAGGGTACGTGATCTTCCGCTTTGTATGCTTAACCCGCTAACGACACACAACTAGACATGTTACCTGTGATACTCAAAATGCAGCTCAATTGGTTGGAGGATGTGTGGCTGGCTGGAGACTCGGAGATGGATTTGGTGCGTTTCCTTGATTTCTTCTGCTCTCAGCTGACAATCCTTCAGCACGGGCCAGATATGCTGTTTCGTCCAACGCAATTACGCGCAACACTTGCTGCTTGGTGCGTGTGAATCATCTTCTCTTGCGCACAAATCTGAGCCCTCTTCAGCGACCTTCGCCAAGGCACTCTCGATACCTATGCGACATTCCAGCAAGCACTGAGCACGCAGATTGGGCTGGCGCTTATACAAGCCGAAGCTAGCGGTGATCCACCGAGAACAGATCAGCTGGGACGGGTCTTGGTGCAGTCGATTAGTTTGGTGAGCTGGATTCAGTGGCACACCGTCAAACGGCTGATCATATTCATCTGTAGCTCACGGCGTGCTTCGGTTTCCACCTCGAGGGGACTGTGGTCAACACGCTGGAGCAGCAATGCTCCTCACTCCCACTGGCATTCAAGTCGTATCTTCTCCCCGCCGTCCAGAATCTCCATTCATCCTCGTCGCCTGACCATCGCACTCTTGGCCTGACATTCATCGCACTGTCACGCACCTTGCTCGATCTGTTCGTTCCCTCGACCCCGATCGACCCGGCTGCTATCGAACGGTTCGGAGACCAATTCCGGGCCGAACAACGGGCCGTGCTGGTCGAGCAGAGACAGAGCATGGCCGAGTTCGGGTCCCGGTTATATGGCACAACTGATGGCAACGCTGTGGTCGAGGATCTGGATGCGCAGATTGGCAAGTTGAGTGACCTCGCCGTATCAGAAAGCGGAAGAGCTCCGGGACGCGACGACGTGTCGCGGCTGCATATGTTTTGGTCTGAAGTCGCCCAGTTTCAAGCACACGTGATCGCGCCATCCAAGATCACTGGCCTGCTCGAATCGGACGTCAACCTGGCCCACCGGGCGCAGACTCTGCAGCGCTCGATTGCGGGCTTCACTCAGCGTCTGGAGAGCGCGTATCCCGAGTTCGTCGATCTCTGGCTCCCTGTAAAACTTGGTGTCGCGTATCTCCGGCTGGGTGTGGCGCTCTGCTGTGTCTCCCACACAGCCAAAATACCTGCACTCGAGCCCCTCGTGACGTTCCCTGCTTTGGACTCGGCCGCCCGCGTTCTGGCCGCCAACCAAGGCGGGATCGACGGGATATTGATGCGTCTCGCAGCATTGGCCGAGACCAGTGGCAGTGACGACCGCTTCGAGCAGATCCAGATGGCCTACCACCAGGCAAGCGCGCTGTGGCGCATTGACCGAGCACGTGAGAGCGACGCTGCTGCACGTGCAGGATCGTTGTACCGTGGAGGATATGAAGACGAAGGAGACGTCGAACGCGAGGAGCGCGAGTTTTTGGAGATGTTCCCAACGTTTTCAGACCCTCTCTCTGAAGACACGAAGGAGACGACTGCGATTCCGACTGCGACTGCGACTGCGACTTCGGCAAAACCGGTCGTAGGTCCAGAAGAAATGGAGAGGCTTGTAGCCTTGCATCATTCGCTCTTTGGTGATGGGTCTGCTTCGGGACTCTTCCAAACGATGCAGCGAGCAACAGTGCACCGAGCAGTGAATGCTGATTTTGCCAATCTGTCCGACCAACTGGATGGGACCAGTCTTGTCATGCAGATGACCCTATTAGATGACGCCTCTTCATCTTCATCGCCAGGCGAAGATTACAACTTCTACAAGTCTCCCAATCCCTCCGAAGCCCGTAAATCCGCCCAGGTCGTCTCTTCTCTTCGTACGCGACTCGCCACACTGATCGGTGAATGGCCGGATCAGATGGTGCTACAGCACTTGCATACCCGGTGCACGGCAGTCCTGGCGCTGCCGCTCTCATCTCCCCTCGCGCACATTTTATCTGCGCTCGAGCAGCTACTGCTTGAAACCGCCGATTGGGAGATCTACGCCAATCGGGAGAACACCCTCAAGGCTCATCAGGCGGAGTTCACCGGACTCATCGTCGAGTGGCGCCGACTTGAGCTGGGGTGTTGGCGCGTGCTGCTGGACGTCCAAGCCAAAGAATTCGGAGCAGGTGGCGTGAGAGAATGGTGGTTCCGTCTCTTCGAGGCCGTGGGCCAGTCCGATGGTGATGTGGAGACTCTGGTCCCTTTACTGGACGAGTTCATCCGCACGAGTCCAGTGGGGCAGTTCGAGGCCCGGATGGAGCTATTACGGACATTTGCAGTGTTCACGGCCGCTTCCCCCTCATCGTCGACGCGCATCTCGCGTATCTTGGCTACGACACACGCGCATTTCAGCCTCTTTGCACCCCGCGTCGCGGCGGCTCTGGCCGGAGAGCGGGCAAAGCTGGAGGCCGACCTCCGTGGGTACGTCAAGCTTGCGAGCTGGAAGGATGTGAATGTGCACGCGCTCAAGGCCAGCGCGCAACGCACGCACCACGCGCTTTACAAGCTCGTCCGCCGCTTCCGTGACGTCCTGCGCGGACCGGTGGCTGCAATGCTGGGTGTCAAGGGCGCACTGGGGGATTTGAGCAAGGATGAAGAAGGGGGTAAGGATGACATCATGGAGGAGAGCGAAGCGAACGAAGAAGCCCCACCGACTTTCCCTGTCCTCGACACATCAAACCAAACACCGGGACACCTTAGGAACCTCGCGCCGACCTTCAGCAAATTCCGCACTCTGCTCCAGACGCGTGTGGCGCCTGCGATCTCGGCGCACTCGGCCGCCCTCGCGGACGGGCTGGCAGTGGACATCATCCGCACCGCGCAGCATCTGTCGTCGATCGCCCTGCCACAGGACAAGGAGAAACGCATCAAGGCAAGCAAGGGGCTGACGACGCGCAAGCGCAAAGCATACGCGGATCTGCTGCGGGAGCTGCGCCGCGCGGGCTTTGGCGTCGTGCGCGCGGATGTCCTGGACCGGATCCGCTCGGGCGCGTGGGTACGCGAGCAGTCGGGGGTGGCGTCCGATGAGCGTATGGAGAAGTACTTCTCCCGTCTGCTTGCAGCTTTGCCGGCGCTGCGCGCGTCGGTAGCGGGGCATCACCCTGATTTGGTCACGCGCGATCTGCAGCGGGGAGTGACGTTTGTAGAGTCGGTCTTTGCGATGGGCATGGATGCGAGGACGAGGTGCGTGTGCTCTCTCATTTTTTCGATTTTTGGCTGATCATCTGAAATGCAGACTTGCGGACGCTGTGTCCCAACAATCTCGTCTCTCGCGACTTGTCGAGCGGCTGGCGCATATATCGACGTCTGCAACTAACTCATCGGATCCAATCGTCGTTGCCACCGGTCCGTCGGTGCTTGCGCATGCGCGTGAGGTTTACCGTGTCACGGTCCGCCTCCGCGCGACTCTGTGCGAAATCATTGAAGCTGTTCGTGTCTTTGAATCGCTGCTCCGCCAGCAGTCGGATACGACGAACAAGAGCGTCCCGGCGGCATTGTCACAGGAAATGCAGAGCGCGCGGCGCGAGACAGAGAGAATTGGAAGCGAGGTGAAAAAGGTTGTCGAAGGCGTTGAGATGGGAGGCTTTGTGTTATTGAGAGGTGCGTCACGATGCTTATTCCCAGGCATTGCGACTAACCTCAAATTAAACAGACGAACACGCTGTTATCCAATTGGCCCTTGCGCACCTAGCCAGTACACACGAGTCTCTCGCACGATGGGCCGCACTGGATACCCGGCTAGGCTATATCTTTGGCCCGGCCGGCCGATGGGTCCACGCGCAGATTGTCGCCGTTTCAACGCTAGCGCTAGCCGCAGATGATCCCAATGCAGCTGATAACACTGACGGCGTCATTGAACTCCTTCTCGTTCACGTCCAGTCGCTGTTGGAAGCTTGCCCTGAGCCGGAGCCGCCAAAGGCCGATGACGAGACGGAGGAGAAGGAACGATACATCGAGACGGACTACCATCACACGCGCAAAGTGACGCAGCTTCTCAAGCTGGACCAGACCGCGGACGCTGTCGAGCGCGTCTTCAATGCGCTGACAGGCAGCCAAGCCCAGACCCGGCTCGCCCGCCTGGTCCCCTTCCTCCACGCGTATCTCAACTTCGTCGCGCGCCAGATCTCGGCACACGCGTCCTGGACGAAGACGCTGTTCAAGCTCGACTGGGTGCTCGTGTCGGTCTTGCAGACGCTCGCGACGGACGGCTTCTGCCGGCCGCCGGAGGCCGACGAGGACGGGGACGGGGACGGAGGCAAGGGCAAGGAGATGGAGGCGGATGGCACGGGCTTGGGATCTGGGGCGGGGCGGGAGAACGTCAGCAAGGAGATTGAGGACGAGAGCCAGGTTGAGGGGCTGCAGGGTGAGGACGAGCAGCAGCCCGACGACCAGCAACAGCGCGAAGACGGGGACAACGATGCGATCGAGATGAACGACGATTTTGGGGGCGCGCTCGAAGACGTGCCTTCGGATGGGGAGGAGGACAAGGACGGCGAGGAAGACGACAAAGCCGGAGAGGAGGAAGACGGCCCAGAGGAGCAGATGGGCGAGTTGGACGCGTCAGATCCTGGCAAAGTCGACGAAAAGCTGTGGGGCGACGACAAGGGCCCAGAGAACAGCGGAGAGGACGACAACGTTGGAAAAGAGCTTGATGGGGAGTCAAACGAACAGGAGGAAAGCGAAGTTGTCGCCAAGGAGGGGAAGCAGGAGTCGAAGGAGAAGGAGAAGGAGAAGAAACAGAAAGAAGATGGGAAACAGAGCGAGCAGAATGGCGCAGAAGAACCCCAGCCGGATGACGAGCAAATACCCGAAGCGACCGTCGGCGAAGATGAGCAACAAGACCCCCCGGCCGACCAACACGGCGCGCCGATGGATGAGCATGTGCCGGACGGTGACATGCTCGACATACCGGACAATCTGGATTTAGGAGACGAGGACATGGGCGGGGAGCAGGAACCAGGGGAAGAAGAGGATGGAGATGGAGATGGAATGGACGTGGATGAGTCAGGGATGGACAATGTAGAACAAAACGAGGCTGATGCTCAAGACCAGCCGATGGAGATGGATAATGACGCGCCTCTAAACCCAGAAGACACGCCGGACCCGGACGAAGACGAGGACGCCGACGCGTCGAAGATGCAGGACCCCTCCTCTGGGCTGACAGACGAGCCAGAGCCAGAGCCAGAGCCAGAAGCCGACTCGGATGAGCAGGTAACCGCGAAACCAGACGTCACGGCAGGGGGTGATCCCCAGCAGCAGGAAGACGGTGAAAATCCGCAGGACGATAGGCCTGACACTGCTGCGGGCGACAAATCTGCCTCCGGCGACAAGGGCGCGTCAGTCTCGAGCCGTGTTGGGCAGGACGCAGGTGACAATGTCGAGAAAGATGATTCACAAGGGGAGCAAAGGTACGTCTCTTTTTCATCGAAATGCGTTTGGAATCTGAGATCTTAGCAGCGACGCCAATGCGCCTCTTCCAGTTGACTCGCAAGCTCCAGGTCTGTCCAGTGACGGCCAGCAGGATGGGGCGGACGAATCCGCCGGTGCCGAGATGCGCAATGAGGCGGGCAATCCGTTGCGCAGTTTGGGCGATGCGTTGAAGGAGATTCGGCGGCGGTTCGATGAGATCCTGGAGTCGTCGGATCCCCAACAGCAGCAACAGATGACATCCGAAGAGTCGCCGGAGAAAGTCGAGTACCTCCGACCCGAAGATGCCGGTGACACCGACATGCAGGCGCTGGGCCCCGCAGGCGACGAGCAAGTTGCGAAGCTGGATGATTTGGCGATGATGGTGGATTCAGAGCAGCCGGACCAGCAGCGTTTTGTACCGATGGAAGTTGATGCAAGTGATGATTTGCCGGCGACAAAGCGGGCCGAGGAGCTGGAGGCGCTGCACCAGCAGCCTGAACACGGGGATGACGGCGACGACGCAATGGCACTCGACGCTCAGGGACGCCGTGCTCCCGACTCCAACCACGAGACAACCGCCGAGGTGGACATGCCTGACCCCACGATCGAGCTTCTCACGCAGCACCTGGCTGGTCCCGCTGACTCTGAATCTGCGACTCAGCTGTGGCAGTCGTACGAATCGCTGACGCATGACTTGGCGTATGGGCTGTGTGAGCAGCTGCGGCTGATCCTGGAGCCCACCCTCGCGACGCGGCTCAAGGGCGACTTCCGGACCGGCAAGCGGCTGAACATGAAGAAAGTCGTGGCGTACATCGCAAGCGACTACACCAAAGATAAGATCTGGCTGCGACGCACCCGGCCGAGCCAGCGGGAGTACCAAGTGTTGATCGCGCTGGACGACTCGAAGAGCATGGCCGACTCGCGCTCGGTCCACCTCGCGTTCCAGGCGCTGGCGCTCGTGACCAAGGCTCTCTCGCGGCTGGAGGTCGGGCAGGTCGCCGTCGCCCGGTTCGGCGAGCGCGTCGAGATGCTGCACGACTTCGGGGACGCCGCGGGCGTCTCGGGGGCGCGACTTATGGACGCGTTCCGGTTCGACCAGAAGGCGACGGACGTGCTGGCGCTGCTGGGCACTAGTCTGGGTGTGCTCGAACGCGCGAGAGAGGCATCGGCGAAAGACCTGTGGCAGCTCGAAATTATCATCTCCGACGGAATGTGCCAGGACCACGACAAACTGCGGACCGTCCTCAGGAGAGCCGAAGAGCAGCGAGTCATGATCGTCTTTGTCATCGTCGACAGCAACTCGATCTTGACCATGAATAAGGCCGAGTACAAGCCCACTGCGGATGGCAGAATGGAACTCCAGCTCGAGCGCTACCTCGAATCTTTCCCGTTCGAGTATTACGTCGTCCTGCGCGACGTCGAGGCGTTGCCGGATGTCTTGGCTGGTACACTGAGGCAGTTTTTCGAGAGGATCTCTGAAGAGTAGGCATATGTTGTAGGCATATGTTGTAGATTTTGGAAGTCCTGTATGTTGTTCAATCAATTCTGTAATGTACCACGCAAGGACTGAAGTAAACCACTCAGAAAGCAGTCACCCAAGAAGTGGACTTGAATCATTCGTTAATTAACCAATCGAACCAAAGAGGAAACAACTGATCATCATCTTGAGCTGTTACCATAGGCACTGAATTCGCAAGTCTCAAGCTTGCAAGTGCGTACCTACGCGACCATAAGTGATCATCAATTTACGCTTTTATCCTTTTTGTCTTCTTTCTCGAAAGCAACAAGACACAGCTAGCGCGATATCTTGAGTGGAAAGAAACGTTTGAGATCTCGGATCTCCGCGCTGTGTCTGTGGAGTGGAATTGAACGGCAGAATGTTACATCAATCGGTTGTGGTGTAGGGGTTAACATTATCGCCTCTCATCTTGAAGCCCTGTAGAAGGTGCGCGATAGCCCGGGGTTCGATTCCCCGCAGCCGAACGTTTTTTGTGACTGAAACACCCCCTGGATGAATCTCATTTTGATCAGGGGCATCCAGGAGCAGAGCCAATATATAGCCTCCTCTCACGTGACGTTCTTCGCCTTGCCAGCCGAGTAATGATCGGAGCTACGCTCAGCACCTACGTTTACGCCACGCGCATGACTAGGGACCATCCACCGTCCGATCATCGAGCCCATGCATTCGTCCATCCCCGAAACCGATTTGAAATCGATGAACGAACCCCGATAACGATACACGACTCCACCATGAGTGTCCCAATGCTCCCCAACACGTGTAGTGGGTGTGGATGCGGGGGACTTTGGCGTATGTTTGTATATAGGACGGGGTAGCTGGGTGCGTGCCAAAGAGAGATAGCGAGCAGCTGCACGCCCTTCTCTCCTCTTCCCCTCGACTCAAACTGCTCTACGACTCACTCCCGATGGCCGTGACATACCATTACTCGCCACCGCAGCTAGAAGCCCGGGGAGAGCACCAGTGGGCTCTTCCGAGCTGGCCGTGGCCAGTGCTTTCGCTTCTGCGACGACGGCTTGTCAGGCTGGCTATGCTCAAGTCTCTGACTGCGGCTGGGCTGCAGTGCTCTTCGTCTGGGAGGCGCGCGAGCTCGAACAGGCGAAAGCCGCGACGTGATGACCTTGCAGACGACTGTCCAGGACGGCGGCGGGCTTTCGTTTTCTTCGAGGTGGACGGGGTATGCTTACAGGCGAGTATAATAGGTGCTTGTATGCGTTGTGGGTCACGCTGATGCACGGCGAATCATTTGAAGGTTGATCCATCCTTATTTCTGCTCCTTCCGTGCCAGCCCATGCAAGATGATGTTGAGAGTGGTGAACCGAGACGACGCCGCCGTAGAACCATCCCCGTTCCCCCGTGCGAGTCAGCTGAGGGCTTCTATTCGTTTTTGGAGGATCTGGAGGCATTGTGAGCACATGTCTTCTCGAAACGACGACGGTTTATATACTTAACAACGCGCCGTAGTCCAAAGGAACTCTCCCTTCTCTCATCGGCCCCTTGCGAAGCCGCGGGCGAGGCTGTCCCGGAAATCCTTAGCCGGCTTTTGAACATCTTGGAAACCACCACCCGTTTGCTCAGGCACGCAAGCCCGTGCACTCGTTCGCGTGCGAGTCGACGTGACCATGACTGCCACTGTGGTTATGAGCATCTCTTCGAAACCCTGCATGGTCGGGCTGTCGGGTCCCTCCGGCAGTTCATTCTCTCGCGATACCTGTGGGACATCAGCGCCGACGCCCGGGAAGCTTCACGATTGAAGCGGGTCGTGGCGGGTGTAGACGAATTGAGGCGGTCTGGTGTTGTGGATCCAGGGAGGGAGGATTTGCGGACGTTGCTGCAAAGGCGCGTTCGATGGGGTCTGCGTCGGGGTCGATCATGTTGATGAGTTTCAGCTTCTTTGAAGGGATCGCGTTAACTATATTGTGAATTAGATTATCTATCTTATGCATTGATCCTATTCTGGACTAACAGGCCTCAACCATAACAAGTGGGACTGCGTTTAGACTTGGAGGCGACTACCGCTCTAGTCTCTCTCCATACGAAGGATCGCACCCACTAGACGTTTTGCAACCAGTGCCGGCTCAGGCGCGATCATGTGACTGATGAGCGTGATCGTGTGGCCATCGATCCAGAGACGCGTCTCCCAAAATTTCACGTGCATGTCATCGTGGTATAATAATTTTCTGTATAATAAGTTTCATATACAGTATTTCACATCCGGTTCTTGAATATGATTGAATGTTTGAGTCCGAGGCTGCTGGATTGGCTAGATATCGAACTGGAAGCTCATCGGCGGTTTTCTTTCGGACTTGGACTGGTCTCCATGCCCAGATGTTCTCGAAGAGCTCCCGGGCCGGGCATTCTGGCAGTCCGACGCATTGTATCCGTCCTGATGCGATTTATCCGCTCTGTACCAGATTTTCCGAGCGAGCTTTGCCGATCAGAGATGGATATTCCCGCGGGCAGGGATGGCATTGAATGGATCGCCAGTGGGTGCGCACCGAGACCGCTGTACCCGAGTACGTGCACAGGTGAAAACAATGATTAGCAATCACGTACGCTTGTGTGCAGAGGAGAGGAAGTCAATATTAGACAACGTCTCGCTAGCAAGTAACGAGGAAATGACACAACATTGCATCCTTGGCCACAGTCAGGGATCCCATCGCTTACTGATAGAGTGCAGCTCCTCTACGAGTCGGTGTAAACGTGCCATGTAACCTCTGACTCGCCGCGCTTGCAGTTCCATAAAGATACAGAAGCCTCGAGACATTACATTTGTCCAAGGGTGCAATTCATGTCCGCGATCTCTGCACCAGATGAGCGGGGGCCGATGCCTTGCATGCAGCGCGCCGCAGAACAAGTGGTCAAAGCTATTGTCTGCGGGACCAGGTGACAGACGAGCAGGAGCACCAAGATCCGTGAGTTTCTCCGGCTCGCGTGGCACGGCAGGCCAAGAGTTGGTGGGAAAGTAACGTTTTGAAATCAACATTTCATTAAGAGCCGGAGCTCACCTGTCTCGTAACGAAACTTCAGACGGAGGCTGTTGTGTCAGGTGAGGTCAGGTGCCTCAGCTACTGGTCATGCTCTGATGCACGCACCGAATTTGATGGCTAATCCTCTGCTTCTCGCGTCTCCCATGCCGTTCCGAAGCACCACATCGACTCTCACTGGCCTTGCGCTGCTTCGGAGTCTGTTGCTGTGCACATCAGGCTGCCGTCACCGCTTTTTGACTCTGTCCTTTTCCGGGGATTAGCCGACGGGCTGAGTTTGTGGGTGACGACACTTGCGCAGGCTGAGGACGTAGCAGAGAGTATCACGTTGCGCCGATGAATCTCCTTGACGCATACCAGCCTTGGACTCGTTAGCATCCAAGCAGGCTTAGGGAAGGAATGGTATAAAACGCGGGACAGTTTTCAGCAGAACTCAGCAACTCGTCTTCACAGTCATGTTCCCCGCCACCGCTCTCATCGCTCTCTGCATCGCTGCTGTCTCCCAGGCGCAGCAAATCGGCACGCTGCAGGCGGAGGTCCACCCGTCGATCACTACGTCGAAGTGCGCTGCAGACGGGACGTGCACTACGACGCAGAACGCGATCGTCCTCGACTCGAACTGGCGATGGACCCACTCGACGTCGTCCGCGACCAACTGCTACACCGGAAACACCTGGAACTCGGCTCTGTGCCCTGATGCCACGACTTGCGCGCAGAACTGTGCCCTCGACGGCGCGAACTACCAGAGCACCTACGGAATCACGACCACCGGCAATGCCGTGACGCTCAAGTTCCTGACTGGTAAGTCGTTTCATTTCGGCTGGGACCTGGCTGAGCGATCGGCAAGGCTCGAACGTCGGCAGCCGTGTCTACCTGATGGCGGACAACACCCACTACGAGATGTTCCAGCTGCTGAACCAGGAGTTCACGTTCACGGTCGATGTGTCCCAGCTGGGATGTGGTCTCAACGGCGCGCTGTACTTGACCGAGATGGATGCCGACGGTGGAATGTCTCGTTTCCCGAACAACAAGGCCGGTGCCCAGTACGGTACCGGCTACTGTGACGCGCAGTGCCCTCAAGATCTCAAGTTCATCAACGGATTGGTGAGGTTGCTCTGGGTAGAAATGAACAATTCCGCTCATGAATCTCATCACAGGCCAACTCTGCCAACTGGACCCCTTCCACGAACGACCCCAACACGGGTACTGGCGCGATGGGAACCTGCTGCAACGAGATGGACATCTGGGAGGGTACGTGACTGAACCCCACCGGTCGCTCTCCAATCTGACCCGCTCTCCCTCAGCCAACAAGTTCGACACGGCCTACACGCCTCACTCCTGCTCTGTCGTCGGCCAGACGATGTGCACTGGCACAGACTGCGGTGTCGGCAGCGACCGCTACAAGGCTCTCTGCGACAAGGATGGCTGCGATTTCAACTCCTACCGCTGGGGCGACAGCAGCTTCTTCGGACCCGGCCTCAAGGTCGACACCACGAAACCCGTCACGGTCGTGACCCAATTCCTGACCAACGACAACACCACGACCGGTACTCTGTCCGAGATTCGCCGGCTGTACGTCCAGGGCGGCAAGGTCATCCAAAACTCCGCGGCCAAGACTCCTGGTCTCACTCAATTCGACTCGGTTACCGACGCGTTCTGCAACGCGCAAAAGAACATCACTGGAGATACCAACAGCTTCGAGGCCCGCGGCGGTCTTGGCACGATGAGTGCTTCGCTCAAGCGCGGCATGGTTTTGGCGCTCTCGCTCTGGGACGACGACGCCGTTGGAATGCTCTGGCTCGACGGACAACAGTACCCGACCACCAGCAGCGCGACCGCTCCTGGTGTTGCCCGTGGACCCTGCTCGGCGACCTCCGGTGACCCCAAGGTATGTGATAACAGCTTAGTCCCTCCTGTGCAGAAACTGATCCGATGTTCAGACCGTCCAGTCCCAGCAGCCCAACGCGCAGGTTATCTACTCGGATATCAAGACCGGCCCGATCGGCTCGACCTTCAAGACCGCCACGACCGGCGGAGGCTCCGGCTCCCCTCCCTCTTCATCGTCGGCTTCCCACTCTGCTTCTTCGACCGCCAGCTCGACGACTACCAGCTCCGGCTCGACGTCCACCGGCGGCACGATCCCCAAGTACGGGGAGTGTGCTAACAACGGTGGGTGACCTTGGTTTCATGTCACCCTTCGGATTTTCATGTTCTGCAGTTCCTGGAACCTGTGTCGCTGGCACCACCTGCGTGTTCAGCAACCCCTGTACGTCTTTCCTCTGCGAGGACTTCTCGATCGCCGCTCATCCTTTCCTCAGTCTACTCTCAGTGCTTGTAGATCTTCGATGGCCTTACACGGTGTTGCGATGGTTCGAGTTGATACACTATTCCTGCTGTAAATCACCTCTTGTAAATTACCTGTGGAATCAAAATATAATGGATGATTCACTTCTCGTATTCTCCCGTTTCTCCTTGGCGAGTACATGTAGCCGGTAAGTCGTGGAACCACGATCCGTTCATCACGAGGCGATCGGGGTCGTCCAGTTTCCCTGGATCAACGTTGAAGCATCCTGTAGAGATCAAAGATGCGCCGCGACGATAGGGAGAGAAGTCCTCTCGTGGAGTCGCACGGTGTGGGAGGAGAGCATCACCTGATGGATAACAGAGACCAGAAGCTTGCACAATAGGCGATCTGAAAGGCCTTCGACTCGCTGTTATAGCAAGCTCGATGTAGAAGCGTCCTCTGAGCGGCCGACACGAAAATCCTATAGATCCGCGTTCCTTGAACCCTCACTGTTTAGTATGGAGGCTCGGAGCATCGCGCTTTTTAACCGAGTGTCAGACGTCATGTCTTTATGATTGATTGATGATCCGACATATTCGGTGGGACCCCAAAGACATTTTGACGCTGTACGGCGTACCGTCGTGTGTCGCAATGATTCTCGGTGACACGCCTACGGAGCGTATGAGCGCGCAGCTGTACGGGGAGAGACGAGGAGCTAGTTGGAGGTCGCAGGGAGTGAGCTGCGGCTCTGGCTCGCGCAGTATTTGTGTGTGGGATTCTGATCCTTAACAAGGTCAGACTCGAGGAAATGAGCTCAAACTGGGATGGGCAGGGGCCGTAGTGAGCAACAGGGGGGAATGAAGGGACGATAGAACGGGCAATGGGACGATAATGACGACGGAGGACAGGGCGAAAGGACAATAGGACGACGGAGATCAATATGCAGGTCTGTAGCACAAAATGGGGGTTTTGAGGGCGATGTTGAGGAAATAACGCAGAAGCAGGCGCTGAGAAAGCGAGATAGAAAGCACTGGGAAGTCGCTTTAGACTCTAGAGAGTGGGTGAAGAAGATTTCTTGTTTTCTTGTACTGTACTACAGGTCTTTTATACTAAGTGTGAAACAAATCAAAAGGAGATAAGTAACTTGAACCTCCAGTTGATATGGTGACCATTGAGCTCTATGTTAATTTATTTCTTTAGTCAGTACTGAATTTCGCCGAAATGAATGAGTCCTGTGAGCACAACAAGGAGACGAACTCCGAAATGGGACCCCGCCGGAGGCATCCAGTGATGATCAGAATGATCACGTGCAACAACCTTGATGAGCTCGCTGACAAATCCGTTGAGATCTTTCAGTGCACGTGATAGATTGATCAAATGATCACGTGCAACAACCTTGACGAGCTCGCTGACAAATCCATTGGATCTTTTTGTGCACGTGATCGATTGATTTCAGGGCTAGGGCGCATCACTGCTCGTCATCGGACTCGTCTACAGTTAATTCAGCAGTCATTGTTATGAAATAGACCGAGTACAGAATGAATATCAAAATTTTGCGCCCTCCTCATCAGATACCTTGAAGGGCAACATTCCAAATGCGCGACAGTACACATTGCATTGGTGCTCGACTTCGAATCTGTCAAAGATAGTGGGGATGTTTCCCCCACCAAACACCTCTTTGTCCGTCAGCGTGCTTTGAGGATGTGTAAGGGGGATCACAAGCGGATTTAATCAAGTCACACTTACAAGGAGGTCATGATCTGTGCATCCGTCAAGAGGGTCGATGATCCTAAGAGCTCGTTCAGAGATAGATAGATATAAATCTGCCTGCGAAGCACCTTGGAGATCCGAAAGAATCACCAGCCCTCCCGACTTGGTGTACTGGAAGTGCTGAGTAAAACAAAGGAATTCAGCGATGTAGAAATCAGGATCTTGGGGTGCAAGGGCGGGAACCGCTTCGCCGTTGTGAACGAACTTCTTGAATTTCTCTCCGGGCGATGTGGAGATGAACTCCTCGAGCAGATATGACTTTGCCAACGTGTGTAAGGGCAACCTCGAGGCCCGATCTCAGAGTCCTGACAAGGGAGAGTCCAAAGCGTCAGATAAGGGGATCGACTAGTACAGGAGACTGGCAAACCTGACAAGGGAGAGTCCAAAGAGAAACCGAGTTGGGGACTCTCCTTGTCAGGGCCCACTATATATAGCCTACAGAACAATGGATGACCAAGCACAATGGAAGCGCCAGACAATGGGGCCAGGGAACAATGAGGGGCCGGATCGGGGGGAACAATGGGAGCCGGACCGTCGGAACAATGGGGGTGCGGGCCGGAGTGTCATGTGGACGCGCTTGGCAGGGAAGTCCGGACCGAAGCATGTGACGCTTGACAGATGGCACGTGCGCGGTCACATGCGAGATCCCATGATGATCGGACGAAAGCAGGGGTTCCCCTGACATCACCCCCCCTCTTGATTGCGGCGCCTCGACGCAAGGTACGGTTAGGGGCCAATGAGTTCCTGAAGGGTAGCGAGTCGAATACAGCTGCTGCAATGACGCGTGGCTTTCCCGGGTATCTGCGGTAGAACGCTGCCACTGCGTCGTCAGCAAAAACATCGGAGTGCTTGACCCACTGGTCATGAGACGGGTCGTAGCCCTTCCATCGTACTCGGAACCAGACACTCCGGTAGCGCATCTTTGCGTCTAGGATCTCCTCCACTTCCCACTCCTCTCCTTCGCCTTGTCCCAGGACAGGGGGTGGTTCCTCATGACGTGGGCGAGTGGGGAACGGGTCGTCTTTGGCCAACTGGAGCTTGACCACAGGGAAGACTGGGTGGAGGCGAGAGAGGCTGGTGGGGAGGGCGAGCTTGTATGCGCCCCGGCCTACGACTTGGGTGACTTTGAAGGGGCCCAGGCGTCGGTGGGAGAGGCCGCGAGAGGGTCGCGTCGTCGTGATGTCTGAGGCGTCGAGCCAGACTCGGCTGCCAACCTTGATGTCGGGAGCAGTAGTCCTTCGTCGGTCATAGTACCTCTTGTACTCGTCCTTTGCTTTGACAAGTGCCGATTTAGCCTCGGTTACACCTGATGCGACCCGGTCCAGAAACTCATTGGCGGACTCTGCTCGGGTGGAGCGCTGCTCTGTTGGCTCGAATCCCATGCGTGGTAAACGTCCTGTGTCCGTCATGAAGGGAACCTGCTGGGTCGAGGAGTGGACGTGGTTGTTGTAGGCGAACTCAGCTGCGGGCAAGAGTTCATCCCAGTCGTCCTGCTTGTAGCTGGTGAAGATCCGGAGGTACTGCTCCAACTCCTGGTTGACCCGTTCGGTCTGGCCATCAGTCTGTGGGTGGTAAGCGGTGGACGTGGCAGGGGAGACGCCAACCAGCTTCCATAGCTCTTGGGTGAAGTCTGCCACAAACTGAGGGCCACGGTCCGAGACGTATTTGATGGGTAATCCGTGGTGTCGCCAGACATGCTTGTAGAACAACCGAGCCATCCCTTCGGCCGAGAGGCGAGTGTGGCACTCGATGAAGTGGGCACGCTTCCCCAGCATATCAACGACCACCATGATGGCGTCGTAGCCGTGCGCCTCAGGCAGCTCCACGATGAAGTCCACCGACACCGATTCCCAACGTTCCGAGGGGATCTCCGTGGGGTGAAGCTCTCCGGTGGGGAGTCGTCGGAGGGCCTTGGTCCGACAGCACAGGTCGCAGGTGGCCACGTACCGGCCAACATGTCGTGAGAGCTGGGGCCACCAGTAGTTCCGGGAGACCAGCTCCAGCGTCTTGAAGCGGCCAGCATGCCCCGCAACGCGGGTGTCATGATGTTGCTCAAGGATGCGTCGCCGTAGGTCTTTGTCACGCGGGACCACCAGCTTCCCACGGAAGTAGAGGAGGCCGTCCTGGATGCGCCATTCCGCTGCTACAGCGGAGCGGGCCCCCTTCATCCCTTTCAGAAGCCGTCGCGCTATAAGCGCAAGTTCTTCCTCAAGGTCAGGGTCACCGGAGAGCGATTCCCGAATGTCGCGGACAAGCGGGGCTTCCGGGCCAGAGACGGACAGTCCTTCGAGTGCTCGCACATGGAACAGTTCCGGTTTCAACAGGGTAACGTCTGTGTTGTCCGAAGGGGCTCCGTGGTCCGGGCGTCGGGAGAGTGCGTCTGGTCGTCCCATGAGCCGGCCGGGTTGGTGGTGGAGCGTGAAGTCGAAGCGGGATAGGTAGAGCGACCATCGGGCTTGCCGGCGATTGAGGTTCTGGGCCTTGCGGAAGTACTCCAGGTTCTTGTGATCGGTCCAGATCTCCACCGGGTACTCGGCGCCCTCCAAGAAGTGCCGCCACTCCTCCAGCGCACGCACAATCGCGAGCATCTCTTTGTCGTGGATCTCGTAGTTGCGCTGGACGTCGTTAAGGCTTTTGGAGAAGAAGGCGACCGGGTGCCACTTGTCGTCTGAGGGGGACTGCTGCGAGATGACGGCTCCTGTGGCAAAATCGGAGCTGTCAGCCTCTAGGCGATAAGGACGAGAGGAGTCTGGGAGGAGAAGAACCGGCGTAGAGGTAACTGCATCCTTCAAGGCCTGGAACGAAGTGGACTCGTTGTCGCCCCAAGACCATGGTACGTCCTTCTTGGTGAGGTCAAAGAGCGGGCGTGCAACGTGCGAGAAGTCCCGGATAAACCTCCGGTAGAAGTTAGTGAACCCAAGGAACTGCTGCACTTCCTTCTTGTTAGAGGGGGCCGGCCATTCGGCCACGCCTGCCACTTTGACGGGGTCCATCTCGACGTGGTTGTGGGAGATGATCACGCCGAGGTACTCGATGGACTCCATCTCGAATTCGCACTTCTCGGCTCGGAGGTACAACTTGTTTTCGCGGAGGCGCCGGAGGACTTCGTTCACAATACGACGATGGAGGTGAGGATCGGAGTGAGCAATGAGGATGTCGTCCAGGTACACCATGACGTCGCCCGAGAGGATGAGGTCCTGGAGGATGTCATTCATCATGGTCTGGAACGTCGCAGGGGAGTTGGTAAGGCCGAAATACATCACCAGTGGCTCGAAGAGCCCACGGTTGGTCCGAAACGCAGCCTTCCACTCGTCTCCTTCTCGTATCCGTACGTTGTTGAAGCCCCATCGAACATCGAGTTTGGTGAAGAAGCGGGCACCCTTGAGCTTGTTGATCAGGTCGTTGATCAAGGGGAGGGGGTACCGATTCTTCACTGTCATTGCATTCAGTGCCCGGTAATCCTGGACAAACCGTAGGCTGCCATCCTTCTTCTTGACAAAGAAGACGGGGGAGGCCATGGGGGACTTCGAGGGTCGGATTCGGCCGGTGGCCATGCCTTCTTCGATGAAAGCGTCGAGCTGCTTCTGCTCCAAGGGGGAGATAGGGTAGACCTTGCAGTTTGTTGGCTTTGCATCGGGCACCAGTTCGATGGCGTGGTCCCAAGGGCGACGTTCCGGAAGATTGTCGAAGGATTCCTTGCTGAAAACATCCTCGAACTCGCGCGCCCACTCGGGTATGGAATCTCGAGAGGGGGCGGAGTTCTTGGCAAACGCCTCCGCAAGACGCTGGGAGACGGTGCTAGTGGCTCGGATGTCTTCAGAAGGGTTGAAACGGGTGTAGAAGATACGGTCACCGGTTTCCAGACAGTCTTCCTCTTCATCGGAATCTTCTCCGTCGTCTTCCTGGAGCAGTGGCATAGCCTCGTCTTCGCGGTCTTCAATATCAACGACGCAGATGGAGGGGACAGGGCCTTGTCGGGTTGATCGGAGTGCTCGGGCCGAAATCCGGGCTATCCGTCTCTCTTGGCGAGACTCCGCGGTGCAGGTGGAGCAGCCCGATGGGCAGCGGCTCATCTTTACCTCCTGGGTGTCCCAATTGATCTCCGGGTTGTGCTTCCGAAGCCAGGAATAGCCGAGGATCAATTTCTGCTTGCCAAGCCGAGTGACGGCGAGCTGGACACGCTCGCTGTGTCCTTGGTAACGCAGGACCACATCGGCAACTTGTCGGATGGAGCCGGCTTCATTTGGCGTGCCGTCCACGTTGTAGACTGGGATAGGCTGGGAGAGCTGCCGGACCGGAAGTCGGTTTTCGGAGGCGTAGGTGGAGTCGATGAAGTCCGACGTGGCGCCGCAGTCGACCAGTCCGTTGAGGGCGAGCTGGACTGCGTTGTCGGTGGACTGGATCTCTAGGGGGAGGTGCAGGGAGTTGGCGCCGGGGGAGGCTGCGACCACGTAGCGCTGAGGGAGTTTTCGTTCCCACTTTTCCTTACGGACCAGCAGGACAGAGCGAGGGGCAGGGGGTACGTCTATCGTTTCGTTTGCGGGGGAAATGAGGTCGCATTCATCATACAGACATTCAAAACGATTACGTGAGGCGATCGAGGGCGTACTATTCACTCGTCGCGGGGGAGAAAACCCTGCTCCAACTCGTCGGCAATCTCTGCCTCGTGATCTTCTACAGCCGCTGTAGTCGCTAGCCGGGCCACTAATTCCGCCAACAGGTCGCTTCCCAGCTGATTGATTACTTCGTCCAGGACGTCAGCGTGCCGGACATCCACGGGGGTCGGGCAGTCTCGGGCCAGGTGTCCTGGGCTGCCGCATCGGAAGCAGGTGCGACGAACACCGGTGCGGGCTCTGGTTCGGTCGATCTCCATGGGAATGCCCGGTGGGAGGACTACTGGGGCTGGTCGGGGAGCAGGAGGTGGAGCAACCACTGGAGCAGCCACGGGGCGAGGGCGGGGGGCCGCAGGAGGCGGAGCGCGGGATGGAGAGAACACCTGTCCTCGTGCAGCTCGGGCAGCCACCTCGGCGTTGTACTGGCGGAATGCACGGGTACGCCACTCCGAGTAGTTTGTGAGGCTAGGCGGGTTACCGGAGGTCGTGATTGCCTGATTGATTCTGGGGTCCAGACCCGCCCGGTACTTGGTGACCTTGACCAAGTTATCAGAGTAACCCGCCAAGTCGAGAAGGTCGTCGAACTCGTCCGTGTATTTGAACACGTCGCGGGATCCCATGTAGTAAGCGTGGGTCTCCAGTCGTGCCAGGGCGTGGTCTTGCTCGTTCTCCTCGACAAACCGGAGCTTGAACTCGGCCACGAAGGAGGACCAGGTCGGAAACGGGAAGACGAGGCGCTCTGACATGCGTTCTGACCAGGAGGCCGCCGAGTCCTTGGACATGTAGGAGAGGGCGAAACGTACCACCCGCTCTTCTGATACTACCCCGTTCACATGGAAGGCCTCAGGGAGGAGGCGCCAGTACTGCTTGACGGAATGGAGAAACGTCATGCCCTGGGTGCGATCTCCGTCAAACGCGAATGGGGGATTGGGGCGGATGAGGGGTCTCGAGCTG